TTTGCAGGGCCTGTCGATCTTCCTCTGGCCTGACCACTGGGATAGCCTGCCGGGCATTTACCCATCCTGTAGTAGCTTGATGGGCTCTTAAGTAAACTGAGGGGAAACCCCATTCATATCGTGCCATTATTGGGCTACTGATCCTATTGTATGACGCTGTGTACCCCCTCAAGTGTTACGGAATAGGGACGTCATCACCCTCAGGGGGGATCTCTCAAGAAATTGCACCCCATGTGTTCCCGTGATAGACAAGAGCGGTGGACCATGACAACTCCCGTGGCTTGTTGGAAGGTTTGACAGCCTCTGCTAGACTCTGATCCTTGCAGAAAGCCATGGCGCAGAGGGGAGGGGAGGGGAGGGGAGGAGGGGGAAGAGACCTTCTCGGAACTTTGGACTGTCCAATACCCTATCTTCTCGGAGACTTCGAAGCAACACTAGTGTCCCCGGGTCCGAATCCTGATTTGGAAAGAAATGGGCTCCGCGATCGGGGATCACAGCCCCGGGGAACCCGTATCTGTCAGGACGTGCCTACAGCTGCACCTGCACCTGCACCCATGTTTGACTAGGAGCCCTTGTTGGGAGACTTCTTCAGATACATTCATTGAGAAGTCTGCTATTGTTGTTGAACCAAAAATAACCTCAAACCACGATGAAACTTCGCATCCACCGTTTCGCCATGAGACATGCGGCACGGGAGAGCCCAGCAATGCGCAGTCGACAGACAATAGATGTATTCTTAGGTACGCCGGATCCGGGAAATGCATCAATGAATAGGATGAAACAGACAACGATGATTCCCGGGGATAGACGGGAGAGAGGGGGGGGACGTTATGACCATGAGCTTGACAGGAATCCCTTCCCTTGCCTCCCTTACCCCCCCTCCCCCCCCCCCCATCAGCCGACCATTTCGAGTCCAGGGTTGGAGGAGGCGGGGGGTGAGGGAGGGCTATGAGACACGAGTGATCATCCCAATCAAAGAACAAGAGGTCCGTGGTACGTGTGCCGACGGATCAGGAAAGGCTGGTGGCTCGGCGGGCGATCTAGTGGGCTTCTAGAATGTTTTGGAGGTGGCTCGACTGCCAGGGGGGTGAGGACGGTGCGGTGAGGATCCCTGGTGTCAATCGTTCATCGCCCCTATAGCCGGTGACACGGGCTGGGATGGGCATCTCTGGACAGCCATGGCCCATGGCACGACATACCGAATGGGGTATCTGGGGATGGGGAATCTCGACGTATGCCAATGGCTGTGGGGATGAAATGGAGAGAGTCAATAGTGTCCTAGTATTGAGGTGCGGGAGATCCTCGTCACACAGTAGCGATTCATTTAGTCTATCTGACGGGAAGGATTGTAGATGGTAGATACAGCAGTGCAATTTGATCCTTCCCGGAATCCAGCTGTCTTGTGCAATGGCAGCAGCTCGTTGGGCCAACCCCAACAGAGACATCCCGGTTGATACGTCCACTACACGGTACACCCTGCATGTCGATAAGATAAGACGAGAGAGAGCCTCCTGGAGAGGCTGTTGTTTTGGTTCCACTAGGCTTCCAAACTTCTGCGAGTGAGACAAAGAAAAGGCCAGGAAAATAAAGAAGTAAATCAGAAACATCAAAAAATCAAAACCAAAAGTCAAAAACCAAAAGAAAACATAATAAAACAAACGCACGCCGTCTTGCTTCCGGTTCCTGCGCAAGCCATGTCGCCCCCAAACCCTAAGCTATCAAACCTGGCCGCCAGCCGCCATTTTCCACCCAGCATGTGCCCCGTTCCTCAATCTGTGCATCTCTTTCAAACCGTTTCAAAGAGCGGAAAGCGCTGATGGGGCAAAAAGAGAACTAACTAACTAGCAACAAAATTCCCATCATTCGATTTTACTTTCTTTGTCCTGCCGCTTTTTAACTTCTTTGAAGGGAGAGGAAAATCATATCGCTGTAGGGCTAGGACGCGTTAGCCGTCACCCACTTGACTTTCCCCACAAGCCTAGTTGGGCGACGCACACTCTCTGTCAGTGGCTGTCGAACCAGTCAGGACATCCAGGAGGGGTCTGCGGTTCTCCAGTGTAGAGGCGTAGAGTTTCAACTAATACCCCTTAGGTTTGACCATTTGAACGTGCGCCCAGCTAGAGAAAACCCGCTTATGGTAATTCTCAGCAGAGAATAAAGAAACAGGTGAGGAAAACCTGAAGAGTTCCTGAGTGTCCCTTGCAGAATCCCAATCCCGAGGGGAAGGGGCAAATGCCTGGAGTGATATGATGCTGGAAACAGTTTGAACATGGCGGCGTCTTTGTTATCCCACACGTGACCGAACAGACACCAACACACAGGAACCCTAACACGATGAGGGAAAAGCCAGTCTCTTTGCCAAGACTCCCACCGCATCAGCATCTCCAGGAAGGAGACAGCAGGCGATTTGGTAAAATGGCGCTCACTTGGATAGACTTCCTACCAGCCAACTTAAGATAAATCGTGCCAATGACACGTTCATCTCTTTCTCGGCCACGATCTCCACTTTCTCGCAAGAACAGATGATCGTCTTGAGTCTGCGAAAGTCTAGGTAATTAGGTAGTTAGTTAGTGCGGCCTGGGTACATGGTCGAGGTATCTCTTGGCCTGAAATCGCCGGGGAGTGTACTGCCCGATACTCCGTGTCACCGTTGGTAATAAATTACAGCCCTTAGATGGGAGATTGGCTTTAAATGACACTAAATCGACCCAGCGATCTGCTAGAGCCAGTCTTTGCGAGACGGATACTTTACCCCGTCTCCGGTTCATCCAATCAAATACTAGTGGCGTTGTGTAATTGTCATTCATTCGTTTCATGATGTCCATCCATACGCCGGACTAGGTCAATGCTTTTTTACTTTTCCTGGCTTTTCTTTTCTATCGTATTCATTTAAGAGGAAAACAGAAAAAGTAAAAAATGATGATACGTAGAAATATTGATAATTTAGAAGGTATCTATAGGGGAAAAACTAAAATCGCAAAGTAATAGGAGAACTAACATATATCAAGAGGCCCGGCCGTTCGAACCATCGTGATCAGCATTGGATGTGACCCACATAGCTAGCCCTAACTGGGAGGAAAGTATGGAGACCCGTCCCGTCTCTGTTTGGCTCCAAGGCCCAAGCCTAGAACTGTCTGCGCCCGAATCACCAGACACCAAGACACCAAACACTCAGGACCTGGCCAACTAGTAATGACGATCTACGGTACTCCGAATTAAAGGTCAAGTCCGGTTCGCATAGCCCGGGTCCCAGGGTGTCAACGGCGCCGCCATGTAGGTAGAGTGCACATGGAGAGAGGGATGGCAGCGCGGACAACAGGTGGAACTCAAACCAACTTCCATGGATGAGAGATCGCATCCGATCTACGGGGCGCAGGCGGGGAGATGTACAACCTCCCTCTCTTGTCTCTCTCCCATGTAACGAGAAACTTTGAGAGCACAAGCAGCGTGGGAGAATGTGGCTCGGCCCCGTGTAATGGTCTCTTCTCCTCGTGTGCTCAACGTTGGATAAATGAGCCTTCTTTTTAACGTTTTACTCAATTCAGAACCCCGTAGCCATTCTCTCCTCTCGGGTCTGGGGGTTATTACTAAGACCATAATACGGGAATGGAAATTGAGGGGAAAGAGGACCGTTGTGATGACGGTCGCGACCCTTCTCCTTTTTTCCCCTCTCCGTTTCTGTCTTTTCTCCTTTTCTTTTTTCCAATCGATCTTCGGATCTCGTTCCCCCACCACGGGCATTGAGTGGGCGATGATAGAGAGACACGGATGGTCTATGCGGATGACAACCCAAAGCATATCCTTCGGGTCCGAGATCCTACCATATCAACCAGCATGGATAGATCATATTTGGTCCTAACCAGACCGGCTTATCCAGGCTCTACCCGATGCGGAAACTCGACACAGACCCTATATTTCTAGATATCAAATTGGTTGATAGGGTTTTAAAGATACTAACACTGAAGCCATGAGACCGACTGCGCCCTATTCAAGGTGGAGGAGGATCTCCATTTCTCCATATCGTGCAACCCCATCGTAGGGCAAGAACTGTCCCCATCCTCGAGCACCGCCTTCTCCAGACTTGTCTGTCGCTCCCTTCTTTCAAACCACGATGCATGTCCTAAGGATAGACAACTGGTACCACCATCTGGAGGGGAGGAGTGGGAGTTGCCCGGGGTACGCCGGATGTCCATGGGTTCGTCAAAAGCGGCCGCATTTGTCTAAGCCTGGTTACAGTCTAGAAGATCTCAAACCATTCAATCATCCTTCTAGCTGCATTTTGATACAAAGAAGAGGGGCAATGTGGGTGGAAGACAAACCACGGATGAGGTTGTTTGGGTCTGGGGAATGTGGATGACAGCCTCCTCTCTCTCAGGCAAAAAGAGAGAGAGAGCCATCGAAGTGTAGAAAATCAAGTAGAATAATAAATAAAATGGATGAAAGAAAGATAATCGTGAGAAAGAAAGGAAGTAAAAAAAGAAAAGAAAGGATTAAAAATAATTGGAATAAAATAATAAAAGAGAATAACAAATAATAGTAAATAATAAATAGGAAATCAGTTAGAATGATTGGAGAGTGACAGGATCAGCCATGTCTGCCTCCAGTTCCAACGCCGTGGGACAAAGACCACGCCATCTCTCTCTCTCTCTCTCTCTCTCTCTCTCTCCCTCTCTCTGTGTGTGTGTGTGTGTGTGTGTATGTGTGTGTATAGAGTGTAGGATCCATGTCAATAACCAACACCGCCGCTTTTGGCGGTAATCTTTTATTTTATTGGATTTTCTATTATATTCCCATGTTATTTTATTTTGATTTTCTCCCCCATTTTAATTAATTGGACCATTTTATTTTATTCTATTCTATTTAATTATTATATTTTTACTTTTTTTCTTTCCCTGGTTGATTTTTCGGGCTTGAGTCAGGGTCTCGCTCACTAGGATACCATGGTAGTTCTCCCCATCTAGAACGGCGCTCTGCAACACCGATCTGCCTTATATCCTGTCGGGTTTCCTCCTCTTGTTTACCCCGATGAATATTTCTGATATCAAAGAATCCTCTTCCATTCCCCCGTCTCTGCAGATTGATAAAGGCGCATGCTATCCCACGGCTGAGACCTTTCCTTCCATCGATTGATCAATTGTTCTACCTTCTACTATCCTTTCACCGATCCATCCATTCATCAGGCAAGACACACGGGGTGTCTCACACCTCTCGCAAACCCTTTCTCCTCTTCTGTCCTTGTTGGGGCCTCTTTGCCACAGCCTGTGTTTTTGCCAAAACAAAATAGAAGAAAAAAAAAAGAAACAGAAAAGCCTCACCGGCAAAGTTGGACGATTACATCTACTTCTTCTTCTGCCATCCACCGACATCTGACTTCCTTTCCCCATCCGCGTTGCTGAGAACCCTGTCCGGTTAGCAAACAGTGTCTGCGACGCGGTCATCTCCCCCACCCACCGTTTAGTCCAAGTGACCCCTCTAGCCAGCTCATCTCTAAATCGGACGCGCCCCCCGCAGAGTTGGCAAAAGAACCAGGAAGGAAAAAGGAGATCGCTAGCCCCTCCTTTCCCCGACTCCAATCTTACCACATCCGTTAGATCTGGGCGGTAGCTTCGGATCTGGCAATGACTCTGAGACAAATTCAGCGTCAACCACTCTCTCCGCCGCAGTCAGGTGATGAAAGTCTAGCTCCAGAGAGCTCTCAAAAATCGTGTGGAATTGCCCGCACCATGTACGACCAGTCGGATCTCTTCATGTTCGCCGGCGCGCAGGGAAACCTAGACGCGAATGGCTCACAGCCAGTGGTATGTGCTTGAATATCGACAACCCTTCTTCTGACATGCATGTAATAACCTTGGGATAGCCCCGGAGCTCACCCTCTTCACACACCATTACCAACGGCGATTACTCTCGCAGCCTCCCAGTGCAATTACAGGTAAGCAGCACGCGATCCCCCGTGGTCTACCCCCCACCCCTCCCTCCCCCCAGTCCCAGGCGCATCTAATTAGTTTCTACGCAGATGCAACCCCATGGCTTTCAAGTCAACACGCCCCCGTCGGATGAAGTGTCGATTGCAGGCAGTCTAGATTCGGCGCCATCGCACTGGTCGTCTCCGTCGCAAAGGCTCCGGGCACAGAGTACCCCCAAGTCCAAGCTGTCTCGAGCCTCCCGGTCCTCAAAATCGCCCAAGATCCGACACAAGAGGAGCAAGACCGATCCCCCAGTCATCAACGCTCCGTTGAGTGAACTGACCAAAGACATGAGCCATATCCCGATTCGGGACATGGAGGAGTGGGTACATCGTCCTATTGAAACACGTCTAAGCCAGACCACTCGCAAGGGAAAGGTCGCCAGACCCATGAACTCTTTCATTCTCTACCGTTCAGCGTACGCAGAGCGCACCAAAGAGTGGCTCTCGCAGAACAATCACCAGGAAGTCTCGAAGGTCGCCGGGCAAAGTTGGAAGATGGAGCCTCGGGATATCAAGCAGAAGTATGCCTCTCTCGCCAATATCGAAAAGGCCAACCACGAGAAGGCGCACCCGGGATACAAATATTCACCCAAGGACAAGAGCAAGCCGACCAAGAAGCCAGGCAAGCCTTCTCCCGGCATGGGCCACGATGACACTCCCAGCTCCAGCCCGAGCTTGAGTTCAAGCCAGGCCATGCTTTCTTCGGATATCGATTCTGGAATGTGGCATAGCCGCTGTGGGACACCGATGAACATTGTCGAGCATCATGGCCTGCCCACGCCCATGCAGTTTCTCAATTCGGGGTGGCCCGCCCATCATCCTCCCCGTCCACCTTCCACCATGATGTCGGCTCCCGAGGCATCCCATTACGGGCACCCCGGTATGCATCACGGTCTTATGGGCGCTCACCAGGATGATGTACGATTCCGAACAACTGACCTGAGTGAGCTGCAATATAACACTTCGAACACCTTGTCCGGACTGCCGGGAGCGGTTCACCATGAACTTCTTCAACCCCAGACCACCGCTCCCCCACCCGGTGCTCCCCCGACTAGCCAGTTGGACCCCCAACTGTTGAGATACCACAGTGATCACCTTCCTGCCGGCCACGTTTACAGCAGCCCCCAGTACGGGATCTGGACTGACCCGGCCCCTGGCGCCAGCTACCTTCCCAACGCACCCAATTCGCTAGGGTCCAATGCCGTGTCCTATCACCCCCACTCATCCTACGATATGCTGGATGACGGCGAGCCCTGGGATTCGAAATTTGCGGTGGACTCTCCCACAGGCGAGTTTGACCGCTGGGTCAACCCTCAGGCTTGAGAACATTGTGTTTCACCACTTGCTCCATTCTCAACCCACCTTCATAACGATGATGAGCACAATGATTCCAATGCACCTGCATCTAAGTTGGCATTTTTTCCTTTTTATTTCTCTTTATCTTTCTTTTTTTGCTTTCTCTCTTTACCTCTCTCTCTTTATGAGAATACAGTAGGAATGGAGTTCGAAGGAGCAAGGCTACCTGGCGTATGATGTGGTCCTCACTCATCTTGTTTCACTCATTTATGTTTCCGTTTGAGAGTACCCCTATGTTGGACTTCGTTTTGCTTGTTTCTGATTGTCTTGTCTCGGGCGGGGTCGTGATTTGGATTAGTCTTAAACCATGTGTGGCATTTGTCGAATTTTTTAGATAGAATTGTTTTCGTTTATGCGAATTTGTCATCTATCATCCATTTAGAAATCATCATTATCATTACCATGTGTCAGTTTACGGGATTTCAACCTACTTTTAAATTATACTCCCGAATGTGGAGTATTCCGTGATATATAATCCAACCCTAGCAGTTGAACCCCCCGTCGCCTTTACACCATCACCCCAACCCAACCACTTAAACTCCCCCCAAGCCTACTCAAACGGCAGACAGTTTCCAAAGGTATAACCCAACTAGGGCAGTAAGTAGTACCTAACAGTCGTCTCTTTTTGAACCGCCGGATCGTTTATGCAGGGACCCGTTCGTGTCGGCAACATGCGACAGATGTTGGTGCAGGCGGCAGGTATTCCAAATCAGCACTCACAGCAACGGCAAATAAGGCGACTGTTTGTGTTGGGAGTTGTTAGGTATGCAACCTGCAGTTGATTTATCAAGATGGGAAATTGGAACGGTTGTTTAATACATTATACTGCTGGAAAACCAGCGGCCGTTGTCCGGACTTAGGTAAGAGGCGCGTCACGTGCGCGTTGTCAGCGCGTGGAGAAGAAACCGTCATGGGATCCGCCTTTGTCTGAATATTGATATACCCAATTTCTTTTGTATATCGTATTACAAAGCGTGGCTTTAATTCATGTTCTTGATCCATTCAAATCAATAGACTGTTGTGCCAGTCCATCCATATCGCATCTCCACCCCATCATCCCCAACCGTCAATGCATCATCACCCATCTTGCGCACAATAACAGCCCAAACCCATCCCCATGTACGGCGAACTCGGAAACAAGCTGGTATACCCAACCCAACACCCTCCATAATTCCCTTCCAAAACTAACCCTCATTCCCAAAGGTCCAACATGCCAAACGCACCCAATCCCTAGCCCACCTCCCCCCCTACCAAACGGAGCTCGTCCGGGCCGTCGCGCGCGAAGTACGCGATCTCGACCGCCACGTCGCACACCTCCTCAACTCCTTCTCAGCCGAAGGCTTCAACCCGTCCGCCGACCCAGCCACAGCATGCGCCCTCCTCGTCGACCACCTCAGCATGCGGCGCAACAAGCGCTGCCTCCTCGCGTACCACCGCGTACGGACCGCAAAACTGGAAGAACTGTGCTGGACGGGCGTCGACGTGCTGGAGCAGCAGCTCCCCGCGGAGGAGGGCGGCGACGCGCCGGGCCCGATGAGCTCGGCGCAGGCGGCGGGGCAGCACAGCTCGCTGAGCCCCGAGGAGGAGGAGTATTTTCGGCAGTATAGTGATATGTTGGCTGCTTACAAGGGGCAGTGGACGGATGTGGATCTTACGGGGAGTTTGGAGCCGCCGAAGGATCTTTTTATTGATGTTCGGGTGCTGAAGGATGCGGGGGAGATTCAGACTGAGTATGGGTATGTTGTATATTTTGCTTCGGCCCTCCGTTCCCCCCAGGCCCTCATCCTTGGATGCTAGTACTGGGACATTGTGCTGACTACTGCTGCTACTGTAGGGCTATCAATTTGACGAAGAATAGCCAGCTGTATGTGCGACAGGGCGACGTCGAACGGCTGATTGCGCAGGGGTTTCTGGAGCGGCTGAGTTGATGGGTTATGGATGAGGATGCATGGTTCATTGGTTTATGTTTTATGATACCCACGCATATGTATAGAATTGAATATACTCCTGGCCCTTTCTGGCTCAATTATCTACATTCTGTCCTCATATGATAACGATAGATCTCGTGATTAAGGCTGGCTTCAGGCAGATCGGATGACTAAGGAGCAACTCCAACAGTGCAACTGCAGATCATTTCCTGCAATGACAATCTCAAATATGGCCAGAGCAAACAGGTCTTACTAGGGATATAATGATCATAATACCCTTTAACAACAATTCCCGAACATTCCATTCATCATCGCGCTCTGACCCCTCATCAACACCCTGGCCAGCCTTGATTAACGGCCTTGCGCAAACGCTAAACCACACTGAGTGGGCCGGCGATAACCTCCCGGTGATAAGACTTTTTAGTCGGTCGAATAACCTGATAACGCCCCAAATTTCCTCTTGTCTTCGGCCCCCCCAGCCTATTTCTTTTCGCTCGATTGCCTTCTGTTTTTTGATCTTTCATGTGTTGACTGGATGGCTTTCCATTGCATCTCCCCGGTTCGGCAGCGATATCACCCCAATTGCCCATCATAGGCATTGCGTCATTCAGAATCATCAATCGCACTCGAGTAACGGCCCAAGACCACACCGCGCGCCCTGCGGGGACTCTGTTACCAGGGCTAATCTCGTCCCTATCATTTGATCTGTGTCAAATAATCACGTCAAGACCGTTAGACTACTAGTAGCCCCCGATGGGCGTCTTCCGGACACGGAACAGCAGCGGGTCTGGGAAGTTCGGGCTTCCCCCTCGTCCATCTGTCGACCGCTTGTCTCCGGATCCCGCAGAGGCTCCGATCGAACAGGCGCATAATGGCAGCCTTCCTCATACGTTTGGGGTCGATCCGCTCGTCTCCGGTGGTAGCTATAGGACACCGAGTCGGTCGTTCTATCATCGATCCTTCAACAATGCAAATGGTGCGATCAAATGACAGTCCTCTCTTGGGCATCTTTACTGACAGACAGTACCCTGGCAGATCCAGCGCATTACTCGTCCCGCGGTCTTCGAGAACAGACAGCCGAGCTAGCCTCCCTTGCCCTCTCGCTGAACGAAAACTCCCATCTCGCAGAGCGCAATACCCTGCCGCCGTCGTTGGACGTGTTCCGCCGGGGTCAACAGCGGAGTCAAGAGTTGGATCTCGCCGTGTCACCGAAGGATACATCCATTGGTTCCGGGGGGCTGATGCAGCCGTTGGACGCAGAACCGTCGACGCTCCACACCCCTGGCTCTTCGGTGCTCACGGAAATGATCCGCAAGCCTTCGCACGAGTCGCCTGCTGTCAGGTCCAGTCACCGGAAGCGGACGTCGGATCTGAGCAGGACGAGTGAAAGCGAGGAATCTGAGAGGGAGGATGCGTCTGTACCTGACTTTGAAGAATCTCAGATCTCTAGCACTGAACGATCTTCTCTTTTGCATTCCACTCCTTCAAAAGCCGTCCGTAGCTATGGGAGTGCGCACGACGTTGAAAGCCAAGGGTCTACAACAAAGCGAAAACGGACTCCACTGAATACGGCGCGTTTCAAAGCCAAAAAGTGTTTCCGGGTGTTGACGAACCCCAAAGCCTGGGACAAACGAACGATCTGGGAGCAGGGCGTAGTCCACCCTGCCAGTCTACTGCCGTCCGTGTTCCTCGGCCTGCTACTCAACATCCTCGACGCGCTGTCCTACGGCATGATACTCTTTCCCCTGGGCGAGCCGATTTTCGCGGATCTCGGATCAGACGGTATTTCGATGTTCTACGTCAGCACGATCATTGCGCAGCTGGTTTTCTCCTGTGGGGGTTCTATCTTCCGCGGTGGGATCGGGAGCGAGATGATTGAGGTTGTGCCGTTTTTCCACCAGATGGCTTTTACGATATTGCATAGTGTCGGCGAGGAGAATCCGAAGTCGGTTATTGCGACTAGTATCTTGGCATTTGCTGTCAGTTCAATTATGACTGGTCTGGTGTTTTTCCTCATGGGGGCTTGTGGGCTGGGGTCTCTTATTGGATTCTTCCCGCGGCATATCCTGATCGGGTGCATTGGTGGTGTAGGGTTCTTCCTCATGGCGACGGGTATCGAGGTATCCGCTCGTCTGCCAGGGACTCTGGAGTTTACCATGCCCACGCTGCAGAGGCTGTTTCAATTGGACACGCTGCCTCTTTGGGTGATACCCTTGTTTCTCGCTGTCGGGATACTGGTCTTGAAACGATTCGTGCGCTCTAACTTTTTGGTTGGAGGGTACTTTGTCGGCGTGGGTGTTGTATTCTACATAGTCAAGCTTATCGCGGGGATACCCATGGAAGCATTACGCAACAGTGGATGGGTGTTTAATGCGCCATCATTCTCGAAGCCGTGGTATAACTTCTACACTCTTTATGGTGAGTTATTTTTACCGTCCTCAGTGAATATGCAGTCTGACAGTATTAGACTTTGCCGCCGTGGACTGGCCTGCATTCGTCGAGACCATCCCGGCAATGCTGGCGCTCACCTTTTTCGGCATCCTCCACGTCCCGATCAATGTGCCGGCTCTGGGAATCTCCACGGGCGAGGATAATCTGAATGTTGACCGCGAGCTCATTGCCCACGGCGTTACCAATGCGTTGTCTGGGTTTTCTGGTAGTATCCAGGTAGGCAACTATCTTAGTATGGTGTCTCGTATCTTGCTAACGATCCGAAGAACTATCTCGTCTATACAAACAGTCTACTTTTCATCGATAGTGGGGGAAACTCCCGTCTAGCTGGCGTCATGCTTGCAGGCGCCACGATGGGCATCCTCGTAATCGGGCCGGTGATTGTGGGCTTTATCCCGGTCATGGTCGTGGGAGCTCTCATCTTTATGCTTGGCATTGAACTGATGCAAGAGGCGTTGGTTGATACATGGGGGAAACTGCATCGGCTTGAATATATGACGGTAATCCAAAGTAAAAAGGTTTACTCCGAAGTTTATAGCTAACAGATGATACAGGTCGTTATCATCGTCTTGACGATGGGCGTATGGGACTTCGTGGTAGGCATCTTCGTCGGCATCATTCTAGCCTGCATGAGCTTCGTCCTGCAAACCTCCCGCAAATCCGCCATCCGAGCGACCTACTCAGGACGAGTGGCCGGCTCAACAGTCCGACGACCCCCCATCCAGCAGCGCTTCCTCCGAGAAGCCGGGCAGCAAACCCTCATAATCAAACTCGGCGGCTACCTATTCTTCGGCACGATAGTCGACGTCGAAAACCAACTACGGGGCCTCATCGAAGAAGAATCATTCAACAAGCGGCCCATCCGCTTCCTCGTCCTCGACTTCTCCCGCGTCGTCGGCCTCGACTTCTCCGCCGCAGAGGCCTTCACGCGCATCAGCCGCATCCTCAGCCAACGCAAAGTCCAAATGTCCATCTCGGGCCTCGACGTCGAAGGCGAAGTCGGACGAAGCCTCCAAAACGTAGGCCTCTTCGAGCCCGTCAACGGCGTCGAACTCTTCGAAGACCTCAACTCCGCCCTCGAATTCTCCGAAAACGACTACCTCAAGATCTTCTACCGCTACCGCGAGTCACTCTTCCGAAAACGCAGCGCCCCCTCTTCCACCCTCGCAATCCCCACCACATCCCACCCACAAAGCCTGTCCCTCGCCGAAGGCACAGCCGCAGGAGGGGGGGGGATAGTCAGCTCCCCACGCCACCGCTACCTTCAACAGGCGGCAACGACAACACTCCACGAAGACGAATCCGCGACCTTCGCCCCGGCGGCATGGTCCGCCATGCGCCAACCCCTCCCGCTCCTCCTCCAAACCTTCCAAGGCCTAACCCTCCGCAACGAAGACTTCTGGTTCCCAGTCTGCGCATTCTTCACCCGCGAAACCTACGCCGCAGGCAGCATCCTCTTCGAAGAAGGCGACGTCCCGCGGTCCTTCTACCTCCTCGAGTCGGGGATGCTGCGCGCAGAGTACGAGATGCCGCAGGGGCGGTACTTCGAGCTGATCGTTGCGGGGGGGCCGTGCGGCGAGCTGCCGTTCTTCAGCGAGACGCGCCGGACGGCGACCGTTCGGGCGGAGCAGGACTGTGTGGCGTGGTGCTTGAGTGTTGAGAAGTGGGGGCAGTTGCGGGAGAGGGAGCCGGAGCTTGCGAGGGAGCTGTTGACTGTTAGTTTGAAGTTGACGAGGGAGAGGATGGATAGTATTACTTCGTGAGTTTCTTTCCTCCCCTGTTTTCCTTTACGCGTCAATGCGTTGTGGGTGGATGGATGCTAACAGTGCTGCAGTCATGTTCTTACGATGGCGGCTTGATTTTACCCATGTGGGTTCGGACTTTATGTATATCAGAGGGTGGATAGTATGTATGACTTGCTTGTTGGCAGTGCATTGTTGAGCGTGTATGATTTGAGATGCTTGATGTGAGAATGATTGTGTGACATTCCGATAGCATTTACTACGTTTTAATCATGGTAGTATTGGTGGATATAATATATCAATAAAGTTGGAGGGTTGATTGTTGACATAAGCATGATACATACTTCGTAATACCTTTGGAAAAGCAGGTATTCCGGTGCCAGCTTAGCATGTATAGATAGAATATCAACGTTATATATCTTGCTAAATACTACGATATAGCCTCGAAAGCCAAACACATCTACCCACACCAATGCTAAACACGAGCAATATCAGGAGGAACATCTATTCCCTCCATGTGGTATACCTACGATATTATCATGGTTACAATCACACCACCAGACCATCAAGGCACGAAATATATATGCGCGATTTACACACATGTAGGCCTAACCCCTGCTAGATATAATAGCACAGATCTTTAACACACCGGTTCCCAGGCTTACCACGACTACTTTATCAAGCAAGGAGGGTCGAGGAAGTACTCTCGCACCTAGGTGAATAGATAAGTAGATAATGTAGGTAAGTACCTAGATAGATAAACGAGTAGGAAGAAAAACGCACGTGCCACCACCACCGTCCACGCACGAGACAAGACAATGGCGTCCGTCCCTGCAGCTCAAGGCAGCTAGCGAAGCACGCGCAGGTGGATGGCTCTGATTGATGAGTGATGTGGACATATGCGTAGATATACGTACACATATAGGGTTCTAGTGAAGGATGGAGGTGCGGTGTGGTTGCAGCATACTGTATTTGAAGAGCATGATGAGGGGGGATGGCAGATAAGGTACCGTACCTCAGGCAGTGATACGTTATCAAGTCTATCTTCGACATCTTGTTCAATCCTGCTACTTATCTTCTATCTATCTACGCATATAGATACCACCTAGTAAAATCCAGTTTGCCTAACAAGAACATTACCACCGCGTCATTTCCTACTCAGCACTAGGTCACCAAAAGGAAGCACTATCTAGGGACCTTGGTAGGTAGTGGTATCCGTGCTATGGATGGAGGGGTAAAAGCTAGACGAACCAGCTATGATCAGGGTTCGCAATGGCGCAATCCAGACAAGCCCTACCTAACGATTCCAAATCATCTGCAACGGGACGGGTGAACCGTTAATCTAACTGATTTTCCGTCTTGCAGTCTGCAGGACACTCTCTCCTACCTACTCCCGTACCTAGGTATCTACCTAGGTACCGGTAGACCGAGCCAACAACTACTACCTGCCTAGTAAGACTATTAGACTACGGCAATGCAAAGACCACCAACCGACCCAACGACCAAGCAGATTCACTAGTCAGCCATTAGATCCTTACCACAGGAACCTAGGAACGAGCAAGCGAAGATTGAACCGTCTCTCCTCCCGGAAGAAGTAAAGGCGTGCGCATCGTAATAAGAACCAATCATGATGGGCGGGCTGTAATTAGCGGGCTGGGAAAATTTCTTCTTCTGCCTTATTTTTATTAAAGTGTGATCTTATATTATCTTATATTATTTTCGAGGTTTTATTAGCTTTGTTTGAGGGGTGGAATTGATAGATTACGGAGTATTAACTATCTACCTGGGAGGTAAGGCAGTCTACCGGCGGAGTTGAGTCGAGGCTACAGGGCCATCCTATGGATGAACAGAATTATCCGCAAGGTAGGCAGCTAAGTGAAAAATGCAATATGAACACGGGCCAAGGTGAAAAAATAGGGAAAATGAAAAAAAAAAAAAAAAAAAAAGAAAGAGATCAACCGATGGACGGGGATCGACAGTAGTGTGATTGGTTCAGGGGCCGACCAGTCTGGTCTCGGAATGATGAAAGGGTGAATTTTCTACCTAGAGTAAGGACTAGACTAGTGGAACAGGTTTTTCATCTTTCCTTCCTTTCTGTAGTGGATGGTAACCTAGCCTTCTCAGGAGATGATATGATAGTTACATATGCAAATGTGGTCGAGGCAACGGTTTGGGTGTTTCTATTCTCGTCCGCATCAACTGGTGAGATCAGGATCAAGGCAGCCAGGCAGCTTGATAGAAGCGAGACCGCTGTCATGTGACATGTCGAGTGAACGGCGGAGGTTAATGCCAGATATTATAAGGCTGCTTCGGGGAGAATCTGTCTCGACTGATAAGTAGGTAATAATCAGGAGGAGGGAGAGGATGGTGGAACTAGGGTGGTTCGTGGCTACTAGCAGGGACACCAGTCGGACTAGTCGCTGGTAGTCAGTAGTTTACAGGATTGAGAGGGAGGGTAGGGTGAGTGGGGTCTACATCAGGGCGCTTTATCCAACAGGGTGTTATCTTTTTACCATTATTATTATTTATTTATTTATTTATATTTTTTTCAAATATATTATATGATTTATTTCTGTTTTTCCATCTCTTCTACTGCACAGTATGATTGGTGAGCACAAACACGATTATGAAACAGAAATTGAAGGGGGAAAAAGAAGAAAAAAAAAACCATCCAAATGGTGTGACATTTATTCTTCGAGGACAGATCCCAAGGTCAACATGGCTAGGCCATCGTATAATCTTATTAATCGGTTACCACCGTTAGGGTGGAGCATACTATCCTTTCCCTTTTTTTTCTTAATATTTCTTTTTGATTCCTGTCATTTTATAAATTTTTTTCAGGATGGACAATACTTAGGTAATTCCATCAGAATCAGAAGAAACGTCACCCTATCAATCCACCCGACACATTCCATCACGGATGTCAATCGAGGACTGGAATGCTGATGGAGGGGGTCATTCCCCCCTGGTTGGCCGGGGCAGGAAGCCTGGACGGTCACGAGTTGGCATCATTCACCAGGAAAGGTCATGGAGGGTCATCCAGACTAGTTGAATCTGGGATTTGATTAGTTGAGGAGGGTCATGCTGGGATCATGATTGTCTGCACATCTTTCCCTCGATGTCCTGTAATTAAAATTACTGGAGGATACTATGCTTGAGTGGGTTAGCCTTACTACCTAGTATTTAGTATTTACTACGTAGTAGTATGAGTATTTAGTATTGTCTGTACGGAGTAGCTACTAGCCAGAAAAGTCAGGTGGTCGTCCGGTTGTTCTTTTGCTGCTTGGTTGAGATCCTTTACGTATAGATAGATAGAGGGACAATTTGGTAAATAGATGGGTGTAATCGATACAGTAGGAGTAGATCGGACAGTCAGAGGCGTGAAGACCGAGTGATAGGTGAAAAGGAGGAAGAGGAAAAGAGGAGCCATGGATCCATGGACCATGGCTCATGGACCATGATCCATGATCCAGCACCCGCATCAGGGGGTCAAAGGGGCTGTTCCACAACCACGGTTAGAATCTGTCATCATTTATTTATTGATACTATCCGAATACGGGTCGATGGATTTTATATAGTTATCGGTTTCGTTTCGCATTGACTTCAACAGAATAGAAAGTACGATAGGGAGTCCTTCGTATGGTGATACTCGTATAAATCAATAATAATCGGACATAATTTAGGGACAACCGTTAATCTATCTGCATGAGAACCTTGAAATCTGGGTCACTAACAGTACTAGAGTCTACGGAGTAGTCGAGATAATATAAAATAATCTGACTCGAATATTCTGTACGTCGATTGGACGATCCAATTTCCCATCGGGCCAAACGTTGAAGAGTCGGATGGGAGCATGATCGTTACGGCCAAAGATACCTACCTAGTCTTGACTGGATGCAGGATCGTGTTCCGAGTCCGTCACCTGCATACCCTATACCAATCATTCAGGGTGGAGTTGTAGCTAATGAAAGAAATAGGGATCTATTTTCCCCGTAGTATCTACGGAGTATGGTAATAATTTGAACAAGAGTGGCACGAATAGAATAAAATAGAAGAAAAAAAAAAAAAAAAAAACCCCCCAAAAAAAGGAGTCAAGGAAAAGCCAGGTGGAGAGCTATACTTAAGAAACCAAGTGGAGTCACCAGAGTCTGTCTAGGCTGGCCGCCCTGCAGCTCCTTTCCCTCCTGGGACTTGCACACCCTTTTCCTTTCTCCTCTGCTTCCCCCCTGTTCTCTCGGGCCCGCTTTTCTTCCCTTCCTTTTTCTTCCGCTGCTTCCCTCCTGCTCTCTTCCTTCTCGCTTTTCTCTCTCTTCTTCTTCTCTCTTTCCCCTCAGTTCTCTACCTTTTCTGCAAACCATCACACCACCGTTCCGCGTGTTCTTTCTTTCTCTTCTTCCCCCCCTCCCCCTCTTCTTTCGTTGTGATACCCGAGTTCTTCTAAGAAGTCTCTTGTTTTCGTTGAGATACCCCCTTTAAGAGATACCCTACGCTTATTAACGAGGCCATTTTACTTGCGCTTCAACCTTATCAACTTTTTAATCAACCCTTTTTATAATTAACTACCTAATCATCCCCATTCATCATGTCCGACGTTCAGAAGCCTGTTGAGGAGACCCCCGTGGCTGCTCCTCCCGCCACTGAGACCCCCGCCGAGGCCCCGGCCACCGAGACTCCCGCCGAGGAGGCCCCCAAGGACGCCCCCGCCGACAACGCCGAGGCCGCTCCCGCTGAGGAGAAGAAGGAGGAGGGTGCCGCCGAGGAGGCCAAGGAGGAGGACAAGAAGGACGAGAAGAAGGAGGAGGTCACTCCCGCCACCGAGGCCACTCTGGGCTACAAGGCTCCCGGTCTCGTCAAGTACGTCACCAACAGTCGCGCGGATATATCGACCGCAGTAGGAACAGTGGACTGACTTATGTTTTAGGAGCCTGCGCTTCTCCAAGCGCTTCTTCTGGTTCAGCGACGACGCCGTCGAGGCCAAGCAGCTCTCCGTCTACCAGCAGCACGAGAAGCCCGCCGTGTCCAACGCCATCGTTGCTTGGGCCACCCAGACCGGCAAGGGTCTCGTCTTCTTCACCAAGCGCGCTGAGGACAAGGCTACCCCCGCTGGCATCTTCAACCTCGTATGTGATTCATCAACAGATGATGTGACTTGCGCACATACTGACATTTATCTAGGGCGAGGTCACCGATCTGGCCAAGGATGGCAGCAGCGAGATCGTCTTCAAGGTCAACGGCCAGAAGCACGCTCTCCAGGCCACCAGCGCCGCCGAGCGTGACAGCTTCTTCCTCGCCCTCGAGAACAAGGCCGCCGAGGCCAAGGCCGAGAAGGAAACCATCGTCGAGAGCGAGGGCTACAAGGCTCAGCTCGAGAAGCTGAGTATGTTGATCTATTCTTTGCATCAGAATCATGCTAATATCCCACAGCCAAGCCTGCCGTTGCCGCCAAGCCCGCTGAGAAGCCCGCCGAAGCCAAGGAGGAGGCCAAGGAGGAAGCCAAGGAAGAGGCCAAGGAGGAGCCCAAGGAGGAGGCCGCTCCCGCTGAGGAAACCAAGGAGAAGGCCACCAAGAGCCGCTCCCAGTCCCGCAAGCGCGCCAGCATCTTCGGCTCCCTGCTCGGCAAGAAGGAGGAGACCAAGGAGACCAAGGAGACCGAGGAGAAGAAGGAGGAGGCCAAGCCCGTCGAGGCCGCCACCGACGCTCCCGCCGAGCCTGCCGCTGCCACCGAGGCTGAGGGTATGTACCTCCACATCACTCCCCATCCCCAGATCCGTGCTAACGTGGTGCAGCCGCCGCTCCTGCTGAGACCGCTGAGAAGAAGGAGGAGACCACCGAGGAGAAGAAGGAGGAGGCCAAGGAGGAGAAGAAGGAGGAGAAGGCCGAGGCCCCCGCCGCCGCCCAGAAGTCCAAGCGTGCTTCCCTCTTCGGCGGCTTCTTCAGCAAGGTCGGCAGCCCCTCTCAGGAGAAGTCCGAGAAGGAGGCCACCGCCCCTGCCGACTCCACCGCTGTCGCCAGCACCGCCCCCCAACTGGACAACCCCGTGGAGGAGGCTGCCGTCAAGCCCATTGAGCCCGAGAGCGTCACCGCTCCCGCCGAGGGTGAGGCCGCCAAGGATGCCTCTCCCGCCCAGACCCCTGGTGCCGACAGCGCTGCCAAGGAGAAGCGCCGTACTTCCTTCTTCGGCAACTTCGGCAAGAAGAAGGCCGGCGAGTCCGACAACGAGGCTGCCGAGGCTGAGGCCAAGCCCAAGGGCAACAAGCTGGGCGGTCTCTTCCGCAAGCCCAGCAAGGCTGTCAAGTCCGAGAACAAGGAGGCTACCGCCACCGAGGCCGAGGCCAAGCCTGAGGCTCCCAAGGAGGCTCCCGTTGAGGAGTCCCCCGCTGAGGAGGCTGCCAAGCCCGCCGAGGCCCCCGCCACCGAGGAGTCCAAGCCCGCCAACGTCTCTTCCACCTCCACCCCCGTCCAGGCTGCCGCATGAAGTGCTCCCTCGGGACGCATCGTCGAGTATGAGAAGTGGTGGGACGACCCTGTTGTCTAGCCCTCCATACCGTCGAACTGTTTCTTGTCACGCGTGACCTCGCCAGAAAAAAAAAATCAACCCCCAAAAAAAATCAACCTAAAATGAAACTCGTTTGACATACTCCTTTGATCTTTCTTTCTTTTTATTTTCCTTGTTTTCTCTGCTTGAAGACCGCGGTCTTCCACTGTCACGTCTTTTGGCGGCCTTGCTCCGCAAGCGATTGCCAGGAGGGTGCCAACGATACCCTATGCTGCTTTGGCGGTCGTTTCCGGCCCGGACTATTTCCTTGCGTCTGGCGTCGCGTTTCGTTCCTTTATGATATCCCCAGTCCCGGGCCGCGGGTGCGTTCACGTCATGGGCCGACCAAACTAGATTGATACCACTTGTTTTATTTGTTTTGTGTTTTTGTACCGTCCGATGCTTTGTTTCACTTCTCTGGTTGATACCCGCATGGGAGGAAGGGCGCGCGGAGGGGAGGATTGTATCCTTCCCACTGGCCCCGGCCAGGGCATGTCGTTGATGAGCCATGTATCCATGGACAGCATCATAGGTAATAGTAATAGAATTGTTTGTATCGACTGATTACCCGTAGTTGAGTAGTCGTGTAGTAGTGTAGTCGTGTAGTCGGTGTAATGAGCGCCAATCGAGCGCATGGATCTGGATCTAGATCTGACGCGATCGATCGTAGGGAGTAACCTCTCTGCGAAATATCGGAAAAACAAAAGCCACATTCCTCCCTCGTACCTAGCTACAACCGGGTCCACCCGCCGAAGCAGCAATCACATGGGCGCGACAGAGCAAAGTAAAGTTTTCAATTTTCGTGGTCCCTGTACGGCCCATGGGTCCTCCCTTGACTGAGATTGACTTAGCCGTAGTATGGTTGCCTACGCTCACAACCACTCGTCATCGTCATCGTCATCATTATCACGATTGATTAGTTTGCTGAACTCAATTACTACATGATGGATACATGCGGATAGAACAGGATTAGTATTTACTGCTGTAGGTACGAGGGAACGTGAGGAGGGACGCGCAAAAAAAAAAAAAGAAAAGAAAGAAAGAAATGATCGATGGTGGTGGATGGCCACGCCCTTTGATGACACTAAGACTCGGACAGGAATAGTGTGGTTTGAGTCGGGGAATGGATCGGGCAGGTGATGAACGCCTCGACACCTTGGATTATAAATCCTAGTCAACTGGACCGGACTTGATTGAAGTCTTGTTTACGAGATTTATTGATTTCTTGATTTTGGTTATTTCAGTTTGCGCATTCATGTTCTTGGATACTGATGACGGAGAAGGTTGGAGGACCTACTACTGACCTATGGAGTAGAGTAGGCAGAAGATGAGGCTCTGCTGTAGACAACAGCTGCGCCCCCTTCAATAGTGCTTAAAGTATACACTCTCGCAGACGACTCCACCAATCACAAGACGGAATTCCACCAGCGGCTGGACGGTGCAGTGGACAGTGGACGTAATTGCCATTTTCAGACCCCGACCCAGGCCTACTGACACGGGGCTGTGGAAAAAATAGCTGACTGAAAGTCGTAAGCAGTCGGTAAAGTAAGCCGGTTGATGCCTGGGATTTCGGAATTGGGCCGGTGGAGGGGGTTTGATTGGTCAATGGGTACAGGACGGGGTCTGCAGGATTCGACGGAGGGAGGCCTGTCCGTGGGTGAAACGGCACTTCCCCCTCTTCTTCACTACCTAGGTACACTATCATGAGGTGGAAATTGGTTGATTGTTGCCTTGTTCTTCTACTAGGTAGGAGGTATTAGGTAGATTGTTATTACTCTAGGTAGACTTGAAGTAACCCCGTAATCCTTATATTCCGTAGGTAGAGATACACGAGTGTGGCCTGGAATGCCTGGCCCACTATACTGTAATCCCACCAATCATGTCCTGCACAGCTATGACTCACACCTGCTGACCGGCGTTCTACCCGACTAGTCCGCCTCTGGTTAGCCTCCCCAGGCGCCCCTCCAACACCCTCTGATTGGTCCGTTTGCACTGCCCCACCGGCGCACACATCCGGTTAAGAAGTGCCTGAGTCCCCCCCCGTCGCTGCCTGGCTTTCTTTTTCTTTCTTCCATCTTTTCCTCCCACAACCGATTTCAACCTCATCAACTCTTCTCTCATCACTTCTCATCACTTCAACCTCCCTTGCGGGCCTTAATCGTTCACTTTCACCATAAATTCTTGGCTTTCTACAGACTTTTCTCTTGATATCCGCCAAAATGCAATTCTAAATCCGCCCCGCGGACAGAATTCGTCTCTCTCCTCTGAGATAGACACGATAGATCCTCTTCGGACCTCGTCTTTCAATTTCTCCCCTCTTCCACCACCCCCAGAGTCTCCTGTCCCAGGACCTCTGAACTTCAGCCTCGATTCGAGTAGCTCAAGTTCTCTGAACACCATTCCCCCGTTCGACTTTACGTCGTCCACCACGGATCACTTCCAGCAACAATGGCCTCCAACGCCCCCGCCCACACAGCCTTTGGCTCCGCAGAATCCAGATTACAGTCCCAACAACAACAGCCCCAACGTCCCCTCCGAGGACTTTGTGCTATTCCCTGCTCAATCGACCGCTCGGGATCCTCGTCCGCAACCCCCTGCGAACGCTGCCCATAGACTCGCCGCCTATCAATCCTACCTGGTCCGTTCCGGGCACCTCCCTCGACGACACTCGACCTGTCTGCCCCAGCAGCAGTTCTCCCCCTCGCCTACTCAGGTACCTCAGGTGACCAGACTGGCCCCGCAGTCTACCGGCTTCCCTCTGTCCTCGTCTCTTCGGTCTAGTCCCTCCAGTCGCAAGCATCTTTTGCGTCTGCACGCTGCTGCTGTTGCCTCCAACACGGCGCCTGTAATCCACGCCAATCGTCCCCCAGTTCCTCTCTTCCACGACAGTTCCGTCAATTCCCCCTATCAGAATCAGCAAGAACAGCTCTCTCGACGTATCATGTCGGTTCCGAACATCGCCAACGGTAAGCATTGACCCGTGGACCATGTGTATAGGCTCTCATAACTAACGTTCACCAGACATGCCTGAACTCTTCGATTTCTCCGAGCACTTCGAGGACTTCGACTCCACTATGCTTTCCCCTCACCAGCTCCACACCGGCATCCTGCCGGCCAAGGATGGCGCCCCCACGGGCACCATCTCGCCCAAGGATCTGCTGATGGACGCTTCGGCTCCGCCGTCAGCCTCCTTCACCGATCTCAGCACCCCCTCCTTTGACTCGCCTGGCTATTTCAGCCAGGACACCTCGCCCATGTTCGCCACGGACATGGAGCTAGGCCCGGGTCACGAGGAGTGGGACTCGCTGTTCCCGGCCCAGGATGGTTTCCCCCTCGCTTTTGACTCCAAGGCCTTCGACCCGGCCACGCTGGACGTCGCTGCGGCTCTCGCGCAACCGACCACGGATGTCCCCCCAGCATCCCCGGCTGTGCGATCCGTCGCGTCCCCTGCGCCCTCCGCTTCCCCTAACCGGGTCACCAAGCCTTCTTCCCTCTCCGGCATCAACGGCCGTCAGCGCAAGCCCCTCTCTCCCCTCAAGTTCGACACGACCGACCCGGTCGCCGCGAAGCGTGCTCGCAACACGGAAGCCGCTCGCAAGTCGCGCGCTCGCAAGCTCGAGCGCCAGGGAGGGATGGAGAAGCGCATCGCCGAGCTGGAGAAGTCTCTCGAGGAGGCCCAACAGCGCGAGCAGTACTGGAAAGCCCTTGCCCAGAGTAAGGCATAAAGAAAACGCAAAACCTTCAAAAAAAAAATGCTATGATACCTCCACACGGCTGTTCTTGATTCTTTCTGCCTGGTCCTGTTTTGTGTTTGGTTTGGTCCTGTTGGCGGGGGCCTTGTTGAGGCCCCTGTCCTGTTGTCGACTACAATGTCGACAGGACAAGAAAAGTTTCCTTATCCTTATTCTTACCTGTTCTTCTATTTCTTATCTTCTATCTTCTACTATTGCTTTGTCTCTATTATTATTGATGTATTCAATGGTTTCATTTCTTTTATTCCCTATTCTGTGATGACTACCTGGTGAGCGTCACAGTCCGGAATTCGTTATTATTATGGTTGGTTATGGTATGGTTAATGGTCGGTTCTGATGTCTCCTACTATATTATACTATGGTGGGATTGACTCGTGGCCACGATGAGATTGTTTTCATTATTAGTTTGTCTATTAAATTGATTTGCCAAATTGCTTTACTTACTTGACTTGCCTTTCCTGTAGCCGTAGTAGTAGTTGTACGTATGCCACTACAGACATGATTTTCTAGAACTGCAAATGCTCTTGGCATGATAAGGACTATTAGTTCCCTTTCATCTTTTTTTCTGACTGTTCACTGGCGCTGCTCTAGGTGTGTTAGTCTATACAGGTTAGAAATACAACTCTAGATATCATAGTACACCTAGTCACTAAGTCCTGCAGCTTATATCTTAGATAATTATTAACATGAGAGGTAAAACACGGCAGGCCTGTAACTATTAATAACAATATTATAGGCAGTTGCTGGCATTCCTCTTGGGATATATCACATATACTATTACAGGAAACTTGAACATGGTATTAAGAATCTAGTCTTAAATTCCGACTTTCCTAAGTTTAGTTACATGGGCCTAGTACTTCTATTATAGCAAGATAAGGTCTCTTTTCAGAACTGTTGTTATTTAACATAATGTACTTAACTCCGGTAGAAGCACTTGTTCATGACATGTATCACTATAATAACACTACTAGTAACTCGTGGGGCCCGGTGTAGAGTGTATTATCAGTTTGGATTATATTGGCAAATCCCAACCGCCTCTCCAGTCGGAAAGGTGCCCTGCATTTGATCTGAAATATATAAATTATAAAGTGAATCAATAACTGCCATTGTTCAACTTACTTGGATGGGACTTCTCGCACCCCGGACGAAGAAAAGACAGAGCCCAGAATGTACCATTCGTGTTTGGCAAACTCTCCATGATGTCTAGATCTTCTTCTAGGCGCTTGATTGTTTTGCCATGAATAGCCCAGATCCTCTTTTTCTCAGGGAGGATGAAATCGCCCTTGGATTTCTCTTCCTCTCCTTGCAATAGGCTTCACACTATCATTCGACATCTTTTGTCCCCCATTCCTCGTCGATACCCATGGTGAGGTCTCGATAGGTAGGCGCGTTGATCACGAGCGGATCGACCACTTTCTTATTCTGGACAGGGGACGTCTTGGCTCTTCCGTTGTCAGGGCAAGTCAAACTAACCAGTCAGCTATTGATAGTTCCCCTTCGTGCTGCACCAAATCAAAACCGGGGGCGGATTACTTACAATATGACAATCACTGCATCAGAATACTGATTAAATGACCCTAATGACGCATCGCCGTCCATCGCGAGGCAAGCAAGCCTGTCGGAGTGTAGACTGCTCATTACGGGAGACAAGGCCCGCGCTTTCCTCGAAAAGATTCTCTACCGAGCCTTGTACTCTATGCGAGGGGATAGATTTACGGCTGATGTCGTGGCTCCATATGTGCACATCGGGATCAATATACCAGCTTCAATGTTCTGCCACACCTGACGCACTCTTTGGTCTGTCGAGCATTCATCAACATCCTCAGCGAGCCCCACTAACTACCCAGCCCCCCCAAACTCTTCTGTCTTCAACTATTCCTTCTTGTACATAGACATAATTCTTTGATCATGATACGCTGCCATAACAGCGTGGGTTTAGACTGTCCTTGTTTCATCATAATAAGTGTGACCCTATTAGTTCGGAGCTTCTGAATAAGAATATTTCCCAAATACTGATGATAAAGCTATGTGGAGGAGAATTGCCATATAGATCTGTGTAGCTTTGAATGGAACTCATGGATAACCTCGAACCCAGCTACAAAAAGTTGTAGCGACTGTCAAGCGGAATCTGACATCTGATAGGATGTAGGATGGCATCTGTATGTGACAAACATCAGACATCAGACCCACTGAACATGCGTCTCCCTCTCGGTTGCATGTAAACGCGGCTGATAGGCCGCGGATAGATCAATAAGAAAACATGCTTGGGCGCAGATCTCTCAGCCCGGTGATTGCGTGATTTGCAAGCTTTGAGGAGTTCATGCCGCTTGCTCTGTGGGGCATTGTTTAAAATGCTTTGGACCTTACCTGACTGGGAGACATGGGCATACACTCGTGCCAGTTATAGAGTACAGACGCAGGAAGATGGCGGACAGCAAAGCGAGAGCTGCTGGGGCAACAGGGATACTGTTCAGCTTTTCAGGTACCCTAGCCGCTGTCATTATGGCTGGATGATTCTACGTCACCGATCATCAAATAGCAATTGGCCAGCGAATGTCAGGACCCCTCAGTCCTACCAACAAGCCAAGGGCGCAGCCAGCCACAGCTGTTAGCCCCATTCCCACAGCCTCATTTTTCTCAATGATGTAAATCATTACTAGATTAAGTACTTTGCACATGAAGACATGACCAATTAATAGCGGTAGAGACAGTAAGCTCACAAAAGCAATGAGTATATTGACCTCTCACTCATTACGGAGACAAATTCGAATGAACAAACATGATCAATGATTGGCATATGGGTAAGGAAGACTCAATGGTCAACCAGTCAGATCAACACATATTGATATCAAACCCCAAGCCCATCAGCTACGCCATCCACGTGTAATCCCAACTAGATGTTGTCATTCGACAAGGTATGACGCTGCGCACTATCCCCCGAGGTCGCCTGAAAGGCCCTGGAGACGGTGTCGGTAAAACGGCCCCCTGTAAAGAGAAGCCCCGTTACGTGGCCCATCATTTGGCCATGGGTGATTATTCCAGCACGCAGTGCATCCTGCACCAACCGGAAAACTCCATGAGTTTTCAGCGCTCGTTTCATGCGTCCTGTCCTTGGGTTAGATTTGTACCCAGACACCACGGGAAGGAGGAACTTTGTGAAAAACAGGGGAGCAAAGAAGAAAAAAGCCAAAAAAAAAAGGATAGACTGACGACTCATTGCCCAGCTGGCAGGGCGGTCGACCTTGACGGTGTATGTCTGAATAGAACTCGTAGAAAAGGTGGCCTTGAGGGAGATTTCGTGTCCCAGGCTAGAGGCCGTGTAGACGCTTCGCGCTTGAAATTTGACCCTTCTGTTTTGTTGTTTTTGGTGCTTGCCTTTCATTGAACCTTCGGTGTTCTCATCTTGATCCATCCTGTGTCACTAGTGTCACGCTGCGTGTTCTGACCAAATGTGATGCGTACCTCTGTCCTCATCGGAGTCGGTGTCAAATCCCGAGTCGGACGAATCATAATAATATCCGTATTCATCCCACAACTTGTCATTACCTGCATCACTTTTCGCCGGCTCTGGTACTCTCAGTCCGTCTAGGAGTCCCAAGGCTTTGGGGTCCTCTACTCGGTCGTCAGAGTCGGGACTTGGACAAATGCACCGTAGCAGAATGGTCTTACTATATATAATGACCCCTTTCATGAAGCAATCGTTGGCAGAGTAAGCAATGACGAAAAAGACATCCACAAATCCAATCAGTCGAATTTTTCCTGGCCAGTTCTCCCCGTTGACGGTGATTTCCCACGGATGAACATCACTGCTCCTGATTAGCCGGCACTCCTCCAGGGACTAGGTGTCTCCCACCAGTTGCACTCCAAGGTCTTGTCGTTGACGGACCGGCCGAACGCTGCTAGGACACGATGATAGGATAGCATGGCGCTGAAGTGTTGCAGACACTGATAGTGCTAGATATTCTCTTTGATATGAAGAAGCAGAGCAGACGGCAGGTAGGGATTTATACCATCAACGGCGCGGTAGTGGGAGCTGTGAACAGGATGGAAAGAAGGCCTTGCGAACTACGTTCATTATCCCCGTACTTTTTACTTCCTTCTCCCCTGCTGTTATTATTTGCTTTTATTTCTTGCTTGGGCACCAATGCAGTGACGCTTTACCTAATTTGTAGGCTACATTGGTTGTGGGGGGGGGGGGGAGGAGGGTCAGAAAAAAGAAGAAGGGTGGGTATACCCTGCTCACTCAAATCCACCTCGCCACTCTGCAAGCTAGACACCATCGGGTTTATAAGATGGGTTTGTCTTTCAAGTATAGACCTAGATTTGTATAAGCCTTTTACATTCCCGTGCCACCAATACCCGCTGTTGAGCACACACTTGTTTATATCATCTCCCAAGACTATCATCGATACGCGCAAGATGCAAGTCCAGCAAAAGACGTCGAAACTCAACCCTACTCACCGGCTCGTGGAGGAGGTGAAAAGGTCGACTGGCTATAGGGAGCTCACCGAGGCCGTGAATTTTGCCTCGAGCGAGTTCGCCGATATTGGGAAGGTGATGAAAGATAAGGATCTTGCAGACAAACTCTACCATTTCATAGCGTACCATGTTGCTCCCACCGCCCACTCTAATTTCCAAATTTTCAACAATGCCAAGCTGAATTCGTGGAAAGACGCCGATATCCCAGAAGCACAGAAGTGGCTGGCAATTCCAGAAGAGGATCGAAGTGTTCCTATCCGGATGATCGATCTGTCCACGGGCAACTTAGTCGATACCAAGATCTATGGGCCCATGGACCAGTACTGCATTCTCTCTCACAGTTGGAAGGGACAAGAGATTGACTATGACTTCTTCGCCCGGGCAAAGAGGTCAAACGAACGGCTCGAATCGACATTCGGTGACGTTGGAGCTGTTGAAAGTATAGCAGAGAACGGGGCTTCCAAGCCCAAAACGACGCTGCATGAATTGATCGAAAATTCGAGCGAGTGCAAGAACCTCAACATCTACACCGTGGAGGACATGCTGAAGATCCACTTTGAATCGCAGAAGATGGAGAAAGACTGTATATCCGCAGACAAGAAGGTCCGACAAGCCATCGATCTCTGTACCAGTGCCACATGGGAGACAGAGCATTACCGGACTTACGTGGCGGAGTTGCACGTGGGGCAGTCCAACAGCAGTGAAATCGAAGGAGCTCAGATTTCCCTAGCGGTAAAAAAGAAGCTTGATGGCGAAATCACCCGACTGTATGAGGACGCCAAAACAAACGCAAGAAACTGTGAAAATGAAAGAAAGATGGCTCACAGTACCCTCGAAGAGCACCAAGCGCGAACCAGTCTGCTTATGAGTGACACCAAAATCATGTACGCCATCGATGATTTATTAGAAGCCTTATATTATCGCAAATCTGCCAAGAAGTTGTCGGGCGCCGTGGACCAGGCAAAGGATATCTTCAGAAAGAAACCATTCGCTCAAACCAGAAAGCGCTACCTGTGGCTGGATAACTGCTGCATCAATAAGCCCAACGGGGCTGAACTCACCGAGTCGCTGGCGCGGATGGGAGAGTGGTATGCCAACGCGGACTTTTGTCTGGTTCATGTGGACACATCACCCAATGACGACGAATGGGTCCAGGAGAGCAAAAGTGTACCTCTGCTAGACCCGGATCAGGGGAACCAAACACAGAGCAAGAACATGGATGAAAACCTCGATGAGAAACCAAAACCCACGGATGAAAACCTGGATGAGAAACCAAAACCCAACTTCGACGATCTTATCACGATTGTTCGAGAGAATAAGAAAATCCATTGGGCAACACGTGGCTGGACCCTACAGGAGCTTGTCTTGAGCCGAGTGACGTACTACTTCAACTCCAATTACAAGTCACTGGAAAGAGATGTTGATTCTCTGGGGCCCTATTATTACCTTGCTCCGTTTATCAAGCAATACCTCAGCCTCTCCTGGGTGAAACACGACAGCTCTGACCAGAGCGTGAAGGCAGAGCAATTTAATAAAGATACGGCCAACGACTTCATAAAGGAATTCCAGAGGCTGAGGCTGGATCTCCCCCGAGAGATTGACAAGAGAACGGCTGCAGCCCAGATTGGAAGGATGGTATATGTAGCCGCGACAACCAACGATTCAACATCCAAGACACTCGACGAGAATGGCCAGAAATCGGACGATCGGGATAAAAAAATCAACTGGATCAATAACCTGTTGTCCAAATTCGTGGGTAAGGTGGACGCCGCAATTACGAAGGATCGGGAGTATGTCCAGCAAATTGGTCGGATCAGTCGACTCGCAAACTGGACTGATGGGTCCGAGCCTCTGAATGCATCAGCACGAAGCATCCTGAACATGGCATCCGAACGGGATGTGGCCGTCCCAATTGACCAGGTCTATTCACTCATGGGTATTCTTGGGGTCCGGTTCCCCGTGTTCCCCGCGGAGGGGCCCCAAAGAGCCCTATGCCGGTTGCTTGATGAGGTAGTCATTACATCAAGTGATGTGTCAGTGTTCAACTGGAGTGGCAGGAAATCCGGTAGCTCCATTCGAGGGCGTTCACTGTACCCCCGGAACATTGAGGCTTTTCAGAGTCTCATGGATAACCCCAGCCTCCAGGCCCAAGCGACGATCAGTCAAGGAATCATCAGACTGTTCCAGAATGAACGCTACCACAAAGCAAAACGTGCGGATGCGATAAACAGGTGTCTCGACAGTATAGTTCAGCGGACAAATGCGGTGAAGAAGAAGGATGAAATGCTTGCCCCCTTGAAAGAACTTGTCGAGGCCATCTCGGAGAAAGGTTTTGATTGCGTCGCAAAACACTTGATCGAGCTAAATAAGGCGGTGAAAGATCTAGAAGGGGTTGTAGAAAGGGAGAGGAATGACAAGGAGTTACGAAAGCAGGCTCGGCGAGCGAAAAACAACCCCCCAAGCCAGACAGGCTTTGCCTATGAGACTGCTGATGCCATCATGAATTACAAGGTGTCAGATGCGCTTCACGTGCCTACTTTACCCTCGTTGGGGCTAGGGTGGAAGAAGGAAAAGCCCAGCCAGGATAAGATGAAGCCGGAAACCACTGAACAAGCTGCTGGCAGGGTACCTACAGAGGACCCTGAGCCCACTACGCCGCTTCTGGCCCAGTCTCAGGTCAACAAGATGAATATCACAGAGACAGATACCACAGAAAAGCAGAAAAAAGATCAGACAACAGACATACTAGCCTCTCAGCCAGACCCCAAGGCCAGGGAGCAAAAGCAGGAAGCATTCTATGTACCTAATTTCTCCTCATTTGGGCTAGGATGGAAGAAGGGAAAGCCCAGCAAGGATAAGATGAAGCCAGAAACTACTGAACAAGCTGCTGGCAGGGTATCTACAGAGGACTCTGAACCCACCACGCCGCCTCTGGCCCAATCTCAGGTCAAAGATCCAAAAAACAAGGACAACAAGGTGGATATTACAGAGACAGATATCACAGAAAAGCAGAAACAAGATCAGACAACAGACACACCAACCCCTCAGCCAGACCCCGAGGCCAGGGAGCGAGAGTGGGAGAAGCTCAAGGAAGCAGTTGAGGAGCTGACCACTAAAATCAGGTCCGACTACCGGGGTGATAAGGCTGATTCTGCCCTTGATCATGGCACTGAGGATCAGACACTGGCAGAAAAGGATGCACAAGAACACGCCTCAGGAAGCAACAGTTCAGATACCAAGATGGTGTGCCCAAACCCCATTATTGTTACCTCTGCGGGTATCCGGGGCGTCTTTGATATACAGCGGGTGGTGATTGGTATGCAGCAGCGGAACATTCTCCGGACCAAACTTCACAATGCTGTCCCTGGGCAACGGATTGAGGGCTCCTGCACCATCAGTACCGGGTTCAGCCTTATGCTCGTCAAGTTCACGTGTGAGAGGGAAATCTTGGAACAGCAACTAGATGTTACCGATGTGATCGACAGGCAGCTTTCTCAGAAGCTCAACAGCAAAGATGACATCTCGTATCCGAGTGAACCCAAGAACGATGCATCTCAAAATCCAGAGAACATATCCCATGGCGAGAACCCGAAGGCTACCGGGGAAGCGGCCACGGATGAGAAACACACAATGGAGAAAGCACCAGAGGCTAAGAAAGACAACGACCCGAAGGACCGGGGCCGAGAAGGAGAAGACACCAGCGAGAATGAAGAACAGGCATACGGAGACAAATGGAACCAGGGGCAACAACGCGTCCACCGGATCATCAAACTCGTCCAGGAAGACGATCTGCATGCAGTCGCGGGTGAATGGGTCCTGGCTCGTTTTTCAGATGTCGTGGGCGCGGACTGGTTCCTCTGCCGTCTTGAACTTGGCTCCGCCAATGACTTCTATGCTCGCCGAATCCCCACAGATGCTATCAATTTCCGCGACGCAGTACCCGAGTCAGGGCTTGTTGACCACTGGCAAGCATACATGACGGAACATAAGAACCTCATGTGTGAATATCTTAGCATGTTCCTCCAGAGCCAGATGAAATTCCAGTCGATGAATGAGCGGTTAGAATCCTGGTTGCCATTTGATGGGCAAGGTGATGAGACCAGTCCATCCAAGATGGCGCTGTTTCAAGCAATACGCCAAGGGGTTTCTGGGGTTAAATACGAGGCCATGGCCAGATATCTCAAGGGGATCATGGAAGATGAGGCCATCCGATCTGTGCCTACCAAGTTGCGTCCAGCGGTCCGGAAGATGAAGAAAGGTGGTATTCTCTTTCCTATGATGTATCACCCATCGAAACATGTCCACATGTTCTGATGTGTTGCATTGTCCATATATGGGGTTCGGATGTAAGGCAACTAGATAGGAAATGGTACGTCTTACCAGAGATTATTATCTTCCAGAACCCATTACATTGTTTGGAACACCAGTAGGTAAAACATGACTAGAACTAACCACACTCTGGGGTTACAACAACTTCAAACTTTGGAGTATAGTAAATAAATAACCACTGATTCTATAACTATGATTAGAATTTCTCTACCTCTAGTAGTTCTTGTAGAAGAGTAGATTAAAAATGATGACTTTTTACCAGGGTGGGCAATGGCCAGGTCAGGCCAGGGTTAGGACCCTCACCTTAAGTTGACCGCCGGTAAACGGTTAGGTTAGACCCTCCATATATACCTGACCGCGGTATAGAAAAAATGGCGACGGTTAACCGTTTTAACTGATCTTAGTGCCAAGAGACTCCCACGGGGATTGTCTTTGTGACACCTCAATATGTCAGGCTCAGTCATCATACCGCACATAGATCGCTGTAAAATGCATAGATCTCCACCTTTGTTGGCCGCTGGAGGGCACCTGACGGCTTTGAAGGGTTACTGCATGGAAGCGCCTGGACTCGTCTGGCATGAGTCACGGTTTGGGGAGCGCTTGCGCGCGAAAAGGTAGCTTTCGGCATGGTATTGCTATGTGTAGGTGGATGGGGGACCAGACCTGGGAAAAATCCACGGGTTGGATGAGGAGGTAAAAGACTGGGTTTTAAGGATCCACTGCCGGGCAAAGGCGAGGGTGATCTCGTTGGCATCAAAGCAAATCCGCCTTGCTAGCCAGATACAGATGGACCGAGGCAGATCAAGAACAGCTGGCTTACTCAGTGCACTCACCCCTTGCTCAATGATCGCCTCAGGCCGCTCAGGGCGTGCTCGGATCTACTCAGAGAGCCAAAAGCGGCGAGGGGTGAGCACTAAAACAGAAAGAGAAAGCCTTCAAGCTGTCGAAAAAATGAAGTATGTATGTTCGCGTAGATTGTAATGTAATCCCTGCTGAATTTAGTTCACATTCACAACATGCATGAATAGTAAGTGGGTAGTATGTAGTATTCTTTGCAGCTTGCATCCACTAGACCCTCCTTTCTTTCATCCTCTTTAAAGAATAGAACCAAGAAACTACAACCCATAAACAACGTAGACAGTGCATGCATGCATGCATGCATGCATGATATACAGAGTTCAGGTGCATAAAAGTGTATAAACCCAACCCAACCAACATCCAAACCAACAACACAAGCTCAGACTTGCCTTTACAGTCTTCACCGTCCAGTCCCCCCTCTGAACCTGCCCTCTCCCTCATCACCACGACTAACTCCCACTCAATCCAACCGCGCAAATCTCACGACCAACCCGTGCGTGAGACCCACCCTTATCCCCCCATTCCCCGAGCCCTCTCCCGCCCTTAACCATCACCTGCACATAGCAAACAAGCAAACCATCAAACAGCCAGGAAACATGACGACTCATGCCGGAGACTCAGACACGTGGAGTGGGAGACGAGACGAGCGAGCGAGTAGGTAGATAACCATCCTTATATTGCTCGCACCTCCTTTTCTTCCTCCTTGTCCAGCCTTGGTTTCACCCTCCCGCTTCGATGGACGATGCAGGGAGGAAGAAAGGAACAAGGTTGGAGAGTGGGAGGGAGAAGGTGGATGGAAGTAAGGCGGCTGCTTACTTACTTGCTTGGTTGCTTGCTTGTGACCCGCGTGAATGAGCGTTTTCTTATCCATTTGGATAGAAAGGCTGGTTGTCTTGGCTGCTTGGGTTGGATTGTATGTATGGTAGGGTGGTGGGTTGAGTAGGGGAGGTGTGAGGAATGGGGGAGTTGTGGTGGTGGCGGAGGATGAGAGGAGAGAGGAGGTGGGGAAGGGAGGGAGGTGTGCGATGGAGGGGGGTGGATTCAGAAGTATCTGATCTAGTTTTGTCATCATCGCGAGTGGAGTGGAGGCTTGGGTTGAGATGGGTTTATGTATGGTATGGTGTGGGAGGTAATGTGTGGAGATGTACTGTGGAGTGTGGACAGTGGGTATAGTAAGAAATGTAAGGATGGATATTGTCTTTTTTTCTTTTTTTTTTGTTTTTTTTCGATCAATCCAATGAATCTGTCCCTTTCACTCTACCTTTTTCCATCTTGGCCGTACGTGCCCCGAACTGAATGGCTCGTTTCTTCTCTCGTGCCACTTGCGGCATACCCAGTCGCTGGGCTACCAGACGGAGAGCCCGCTTTTCACAATCGAGGGCAGTGGACGTGTCCGTCTCCGTATCAGGCATCCCGAAGCCGCATCTCTCCCACACAGGGAGTTGCACAACCCACGAGACGAACTCTTCATCCAGATACGGGAACCTCGCCTCTCGACCCCAGTGCGCGATGACGCGATTATCGCGGCCGAGATTGCGCTTGCCGAGACGGCTCACATCAAGGTCGATCTCTTCGACGAGACCTTCGAACCCGCTCCGTGAAAACGCCACGCCGTGTCTTCCGTACCCTGCGAACAGCTCGTCCGCCCCCAGTCCGGATAGGAGCACCCGGGCAGGTGACGTATACGGTACTGGTGTCGTGTCCGCGTGATCAAGCACAGTGCCTTGTCCACGTGAGGCGAAGTATAGGGCGCACGAGATCGACAGATCCATTTCGGTGTTGTGCGGCCTCATGAGCCGTTTCACCGTCTCGCGGTGTGCGACTGTCTCGGCGTAGGGTACGTCAATGGCCACGAATCGCCATTGCCGGTCTGGGCAGACCTTTTGCAATTCTGCAAGTGCAGAGCGTCCGGTCATCCGGTCTGGGCAGTTTTCGTACACAGAGCCTGGTGCCGGCGCTTTCCCTTTCGCTGCTGCTACAGCGGCTGCGGCAACACGGGGATTCTCGAATGCGACATTCAAAAGATCGATCGCTGCATTGCTTGGGAGGATCTCGTGGCATAGTCTGGCCAGCAACGTGCAGTCGAGGCCGCCAGAAAACAGAACGGCAATCTTCGCGTTGTCCTCTGGTTTCATCATGGGTGGCTCTCGGACATTCTCCACCCGTAATGAGAGCGCTTGAAGGAGCTTCTGCTCGAGGGTTGTGATGCAGACAGAGTCTGTTGTTAATGGAGGCGGGGGCCCTTCCGGGATTGTCTTGTTCATTGGAGGGATTGGGTTTCTCTATTTAACCGTTAATATGGGCCACACGTACAAAGAAAGAAAGAAAAGAAAAAGAAGAAGAATAACATACAAGCTGACCTGTGGAAGCAGAACCCCATGGAAGAATCTGTATGCTGTCAATGTTAAAACATACGTCGCTGTCGCTCAACTCAGGAGTTTCCAGGACAGTGCGCGTAAAGTCAATCATGTACACTCCATCCGACCCAACTTCCTCCAAATGGGTGGCAGAACTGCTGTCACAGAGACTGCATAATTTAAAATTCCCATTTTCATCAACACCTTGAAGCAAGGAACGTCTTCCTAGACAGTCTCTGCTGAAGAAAACCCTTGAATTTACTGCATCATAGAACACGAAGGCAAATGGTCCAGAGACACTACTTATCACGTCCTGGAGTCGACAAACCGCATCTTGCGAATCAGTTTGTCCTGGACGAGGCTGTACTGCCTCCAGAAAGAGCTTGAAGATAAGCTCAGTGTCATTACCCTGGATGGGATTTCCTGCTATTTTCCAAGCGTCTCCATTCCAGCAGAGAACGGACTGCGTCGCAGCATCCACTAGAGGTTGGGACACCACATGGTCGCCTCTCATAGACAAAACTGTGGAAACAAAAGTCAGATGCACAGCCACTAATCCAGCTGTGCTGGATTTGGCATTTTGTGCGACTTGATGGACTTGGAAGTTGTCCGGTCCTCGGTTCCGTAATAAGTTGCAGGTCTCCTTGTTGGGCAATATAGGTTCGGATGAGCCGAGAGAGAAGAAAATGCCACACATAGCCGTTGAACGTTGTGGCAGCTTCTCCTCCGAGGAAGAACGAGTGTTTGGAGTAAATAGAAAGAAAGTGCTGAGGTAACGAAGATATCGAGGCCGGTCCGGGGGAAGGATGATCCGTCGGACTGCGGGACCTGGACTCGGCGTCGTCGTCTCCAATGATCCCCATAGTTTCCACTGGTTGAGGTTGTCTACTCGCAGCTAGAGCTCCAATCTCTACGTCTTCCACCACCGATTCCACTACCTCCCTTGCGACAGGAGACTTCTGTCTCACGTGGAGATTTCAATACAGGGAAATACTCCGTCGCTCCGAATATCGCGAAATCCCGACCCCCGTCTGTTGTCGCCGTGCATAGCCTCACCATGCTCCATGCTCCCCTCTGAATTTCGCCGACTCCTGTGATTCTTTTATAATACTTGACGCTCCTGTGGGTAGCATATGTCTGCCTCAGGACTTCCAGATCCCCATTCTCCCAGCGGACAAGGGGACATACAGCAACAGATTCCCCGCGATGAGGGGAATCAATCGGAGGTGCAAGTGACACCGGCGTCAGACGTGAAACCCTTGGCGGACAATCAGGATGCGCTACAAACTGAGACCAAGATGGAGTCTCCAGGCGATTCGCGGGATACCGTCGCAGAAACCTCGTCTCCCGCCCCGGCACCACCTGGCCCCGAACCAACAAAGCAGGAATCGCTGCCGGGACGCATGAAAGGACTGTCAATCTCAACCGGTACAACAGATCCGGCCTCGCCTTCCGTCTCCGAAGCTCCTCCCCCGCCACCAGAGAAAGACGAGGCCTATCTTAACCCGAACTCGCAGTCCGCAATGCCCCCGCAATCTCCGACCAAACCTTCCTCCGAGTGGACCGAAAAAGAATTACCCGATGTCCCCGGAAAAGGCACTGACGAGAAGGGTACCAAGAAAGCGGAGAGCGGCCAGGACGATGATTCGCAGCCCGAAATACAGCACATCATGGAACAGTTCCGGGACTCTTTAAATGGCGATGGTCAGGAACAGATAATGTCGCCCCGGTTAGAGCTGGCGGAGCAGTTTCTCAGTGGCGCGACTCACTTTCCTCCCCGTCATTCAAGCTTGGATCAGCACAAGTCATCTGCCGAGAGCGCCCAGAGTTCCGATGCTGCTCAAGCAGCGTCACATTTGCCCGAGAAGCAGCGCCCGTCGATATCAAAGAGCCTCCCCAAGTCTCCTCCCGCCGACGAAGCGTCGACGCGGCGATCTTCTACGTCAACTGTTCCTCCGCTGCCAGAACCTGAACCCGACCAGCCATTCGATTTTCATCGATTTCTCGAGCAGCTACGGCATCGCACGGCGGACCCTGTGGCCAAATTCTTGCGCTCTTTCCTCCATGAGTTTGGGAAACGACCGTGGATGGTCCACGAACAGGTCAAGATTATCAGCGACTTCCTGACTTTCATCACCAACAAGATGGCACTCTGTGAAGTCTGGCGCCATACCTCTGATAGCGAGTTTGACAATGCCAAGGAAGGCATGGAGAAACTCGTAATGAATAGATTGTATTCCCAGACCTTCTCGCCGGCGATACCGGGTCCGCCAGCAATTCCCAGAAGCGCCAGCAGGAGTAAGCGAAGAGAGATGGAAAGGCTCCATGGCCCGTGGAGACGGGGTCAGCACCAGGAAGACATCGAACGGGATGATGTGCTGGCTCAAAAGATGCGAATATACAGCTGGGTCAAGGAGGAGCATCTGGACATTCTGCCAGTGAGAGCCAGCGGGCATCGATTCTTGAATCTCGCTCAACAAGGTCAGTACCTTTGTCCGTTTGCACATCAGCTCTAACGACGACGCAGAGCTTTTGAAAATCAACGGCTACCGGGCCCCTCGCGATAAGGTTATCTGTATCTTAAATTGCTGCAAGGTCATTTTTGGTGAGTAGAAGTGCTGGAGGTCAAATTGGCTGGTCGCTAACTTTATCAGGTCTGTTGAGAAACACAAAGAAGGGCGATACATCGGCCGATTCTTTTATACCCTTATTAATTTACGTGGTTCTCAAGGCGAACCCAAATCACCTTGTCTCTAATATACAATACATCCTTCGATTCCGCAACCAGGACAAACTGACAGGGGAGGCTGGCTATTACCTATCGTCACTGGTAAGTACCACGTGGAACCATTGTTAGAAATGACTACTGACCGCATGCTTCAAGTCTGGCGCTATCTCTTTCATCGAGGGGCTTGACCGCACGAGTCTCACGGTGGACGATGAGGAGTTTGAGCGAAACGTCGAGGCAGCAGTCTCCGCAATTGCCGAGCAAAACCGCGAGTCTGAATCCCTGGAGCGCAAACCGAGCAGCCGCTCAGCCGAGACTTCGCAGCCCCCCTCACGAGCGTCGACTGAGGCCCCTCGGGGCCGAAGAGGGGCCCCGCAGTCCAGCGAGGAGGACAACGCACCAGTCGCGGGCCTCCTACGCACCATCCAAAAGCCCTTGACCACCATCGGGAAGATTTTCTCCGACGAGCCAGATTCCCCGGAGGAGCGGCCAACGCAGCCTGTAGCACCTGCCCAGTCTGGAGCAACACGCCTGAATCCCAACGTGTATCAACCCCCGCGCAATAGTGGTGAAGAATCTCGGGGTGGAAATGCAGCCCAAGCACGGAATATCGACGCCCAGGATACTGCAGCCCGCCAAGCTAGCGCCGAGGATGCAGAGGCACGAAGGATCCAGCGAGCCGAGCACATAAATGTGGTTGAGACGCTGTCGAACATGTTCCCCAACCTTGACCGCGACGTCATCGACGACGTTGTGAAGATGAAAGAGGGAAGGTATGTATCTGGCTATCATCCCACGCGAAGACACAAACTGATTTGGTTTAGGGTTGGTTTGGCGGTGGACGCATGTCTTGCTCTCAGTGCCGAGTAGGGTCGTTTTCAGTTGACAAGATCCTCTGTAGCTCGGTCGGACGTGTCTGCCGTAGCACGGCTAGGTCAGCATGTCTTAGGAATCGAAATACGGAAATAGATATCTATCGATGGAGGCATTGCATGATAGTGTTAATATTAGTAGTGTACAGGGGGTATAGTAGTATGTGTAATAATTAAATCGAGCATGGGCGTTGATACGACGAGTATGTATATATGTTGGACTCCAGTGAAACCCAAGTTTATTCCTGCCTAGAGAACTTCTTTGCGAAGCGCTCCTTGACTTTGCTAGAAATACTTTTATACATTCTACTCCGTAGGTAGTCTCTTAGTATCGATAGTATCCAACCTAGAAGCGCCTCACTCGCCAAACAAGCCTGATTAGAAGCAGACGGGAGCCATCCCCCATTCAAGGCACCAAGGCAGAAAGTCCAGTCAAGAATCCACCCAAACATTCAAACCAATCACAGACACTCGTCAGTCCTCGCTTGCCACTAGCGCCACCAGTAGGCCCCACCCACTCCTATATAAGTCTGAACCGCCCGCCGCCCTTTTCACTTTTTTCTTCTTTCTTTTCTTCATACTTACCTTGTTTGGGTGGCTGCGATCAAGAAGGCGGTCCACCACAGTCTGGTCCCTGCATTGCACAGCGCGGCGGAACAGGCTGTTCAACGGCCTTCGGGTCATTGACAGGCGTATTCTTTGGCACCTTTCCACTTGTGGAATACTTTTATCTTTTCATCAGTCTTTGGGCTATATGCTCGAGGGTGAAGAAGAGATCACACTATGTAGACGTCATCTAGTAAATAAAACTCTTAAGCGGCCACTGCAAACACCCTTCAACTCGAAACATGGAACTGGCATCGTTGCCTGGCAGACCCACTCCATAGCAGTCATCTTGTAGCTATTCCTCGATGACGTGTTACCATGTCGCCACAGTCACCAGCTATATAACAAGCAGTATCCGCAGACTCCTATAGCATAGCCACAACAAATCGAAAACTACAAACAAACCTACAAACCAATTTATTCATCTGCCTCTATACTCGATTCAACTACCTTGATCAAAATGCCCGTCCCAGTCTACAACCCCCAAACTGAAACCATCAACACGGAGTCGCGCCCTGGCGCGTCCACCTCCCAAACCCACCCTCAGAGCGGTAACAGCGCCGACAACGCCCGCACTGGCCAGGCGAACCATCCGCCGATGAGCAAGGAGGAAGCAGATCGATTGTATGAGGAGCGGATGGAGGATGAATATGCGAAGCGTGAGGGAGGTGCCTGAAGACCGACTGGTCAGGCTATCCAGTTGCCAGCGGTTGAGTGGAAGTTTACGTGACGAGTTGATGAGTTACGGCGGATGGATTTTTGTATTATAATGGATATCACTCCGTGTTAAGGAGATGAATATGCCTTAGACTTGACTCGGAAATGTACGTGTGTATATTATGCAATTTCACGTTAGTATTGTTGTCTACGTAGTCACCGAGTAAGGAGAGTTGACGCCGTAGCCCAACACTGCCGACTCTGCGAAAAAAGACTGTGCTGGAATCGCGAAAAGAAAAAAAGGGAAGAGGTCTGTCCCCGACTCGAACCCTCACCCTCCACCAAACGCCTTTCTCCCCAAAGCACCGCACCTCGAATATGCTTTCAAGAGTCAAAAAAAAAACTGGTAGCTTCTCTTTGATTGAGCGTGTCATCCTTAGTGCAGGGGCCATGCTAATCTTCTCTGTATCGTTTCAAATTGACCAAATGCCCGAAGGCAATAGGTTTAACCTTACAGTGAAATATATAGGGAGACTGGAATGTTGTTAGGGTCTGTGATTGGTCGGTCGGGTGTTGCTGTGATTGGTTGGTAAGCGATGGATGCCTCAGGATTTAGAACATCAAAAATGGCCGGGCGGGGTTAGTATCGGTGTGGGTGAATGGGGTTGACGCGCTGCCCAGGTTGAATGGAATGGATGGGGTGTTGATGATGTAGTCTGTGTTATCAGGGATGAGACGATGATTTATATGGTTTGTTTGTGCCACCGATGCTATACGGTGTTGGTGCTCGCATTGGGGCCCATGATGTCTCTGGAGGGGTCGTCGTCAAGGTGGGCAAACACCGAGCCTGTGCTGTTGGCAGAATGCAAGCGAGCCTCGCGGGCGCTGCAAAGAATGGCGTGGGTGACACAGTGAAAAGGGGTCAATTGAGCAAAAGAAACCATGCTGGACCAGAATCATGGCAAGCTGAGTCCTCGAATTATACCAAGGACGGAGTGAAGTGAAAGGAAGTTGAAGGGCGACTAGTTAGTGGAGGCTCGTATTGGACTTAGGGCAAGATGGGAGGTGCTCCACTTGGATGAACCGATCTTAGGATCCAAGGGAGACAAGTCCTGTTGGTCTTCGGTAGATCTATTATACACGAAGTCTATAACTGCGGTATAAAGTACGCGTTTTTACAAGTATATCAGGAGTGCTATCTGAATATATTTTCCGTTACATGCTCTCTATATCGGGACCGATGGAAGTGACTTGGTGTGGATCAACTATCTCAAACCCTAATATTAGTCTAGTTCATGCTATCAATAAGATATCGACTCAATTGAACAACCAAAGCCATATTCTCGTAAAACGGGCAGCTGGGTCTAAACGCCAACACTAATCTAATATTGGACCCTGACTTTCATTGATCTGCGGACAAGCCATAGATCACGAACATTTAGGACAGTTCCCTGGACCCTGACGCAGGATGGCATAGACTGAGTACCAATACGAAGCTTTTATGATTATTAGTATCAATGTGATGAATGAAAAAAGCCTCTTCAACTCATTCTTGAATGCAAGAGTTGAGCATGTTATTTAAGACGGCTATTGCCTCCCTGATACGAACAGAGTGACTGGTCGTTCCTTCCTGTTCCATCTACATTCATTCTCATACAAAGGACAATCCTCGCGAATCCGACCAACTTCCACTCCTTACCATCTTTCATCTATTACCATCTACCATCTACTGCTCCTGATCCCCCGTTCGTCATCCTATCCACTCACCATGCAGTTCAAGTCTTTTTGCTTCCTTCTCTCAGCCGTGGCTTCGGCCGTTGCCGAGCTGAAGCTCGAGAATAGAGGTCCAGGAGACGACACTTACTCGGCGGCGATGGCAAGCCTGTAAGAGAAAACCAGCAGATAGAATCCATCGTCCAAGAGTTACTCACTGATAATCCCCAGCGAATCCAACACAGACCTTGCCCAGACGGCAACCGCGACCGATTTCGAACTGCCCACCGATATGCCCACCGAAATGCCCGGAGATTTCAAGATGCCGCCCAGCTCGATCATCTCGGTGCTTATGACTGCAGTCCCTCCTTCTTTTTACTCACAGATGGGAGACCCGGATGCTCGCTCGTCGGTATTTAACGACATCCACGGCGGCCACTATCCGGACTGGTACAACGAGCTGCCTAACAGCGTCAAGACCTACATCTCCACGGCTTATCAGACCGATGGCCCCAGTAAGCCCACTGGTGATTCCACCACTACCGGTTCTTCCTCTTCCGAAACGGGCTCCGGCTCGAGCACCAAGGAGGGTTCCAGCTCGGGCTCCAGCACGGACTCGGGTTCCACATCTTCTTTGCCTTCTGCCACTTCTGAGAGCATCGCCGTCCCTACTGGAGCTGTTGCCGCTAGTCTGGCTGGTGTCGCTGGTGTTCTGGGCCTGGCTATTGTGCTCTGATCTGAGATCGAATGTGCTTTTAGAAAGCCTGATGAACCTTCGAGAAATTGTGTTTCATAATCTGTGTGTTAGTGGCCTTTATTTGATGTTAACTTATTTCGATTGTTGAGTTAAATGAGAAATAACCTGCAGTATCGAGATCTTATTTCTGCAAATTTGTGTTTAATCCGCCATTGGGATGCCAGTGACAGACCAGTCCACTGATGGTTGTCACTGTCTCTGAAATTGAATGGCATGCATTCGAGCTTAACATCTTTGGTTCAACTTTGTTGAAACACATCGTGTTGTGCTAGTCCTCCAGTGGAAATAGATTATGTCTCGAGTGCACCTTGCTAAGCTGTTCGAGAACTTAGTATAAAATCGGCGGAACCCCAGCACTCAAGCCCGCTGGGATGATCTCCATTTGCATCAGACCTTAGCTCGTACAGAAGAACGTTATGCGGTCGAATGACCATGGCCAGACTGCTAATATTTGCCGGACCACCATATTGTTGTACTACCTGAATTGTACGATGGATTTTGAAAGAGACCAGCTGTAGCGAGTTGCGTGGAACCATCTTAATGGTCGTTTATTTCTCTTTAAGATTCTATTATGGATATTCTGACACGCATTCAATCAATTATCTTTCTTCTTCTTCTAGTATGCAATATATTCGATCGATCATCAAGACGGCCAGTTCAAGACCGGCCCTCGGACGGAGTTAATTAGGGCTACCCCCTCGGACATCTCAACCCGCTCCGCGGACATCGCTACACTTCCTCCGAACGTAAACACCAATGGGCTTCGGACATAACCCATACAAGAGAACACACCGAGCAATAGTAGAGGACAAAGCATTGATTACATGCAACCCACAAAAAAATCGGTACGCGCAGCCCGCATCTCGACCAGTCACGGCCCTCGTAATGGTAAGCATCTCCAACAGCGCACCAATCACGCGTTGACGTTCATAAACCTGGGAGGTGCCTGCGCGCGGATCGTCCAGCGCTGACCATTATTGAATCTGTAATTGGAGGAGTTGGTGTGGGGAGCTTGAGACCTGCACGGTTTTTCTCTATTTTTTTTTTTTTTACGAGGGAGGGACGGTATGTTTGTGTGTATGGAGGGGTAGTGATATAAGAACGGGCCCGGCGAGGGGAGAGGGAAGAAAAAATAGAGAGCTGATCGAGTGCAGATGTAAGATTAATTGAGACCTAGTTCAACTTTGAAGAGACGACAGTCGATCATCACGTCCTTGATAACAGTCTACTTGTATCGATAAGATCAGATCAGCAGCTTGAAGATCTACTACCTCAAAAACCGACCACGGCGGTACTGACGTCAGACGGCGACACAGTCTTCCTTTTCAGGTCGATTCTTTGACCTGTGTCTCTTTCATTTCGAGATTTATTGATCCGGCTTCTTCCTTTTCTCTTCTTAATACCCACTCATCGATCTGGTGCAGACAGATCCACCCACCATGGTCCTCGTTCTGATCAAACAAAAGCTCTTCCCAAACGCTCGAAGCAACTCGAGCCAAAGTGCCGGTTCGTTCTCCGCCACCCACTCATTGGCCAACGTTAAGTATGCACATGTATACTGATAAGCCCAGCCAAAGCTCTCCTGTCCGAACCACCAGCCCACGACGACCTCCCCGAGCTCGAAGCCCAGCGATCCTATCACACCTTTCGCGACGACTATGGGCATAGCTCCGATGTCGAAACGGCCAGTAGTCGCAGTTCGCGATCGAGGATCAACCCGCGCATTATCTCCGATGCGATTCTGGGCTTGTCGGATGGATTGACGGTGCCGTTTGCATTGAGCGCGGGTCTCTCCGCGCTGGGCGACACCAAGGTCGTCGTGTTGGGTGGATTGGCCGAGCTGGCTGCGGGGGCGATCTCTATGGGGTTGGGGGGGTATGTTGGGGCCAAGAGCGAACTGTAAGATTCTCCACCGGGCCTAGTATCCAGGCCAGGCAGACAGACAAACGAACAGAACAAGATACTAATGAAACGCGCAGCGAATCCTACAACGCCACCGTCCGCGACACCCAATCTCTCATCGAGACCTTCCCCTCCGAAACAGCCACCATAGTCCACGACATATTCGCCACGCACGGGATAGCAGACGACATAATCGATCAAATCATCATCTCACTGCGCGCATCACCTGAGCGGCATCTCGACTTCCTACTCGACTTCCACCACAAGGAAGCGCGGCCGGACTGCAACCAGGCGTGGATGTCGGCGATCACGCTCGCCGTGGGGTACTTCGTGGGCGGGTTCATCCCGCTGATTCCGTACTTTGTTGCCGATGCGGTGATCGTGGCGCTGTATTGGAGTATTGCGGTGATGGGGGTCACGTTGTTGGCGTTTGGGTACGTTAAGACTGGGGTGGTGAGGGGGTGGACGGGGGTGGATAATGTTGTTGCTGCTGTTAAGGGTGGGGTGCAGATGTGCTGTGTGGGTGGTGTTGCGGCTGGGGCGGCCATTGGGCTGGTTAGGGTTATTAATGGGGGAGGTGCTTGATTGTTGGGCTTTCCATACTGTGTATGATGGTGTTTGGGTTTTGTACAAAAAGATAGATAGCGCTGGCGTTATGGGTATGGTTTGGCTTACTGTGAACGTCTCTGGCAAGAGAACCAACTGCTTGTTAATCAGTATCATAGTTTAGTAGTAGATAGTTATGGCATCCATCTACAATCCAGTGATCCGGTCCGTGGTATCGTTGCCTGCTTTGGCAGGCTACAAAAAGGCACGGGATCGAAAGTATAGCCCTACTTCTGCCGAGTTTCTACGTACGGCGAGACCATCAGATTGGAATTCCAGGACCAACGAGGTGGTTTCTCCTGAACCCGGTGCCATATTCTCTAGACTGTCATATAGAATAGGAATGTATTAAGGGCTCTAGACGTTAATACCCATGCGTAAACGGTCTATCATACTGCTCATATTGCTTTGGATTTAACTCAAGTAGATTCATCTTCATCATCCTCGGAATTGTCCGAGCCACCCATATCATCATCTTGCTCTTCATCAAAGCCCTCAAAGACCATGAACTGCTCGTTCTTGGCATCCGTTTCATCGGGGATGATGTTTCCGTCCTGGACCTCGCAGTCCTTGAGTACGGACTCCCGCCCAATCTTGCTGTATCGCCCGATGATACACCCAGTCAACACGCAGCGCTCACCGACGATGGCGTTGTCAAAGACAACGCACCGCGTCAGTCGAGCGCCGCTGCAGATCTTCGCGTTCGTGCCAATGCAAGACTCCTTGATGACGCATCGTTCCTCAACGGTCACGTTGGATGCCAGGAGGCAGTCCGCCTTGGTGACCATGCTGCGCTGGGCGACGCCTTCAGGATAGGCGACTTTTTGGGTGTGAGCGAAGGGGGAGGCAGCTATCCGGCCGGCCTCTTCGATGGATTCGAGCTTAGCTAGACGGAGCGAAGTCGACAAAAGGACAGCGGGGCTGTCGACTCGCCGAACCAGCGAAGATCCTTTCTCCATGTGTGCTAGAATGGGTGGAACTTCCACCGACGGCGAAGGACCGCGGGGATCTGAGACAGTCGGTGCTGCGGTGGTGCTCATGGCACGGAGATCAATCTCCTCCTCCAGCGAGTTCCCGTCATTGCTTCTGTTCTCGTCGACGCTCTCATTCCGCCCGCCCAAAACATGGGTTATTCCGAGCTTGTCGCCGAGCCCCCGCTGCCACTTCGCCTTAGCCCAATATCCGACGAGATCTTCACTGACGGACTCTAGCCTTTCCTGATGGCGCGCGAGATCCTTCACCCAGTAGGGAAAGATGTACAGGTGCGCATCGCGATAGCTCGTGAGCATCTTCACCGAAGAGTGCTTCTCCACCAACGTATGGCGGACAAGGAAGCCCTTGTCCTCTTCCATTTGCTCCTTCACAGTGCCCATCGGCATCGACATGACCAGCTTGGACAGGTTATATCGCGATGTTGCGGGTGTTTCGTCTTGCGCGAGTGGCGTGATCGCCGTGAAGTCCGTCACCTCACCCTTGACGCTATCTTCCATGCCCCGGGTTTCATAGTACACGGCTAGACCACCTCGAGCGCCACCTTGTCCGCCACCCAAGCCGTGGGCATTGCGATCTTCTTGAATAACGGAACTCCCTGGCGTGGTCGACACCATCCATGCCTCTAGTAGCGACGTACCCGGGATCTCGCAGACAAGGTCGCATGGTAAAAGGAGGAAGTCGGTCTTGATGCAAGCCTGTACCTCGGGCAAGCGGAGTAACTCAGCTGTCCCCGTGGTCATTTCCGCATCCTTGGGAGCCAGGACCGTCGGCGAGGGCGAGGGAAGCGATGTAAGGTAGGGATTTTGTTGTAAAGCGGCTTGGAGGGGAGCGACAGAGGAGGGAGGGGTAATCAAGGTGATATCTAAAACCATTAGTTTCACTCAGGCATTGAGTCTGTCCTCGACGCGAACCGACCTGTAATTCCTGACCTCTTGCAGAAATCCAGAGGGTAAAAGAGCATCGGCCGATTGGCGATCGGGATGAGGCATTTTGGGTACTCTTCCGGGTTGGATGTGAAGGTGTTCAGGGAGACACCTGGACCGCAGAGGATCAGGGCCTGGCACCCGGTTGCAACGACGGGAATCGCGTGCGGCATGATCAACTCGAGTGCGATAAACACTATGGTGGGGTCGAAGAGTTGTCGATATGACCTCAGAAATGTAGCAGAGAATAATGAAGGCCCGCAACTGGCGCTGAGTCATTGGCCGCAGGGCTTGCGGGAGACAAACAGTGCAAACAATGTACCTGATGGAATGGATCTTGTAACTGATAATTTACACATAAAAATTATCTATAATTTTTATGCTACAAGTTGCTCTTAGATTCGAGGTGTTATTTGTCTCTTCCATGTTCTTTTTTGGTAGGATTTTATGCCGACAGCCTGTCATGAGGCTGGTCCAATATCCCACGGCGTAGAACTATATAGTTTGGGCTTTACAAAATAATGCCGAATCTGGAAATCAACTACGACAATGACAACACACTTCTGGCTACTAAAGAACACTAAAACTGCAGAAACCTACTAAAGTACCCATTACTACCCGCTGACTACCACCAGCCAGCAGCGGCTGTAACACTGCCATTTTGTACCATCCTGACTCTGCATACCAAATGAGGGGCTGGGCTAGCCTAGACATACCGGAAAACCTGGGCGAAATGGTACCCCACACTTCCATCGAAGGCTTGGCGATTAGTGACTGGCCTTCAACATGGAATCAGTGTAAAGAAGGTAGCAATAAATGCGTATTAGCGAGATCAACAATGCGACTGTACCCTAGCTGATCGGCATTGATCAGATAAACCTCTCGCAGTGTAACCCACGCGATGCATGTAACCCACATGGTAGAGAGCGAAAGAGTACCCCCCTTGCGGCGAAAACATGCATTGTTTGTGTCGGTGGAATATGTTTAAATTCCTCTGCTATCCTCCTTGATTTGCCATGAGGGTGAGACTCGATTTTCTTTTGCCATATCCATCCCGTATATGATTCATTATGCGAGCGATTTTGGCGTGGGGTTTGACAGCAGCTGTGTCTGCTTTGCAGACTCTTCCACCCGTGCGATGGGCAGAACATGATCAGTCGTTTGGTGGATTTGATCCTGCGAGGGGAGCGCATGACATCTATATTTCGAATTCTTTTGCTTCGCATCGAGACCAGAGTGGGCTAACGTTGATTCCGCCCTCGGCGGCCGAGTTCGCGAGGACATTCCGCGACGATATGGAAGAGGTCACGGGAAAAAGATGGCGGCTTCACGCCATGGATGAACTACCGCACGACAAGGAGGGAATCTTCCTCGATAGATCCCATAGAAGCAACTGGGCGTACGAGAACGGTGATGCTACAGAGGAGGGCTACGAGTTGGAAGTGCAAGCCGACCGCGTTGTTATCAAAGGGTCTGGCGCGCGGGGAATGTGGTGGGCAACGCGGACACTCCTGCAGCAGATAATCATCGCTGGAAAACGGCCAATTTCGCAGGGCCAGGTGACCGATGTGCCCTCAGTGCCCACTAGAGGGTTTTTACTTGACGCAGGTAGAAAGTGGTATTCACCTGCATTTCTGAAGGAACTATGCACCTATGCCTCGTTCTTCAAGATGTCCGAGTTCCACTATCACACAAGTGACAACTACCCGCTTAGTCGTGGCCACAATGAGACCTGGAATGATGTCTACGCCCAGTTTGCGCTGCATCCTGCAAATCCCGACTTGCATCCCATTGTTCAGCGAGCAAATGAGACTCTTTCCCGAGCTGACTTTGAGGATCTGCAAGAGCACTGTGTCCAGCGAGGGGTGACGGTGATACCAGAGATTGAAGCTCCCGGGCACTGCTTATTTTTGACGAAGTGGAAGCCTCAGCTGGCGTTGGACCAGAAGGATCTGTTGAACCTGACACATCCAGAGACGATTACGACAGTCAAGCAGATATGGGAAGAGTTTCTTCCCTGGTTCCAAACCAAGGAAGTCCACATTGGCGCCGACGAGTATGATTCAACACTGGCAGACGACTACGTCGACTTCGTGAACGAAATGGCACGGTTCGTGGACGAAAAGTCCGGAAAGAGGGTTCGCATCTGGGGTACGTACGAGCCATCCGATAAACCTATTTCGAAAGACATCATCATACAGCACTGGCAGTACGGACAGTCAGATCCGGTGCTACTATCAAACCAAGGTTACGACGTCATCAACTCGGAAGACTGGTGGGCTTACATGTCGCTTAAAAACTCCCACGTACCAATCACCCCAGCCCCGTATCCCCAACTCTTCAACAACACGCGTGTCCTCAATTTTGCCGACCAATCGGGCTGGCAATGGACACCCGAACTGTTCAACCCGGTCAATGTTACGGAACAGCCGAGCAAACCACCAAAAGGGGCGATTCTAGCCGCGTGGAATGACAACGGACCAGATGCGACGACGCAACTGGAGTCATTCTATGCAATTCGCGATGGAATCCCCGTCGTGGCCGCCCGTGCTTGGTCCGGGAACCGTGGACCTCTTCTTGAAGAATCAGGCTTATCGGATTCAGTGGATCTTCTGACATCCGCCGCCGTGGCGCAGAACCTGGATCGCCGGATTAGAAAGACAGCCGAGCGAAACAATGGCTTTGTCAACTGGAAAACAACCAACCAGAGAGCCACAGACAGGTTTAGTCTGGGGTACGGAAGCAAGGGAATGAATTACATGTTGGACATGGTTGTTTCGGGACCATTCACCCTTTCCTCCAGCGACGTTACCCTCGATTTGTCACCCTCGGGCTCTTTGACGTTCATCTCCGATGGATGGCCATATCCTCTCCGCTCCGTAGCTGAAAACGACGGATTCGACCCCATCGAACTGGGCAGAATATGGGCAAACCAGACCTCTTCATCCCACGAGCCGGTCACCGTTCCCTTAGAGAGCCAAATCACTATTCGAACCGACGTTACCGGAGGAAGTCGCGTGTGGGTGAACGGGAACTTCACTGGCCGATTCGAAGTGTTCGTATTTGGAGGAAAGAACAAGGAGTTCTCCTGGAGTCAGATGGCCTTTGTGGCACCATTGGAATGGCTGCAAGGAAGTGTAAATGCGCTGCGGGTGACGCAAGACAACGTACAGCCTTAGGTAGAGATTTCTACAGTTCGAACACTTTGTCGGGACCAAGCCCTAGTTTACCACCACCCCTTCCGTACCTACCAATAACACTGGCGGGTAAATTCTTGGGTACAGAAGCCACTACTAAATGAATGTCTTATTCTAGACAAATGGACATGCGGAGGAGAATATCCTAGCCCCGAATTTAGCCATTTATCCATCTTCACCCGCGCCCCCGCATCTCCGTGTCCCATGCGCCTAGGCCCTAAATTCCCAGGCAAGGGACTGGCGACAACTAGTGTCTCAGCATTTATAACCTCCGCACGTTTCTCATTATTATGTTACCTGCGAAAAGTTAATCTCCGATCTCTGCTACCATGCGCCAAATATCGCTGTTACTGGGCTTGGCCCTTCTAATAGACGCAGGGCTAGCTGGCTCAGCACAGAAATGGGGCCCCCGAAACCTGAAAAGTCTGGTCACATTTGGGGACAGTTACACGGATGATTCGAGGCTGAACTGGATCACCGAACACAAGGGCGAGGCACCGCCTCCAGGATGGGTGCAGCCAGTCGTAAGGACCCCCATCTAGCAGAAACAAAGAGAAAAAGACACCATCCACTAACTCAATGCTGAAAAGAACAACCAATCCGCCTCCGGAGGCTACAACTGGGGCTACTATGTCGCGCACAAGACACACGCCAACCGCTACAACTACGCCGTCAGCGGTGCAGTCTGCTCGAACAAGATCAGCCCGCGCACATACGCCGCCATCGACGCCCCCTTTCCCTCCGTACTGGAGTACGAAGTCCCTGCTTTCCTCGCCGACAGCAAATACAGCGTCCCACCATCCGGCAAAAAATTCCTCGACATCCCCGCCGACGAAACAATCTACGCTATCTGGATCGGTACCAACGACCTCGGCAACTACGCGTTCATCACAGATTCGCAGATTGCCGGCAAAACAATTCCAGACTACATCGAGTGTGTCTACCAGGCGCTGGATGCGGTGCACGCGAACGGAGGCCGTTACTTCGTACTGATGAACCTCGCGCCGCTGCAATTGGCACCAATGTATGCGACGCCCGAGAATGGTGGCACGGGGCCGAATTCATTCTGGCCCGAGAAACCGGATAATAAGACCGCCGTTAGCTATCGGATGTGGGACCAGGTGACTGCTGTGAATGAGGTGCTTGAGTACAAGACGGCGTACGAGGCGGCTATTGCGAAGAGATACCCCGGCGCGAAGCTGGCGACCATGGACGTGTATGGCTTGGTTAGTATTCGATCTTATTTCCACTCCCTTTCTGAACATCGAATGAGAAAGCTGACAGGTAGGAAAAGCTGAGCGATATGTACAACCACCCGGAGGACTTCTTTGGGCAGGGCTCGGCGGTCAACGTGACCGGATACAACAAGCATTGTGACGTAAAGGGCCAGAACTGCGAGTATCTGCCACATCCAGAGCAGTTCATGTGGTACGATGAGCTTCACCCATCCGAGGTTACCGATAAGGTGATCGCAGATGAATTCGTGAAGGTGACGAAAGGAAAAAGCAAATACGCCACTTATTGGTAGCTTCGTCTAGGAGAGGAAGGGCTCATACCCCTGGAAAAGAATGCATTACGCCATAAACACTAGATTCGGTTAGTTCTGGGATCGTTCAATAGTTGACTATAGATCGGCGTGGGAGGGACTATTGGGACCAAAGCCCTCGCCGATAAATCCACATCCCTATTATTCGATGACTTTTCTGGAACAGACGAAGTGTTTGGATCGTCGAATAAGCTGAATGTGATAGAACAACTGTAAGCATGACCCAGCCTTCTATTTCCACCAAAAGAGCGGTATCCATGGCCAAGCCGCAACGGGCGGACCCATAAAGTCCACACTATCTCGACCAAACCATCTGCGGGAGGATTCATCCACCATAAAACCAAAAATACCTCCCAATAGACTGACTCCGAATAGGCCTCACGTTCGCTTAACAAGAACGCCCTGGAAGGCTGTGCTGTCTCCATCACCCAAGATCCTCTCCCCAAGGAGCTAATTAATATAGCACTCTACTAACCAAATACCTAAAGTAGTACTAAATGCACATAATCGAAATCCCCGATGAAACAATAGCGAGACCGCCACATAAAAGATGTATTACCCCACACACGCAAAATGCGAAAAGCTATAACTGAAACGGTTTCAAGGCCGCAGAAACCGGTGATCGTCCAGGAACTATACACTATAAGGGCAGACCCGCTGGAACCCTGGACATGTTCACGGTTGCACGCGTTAGCGGAAGCCCTAACTCGCCATGGGCCAATCAGGCCCCCGAGAAGAACCAACACCAGGGCTCTGGCGGGGCCCGCGCAAGGCGGCCCCCAGTTACGCCTTGGCTTGATGCCGGCGATGCGTTGGGCTGTGAGAGGGGTCAGGGGGGCTCATCTCGAGGTAATCAGTAAAAGTGAGTAAAAGGATGAGGGGCGTGTGCAGAACACATGTGCATGGAGAGAGCAACCGTGAGATTGAGAAAAGAGAAAACGAGAGACTTGAGAGAGGCAGTTATTACTACTACTGCTGCTGCTGCTGCTCTGATGAAAGGAAAAGAAGGCCCATAACTCACTGTTATTCCTCTCCCCTTCATACCCCCGCAGCCAAAGTATGGCCTGCGGAAGAAGCCACCCAAGTCTCCAAATAGACGACACCCAAACCGCGCATCTCGAACCATGTCCCTGCATCGTCACTCCCCGTCAATCTACCTCGCCCCCCCACCATACCCAATCGCTATCCGCCCCGAACGCATCGCTCCCAGGGAGACCGAGCTGACGGTCCAAACGGCCCCAGAACCCTGGCACGCCCTCGACTACACCGTTTCCTACGAGGGGGTAACAGTCTTCACAATCCGGGGCCGCCCCTGGTCCCTCAGCCAGCGGCGCACCTTCTTCGACACAACGGGGCTGCCGCTCTTCGAGCTGCGCGGGTCCTGGTACGACTCGTCGCGCCTGGACCTGCGACTCCCCGGCACGAGACACAGCATCCTGCATGCGCGACTACGCGTCGAGATCCGCGCCCCCCGGGCGGAAATAACTTTCAAGAATGCGGGAGTCGAGCGCGGGGTGAACGGCCCGGAGGTGAAGCTCGAGGTGAAGGACCATGATCTGGACAATATGGTCCATGTTGTTGTGCTGGGGGGCCAAAACATAGCTATCATTCAGCGCGTTACGAACTCCCGGGAGCTGACGGAGGGGCAGCGGCTGCCGTTTCGGTTCCGGCCGAAGTGGAAGGCGAGGGTTGCTGCGGGGGTGGATCTGTCTTTGGTGAGTTTCTCTGCCTCTCGTCTCTTTTTCTATCTTATCAGATAGTATACCCCTCGCTATTCATCTGTTGTACTGCGGTGTGTTGTTCGTCGGAAGATGCTAACGAGTTGGGGGCTTGGCTAGATTGCTGTTCTGGTTGTTATAATCGGCCAGCGGGTGGCGCCGAACCCCGACGAAGGGAGTGGTGTTCTGGAGCGAGACGTTTGATATAAAAAGGTTGGGACTGGAGTTATGGAAGTTAATAATCTGCTGCTTTTGAGTGAGGTCTTTGGCTTGGGCGTATAAATGGACCCACGGCGACTCAACCACTACAGAGAAGGGTAAATCAACTGGCCTCATGTATATTTGAGTGATGAGGGTTTGTATATTATTGGACATAGCATCGAAAAATACTGTAAATATGGGAGTGAAGGATGTAAAATTGTCTTCAACAAGAAACTTTTGTACTGACGGGGAGTTGCTGTTTTTGTGGTTCGCCGTAGGTATACCGAAGCAAATATCAGATATCGTGTGACGTGAAAGGGAAATCAAAAGGTGAGAGCCCATAAGTGGACAGTTAGATATTATAGTCTCTTGTTAGTAGTTAACAACGCACAACATCCTGCGTAGGCACCTACTGCCAAGTCCTAGAATTTGGATCTACGAAATCTACCTAGTGGACCAAGACAGGACATGATGCGGGTCTACATAGAGCTCCTGGATAATAAACGAGACAAATCATGGATATTAGCAATTATTCTGAAAGTGTTCATATCAATTTTGCAGCACACTTGTTTCAGCTATTATTGGAAAGCAAATATCACCCCCCCACCGTACAATTTAGTTCGCACGTCAATACTTAGCCCGCAGGGATCCATACGTAGCTCCGTTAAACACCAACTCGAATAGTATACTGGCAGACTTGGGTGTCATGCGTATATCATATTTCACTATGTAATAAGATTTGCCTTTGGAGTTGGTCCTTATTTCGAATAGTTTACTGGGGATTTGACCCAGGTCAACATTCACAGTGCAAACCTTGAAAGTGTCTTGTGTGGCGTTAGCTGTCTATCGGTGGCGTACAAGGAAGGGAATTCGCAAGAAAACTCACTGCTTGATAGGAAACCAGGGGCATCGTCTTGGTGGTCAACATACAACGAGAGATCGGTCCGCTTGCTTTTGCGATCAACTGCGAAATCCGAAGACCAAGCAAGGCTAATGGGGGAATCCTCCGATATGGCACTTCCCTACAATGGTCCGTTAGTAGGATGTCTGTATCACCAACTCCGATATTTCTGCGCACCTTTTGTATGTACCATTCCATAGCATCATTAACAATCCATTCTTCTCTGAGCGAGTCCCAATATCGGGTGGATTCATGGTGACGAGACGGATCATATTGGATTGAGACACGGATACCATAGTGGCGACGAGCGATCCGTTCTGATACTGGATTTGAGCCAACCCCGTGAGAAACTGCACCACTGACATTTTGTTAAATTTGGCTGAAAAATTCCCATATAGGATGGAAGTCTTACCGCACTACAGCCGTCCAACTGTTGATTCGTTTTAGTCCATAGTTCGAGAAAGACATGGGAGTCGTACTTACGCATTCGGTGGCTGCATGACCAACATATTGGGGAACGCTTTCTTTAACCTTCTAAAGAGGTATTCAGATGATCCGAAGCCTCCCACCAGAAGAATGGCCTGAGCAAAAGAGTAGATGAGCACTGAGTAGCAAACGAGGACACAATCACCTAGCCCGATAGGATGGATACTTACCTTCGCGGTTTTGCCATTCTTGGCGACACTTTCCACTTGCCCTCGAACCAGTTTCTCCACATCACTGACGACTGGGTCAAAGATTTCTTGAATTTGGTTCCTGATGTGCTTGAGCATTTAGAATGGAGGCGAGGCCTAGAAGGCTGGAGACTGTCACATACCAGTCAAGATAGAGAAAGTTATTCTTAAGGAAGATAGCTTGGTCGTCTTTGACCCCTGGGAGAGGGACGATGTAAGGCACAACGGTCGCACTGTCGCCATCATCATCCTCGCCGTCGTCTTTAGCCGTGATGTCCGACCCATCATTATCATCAAAGTCGTCGTATAGGCGGGTTCCAAAGCTAGGCTTTATATCATTATCCCAGTAAGATCGTGCCGTATCCAGCGAGATTGACGGAATTTCTGCATAAGTATCGCCCAGATGTCCTTGCAACAGCTCATCAAATCGTGAATCCAAGCATGCCGATCCACAAATGCCACCTTCAGCTGTTAGACTAGACTGGTTTTTTTTTTGTTCTTTTTTGAGAGTCTGCGGGGTCGACTTACCTGTGCCCTGAGTCTCCTCTTTTAGAACCAAAGGGTAGAGTTTAGATACGCGGTATGAAATCAAGTCCTAAGTACCATTAGCTACGTTGTGAAAAGGAGATGGTAAGGATAGGTACGAACCACGGTGCCTCCGCCAGCATCACACACAACAGCAACGTCACCTTCCTAGAGCGTAATGTACGTTACAACTGGGTCTGGAGTAGACTTGGAGAATTGATCGATAGGACTGACCTTGATCGCTTTCGGCTGAAGTGTGTCTAGACAGTACATAGCGGCTGAATCGGGCTCAGATATCATGGTGATATCCGAAACGGGGATACCGGCCTTCACACCGGCCACCCGAGTCGCGTCTTTCGCTTTATCCGACCAGACAGCAGGAACCGTCAAGACGTAGTGCAGCTCCATACACTCGAAAGCAGCCCCCAGTCTTCGCTGCAGAACAGTCTTCGAATGAGCCACCAAGCATTTCAAGTAGTCTCCAGCGACATCGACGGCGGTCTTGTCGTACTTTTTGAGAAGAGACTGAGAACGGATTGCAGGCTGGTACTGGTCATGCTGAGTCGAATCTAACAGAAGCTTGAAGCCATGGAAGACTGTATCAGGGGGTAGGGATGCAGTCTGATAACCCCAAAGGGTCCTGTTTTCCTGGTAGGCCAACGTGGTGGGCACCTTCCCGGGTGTTTCTGGTTTCAGTCAGGAGGGTAGAGGTTCAAGAAGGAGATGCATGGAGGGCTCACTGTTTCCGCTTTTCGGCCATGTAGAAATTACTTCTATGTCGCGAGAAGATTCAAGGGTCCAGGAAATTCTATAGAGCGTCAAAGACGTCAGGAGAAGTTCTTCGAGAGCAAGGATAGACCTACCCGCTGAAAGTGGTACCGAAATCGAGGCCTATGATGAGACGAGGCATCTTCCGAAAGATCAGAACACGATATATGGGAAATGATAGAGAGTGATATGCAAAAAGAAGAAAGAGAAGACAGGAAGAGAAAAACGAGTTGTTATAGGAATATAAGCTCCCGGCCCTTCCTCGACAGCATAATGAGAGTGTCACCGACAGGCATCAGTATTGCACCATATTAGAGTAGCTATGACGATAATTACAAGTCATAATTACAAGGAAAGTCTATCGGCAGTAATTTTCGACCCTGAACAAAAAAAAACTCTTGATCAGGTCCTTCGAATTTGTAATGTCATTATTATCCAAAAATTGAGTCAAGCCAGTGCAACAATACACGGTTTTAATGGAGGATCTCGCAGTTGGTCTCAAAAAAGCTAAGAAAACCATGACTTCTGCTACAAGCAAGTACCTTCGCATTCCACAAACCAAAGATAGTCACCATCAGGAGTGGGATAAAATCTCGCTAGAAATGACTGCTGTCCTCAAAACCGCAACCACAATCGCGACAGCAACAGCAGATAAAACCATAACCGCAACCGCAATGTCAAGTGAAACCACAGCTACAGACACAGAAATTACAGGGTTCAACTGGGAAGCCCCTCAGGTGGTAGCCATGAGAGATACACAGACATGTAAGACCCATTGTTTCTTGATATTCCTAGCTAATGGACAAAGGGTTGAGCACCGCAGACATGGAAGAGCTGGAAGGCTTAAATGCCCGACTTCATAGAGTGAGTGATGCGGACTGGACTTTGTTACATGTTGAATCAAGTAAAGGGCTAACACAGGAGTGCTTAGATTATCAATTTGATGAAAAAAAGAATTAGCCAAATCTCACTTGACAAACTTCGCGCGGAAGAGAGGGCTCGCCAGCACGAAAAACAACTTGTGAAATGCCATAAAGAGGCAGCTAACACGGCCATTAAACACGAACGTCAAATAGCTGCCCTCAGCGAGCAGATTGGAACAATGGACTACTATAGCTCCCCTATCAACGATGATGAGGCATCGAGCATCATGAATAGGCTCCAGAGCGCCGTGGATGTGTGGGTCAAAGCAAACTTCAACAAACTCGAAAGACTTGACGCCTTGGCCAGTGATTGGTGTAATGATGAACGTTTCCCTCGGGCTGTCTACGAGCCTGGAGATATTTACAAAAACCAGGGACTAGTTCGGGCCATTGTCGCCAACCATCTCAATGATCGCTTATTCAGTCAGACTGTGCTGGGACCGAATCCCGAGACCGACACCTTGATTAAGAAGGTCATGGAAAGACTGGAGGGGAACCAAGGAGAATTGGACAGACGTTGGTGCGCGACTACGAGCCTAGCATGGCAAAATGCTTTTCGAGAGGAGCTCGGAAATATTCCCGCCCAGCTTGCTGTGTATATTGACTCGTCTCTGAGTAAGTATTCAGTGACAGAGACACAAATGAGACAGGGTCAGCTGCGCAAGATCATTGCGCAATGCGTGAATTTCAAGAAACGACTGGAAAGACAGGAAAAATGCCATGGCTTCTACATGTGTCATCCTGGTGTTGCGTATATTCCCGACGATATGCAGACAGTGGCAGATGCTCAGAGCATGAAAGGCATTGTTGAGTTTTGCATCTTTCCTGGACTGTGGAGAAGGGCCCAGCAAGGGAAATATAGCGCCGTGCAAAAAGCATCCGTGTGGACTCGAAGACTGGAAGAGGTTGAGCAAGTGCCTGGAAACAAGTGACAGCAGCGTGTCACTATGCAGTCGGATTTGTCATGTTTGTCTTCCCATAAGGCCCAAACTCCTACCAAGAAGGAATACGGTTGTATTCATGATGAAATGGAATGGAGTTATGGTGGGGCTGCGAACAGTAACCAGCAGCGTGATGCGAATTCAGAGTCCATGAGTGATACTGCAGAGCCAGGACTTGACATAAGTCAGTTACTCCAAGACTATGAGATAGAAGATGTTGATTAAAGACTTAGTTCGAGTTCTATGTTTGTGATAAGTTTGAATCTATTCACTGTAACAGGTATCAAGCACCAATTCCATGATAACAAGCCTTTAGTTTTCGCTCATATATTCCTTTCCGAATTACTTCTCTATGGCATAATGTCAATGTGAGTAACTTGATGCTAGCTGTATAGTCCTAAATAGAATGAATACTATGGTATTGTAAATTAAATATGCATTTTAAACAGGATTGATCAGCTAAAGACAATTATGACCTGATACAGATAGTAGTGACAGCCAGGACTGAGTCCTAATAGTTTTACATGGAAAACCATTGGACAGGAACAAACTTCGTATGCTACTAATGACTCGCAAATGCCATCATGATGAGGTATGCATGATCACCCCCATGATCACTTGCTGCTTTGACTTTATTTCTCATACTTGTTCATTCTATCAGCAACTTCAATTTGGGCGTATCTTGATTATGCTAGAATGCTCTCCACTAGACTCGAGATACTGTTCTTTCCTCAGCATCAATCTACTCTATCTTAACTCTAATACTGACGCAGAAGCTTTCAAGAGCCTGCATAAGGGTTTTATCCCGCGCGGTAAGCCAACTTGGGCCACTGATCAGTCAATGTTCAAGTAGTTGTAAAGTCGAAGTGTCTCCCCGACGGACCTTTAGTTCCAGAGCTCCTTGACCAACAGCATACAAAAAAAGCAAATTTTCTAGGTTGTACTGCTAGGAGGACCAGTATACAGATATTCGATTATTAATTATCAATACAGTCCCAGACACAGTCATGCCATCAGGAGGCAATAACAATACTGATAAGACCCACGCTATCCAGGCGGGCTCTGGCATACTTAAGTCTCTTGAGTTAGCAGCTATCTAAGTTGTGCCTGAATTTGTCAATCACTACGCTTCTATTACAGCAGTCATAGTTTGAAACCTCTCCGCACTCGAGGCGGGGCCTGATAATCCCGACACTCCGAGAGATTGGCCCAAGGACCCCAGAGAAGTTGTTGCCAGCGACCTAGACGCGGGAACACTCGTCAATGAATTGGCAAAGTTGAACCTTCTGCCAAAGATGACCAAGTTGGATCCCCCCCAGCAGAAGGCCATTGCGATGAACCCGGAAAGTCAAATTTGGGCGCTCGCGCAGCAAAAGGTGCCTGCTAGGGCTCAGAAAGGGACATATCGGGGGACCCGACTGGCCTTGACTAAGATCTACGACCTCATAGAACAGCGGTACTTGCGTCAAAGATTTTGTCTTGCTCGTCGAATATTGCTAATATGCTGGATAGTTACATGGCCTTCACGAATATGACCCAGCTCGAGCCTTTGATCCCAATAGCTATGACTATGGAATACAAACAAAAGTTTTTTGTGTTTACAAAGAGTAAAGATGACTTTTACCCACCTCATATCAATCTTGGCCTAAATCGGGACTGGGCAGAGAACGACGAGGAAGATTGGTACCAACGATCAGACCTTGGGCCATGGAGTCTTTTTTATTGGAAGAGCCTAGGAACGTTGCAAGAAATCATGAAAGGTGTTTTGCCAGGGCTTACTACGAGCGAGCGTTATAAAGGGAGCACCATAGCGGACGTGGAAGAATACCAGAAGAATGCCAGGGAAAACTGGTGGTTTAAAGATATATTCGATCGTCCAAATGTTGGCGATTTGAAAGACTGGTACAGCGACGCCCGGTTTGCTCAATAGCAATTCATAGGGACAAACCCCAAAACAATTGAACGAGCTTCCAATGATTGAATAGATCACTTTATCCGAGCGCAGAGGGCAAAGCCAATAACGATAATGAGAAACGCTATCCTTACGGTTGCGCATCGATGTGTCTTTTCTAACTCAATGAAACAGGCCAGCTTTACCCGCTAGCTATCGTCATTGATTGGCGAGGTAGTCTCGAGAGATCCGTGACAATCTACAACCGGAAATTATTCAAGCGCACGAATATCCGGTCGGGAGGCGAACTGCAGGATGGAAAGGATGAGACAACCGAGGATCATGAAAGAACTGACTTGCCTTGAGATACGGTAAGACCTAGCACGAATTATATCTCCTATGCTGCGTGCTGACTGTTCGGTCCTGATATAGCCAAGATATGTGTGCAATGTAGTGACTGGTTTTGGCATGAAGTCACCGTGCACCTCACCCGTACTCATCTGATTGGAAAGTCTATAATTGTTTCTGCTAACAGACAATTCGATTTCAATCACCCTGTCTCTGAAATCCTTCTTCTACACTCGCGGAAGACCCTGGCACTTAACGGGGCTGCCCGAGGCACCCTCTTTCCCTCCGTCATTCTTCAGATAATCGGATTCAAACAGGAGGAAGCCCTTGCGTTCATCAGGGACGAGTACAGGATATTTGACTTTCAAAATAATTATGTACCAAGGGACCTCCGCAGACGGGGATTCCCTCCAGAGGATTTGGACTCCCCAAAGTTTCACAACTATGCCTACGCCAGATGCATCAACAACATGTGGACAAAGATCAGGAACCATGTGAAGGCACGGCTTTAACTAGCCTACCTAGAAGCGGGTGCTGATATCCGTGTCGATAAAGACGCCTGTATCCAGAAATGGTGTAAAAAAAAGCGATCTCCAGATGGCGCTGACTTGCGAGAATTCCCCAGTATTACCACGTTCGCGGAGCTCGTCGATTGCGTGACCATGTGTATCCACATCGCGTCGCCTCAGCATAGCGCTGTCAATTACCTGCAAGACTACTACCAGGATCTTGTGATCAACAAGCCTTCCTGCCTTTTCGAGAAGCCTCCAACCTCACTAGAGGATCTCCTCCAGTACACCGAGACAGATCTTGTCAAGGCTCTCCCTATGAACCGTTCACATGAGTGGCTTCTATCTTCTCATGTCCCATACCTCCACAGCTTCCCACCACAAGAAGAGGAGACGCTGATGGCGTGTGTTTATTCGGCGTGGTTCTGTGCTACTTCAGACCTTCCGAACCCCAAGCTTGCAGCCGTGCTCGATAATTTCTATCAAGCACTCCACTCTAGCGATCATGAGTTCGAGAAGTACTCAAAAGAAAAGGACGACTATGAGGACATCAAGTACTCGGTATTGAAGACCGACAGGAATGCAATGTCGATTTTGATTTAGCCATCTCAGTATAGAATGATGGTACGGCGACAGTGCACCCGGACTTAATCCATATTCCACGATGTCTTAATGTCAGAGATGGAAAGAGACGCAGAGATGCATTAATTTGGCTAAAAGCCACCAAAAAGCACTTGATTTCTTTCTTTTGTTAACAGACCGTCAAAGTTGAAAAGTGCCTGTCCTAGTTTGATTCTTGAATTAAAAGTTGATTTATATCATTGATATCTCCAACTTAGTCCTAGTCTGAGGACCAAGCTAAAGCGGCAGTGGACCGTGGGTATAACGAGTAGTGAGTGGAATTACAAAGAGCAATACGAGCCACGAGTCACGAGTCGCCGGCAGATTCAACGACGTCCACCTCTTGCATTGTAAAACACCATCTCTTTTTCACTCAAACCTTGGACCAAAACACCCAAGCTGCAGAGATAGACAACTTAATCCCCGCTCCCAACCACAATACCCCATATATGTTCCCCGTTGCCTTGGTGATCCAACCTCCCGCAATGGCACCAACCAGAGTAAGCACAAACGCGACGACCCTCCTATCGCGTTTCTCATTCCGCAGCAAAAACAGTTTTGGATCAGACATCAGATCACACAGGAGACTAGTAATAACAACAGTCGGAATCTCGTTGAAACCCAGTGACCGACTGGCAACGATCTGCCCCGCCGACTGAATACTCAGCAGGACAATGGGTACTTCGTGTGTCCACTGCGTTTCAGCATTATGCAGCGAGCTCCCAGGGGGTGCACCGGCTATGACTCCACCTTGGACGAGGCCTGCAGTGATCACTACCATAAGGGCCTGAAGAAAGAAGGAGACAATTAGGGTTAGTCTCTGCTTGGCGCCCAGCAGCCGGTGGAGTCTCGCGAAGAAAAACGATCCGATCACGAAACAGCCAATGGAAGTTAGCGAGCGTGCCCAGCCGTACGGTCTGGGGTTCTGATTGGAAGCGCCCAGGCCAACAAATATAGTGTTTCCTGTGTTTACAACCCCGCCATTTCGTCAGCGGGATCGGCGCGCGGGATATCGGAGGGAAATCGGAGGGAAAATCGCTTGGACTCTTACCGGTCTGCATCGAGACGAAGGTGGTATATGCTGAGGTTAATTTATTTAGCTTGGCGTCCAACTTCCCGACCGTCTTCCTCGACTTTCACATACCGTTGTAGATCGTGCTATCTATCAGGCCTGAGCTGAGACAGCAGGCAAAAAGAGGGATGTCCGCGTGGCGGGCATGGATCTCAGTGCGGAGAAAAGAGGAGAGTTTTCCTCCCTTCCTTTGAGTGGCCATTTTTCAGATGAAAGCAGCCTACCAGCGTGATTGAGATCGGAATGCAGTCTGGAAAAATGGATAATCGGAGGAAATGAAGCACTAGCTTATATGGCGAAGCTGAGGTGGGAAGAAGGTTTTAACCCTCTACTACCGGTTCAATTGTCTGAGACAATATAACCACCGCCAAGAAGCCTAGATACAACCTTTGCAAGAGCCAAGACAGCATTAGTTCTTGTGAATCCTGCACTGATAAGGACAGACCAATCAGTTGGAAGCAGCTAAATTTCTGTTTCTGTCGATCAGGGCGTTCTCCGCAGCTCAGCAATCACATTCGTCCGGGACGGCCCGTGACTAGAATGTAAAGATGAGCACGGAGACAAACTGAAAAACAAGCGAAAATAGTGCCAAGGGTCTTGGCCCTGTGAAAGACAGAATCTGACCAGCGGCGCTCCGACATCCCGATGTACACATGCCCGCGGCAGCATCCAGTGGCTCACGTGGCTTTCGAGATCGTTGTGCTACGCTGATGCCAGCATGGGAAGACTTTTGATCCCGTCGGATCTGTCTATCCGCTGTCGCACAAAAAGTATGAGCCTCTCCGGCGGGGATCTTTCCGGGTGAGCTCACGTTATCATCTGGCAGGGGCCCGTCTTCAGGTCAATTGATACGGATGTTATCCCACATCCAAACGAGCCGCGGAGATTGTCATTACCTGCATCGGCCATTTCCGTTCTCGTTCCCCGCAAAGCCAAGATTTACACAATGAAGGCCAGGCGGACATCTCCAGTTGAGGCAAACTTTCTGGAGACGATTCGACTAGTTTCTGACATTCTTGGCGGTCTGCGAGAAGGCTCGGCATTTTCTTGTCCTGCGGGCCAAGAGAATCGACAGAGGCTGAACCATGCTGCAGTGTGCGAGGTAAGCGCCGAAAAAAAGGACTCTAGGTCTGTCCTTAACCCTCGAAATACCTTGGCCAGGGAGGTCAGCCAGTGTCATACCGCATGTAACGGAGCGCTTAACTGCAGTGATGATACTGCATACTGCGAACTCCTACTCTGTGAGCGTTCGGCTGCTGGTTGCAGATGACATGGCAACATCCGGATATCATCGATACAACCCGGCTTTGATTAATTCTGGACATGAGTCATGAGCGAGAGAAGAATGATGTTGGAGTTGTGGGGGCCGTGGGGTTCGTGAAACGGCCACTCGAACACGCGGCCTTTGTCGAAGCCACAACTTCGAATATAGTAGCTGCATCTCGGCGCAGCTAATGTGCCGGGGTATACAAGATAATCAAACATATGGTTATCGGAGGGCGAATAACGGAAGCCATTGGTAAGCGATGGTGTGATAACACATACTGGGGGGATATCATATAGTTCCGCGCCTGAATTTTCAGAGGTATGACCATTACTGAAGAGTCACGGACCGATACTACCCAAGAACGCACGGGCAAGAGAAAAAAGGTATAAATAGGGCTTTTGATACCCCTCCAGTGCTGCAACTTCTCCCATCATCTTCCATTCTTTTCACAAACTCATAACAGACACTTTGAAGATGAAGACCGAAGTGGCACCCAACTTGGCCATCACCATCACGGTGGAAAAAGACGGCTTTTACGAAGTCAACGGCACCAAGATCGAGCCCTCTGTCTCTATGCACATGCTGGCTGGGGCCAGTAAGCTCCGTCGTCAGCTCCGCGACACGAGTGAACTGATCGTCTGTCCGGGCGTGTACGACGGGCTGTCAGCCCGTATTGCCATGGAGCTGGGCTTCAAGGCCCTATACATGGTATGTCTGAGAACTTCCTTGCCACAACAACCCATACTGAGCCCATGATAGACAGGAGCTGGAACTACGGCATCTCGCCTGGGCATGGCGGACCTAGGTCTCGCCCAGCTTCACGACATGAGGACCAACGCGGAGATGATCGCCAACCTGGACCCGTACGGTCCACCTCTGATAGCGGACATGGATACGGGATATGGAGGTACCATACACCCCATCCATTTCGAGTCAGTCTCGATCCAAAGAAAGAAGAGGCTCTAACCGATACAGGCCCCCTCATGGTCTCCAAGTCCGTCCAACAGTACATCCAAGCCGGCGTCGCAGGCTTCCACATCGAAGACCAGATTCAGAACAAGCGCTGTGGACACTTAGCCGGCAAGAAAGTGGTTGACATCGAAGAGTATCTGACGCGCATCCGGGCCGCCAAGCTAACCAAAGACCGCCTACACTCCGACATCGTGCTGATAGCACGCACCGACGCGCTCCAGCAGCACGGCTACGACGAGTGCATCCGGCGTCTCAAGGCCGCCCGCGAACTCGGTGCCGACGTAGGCCTCCTCGAGGGTTTTACCTCCAAGGAACAGGCACAACAGGCGGTGGATGACCTCGCCCCGTGGCCGTTGCTGTTGAATATGGTGGAAAACGGCGCAGGCCCCGTGATCACGACGCAGGAGGCCCAGGCGATGGGGTTCAGAATCATGATATTCTCGTTTGCGTCCCTTGCACCGGCTTATCTGGGTATTAGGGCTGCGTTGCAGCGCTTGAAGACTGATGGGGTGGTGGGGACCCCTGATGGACTGGGCCCGAAGAAGTTGTTTGAGATCTGTGGGTTGATGGATTCAGTGACGATTGATACCGAGGCTGGGGGGAGTGGGTTTACCAATGGGGTCTAGCACGTGGTTTTGGTTTTGTTCCTCGCGATGTTTAACAACTCGGTCTTTTTAGTACATTTATCTATATCGTGCAGCGTTCGTCGGCTCCAAGAATGAGTAATTTTAAACTTCCACCAGGACGAAAAGAACCAAGAGGTTTCCAGCAAAAAGTAGACGTCAGGGAGTAAGAATCTTGGATAGGGCTATTTCTGAAAGCCTGTTCAAGTTGTTCGTCGTATTGCTTTTTGTCTAGAAGCTTACAGCCAGCGATTTGCGCCACATTCCTTTCCCAGAAAAATGGCAATTTGATATAATCTTCGCAGAAAAAAGGCCGAATTTTTTCTTTTGAAAAAATTGAATAAGCCAGAGGGGCTGGATAGCGCCAATGCATACCAGAAAGTCCCGCTCGACCGACCATCCTCCATGGTAGTAAAAGGGATAGCAGGGTATAGATCTTGGTGTAGTGGAGCCGAGGGCTTCTTCCTCATTTGCCAGAATAGACATAAATGCTCTCCTAGTCTCGTCATATTCTTCCGGAACTAACTCATCCACGCCCTTGTCAGTAAGGCAGTGCGGAGTATGAACCATCTCATGGTTCGAGAGCAGGCCCATTCCAAATACACTAGACAGGTGATATGCCAGTCCGCGTTCACACATATGTTACTTTGGTGTAGATCCATCAGACAGTAGATGAAAGGGCCACGGCAAAATGTCCTTTGGAAAAGAGACTGGAAAACAGCTCGCATCGTAGTGTGCATGAACATTCGATGTACACAGTCACCTAGGTTATTGGTTGATACCGGGAGCGATTATCATGAAGTCTGAATAAATCCACTAGATAACAATTCACAGTTGAATATGTGCAATCGCGACTTATATAAAAGTAGGGATCCTTTCATTCTCCATTTGCTGCATTTCAATCATGAGTGGCCGATTTGTTAATTACAAGAATCCGTCCTTATCAATAATAAAAGATCCAATCCGAGGCGGAGAAATCCGGCTCATACTTAGAATAATCCGAGAGAGATCACGAAAAAGATTTTTTTCGGAGTTTATCGTCGTGTCTTCCATTCATTCAAGTGTTAGAAGAGCATGGCACCTTGCGTTTCCTCAATATACTCGATCAGGAGATAGCCCGTGCCAACAGCATTAGCCATGGTTGTAGCATAGTTACGGACATATTTGGAGGGAACTGGGTCTCTAAGCAAAGACAAAAGGAGGCGACGGAGGGATTGCATCCACCGAGTGATAAGGGGTAGATTTTCAAGTAGCGTGAACTAGACCTGGTTAGTCAAGGCAACCAACAATGGAAACGTTCAATCGATCTCACTAGTTGAGAGACCAAAAACGTATGGTAGTGGAATTAGAGAATCAGGGCAGTTTTCTTGCAGCCACGTACAGGTCTCTGCCTCGCATTGGATCTTTTTATCAGAGTACCCAGGCCTAAAAGCTTCACCAAAGCGATATGGAAGCGGGAAACGACTTAATATGCGTTTCTCGTCCCATGTTTCCCGTCCCAAGACCGTACAATGACAGGAATGCAAACATTGAAGCTTCCATGCAACCAGTCTTTGGTATCAGCCACATGGCACGTTGTAGAAGAGCTTAAACCGAGATGATGTGCTACAACCTCTTTCATCTAAGAACGGTTGGCGTCTAGGTGAGAGATTAATCGGGCTTGTTGATCGTAGTAATCCAGCTGATGGAGGATATTAAATTCTTCCCCCTTGGCAGGTTCGAAGGTAATCTCTCGTCGAAGCAGACGCCGCGTGTTTGGCATGTTGGCGTCCCAGCGGTTGAGATTACTACTACTGTTGACTCTTTCGTGTCTAGGTCGTTGGGCGTGTGCAATGGCGTAGACCACATGATCTGATCAGCAGGGGGTTGATCTGTCTTAAGACTGTCCGATAGGAGGTGAGTACAGTCGCCATGGGTATCCTGGTAATCAGTGTGTATTCTGTGTTTTAGGCCATGTTTCGATGTCCTAACACGGTAGCAAATAGTTATAATGCCTAAATTTGGTATTAAACATAGGATCAATGACCACAGAAATGGGTAGTATTTGACTGTTTGTTACTTGAGTTATACTGAGAAAGAGACTCAAATATATAATAGATCCAACGAAAAACAACCAGAATTGTGCTGTAATCAGGTGACAAACCATGCTTTTAAGTACCCAGTTTGGTTATTCACATTAACTATCATTTACGCAAGATTATAAAAAGTAATGTACAACTAGGTATTAAGACTTCTCTTCTTCATTGTGTGCTGTTTGCAACCAGTTATTGAGAATTAGATTCACTATCACAAAGCCAACTATCTTTTATAGAGATATTGAATATACTTACTAGAAACATATCCTATTTTCACTTGCTAAAAGCTGCTAGCAGAGAGTATTTGTACTTCACACCATCCGATATCAATATAATAATGTCACTGGGTAGTGTAGACTACTAGAGGTCTTCTATTATTTCCTGGGGCCACAGTACCTAAACATCAAGTAGGATGGCTTAACTCTGCAATGAAATGCGACTGCGGTGGGCCTTATAGCCACAACTAGGTCAATATTTGCCATGGACTACTTTAATTTACTCGGTAAGACTGACCATCCGCATAACATTGTCTTCAGTACAGTATAGCCTATAGTAATTGAGGTATACTAGAGTAATATTGCCGGAAGATAAAAGATGTTATAAGAAATAAAAGAACCTATAGATCTCTACCAGTTCATAGTAGCCGCTAGAGATTTGGAAGCGATTAACATATAAGGTAAAGGCGCATGTTATTCTGGATAAATATAAGTTATTAGGTATTGTACATTCCACTCCTCTCGTTGATGTATGATTATAATGTGAGCTGGGTTGAATACTCATGGTTAAAGGGTTATGACTGGGACAGGTCAAGGATATGTATTTATTCAAGCCAAGTACACATTTGGGCCTATGACAAAACCCGGACAAACTCGGTCAATGCTTCGAAGTGCTAAGGTACTTCCTTAGAATACAACTGACGAGAAGGCGTTACTTCTTGTATTATGAGCTGGACATTTCCTCATATTATTATCCAGTCGGAAACGGCTGCGGTGACTCCCATTTATCATTCGGAAGGTATACTATCTCCTCCACACTATGGATGGAGTTGAGTATATTGCATTATAACGTATGCTTAGTAGGATTATGCAACACAGGATGTAAATTGACGATTCATTCCAGTACGCTATTGATTGACATCTTGTTCTTTTATTCTTGTACCTAGGTATTGCTTGCCATGCTTAGAGACTGTGCATATGATATGACATGGTGGGTCGTGTGGGGGACATAAACACCAATGACTTCAGAACTTGACCACATAATATTGTCAGATGCAAGGGGTCACCATGCACTTGACCAGCTATTATGCAATTGGCAGATGATGGCGTCCGGAATGTGGCTGTCTGGAATGCAAGTACCAAGCAATGAGCATGCAAGGGCGCCCAAGAATGTCTGATCAGTACAATAGGAAGTCCGTTCTTTCTTGACTGACGCACCCGGTGTGTCCCACGAGAATCAATATTAGTGGGGCCCGAAGCATCACCATGCCTAATGACCCGCCGCATTTGAAATGCAGCTGAGCTCTCCGGATATGGGCTTATGACTGTTTCGAGCAAATAGGACAGGCGATGGGGCGAGCTGAGGCGGTTATAAGCCTGCGCTCTCGTCTCCCGGGTGTTGCCTCTAGATTTAAGTTTGGATTCTTTCCACAGATCTTGATACAGTCCAGCAAACATGTACTCCCCGTTAATTCTCGCAGCATGCCTCCCAGCAGTGCTCGGATCCGCTGCACCCCCTCCGCCAAACTTTACCTTTGAAGACCTCTGGTCATTGCAGCATAACTTCCTTGACAACTTTCTATATCCAGCCAACACGAAGCAGATCAACGCTACAGACAACTCCGTCTTCGCCGAAAATGTACCCCCCCAAAACACGACCCCCACCAATATCCCTACTAACCCCAACCCCACAGGTCCAAGGCCGCGTCGATATAACCGGCACCTTCGACGGCCGCGAGCTCAACAACGAGTACGTATTCGGCATCTTCTCCCAGCCCGAACGTTTCGGGCTCTTCGGATCGCCCCTCAACTATAGCATCACCCAGTTCGTGGGCAACCAGAACATCGCGGCCTCAACGGCAGTCATCACCATCAACATGACCTCCTTCGGCGGCGTCATCTACCCAGTCACACTCGACACATGGTTCGCATTCGGTCCGGACCGCAAGATTATCCAGTACGATGCCACCTTCCGGTGGTTCGACTACTTCTTCCAGACGCTCGTCGAGGACGCAGGGAGAATGTTCCACATCTCAGAACCGGAGCAGATCCAGGCCAAGATCGCGGATATGCTCGCGAAGAAGATCTGCAAGACGCACGAAGACAGCTGCTTGGGCGAGAACAAGCAGTACGGCAGCCAGGAGGAGTGCTTCAATTTCTTGACTAAGGAGATTCGCTTTGGCAAGCCGTATGAGCTGCGCCGGAATACGCTGTTCTGTCGTGAGGTCCATGAGCATATGGTTTCTTTCCGGCCTAAGGAGCATTGTCCTCATATTGGCCCTGGTGGGGGTGGGTATTGTGTGGATGATATGGATTATACTCAGACTGTTGAGCAGAGGTATTTCCATCAGTCGTGGGTGCCGTATGGGCGTGCGGAGGGCAACATGTGGCAAGCCGAATGATTTGACTCATTTTTTTCGTGTGAATCTTATGGCTTGTTGTGGTATCACATTTTGCTAGTGTTAGTGGAAGTGATAGGAGATGGTGGGCTTAATTTTGTCCTTGTTGTTGTTCCAATGTGATCTGTTTTTGTAATAGAATTCTTGAACACTGTTGGGCAGTAGTTGATCGACCCACGTGGCTAGCATTAGGGTTACTGGTCACACGTGCACTTGCCTGCCAGTGGCTCGACAACGCCGTAAACATAAAAGCGTACAGTTTACCCATTCAAGATTATTAAAATGTCTTTCCAGGCTGGGTAAAAGACGTGGACGAGGCATCTAAACTGTCCACTCATGACGATCAACTATATCTATGCTCGTGAAGACTGTACATAACCTATTCCGAACAAACACCATACTTTCAAGGCTATGTACATATCTGATTTGCGCCTCGGGAAATCACGCCCGCTTCACAATAGGGTGCATCTTGCTGAAGACATTGGTTGGATCATACTGTGCCTTGACCTTCTGCAGACGAGGAAGATTCTCGCCGTAGATGTTGTTCACCACCACATCGCCCGCTAGTGAAGTCAGTATTATGTTTCTATATTGGGTAGGAAGATACTCACGTTCAGCGTAGTTAATATATTGCGGGACATCGCCCGTGCCAGCACCCACCTGGGCATCGAACTGCGCCTTGAACTTCGCCTGCAGCTCGCGGGCCCAGCCGCGGTAGAACCCATCCTTGCTTTCGTCGTTCCACCGCAGGTTGAGCAGCCCGTTTAGCGACGGCATGCGGTTAGCAAAGGCAGTCGACGCGAGCGGCACACTGCACGTCTTGCGCATATCGTAGAACTCAAGTAAGATAGCCGGAACCAGATCTTCATGAGCGGCGTTCAGAGCGCAAAACTCCTCAAACACCCCGCGGATGAATTTCGTGTCGAGCGGCGGCTGGAAGTACACACCCTTGAACGATTTTCGCCCGCCGTACGTGGCCATCGGGTTCTGCAACGAGTTGAGCTGGTCGTACGGGATCACGTTGATGGTGTTGACGACGGGCTCGAGGGAGAGAAGTTGCGCAAAGCGCCGCTCCCCCTCCTCGCGGGTACCATTGTAGAAGGCCAGCACGTTGACCATCGGGCACGGGGCACCAGGCGGCTGAGCAAAGATGCACATGGCGCCCGCCCGGGGGTCCGGATTCTGAAGCGTGGCGTTGAGGGACTCAATGACAGCTTCGAGCTTCTCCGGCGGGAACGCGACGATGCCCGCCCAGATGGGGTTGGGCTGGTCATGTGCCTGGAACACAAACTCGGTGACCACGCCGAAGTTGTATCCCGCGCCGCGCAACGCCCAGTACAGGTCCTCGTGCTCGGTGGCTGACGCGCGCACCGTGGTCCCGTCAGCGAGGACCACCGTCGCTGCTAGGAGGTTGTCGATCGTCAGGCCGTGTTCGCCGCTCAGCCAGCCGTAGCCTCCGCCCAGCGTCAGACCGCCAACGCCGGTGTGGTTGACTGTGCCGCCGACTGCTGCCAGGCCGTATTTGGCGGCTTTCTCGTCAACGTCTTTCCAGACGGCTCCGCCGCCGACGCTGACGGTTTTGTTAGTGACATCGACGGTGACCGTGTTCATGCGCGACAGGTCGATCACCAGGCCGCCGGCGCTGGAACTGGTTCCCGCCACGGAGTGCCCACCCCCTTTGACGGCGAGATCGACGCCGTGTTCCTGCGCCCAGAGAAGCGCAGTGCGCACGTCATCTGCATCGGTAGGCTGGGCTACCACGCCCTGTTGAGCTGTCAGTATGCATTATTCGAGTTGAGAAGGTGCGGGGTAATGGTTACCGCCTGTTTAATTCCCGTGTCGGACCATCGACGAATGGCATCCTGGTAACCATCTGAATCGGGTGTGTATATGGTCGAATTTTTGAGCGAGCCCTTGAGGGATTGAAGGGCGGATTCGTTGATTGAAGCCATGTTTAGTGTTGACAGGGGTGTTGTTTAGGGGGAGTAGGAAAAGGCCAACACACCGCGGGATGAAGGACTGCTGGCGGGGCCAAATCTTGGCATCATCACCGGCTTCACATAGCGCCCTTTTGGGTGGATCGAAATGGGCTGGTGTCATTTACCGAATTGGGGATCCTTGTTGTACCTTATTTTCGGCTTATTTCCGGTGGACTTGACGTTGCTTGTAAAATTTTGGCTGGGGAGGTAGGGTACTGTATACCAGTATGGTTAACACATCTCGCCTTTCCTGATATTTTTCGTGGTAAGGAGGAAAGGGGTGGGAAGAAAAGAAAAGAAAAAGAGGAAAAGCATAAAAAAGGGGCTATATTAGAGACGTAGATACGTCCATATAGCTACCATCTTAGATCTACTATCAATGCAAGCTCCAAAAGAGTCTCCCTTTCCAACGTACGTAGGCAACTGATAAAATGGCACTAGGAAGGATAGAGTAGTCTGCAATATTCTGCAGATGCCAGGAACAGCTTCTAGTCCATATCTAGTATCGATCACTTAAGATCCAACCTTGTTGATCCCACTGGTGGAATCGGATCATCGATATTTCCTTCTAGATTCACCACACCGAGACCCGAGGGAATGCCACATTTCTTCTTGAACATATTTCGGTCCACCAACCATAATTGAATATCATTGTATGAGAAATAAAAGTCTCTTACATTATTCTTCCAGGTAACCCCAAATTGCGAAACGAAGCCACGAGAAATGCTCTTCAAACATCCGATCTAGCCGTTTCATGTTGGTAGAATATTAAATCCACCAATGAACATATCTCCAGAATTGAACCCTAATATTCAAGTCTCGGGTAATAGTCAACCGAGGACAGATCCATTCTAAATGCCGAGTTCGAGTCTAGTATCTCAATGAACCGAGAGACTGCGAGACTGAGAATATAAGTTCGAAGACCCCATACAACCTTGTCATTCATGTTCAGTAACTGACCGATACCCACCATGCATATTACACTCAACGTTATAATAGCCTTAATCAGCGGTGCAAGTGCCGCCGGTGTTACTGGCGCCGCTGAAGGGTTTGCAAAGGGCGTCACCGGCGGTGGCGATGCCGCTGCTGTCTACCCCAGCACCACCGAGGAGCTCGTCTCGTACCTGGGAGACAGTTCACCGCGTGTCATCGTATTGGAGAAGACGTATGTCAGCCTTCTTCGACGGATAATGTGATACTCACATCTTTTAGGTTCGATTTTACCGGCACTGAAGACACCACTTCTGGTACAGGCTGCGCCCCGTGGGGAACAGACGAGGGGTGCCAACTGGCTATTAACCAAAACGATTGGTGCTCTAACTACGAGTCTGATGCGCCTTCGGTTGATGTCTCATAGTATGTCTTCCAGAGTTCTTCATAGTGTTTTGTTTCATTGGAGGATGTGCTGATTATGTCTGGGAAGTGACAACGCCGGTCTGCTCGGGATCACGGTGGCATCCGACAAATCTCTCATTGGCTCTGGGACTAGCGGTGTGATCAAAGGAAAAGGGTTGCGGATTGTCAGCGGCGCAAGCAATATTATCATTCAGTATGAAGCACCGAAGTCTCAAGAGAAAAGAGAGAGAGAGAGAGAGAGACAATGCTGACGGCAACAGAAACATCGCTATTACCGACATAAACCCCAAATACGTCTGGGGTGGAGATGCCATCACGCTCAACGACTGCGACATGGTCTGGATTGACCACGTCACTGTATGTATCTTGGTTCCGCTTCCTAAAACTGAACATTTCTCATCATCAAACCAGACTGCTCGAATCGGTCGCCAACACCTAGTCCTCGGGAACGAGGCCTCCAACCGCGTTACCGTTTCAAACTCATACTTCAATGGCGAGTCTGAGTATTCAGCCACCTGCGACGGCTATCACTACTGGGGCATTTACCTAGCAGGGTCGAACGACATGGTTACCCTGAAAGGGAACTACATCTACCATATGAGTGGACGTAGCCCTAAGATCGACGGCAACACCCTTCTGCATGCGGTATAACCCCTTCTCCACCCTCCCTCCCCCTTTCTTTTGGCACTCCTTTTACTCACCACAGATACACTACTAACACAATACAAATCGTCCCAGGTGAACAATTACTGGAAAGATTCCTCCGGACACTCCTTTGAGATCGGCTCCGGCAGCAATATCCTCGCCGAGGGAAACTACTTCGAGGATATCCCGACCATCATGGAATCAAATGGCAGTCAGCTTTTCACGTCGCCTGATGATGCGGCGAACCAGGCCTGCAGTGCGACTCTGGGCCGCGCGTGCGAAGTGAATGGGTTTGAGAGCTCGGGGGAGTTCAGCTCGAGTGATTCGGACCTCTTGGCCAACTTTGAGGGAAAGAATGTTGCCGCTGCTTCTGCTTTTACGGAGGCCCAGGGTAGTGTTCCCGGCAGTGCGGGACAGGGAAAGCTGTAATAAATAGCAGATGCAAATAGGAATTTTGGTGTAATCCTCGGTCGAGAAGATTCTATTTTGCATTTATTATGGTGATTATCTTGATTGAAATAAACAGATTTACAATACCCATCTCCGTGCCATTTCGATCCCCTCGGCCAGAGCCACGACTCGTGTCTCTATCGCGTGCCCTTCACTTTCTAGTCGCTTTATCTCCGAGAAGAGAGACCTGAGCGGCAGGCTGAAGCACTCGATAAATTCGTCTTCTTCCCGCTCGGGAACAGGGTGTTGATTCTCCGGCAGGGAGAGATCCACGTTGACATATGCGAGGTTGAAACAGTTATTACTGAGTCCGGGCGCTACAAACAGTCAAAAATACTTCCATCATCGGGAAGAGAATACGACACTCACAGTTGAACAAGACACCTGTACGGCTGTCGAAAACCCCAACATACCCGGTTTCCTCCTTCAGCTCCCGGACCGCACACTGCTCAGGCGTTTCCCCCGCATCGATCAGCCCACCTGGTAACTCTATCGCGACCTTGTCGAGCGTAGGCCGGTATTGCTTCAACAGGAGCAGTTCTGGTCCGGCCGGTTGATTCAACACGGACACGATGCTGACCCCGTCGATGATGCTGTCTTTCGGCCGAGTCTGTCGTCCACTGGTCAGTCCTGCGCACGCGGTGACACTGCGATGAAGGGTAGTCTACCTGCATCTCCGCGGCTTCCCACGTCCGCGCAACCCCGTTCGGGTCCGCATATGTGATCTTGACGAGTCGTTTCCATTCGGCTTCTTTGCCATCCTGTGTGCGTGAGTCACGTGATGTGACATCAGAACGGCTGACCTACCAATGGGCATCGCGAGATCACCCTGGGGTTTCTGGGTTTTTGATCAGACATGTTGTGTCTTGAGCTGAGAGAACGCCGCTGTTCGAAGTGTTCCGATTGGTTGTTTGCGATAGATACGTGATATACGAGGTGGAAAGCAGGAATGAATTCACCGGCGGGGTCTCAAGTGCGGGCGGGGCAGTGATTGTTGATGATCAAGGGATTATGGATGACGCAATTCAAGGATAGTTGTAGTAGACTTTATTGAGCAGATCAATGGTGATAGTAGCAAATTGGCAAACAGACTTCTTCCTGATTAGTGTTCAGGTAAGTGACGAAGCCAAGAGTGAAGTCACCCGCTGCTGGCTGGCTGGTGTGGTCCGGTCGGAAAGGCGGAAAAACCGCGGGGAGAAAGAAGAGCCTGAGGACGGAAAAGGGAAACCAAAAACACCCAAAAACACAACCTTAATCCAACATCAACAACCACCCGGAACCATGACCAAACGCGTGTCGATCCTCTGCTTCGGCAACTCCCTGACAGCGGGGTACTACCAGTTCGGTCTGGACTATCATCCTTACGCGTGGAAGCTTGAATCCCGGCTAAAGACTGCCTTTCCATCCCACACCTTCCTGGTGAACGCCGAGGGGTTGCCTGGTGATCTGGCTATCGGGCCTCCAGGGCGTTTCTTGCCCCGCATCCAGGAAAAGTGTATGTCCATCTTCATTACTGATCTAATACTATCTATATACTATTTTATCATCTCATTATTTCACTACTTTACTGCTCGACTCCAATAATGGCCCCCCACCTGTTCGTCGCACTACTGACCTGATAAGGCGGCGAGCGACACTATGACTGGGTGATCGTCCTAGGCGGCACAAAGTCAGACACCCTTTATATACCCCCTCCCTTCTAAATCTCCTCTCCCCCTGTCAGCATGCTGATCCTTTTTGACCCCCGCGGCACAGCGACCTGGGGTACGGCTACTCACCCGAACGCATCTACCCCGCGCTGCAAGATGCCTGGAACGTAGCTCTCACCGGTGGGTCGAAAGTGCTAGCACTCACGATACCGGAATGCGCCGCCAAGAACGCCGCGCTGGATTCGAAGCGCGCGGATCTGAACGCGCGCATCTTGGCCCATGAGGCGGAGCGATTGTGAGGATTTCTTGCCTTCCTGGATTGCATTCTTTTTGTTCTCTCGTCTCTCTTATGTGGCGGACTCTTGATATTATTCATTGTGTTCTAACCAAATGGCAGCCACGCATTTGATCTCCACGCCAAAATCCCTTACCATGCATCCTCCGAGGAATTCAAAGAGAAGATGTGGGATGACGGGTTGCATTTGACGCCCCATGGGTACGACCTTGTGGGCAATGAGGTGGCCGATCACTTGATAGAGCTGATTCAGTCGAGTGGTGGGCTAGAGGCTTAGATCGGGTCATGGGATCTGCTTGGTTTGCATGTGCCTGGCTATGTAGACAGCGCTTTTATGGTTTCCGTTGCCGATGCAGTCTTCTGTTTCCCCATCCTTGTTTCCCAGTTGATTGTTGTGTCTTGATCTTGCACTCACTTGATATGGATACTAGCGTCCTTGCATACAGCATACTGATATTCTCGTCTAGCGAATTCTAAGGATCATCCTGGGTGTCCTACTAAACAACTCTAGTAGAACGAACTGATCAGCAGCCAAGAATCATCCCGAATCAATGTCTATCGCAGGATCGATTGAGATTCAGATCGCACCGAGACCTAGATCCTATCCAACAAACCAACACTCGATCCAATCTTCAACACGTGTCATAACCAAGCCACACGGCTCAGCCAACTCCGTCTACGAAACCCGCACTGACACAAATACCACCAGTAAGCTCGTAGAAGTATAATCTGCCTCAGTCTCACGCCAGTATGTCAGCCTGCCAGTCCACGTGATAAGACAAGGCTCAACCCGACTGTGTAAATGCTTTATCAGCCAACTACGCAACTCCACGTTGACAAGGCGGTGCACGGACGGGCTGGTGAACAACCTCCACGGGCGTCGGCACGACGCGGCCAGCCGCGCTATCGAACCCTGGTTGCCAAGCTTTATTCGAAGAGATGACCCGTAAGCTGAGCTCAGATGGACGTGGAATGGTAAGGAACGGTAGCACTGCGGCCAGGAGGCTCAACCGAGCGAGAGCGCATAAATTGACGGGTTGTACCCTGTTTCCTAGGGTGTCCTTGCATCCTGTGCCTCTCGTGCTGAAAGTGAATCTCAAGGCTTTGATCTATTTATTTGTCGAACATCCTACGGATCAGGCAAGTTGCGTTGAGGAGATCCCGACGTATACGAGCACTAACATAACTTTTCCAGATCCAAAAAATCCACTTCCTCCTTCTCGACTGGCAAACAATGTGCTTTCAACAGGTGACCTATTCCTGTGGCCATGTCGGCTCGTCGCAGTCGATTTCGTGTTCGTGTGGCAATAGGAGGTCTCCTGATATGACGTACGGATTGAGATGTAGTGATAATTGTGCGGGGTCCTCGTCGAAGTGATTGTCTTTATATTTGCGTTGAGATAGATATGGTTTGTTGGAGGACTAGGAGATGGGGTTGGATGATGGGGGTTTGTGTTGCATACCAGACTGTTTACTTTATGATATCGAAGGATAGCGAGGGCTAATTGTATTCTTTGTATCTCAAATTGGCCAGATAATGAACAGGCGAGGCGTTCGACCAAGATGCGATTGATAAGAATTCTGCCATAACACAGATAACTTTCTACTGCAGCTTCTGCCGCGAATACTTCTCATACAGCTCCGGATACCATCTCTGTCCAACGTCGGGATGGCTCAGGATGCGGTTCCGCATGTACGCCTCCCCAAACTATACAGCCGTTAGCGATAGTATTCAAAGAAACGAGATAGTAGAGAGTACTAACGCATGAATACAAAGGTGACAAAAACTCGCTCGGCACGTCAACCGCCTGCTTCTTCTTATCATCGGATGCCGGAATGCGCTGAACAATATGAGCGGCAGATTCTCGCAGCTCCTCGGTAGTCAGATCCATGCGCACAGCCAGGAAGAAAGCGATGCTGTGTCTTGTTTTGGTGGTCGGTGCCTTCGCCACGTTAGCTTCATTTATGACTCCAAACGAGGAGTGGGGAAAAGAACACACGACAACACGATGCGTCGTCGCCGCACAAACACCCCCCGTGATCGCCTCCAGCCCCTGCTGAATATTTACAACCAAGCTCCCCTCAACAGGGGGCGCATTGATCCACTCCCCATTCTTGTTCAAAACCTGCAAACCACCCGTGTCATCCTGCGACAGGAATGTGAACAGACCTGACGAGTCCTTGTGGGGTCCAACGCCCTGCGAGCCAGGCGCCGCCTGCGGGTACTTAATGAACTTGAGACGGTCCATTTCGCCCTTGAAGGACGCGAAGGTCGTTGGCGGCAGAGACAAGCACTCGGACACGCACTCCATGAACTTCTGCGATAGCTCGGCCGACCGCGCCATGTACTCTTCGACCAGAGCCTGCGCGCCTGGATGATCCGGGTACTGGTTGTCGCCTTCGAGGCGCTGCCAGAGGGGATCGTCTTTCTCGGACCAGGGCTTCATGCCAGGGGTCCCGAAGTCGAATTGCTGATGCTTGCTTAGTTTTTTTTTTTTTTTTTTCCCAGTGACAGAGAGGAAGGAGGGGGGGTACCTCGCGCAGGTCGGTCTTCGAGGCCGTGGTCTCCGCGCCGAGACGTGTGTATCCCAGAAATGAAGGCGAATTGACCATGTTGACTCTGTTTTTGACATCGTCGGGCAAAGCGAACAGGTCTGGTAATTCGGCGTGCGCGCGCCGCACCAGGTCCTGTTTCGGTCAGTATGAATTTGATTCATTTATCCATTTATTTCATATCATGCAATATCTGATTTCAGATCCAAGTTGTTGTTTTGGGGCGGTTGATCGGGTATACGGAAAGGTCCCATACCTCGAGACCATGATTGGTCAGGTACAGAAACCCCACCACGAAGATGGCATCGCGCAGCTTCTCAAGCGCCTGTGGCTTGGTTGCGGGGTCTTGCAATTGACCGAAGTCAATAAATGGGATGGAGGTGAAAGTCTCTGACATTTCTGCTGGGTTGTTGTGGCGGGAGAGGAATTGCGGGGTTGGCCGAAACACTTTTCGGATGGTGTCATCCTCGGCTGTGGATCCGATTTTGATATCGCCATTTCGGGATCATGTCAGAACAATATGTTCATCACTGGGGTTGGGTTCACGCTTTACTAGAATGAAATTTGTAAAAACAGTCCTATAAGTGTTGAATGTCTTTAATATATCAAGTCTCGGTTGCGTTAAGGAGTTATCAAGAATTAACGGTCTTGAACAAACTCTGTGTATATTTGGTTGGAAGCATTTGTTTACGACCAGGAATCTAGGTGTTGGCTTCGTTCTTAAGAGAGACTACTCTATTCTACAGGCAGCTCACCACCATATATCATATATGGGACCTTCAACCCCAGATCTCCCACCAGACCAGGTGGAATGTAGGTGCCACCGTTCCGCTCAAAAGCCATAACAGCCGTATCAAAATCAGGCATCTTGCCCGTGTGTTCCGACCACAGTCGGAACTGAACCCTGAAACTATCCTGCATGGCTTCCCACTCCGCATGCGAGTCATCCGTTTCCTGCATCGCGGCCATTGTAAGACGAAGCGCCTCTTCGATGTCTAAAATGTCGTTGGTCTTTTCATAGAGCCTCTGAAAGGCGCGGGCGACACCTAATAGCTGTTGCGCCTTATCCTCCGCGTTATCTTGGACAAGCATCTGGAAAATGTGGCTCCTTTCGAGAATACCTTTTTTGGGTTGCGGTACATTGCCTGTCTTGCTGAAGTATAATTTTGCGTGTATCCGCAAATTATGATATGCAATGTGCTTAGCAGAAATTGGATGGCCTTTTAGCGGCGTCGTCGGCGCGAATTCCACAGCAGTGGTTCCATATTCAACCGCTTTTGCCATATCTTCTGGGGAGCTCGTCAGCTGATAGCGGCGCCCGAATGCAGCCGCGAGCTCGTGGGCAGGGTCGAACTTTTCTTCATCACTGTCCGAGACAGCAAGTAACGATTCAAAGATACCGATGAAGCTGTCCAGGTCTGAATTGAGCTGCGTTTTTTCGAACCGCTTGTCGAGTAATTGGGCCAAGTCCCTCCGCAGGGCCCTTCCGAGAGGGTGTTCTATTGGCGCGATGAAAACTGCACGCTGTGCCACACCAATTGCTTCATCTAGGTATTTTGAGTGCTCTGTATGCTTGTACCCAGCACTGTACAAGGCAGACAGGATCTTCAGCAGAAACGCATGACCCGGGCTACCTGTCTGGATGAGATCGAGCATTGGGACGACGATTTCGATAGAATCTTCAATTGGTATTTCCCCTTTCCTCTCACGATATCGAAAGCAGAGGATGCGTTCTAGATTTATAAAGTAGACCTGTGCGCCTTCCACATGCGGCTGACGGATGGTGATATTCACAGCAGTTTTGATCGCATTCACGGCCTCGTCTAAGTCATTAGAGCCACCGTTAGAGGCCTGATATCGCTGCTGGTAGCAGGAAGCGAGAACGCAGAGAGCCCCTGCTTTGTCCCCTTCGTGTCTGGACGGGTCCTGGACCGAAGCTTTTGCGTGTTTGATGGCCGCGTCGATATGTTCCTGGGCAGATGTGGTACTGAATTTTTCTAGCTCTTCGAGAGCAAGCTTGAGGTCTTCCTGCGACGAGGGGCTTGTGGATTTTGATGGTATAGACATAATTGATTATGAGACGGTCAAGTCCATTCACAACATACTCTATCCAAGAATAAGCTGGTTCAGGGAGACAGACCAACGATAGACGTCTAAAGGCTGACGTTTTCCGCCCCACTTGGGTTTGCTAGTGGGTGAAAAAGCTGAGCGGGGTTGCTTGTTCGTTGAGCGTGCTAGGGGCAGAAGTCGACGTCGTGGATTATATGGACGGTCTCCTCGGCGTTGATAGAAAATTAGCTCACGCGCAATGGCGGTCGATATGAATAATATATTCCACGATTCTGTGGCTGAATGCCCCGTATGCCTTGACTTAAACAGAGAGTACCTCCGTCGTCAATGGCGTTCTGTTGGTGGACTGTTTGGGGCGGAGTCCGAACACTCTGTGACTCTCAAGCGTCTTTCAGAGAGCTTGGCATCAACAGGTTGTGCAGGATGTGCTTTGATTTCCAGCGCCGCAGACAAAATCAAAGAAGAGTTCGGCGTGGGATTTAGAAACGTTGCGGTTGAGTTTCTTGACAACGAGCAAACATCAGGCCTCTCAATAACACTGACAATGCTACACCCAATCCATACTCAACCGGGAGACTGGGAGAGAGCACATGATAATCCTGACTTAAAAATTATCACCTGTACGGGGCCCAGCGAGAAGAATCCTAACCGAGAATGGGAGTATAAGATATCCTCGCCAGGGTATGAGGTATTTCTGCCATTCGTCGCGACGGAAAGTGAGTTTCGCTTGCAAATCACTGAGAGCGCAAGAATTTTACTGACGGTCAAAGCTACAGAGACAGACTCGCATTCTACGTGGAACAGCATTCTCCGACGGCCCTCCCGATGTGGAAACACAGGGGACGATAAAGCTCTCCGATTCACGCGCTCAAAGCTAAGCGACTGCCAGGAAAACCATTTGGAATGCAACCTAGAAGAGCGGGACTGGGGTCTTCCAACAAGGGTTCTGGACCTGGGTGACAGAGTCAGCCCGTTGACGTCCGATACGAGGCTCTATGTGACGCATAGGGAGCCGGAAGCATACGTCTGTCTCAGTCATTGCTGGGGCTCAGATGGAGGATCGAGGCCTTTAGAAACGACAGTCGAAACACTGTCCGAGTTTGAGCAGGGAATCTCGTACCAAAATCTGCCAAAGACATTCCAAGATGCGGTCGTTTTCACGCGAAAGCTAGGGTACCGTTTTCTCTGGATTGACTCGCTGTGTATTGTCCAAGATGACAACGACGACTGGCTGAGGGAAGCCGGACGCATGGCCAGTATCTATGAGAATGCAGATCTAACACTGGCTGCAGCTTCGTCGTCAAACAGCAAGGGTGGTCTATTCTTCAAGACGATTCCTGAGTCCCTCATCGAGGGGAACGAGCATGAAGAACTACATCCTGCACTTCGTCGATTCTCGGATCCATCATTCTTTGAGTATGGCCGTCGTCAATCGCTTGTAGAAAAGTCAGGCCCGGACGTTAGCTCTCCGCTAATAAAGCGTGCTTGGATATATCAAGAACGCATCCTCTCTCGCCGCATGCTGTACTTCACGCCGCTGGAGCTCGTCTTTGAGTGTCGAGACTCAAATAGTTCCGAGTCTGGCTATCAGTGGATTGATTCTAGCTGTAAACATGCCTTCACGCCTGTTTACAGCGCAAAGATCTCTGGCGAATTGGTTCCATCCCTGTGGCGCAAAGTGGTGAGCGACTTTACCCAGCTTGAGCTCACTCTAAACAAGGACACATTACCAGCCATAGCCGGTGTTGCCACGAGATTTTCCAAACGATTAGAGGGAGAAAACCCCATCGGCTATCTAGCCGGTGCGTGGAGAGAGACATTTATTCAAGACATGCTCTGGGAGGCAGATTCCCGTACAGCTGGTAGCTCGTCGCGCATCGACGCCGGCATACCCTCCTGGTCCTGGGCTCGGAGTGACCTGCCTAAAACTTACCAAGATACGAATTACCTGCATGCCCTCTGTCACCTCGAAGATGCAGTCTGCGTCCCTCTTGATTCCACAGGCAATTTTTTCACCGGCGTGAGCTCTGGCTACGCCGTTCTTTCCGGGCACTTGCTACCGGCAACAATGAGGTGCGCTGGTATGGTGGTCGATCAGAACCCGAGGGTGCACTACCAGCCGGATAGGGACTACGCCTGGTTTGACGAAGGACCCGATAAAGTCAACGTTGGGGACGAGTTGTTCGTGCTCCCGCTGTTGGTGTCACAGACTGATCATGATCTTCGTATCCATGCGCTCGTTCTCCGACGCTGTAGCAGCAACAGCGACGCCTTCATACGGATTGGTATCTTTGGGATGCCAATTTCGGTGCACCATCTTCAAAGTCATAATTATATCTTTGAGGGGTCTGACGTATGTCTCAAGATGTACAAAAAGCTAGTTACATTCGGAGAATCATTGCTAGGACCGGATGGTTTGTATCGCGTCCCAGAAAAGGCTAACCCGCTCTGGCTCCAGCCTGAGTTCGAGAGTTCGCAATCCAGTTTCCGGGCCCAGGCGAACTATCTTCATCTTTGTTTGTATGGGCCTAAGGCAGAGTTCAAGTTCAATGAGTTCTTCGGTCAGATGCATCTAGACAAGTTGAGGTTTGCAATGAAGGCCGAGATGGAAAGGGTAGAAGAATGGCGCTGTCGAGAAGCAGGAGGGGAAGTGCAGGTTCATCCGAGGAGTTTGATTAAGATAGTATGAGGTATTTGAGAATATTTGTTGGAGTATAGACTCCTTAATATCCCGAATCGGAAGTTTTGGAAATCAATATACTCTATGCTATGGATATGTTCAGTCAAGTAGGGGTCACTGGCACAGCTGGAAGAACACAGCTCGGCTTGTATCACTCTCACGAGTCACTGCGTACTCTACTGGAGGGTTTAATAAAATAATATTACTACTTCCTTTCTGTTAAGCTAGAAGCTGTCACGGGAATCAAAATCTGGAGGTGAATCAATATGCCACCAATCACGCAAATCCGACCCCTGCTACCCCAGTGTATGATCCCAAAATGGGATTAATATCACCCATCGCTGATTCTCACGAAGCCTCGTCAAGCTAACTGGTGGATTATCCAGCACAATGACCTTATTCTGTTTGATAAAACTTTATTGGCCACTAAATGCACCCCTGAAGAAAGGTAAGGCATATGCCACGACGATCTAAGCCCTATAAACTACAAAAACTATATCCAGCCGCGTGGACAAATCTCGGTCCATAATATCCCACCTCTAACACCCATTCCCGGTTGAACCATGACAGAACTGACGTTCGTCACGATTATGTCTCAGCGATCTATCTCAAGCAGATCAAGTCTCCACGTAAAGGACTAGCAGGGGTGTCGCGGCCCATCTCAAACAACCGGTCCCATTAGTGGAAGTTCTCCTGTCTCAACCACGTTCCTGTCATAGCTTGCTACAAGCTCTTGAGACGGGTAGCTGAGACAAAGCTATCCTTGGGTCGGAACCCTCGGGATGGGGCCATTCGCGGAATTTCTCGGTCGTCTGCCGAAACCGACTTTGCTGCTTTCAAGGTCGTATGGGGAAAACTTTTCCACCTATTGAATGGGCTTCTCCAATTTGGGCTAGGGATAGAGTTTCTAGAGATTGATTGTCAGGAGAGCAACACCGTCCTGGGAACTATGGATACAGATGCATGGTGTTGAGGACAAATATATATAAAGGCCCTGTGCTGGCAGGAGTTATTCGACTATCCAGCAGCAGTCTCCTTCTAAACTGTCCAATATTGACTACTATCTACCACGTCGGTCATCTTCCGAAACACTCACCATGAACAACAAGCTGGTTCTCGCCCTGACTGCCCTCCTGTCTCAACAGGCTCTGGCAGTCCCCACCGCAACCATCGAGAAGCGCGCCTCCGCTGATGACGTTTGTCTCCCTCCCATCCCGCCTGCATAACAAACTACATGCACAGATGGCAGTTGAGAAACATGCTAATTCCTAATAGAAAGCATTCGGCTTCGCCTCCCTCAACGGCGGTACCACCGGCGGCGCAGGCGGCACTACCACCACCGTCTCCGACTACGCGGCCTTCACCGAAGCCGTGACCAACGACGAGCCCAAGGTGGTTGTCGTGTCCGGCACGATCAAGGAAGCCGCCGACCAGGTCAAAGTAGGCAGCAACACGAGCATCCTCGGCGAGGACGACAGCGCTGTGCTCGACGGCTTCGGTCTGCTCGTCAAGGAGAAGAAGAATGTTATCATTCGCAACCTGGGCGTGCGCAATGTGCTGGCTGATAATGGAGATGGGATTGGTGTTCGTATGTTTTCTCTTCCTTTATTGATGTCTTGCTTGGCTGTACAGTGGTTGTGGGGATACAGATTTCTAACAAGAAGCAGAGATCTCGACCAACGTGTGGATCGACCACTGCGATCTGTCGTCCGACAGGGACCACGACAAGGACTACTACGACGGGCTGATCGACGTATGACCCCAATACACCATATCAACAACCCCATCTTTCTCCATATATCATACTAACCCAACCCCCAGTTCACCCACGCTGCCGACTATGTCACCGTCAGCAACAGCCACATCCACGACCACTGGAAGGCCTCCCTCGTCGGGCACAGCAACAGCAACGAAGAAGAAGACACCGGCCACCTGCGCATCACCTACGCCAACAACCACTGGGCGAACATCAACTCGCGTGCTCCGTCCTTCCGCTTCGGCACGGGCCACGTCTATAACAGCTACTTCGAGGCCGTCAACGACGGCATCAACACACGACTGGGCGCGCAGCTTCTCGTCGAGAGCAACGTCTTCGTCGACGCTAAGAAGCCGCTCTATGCGACTGATGAGGGCTTCGCTGTTGAGAGGGATAATGACTTTGGGAGCGCGGAGAATGCGGCGCCTGAGGGGACGCTTACGGAGGTGCCGTATGAGTATACCCTGCTTGGCTCGGGTAAGGTTAAGGAGGCGGTTGTTGGTGTTGCGGGGCAGACTTTGAATTTTGGAGCTTGATTTTGGAAATTACTCTTATCTGTGCGTACATAGTGTCCTGGGGGGCTTCGGTGGGGATGAGTCTTGGATAGTGGCTGGCTTGAAGTAGCAATGCAATCATGGTATAGCAGTATAATATACACGCGTAGAAAATACATGTCGTTCCACATAGGAAAGAGATAGAAAAAGAGTATGTGGTGCGTTGGGGTAGCGGTCAATAACCACATGAGAAAAGAAACGAACATAAGAAACAAACCGAGAACAGTCCCAGCATGAAAAGTTAAAATAATATAGTTAAATACCCAACCTCTTTAACTCCTTCTCCACGGTATACAACCTCTCCCCAGAAGGCGAATACACCTCATCACCAGAAGAAAACGCACTCGTTCCTTCCCCATCAGGGATCTTAATCGCCGAAGCGTCATACTCCCATGCCGCCTGACGCTCGTCCCGCGAGTGCCGTAGATGGAACGGCAGCGTCCACTCCTTCAGTCGACCCTCTAGCATGCTCATGTCGCGATTCTTGTCCCACATGCGTCGGGATGCCTTGAAGGCGCTCTGTACTGTGTCGCGTCGTAATGACTCGTATGCCCGGAAGGCGGCGCGTGGATGCTCGTATCGGTGGCGGGCGAGTGTGCGGGAGAAGAGGATGGCGTCGTCGAGAGCATAAGCGGCGGATTCGTCGCGAGGAGGCATCTATGTTTGTTAGTTCGATTCATGGAATACAATAGGACGAGAAGTGTGGAAGGGGGGGGGGGGGTCTAAGACATACGGCGTGTGCGGCGTCCCCGAGCAACAGAGCCCGGTCGGTGTGCCACTTCCCATTCGGTGGTACCTGGTATACCGGATAAAGGATCCAGTCGGCGTGGGTGCAGGCCAGCTCGCGGATGCAGGGCAGAGCAGACTTGCCGAAGCGGATGCGCATCTCCTCGGCTAGAGCGCGCTTGATGGCGGAACGGGTGCGCCAGTCCTGCCCGTTGTCGAGACGGTAGTCGGAGAGCAGCTGCTCGTCGAACTGCACGATCGCGGCTAGGAAGATCTGTTCGCGGTCGCGGTCGCAGTAGCTGGTGAGGAGGGAGCCGTGGCGTGAGATGTTCATGGCTGAAGCGTTAAAGTGGACCTTCGATTGCAGGGCGTCGGTGTCGACGATGCTCTGGAGGAAGGAGATGCCCGTGTATTGTGAATGACACTCGGGCGCCACCCAGCGGGTGCGTGTCGCTGAGTGCACTCCGTCGCAGCCCAGCACGAGGTCGCCCTGTGCGGTAGTGCCGTCTTCGAAGTGCAGCTTGCCACCGTCTTCCAGGTCCTCGCCGCGCACCAACTTCTTGCCGAACTCAATGCTAATATTCTTGGTGCGTTCGGCCACCGAGAGCATGGCGAGGGACAGCACAATGCGCATCACGCGTCGGCCTTTGTAGCCGCCGACGCCGTTCCCGCACCGGTCTGTGAAGTCGATCGAGCCCAGTGATCGGCCGGACCGGCTTGAGAACAGCTCGATGCAGTCGACATCGGCGCCGCCTGCGGAGCCGTGGCGGTTAAGCTCATCTAAGACGCCGAGCCGGTCGAGGTGTCGCTGGGCCACCGGAGTCAGGTTGATGGCACCACCTGAAGTGGAGAGCACATCGTTGCGCTCGTATACAGTGATTTGAAGGTCTGGGACGTAGGGGCCCAGCTCCTGGGAGATGGACAACGCCGAGGCGATGCCGGCGATTCCCGCGCCGACGATCAGGATCTTTCGCGGCGGTTCGCCTTTGGGGGTGGAAGAGCCCGTTGTGGAAGGTGTTCTCGTGGAAGGCGTCCTCGGCTCTGCCGGGAGCCACATCCATGTCTTGCCCACCAATTGCGGGACCAGCTGGTTATCATCCTCCATGGTTGTGCTTCATCGGAAATAGTGGGATATCCTTCTCCCTATAAGAGATGCATGGACTGAAAGAAGGGGGAGGTAAGGAAAGATCGAGAGCACTCGGCCGGGGGAGACACTTGCAGAGATAGGGTTTTCGCGACGTTCCGGATCCATCAACCGCCCTCCCCGCCGGACTTTGTACTCTGTAGGTTGCAGACCCCCGTGTCGACATGCATGTCCAATACGAGACCCATCCAATGGGCCCGACTGCAATGACTTGGTAGTCTCAGAGAAATTTTCCACGGTACTCACTCCCAATTCAGCACATTGTGATTAACAAGATCCACTGTGACTGGGCCTGTAATAGGCGTGGTGTCAGATTAAGACAGTGTGGTGGGTCCGCCTGGCGACCGTTGAGACTTCCGGGTCGGCATTGCGAACCATGGATGCGCCACTGCATAACTGGCGGATTTTCCTGGCCAGGGTGAAGATTGCCGAGGCTGAAAGATTCTGGAAGTAATACCCTGGGACGTTCTACCGCCAACCAGATGCACATGGAGATGGAATTGACCCAACCGATGCAACTGCAGACTGACTCGGTAGTATTCTCTAGACCAGCTTGGGTTAATGGTTAATTAACTGGAGCCGGACTTGACTAAGTTAATCATGGTGGCCAACTAAGTCGACTAGCATATTGCACCTGCTACCCTGTCCAGCAGTTGTTGAGATCTCCCCCGTCGCTTCAATCTCCTGTCGCCCGCTGCTCTCGGACAAGCTCTCCGCTCACTGTAAGTCTCAGGATCGAGATCCACTCTTCATGAGGAGTCAACTCCGCGAGAACAATCATCTGCAGCTCGGTCTAGGCTCGTAAAAAACCAAGGCAGATGCATCTCAAAAGGAGACGCGATGATCATTGCTGCATGATTCGGCACTGGAGCCATCATGTTTCAGATTAAAGACACTATGCCATGTGTGCTAGGAGATTGATCTTCCCCCTTAGGGAGACTCGTCAACCACGGTTGAACGCCGCCAATTTGGCAAGGTGACCAGTCTGTTGGAATCTGCAGCCTAATACGAGGTCGTGCAGTAACTCCGACCTGACGGATCATATACGGCGACGAATACGCATCCTCTCGGCGCTGTTTGATGCGTGTCGTTTGCTCCGAACAAACAAACGACCATCGCCTTGGCGATCTGCTCCCTTGAAAGGATCATGACAAGTCCATTGACCATACTAAGCAAGGCGATCTGGACGGGGTTAGGTGCGGAGTCCGCTCCGGTTGAAAGTTCGCGAATGAAAACAGGCAAGCAGGGACCATTAGGTCGAGCTCCGTCGCCGCCGGCGTTAGAGGATCGCCGATCGCTGTTAACAGGAGCAACTTCTCGGCCAGTGGGTGGGGACTGGGTCGACCATGCGGGGTGGTAAATCTGAATGTGAGGACAAGACTGGGTGTTCCATTCTCCGCCTGTCGGATGTTAGCCGGAAGAAAAAAGATAAAATGGAAATGCAAAAAGGCAGGAGAGACATGAGGTGCTAGTCTGAGATGGGATTGTTTTCTTGGCACCAAGCACCATGACGTCTGTGTAGTCTCACGCGATTAGCGAGATATTTGGATCGTCATATAGGTGGAGGAAAGGAACGGGAAGGAGAGATTGATTGATCTTCAATATTCCGAGGACGAAAAAAAGAAGTGTGGTCCCAGTGAGGCTCGAACTCACGACTTTAGAGTTATTAGCTCTACACTCTAACCAACTGAGTTATAGGACCAGTTGTTGGTGTGCGAGGAAAACTTTGGCTACAGCAGTCTGTGCTATGGTCCTTGTGTTGAACACTATACTGATGTTGATTTTCCGTCAGATTAGATTTTGGATATAATAGTTCAATAGGCGAATAGGTGTCAAAATCGCAATCGACAATCAACCCTGTCTCTACTTTTCTATAGTCCAATGTCGAGATCACTACTCTACACTTTGTCCGCCTACACGCTCGAAGTGCACCTTGTTATCAAGATTGAAAAATGTGAAGATGCCGGTCACGGCGCACAGTCCCGCTGCGACAATTAGCAGATGCAGTGTGGTCGGGGAGACGGTCAACCAACCCATGACACAGTTCATTTCATAGTATCCGATCTGCTCCACCAGAAAACCTGAGAGGATTGGACCCACGAAAGAGCCAGCCGTCCAGCTCATACTGGCCAGCGACAGGGCTCGCGAATAGCCTCCGTTGGGGCCGAAAATGCCAGGATGTTTGGCTTCAATCTCGTCGACGGTCACTAGAGAGGGATGAGTCGCGTCGAAAGGAAAGAAGGAATGACATAAAGGGTTTCATACCAGTCGCCTCGATTGTCCCTGCTCCGTTGAGTAGACACGTCAAAGCGCCTACCAGGGTCACGCAGACCGTGTAGATAGCTTGCCCCGTCTGTCCACCGTTCGCCCAAGGGAAGCGGTCGTCGCCCGGTGTCCCTAGAAGCCACATAACCGGGGTCAGTGCCAAAAAGCCGACCGTGGTCGGCCACCGTGTGCCGACACGGTCCTTCAACCAGCCGCACAGCGGGCTGAGAATGATCCCCGGGCCTTGTAGCGCAAAGAACATCATTCCCGACAGCATGCTTCCCCAGCCGAAGATATCACGCACATGCAATGGGAGCGTGGTGTCGAAGCTGGATATCAGCGCGGCAAAGGTCAGGTAGCTGATGACGCCGGCTACGAAGCGGCGATACCGGAAGATATACGCATAGAACTCCCACCCGGTTTTCTCACCCATCGGCCGGTGTTCTCCAAGAAGAGGGTCATTTTCGGGGTCTGAGCCATTGTGACCAGCACCGGGTGACCCTATCCCATCGTCAGCCCTGCCGTTAACGGAATTGCAGAGGGACAGCACACACCTGGGGTCTGTTTCGGCCGTTCCAGCATGAGCATCCGTAACACGATGTCCACCAGGATGATCGCGAAAGCACTCGACCATGCCAACCAGTAGCCTCCCACCTCGAAGAGGATCCCAGCCACCATAGGACCAGCCGATGTGCCAGCCGCTACGACTAGCGAGATTACCCCATATGTCTTTCCCAGATGCTCCGGCTGCACGTTGTCTGCGATAGTGGCATAGCCTACGACCCAGATAAACGCACTTGCAATTGCCTGGACGAGACGACCGGCAAAGAGGATGAATTCTACATACATCAGGCACCATTGTCTCGGGAAAGAGGTAGCAGAGAATCATACGCGAAGTGGCTAAAGCCAAGACTACCGTCCCAAAAAGCGCCACGGCCAATGAGGCCAGGAGCAAACCCTTTTTGGACCGCAAGCCGTCCGCATAGTGACCGATGAACGGACTGCACACTAACGACGCGATGGCGCTCTCGGCGAGAAGGGAGAAGCTTAAGCGCTGGGTCAAGGAGACATCTAACCCCAGGCGATTCTCAAGGACGTAGGGCAGAATCGGGACGAGAAAGGCATAGAGAAAAACATCTGTAAACCGCAGCATGGACTGTCAGATATGTCAAACCACAATTTGCCAGACGTATGGCTCACCGGTAAACAGGGCCATGGCCATGGCGGCCACGATGAAGACGGGAGAAGACCGCCATTGGTAGCCCCATATGGACTCATGAGTGGTGCTGAAGACCATGCCAGGCCACTAGATACAGGTGGAAAGATGGCACGAGAGTCACGCTCAGGTGTGTTGGTAGAGAAAAGTCCTGGTGATAAACCGGGGGAGCCTCGGGGTGATCTCCGGCGGGGGTGCAGCACTGTCGATTTAGCCACTTGCCCCACATGGTGAGTCGATCCCTTCAGCTTGAGTACATGCATAGCATGGGCTGTTGGTGATTTTTTCTTATTGGGCAGGTAGACGTAAGAAGAAACCTCGAAAACGAGTGATGGTCATTTTCAGATTTGTTTGCTATCCCATTGGGTTACGGAGGAAGTAAGAGCTGAAGATGTTTGCCATGATCGGAGCGATCCTGTCCCGACCGGGCACGTGATGTTACAGAGTTCATATATCCACGAAGGGGATAATATCCAACATGTAACTATTTAGTCATATTGAACTTTGGTATTGCTAATGCAAAATACACCAAGTAATAGCTGTGATAAATCAAGGATAGACTGCAGTGAATGTTGCACAGCTCATGTACACTGACTTCATTGTGTAATGTATGGCGGACGGATCTTCATAAATCATATACATATCCATAATAATGTATTAACATGCTTAGGTTGATCGAGATTATGAGTCTCAAGTATCTGTGCAGACGTAAGTCATATTTGGTTATATACACGGAGGCTGTGTAAGTAAATATATCAATATTGAAGTAGGTGGTCAAGAATATACATCAATATATATATGTAGAGAGGTAAAAATATCGACTTCAATTTAGGTTAATTAAAGAAGACCTATATTACTTTTCTCCTCTTCTATATAGTATCTACTCTATTTTCCCTTTCTTTTCCTTTCCAACCAGCTTCACTTCATCCCACAGCAACCATGTCATCCTGGTTCCTGATGCCATCATGAAACACCTCCATGATAAGAGTCACTGTAGGTCTTCCATTGAAAGTTTAGTGAATGGAAATGAAGTAGCAATATAGACATGGGATTGCATGTTATAGCAGAAAGCAGGCAAAGTTAAGTAGAGGCGTCTGACTCTACAAAATCTCTCTAAAACCTTTGCGAGTTCCCCAACCATCAAACTGAATGATGGGTGGTTATGTACGAAGACCGAAAGTGTCATGGTATCTCTTGTAGCCAAGTGGTTATTACGTTCATCATTTGCAACATGATTCAAAGAATTTACATCGCTATCGTAGCAGTGCTCTTAGTCCTCTCCGATGATGCATTTTTTTTTCAGGTTTCAGAAGAATATCATCTCAGATTTTTGTCGAGATCTTCTGATCAACACACCCGGTTCGACAATCGCAGCGTTCAGATCAACGGGTACGACGCCAAAAACCTATCAAGACTGACACTTATCTAACATAATATTTAATCATGTTAGTTTCTTTAATTGTTCTGATTGCTCTATCGGCTTCCTCGAATGACACCGCAGACACTTGACCTGTCGCGTCGAATATAAGATGACCAACAAAATCCAAAAGTGTCATGATATATTTTTCTTACTGAAAGGTAATCCCGTCACTTTTATTACAACATCATTTTAGGCTGTTTAACCGTGGGCTGTAGGTGATCCCATCTTAAGGGTATGGATACTGAGATGGATACCGCGACGGACACCGCGATGCTAACCAGGCTTGTTTAGGTGCAGCGAAGACTAGCGAGTGTAGTTCGCTGTCCAAAATTTAACTAGAATCCGACGTCTTCGAGACCTTTGATTGGGTCAGAGCCGACGAGGATCTCACAGATGAGAATGGTTTCTACAACTTCCGACAACTTATGATATTCGGATATCCACTCACAGACCGCGGGTGAGAAATTGGAGGTCTCCTTTTCCAATACAACATACAAGCAAATTGGCTATATGTGTGGTTATATCCGGATCCTGCTAGGGCAGGTCAAGATGTGTTACACCTAAATGTCCTTCATCTCGAATTCCAACGGCATGTTTCGTGACATCATACGTGATGTTGAAGACCTCCCCTTTCGACCGCATTGTTCGCCTATTCAATAATATCATTATGGAGAGACTTGAATCTTATTACAAGAAATATCCTATACCGGTACACCCTCGGTATGCGCAATTCGCCCAGGAATATAATATTAAAAAGCCATAACTCATACCACATAGCGCATCACCAGCTGGAAGCAAACAAAACCCAACCCAACCCAAGAAAATCCCAAAACTAAACCAAAGTCTCCTGATGATTCACAATCCGCCACTCCCCATCTGACCCCTGACTCCACGTCGACGACCCCGTCGCCCGAAACTCCCGATTACTCTGGACCGCGTTAATGCGGTATGTGATCGTCCCAGCCATCAAGTCGATAACGTGCACGCGCACCTCGGTGAGTTCGTAGCGGTCAAAGTGGTGGAACGGCGGTGCGAGCGTCTTGGCCAGCGCTGAGCTCCCCTCGCTGTGCACGAGGATGGATGTGTTGGGAAACATGAAGGTCGCTTGATCGTTGCACATTTTTTCGATCTCCGGCGCCGGATCGGCGGATGTGAGTGCCGTCCAGAGACGTCGCTCACAGGCGATGAGGTCCTCGCGGATGCGTTCGTGGATAGAGCCTGGCATCTTTGTTGTGTTCCTTTATTTCCTTAAGAAGTGGTGGGAGGTGGTAGATGAGAGGGTGGGGTTGTTGCTAGTCGAGTAGATAACGGTCAGTGTTTGCCCTCGTCAGAAGATATGCCATGAAGTATACACACCAAATATCAAAAAGCCTGCGCTGTCGTCCGTCCTACCAGAATATCAATCCAGAGTTAGGCAAATCGTAAACACCGGCCACGGTTTTATACAGGACCAGCGGGGAGACAGACGAAGTGACGTCACCGAGCCATGACGTGGGCGATCGGCAACTTTAATATAATTTAATTAACACAACCATGTCTCTTGCCTGCACTCCCTCAATAGCAATGTCAGCAGCGCGTGTCAGCGGTGCATGTCATTGGTTCTGTTTTACGGACGGGTCGCACACACCGTGGGCGTTGTGAAGATCTGATCTTGTATATCAGCGTGATTTTGTCCCTTGCTCGAATCACATTCGCTGCTTGATTCGTGTAGGTGCATGAGGATCGAGATGCGGTGCATTAGTTGGCTGTTACGATATGCAACATCAGGCGATTACCATGTGCGTGTTGCCCCGCTTAGATGGACTTTTGACTTCGTCCACGGGAATGTTGTCGCCTACGGCTGTTGCTTATGCACATCTGGAGCGTGGTCAATGCGGACGACCTTGTAGGTGCGTTGTGTGAAACTACCAAACGATGAGGATGTTGGCAGGGTAAGATTACCTAGTAAGCTCTGATATTGAAGGTAAAAAATGCTGGTCGAAATGCGAGATGTAAACTGATTTGGAAATTCCTCTTCGGTAATGTATCAATTTTAATGCTTCTAGGCTATATCGATGTCCTTATAAATTCGCAGAATTATCACAAATAATACAGCGGAGTGTTCTACAACTACTGTGTATCGAGGCACCCATTGGATCAACCGTCCAGTATATACATTTTGAATATTTCATAAGTACTATCAATATATGGTGGAACCCCAATCATCAGACACATGCACTCAACGAATCATCTTATCAAAAACCCCAATCGGAAACCCATCCGCCATAGCCTGATACCCCACTCCGTTCAAATGCAAATAATCACCCGAGTCATACTCCCCCAGCAACCTCTCGGGGGCCTTCGGATCCCCTACCATCTCATCAAAGTCCACCACAGCATCAAACGCCCCACTATCGCGGATCCACGCATTCACACGCTGTCGCGTGCGCTCCCTCTCAGGATCTGAATAAGGCTGGGTGCCCGCGTCCTCCGCGGGCGCAGAAAACGGCGTGATCGTCGCCCCGATGACGGGGATGCCGGCCGCGTGGAGCCGCGTCGTGACCTGTCTGTATGCGGTGATCAAGTGGGTGCCGAGGGCTTCCTGCGTTGCGGGATCTGTTGCGGCGACGCCAATGTCGTTGACACCTTCGAAGAGGACGGCGCATTGGACGCCAGAGTGGCCGAGGACGTCACGGTCGAGTCGGCTCAGGACGTTGGGGCCAAGCCCGTCGGCTAGGATGCGGTTTCCGCCGGCGGCTTGGTTGAGGAGGGAGAGCTGGGCGGTGGATGGGTCCTGGCGTAGGCGTTTTTGGAGTCGGTCGGGCCATCTGTTTTGTTGTGTTAGAGGTGTCATATACAGTGGGAGAAGGGAAGAAAGGTATTTACCGGTTGTTGGCGTCGGTGTCGCTCCCGCGGCCGTCGGTTATGCTGTCTCCGACGAGGACGCAGCTGCGCGCTGTGCGCGGCAGCAGGCCTTCCACGCTGCTGATGAAATACCTGTCCACGTTAGTGACACCGAGAGGTCTTGAAGGGGGGTCTTTACCAATGTGCGACGCTTGCCACTGAGGGGTCAGTCAGATTGCTGGCGCCTGTCCAGTCCCCGAAGCTCATCCATGAGGTCGTCCGGCTACCAGGGTGGGAGGTGATCGCCCCGCCTTGCTGTCCATTTTGGAGGTAGATATCGACTGTCAAAGTGGTTCCTCCTTTAGGTACATTAATGGGATCAGATACAGCGAGTGCGCCGTTGGGAATGGTCATGCCGCGGCTACCATCAAAGAGGACTTTCTTGGTCGTCCCACGCTGAATAGCACCGGACCCAAGCTTTTGATCTGCTGTGAGGCTGACCGTGACTTCAGTGACATCTAGGTCGGCCAATCCAAACGCATTCGACAATCGCAGGCGAATCTCCTTCGCAGCTTGCGTCAGTCTGATTGTCTGGCGGAGGGTTGAATTGTCGAAAATGGACTCGGTCGAGTTCTGCACCTGTTAGCTGTGAGAGGCGCAGGTGTGATTCAACATACAAATGGAGCCGGCGGCAGGTTGGCCGGCTCAGCCATCTGTGGCATGGAGGCCCAGACGCTGACCCAGTGGTGGCTATCCTGTTCTATGGTAGTGGCCGGCATGCCAGAGCAGATGCCCGTCTGCAGGGCGAGCCCGGCCACAAAGAACGTGAACCTGGGGATCATCTTGGCTACGAGAAGTTCCTATGGCGGCAAAAGTCTGCAGGTCTCTTCCCACATCCCCCGGGACCTCGAGCGGTGGTTTTCACTATTTATCTTTTCAGTAAAGGAGTGCATCCCCTCTGTCGGTTAAATGGGTAAATGCCAACAGGAATACGCCGCTACATCGTCGGCAGAATACAATCCCGTTTTGTTTCAGGGGCCGGGGGATATTGCGGAGGATCATCCACTGGGCATGCGAGGTAGTCACAGCCTACTGCCATGATATTTCAATTGCCGGGCTGATCTCTCTGTCTGAAGCTGTTGTTAGTATAGTGTGCTGCCTGGGGCAGGAGATGTTTGCCTGAAGCTTAACCCCGTTAGCTCCGATGCGGGGAACGAGATCCACAGCTGCACTGTTATTTTCTCGATTCTCTCGTGCTCTTCATTTGTTTTACACAGATCTGTCAGATTGAAAAATGTCTGTGATACAAGCTCAGAAGACTGCTCTCATCACCGGCGCTGCCTCCGGGGTGGGGTTCGCCATCGCCCAGCTCTGTCGTCGGCAGGGTATGCACCTCGCCCTCGTGGACATCGACGCAGGCAACCTCACAAAAGCACGAGACGCGGTGGCTGCGATAGACCCATTGCTCCAGACGGCCAGCTACGCCTTTGACGTTGCCGACCGCACCAAATGGACTGAAACGGCAACACAAATCCAATCGACCTTCCCCACGGGCCTCGATCTGGTCGTGCTGAATGCCGGGAAAGGCTACCGACCGCAGAGCACAGCCGATGGCAAACTGAAGCCCTGGATGGACGTCGAATACTGGCACAAGGTTTGTCACTGCCATATCTAGGAGCACCGACATAGGGCTAACCGGCAGACCCTCGACACCAACGTCATTGGTATTCTCAATGGTATCAACGCTATCATACCGCTGATGCTCGCGCCAGCCTCGGCGCGGTCGCTCGTCATCACTGGTTCCAAACAAGGCATTACGAACCCCCCGGGCGGCGGCAACCCGGCCTATAATGCGTCCAAGGCAGCGGTCAAGAGTTTGGCGGAGCACTTGGCGCACGACATGCGGTCAGACCCAAGCACCGCACACATCGCGGTGCATCTACTGATTCCCGGGTGGACGTGGACTGGAATGATGGGTAACGTTGGGCCGACCGCCGAACACGAGGTCCAAAAGATGGCGGGCGCTTGGTACCCCAGTCAGGTGGCGGACGAGCTACACAGAGAACTGGATAAGGGCCGCTTCTATATTGTCTGTCCCGACGGAGAAACCGACCGTGCGCTGGACCAGGCGCGCATGAAATGGGGCAGCGAAGATGTGGTTGAAGGGCGACCGGCCCTGTCGCGATGGGATACGTCGTGGAAGGAAACGGCGGAGGAGGAGATCCAAGCCGAGGCAGCGCGGCGACGGAACGTGTAGTAAAACCGTCCATATCATGATTGGAGTAGGATTCTAGGGGATCGGGTGGTAGTTCCGTTCTTGGGGGCCATTCCCTGACCCAGATGGTTAACATGCCGTTTCGGGGATAACTCCACAACCCTAAGAACTCTAAGTGTCATCGTCTAGATATCTACCTACCTAACTTGGTTCTCAACGGGCCAAACCGATCAATCCAACTGATATGCTGTCCTATCAGCTTGACAGACCAACCAGAGACGGCTTAGAGTCGATAAGAGCCGACGCATGGCGATCGCCGGGGTAGGACTCCTCACGGTGCGGAGAACATAGCGTGGGGGTATGCTGGTTGGAGATAAGAATGCAACCTGATCGAGGTTGGGGGTTTTTCTTATCATGGACTCATTGAAGGTTTGAATGTCCTGTTCAGATTCCATCTTCATCCCTTGCGTCTGTTCTATCTTCCTTTTTTCCTCTCATTCTCCCCCTCTTCCCGCCCCGGTCTACTATTCAAATCTCCTGGCATAATATGAAGGACCATCAAGACTCGGACAGTGTTATGCATGCAAAGTCGCCAGTCGCGGATTCCCTGCGGGATGATGCCAGCGACAAGTTGGATATTCCCGGGGTCGTCCCCAATGTCGTCCAACCCGTCGACTCGAAAGCAGAGACGAAGCTGTGTCTCAAGTTCGACGTGCGCATTCTCCCCGTGCTGGCCATCATGTGTATGTGAACCCTCTGGGCGCCGAACACTCACGTACAAGCCGAGACTGACACCACCCAGACCTCTGCAGCGCCTTGGACAAGAGCAATCTGAGTAATGCCCAAACCGATGGTCTCAGCAAAGATCTCCATTTCAAGCTTAATCAGTACAACCTCATCGTCTCCATCTTCTTCGTGCCCTATGTCATATTTGCACCCCCCGTCGCGATGCTCGGTAAACGCTTCAGCCCCGCCCGCGTGCTTCCCATCCTGATGTTCTCCTTCGGCTCGTTTACGCTGCTATGCGCCGCGGCGCAAGACTTTGGCGGCATCTTCGCCCTGCGCTGGTTCCTGGGCATGTCCGAGGCCGCCCTATTCCCGCTCGTCATCTACTATCTGACGACCTTCTACCGCCGCGGCGAGCTGGCGCGCCGCCTCGGCATCTTCTACGCAGCTTCGAACATCGCCTACGCCTTCTCCGGCCTGATCGCCTTTGGCGTCTTCCAGATCAAGGGCTCCCATCTGCAGAACTGGCGCTATCTTTTCATCATAGAGGGGGGCTTCACCGTGGTCTTCGCTATTTTCGCCTACTGGTACCTACCGCTCTCCGCCGCCGAAGCCACCTTCCTCTCACCGGAAGAGAAAGCGCTCGCCTTTCACCGCATCCAAGTCGACTCCAGCGCCGTCGTCAACGAGGAGTTCTCCCTCCGCGAAGCGCTCGCCATATTCAAGCAGCCGACGACATTCGCCTTCCTCTCCATCGAGATCTGCCTCGGCGTGCCTCTCCAAGGCGTCGGGCTGTTCCTCCCGCAGATCATCGAGCGTCTGGGCTATTCCCCCGTCAAAACGAACCTGTACACAGTGGCACCAAACATCACCGGCGCGGTAGTGCTCCTCGCACTCGCATTCTGCTCGGACTTCGCGCGTCTGCGCTCCCCCTTTATTGTTCTCGGCTTCCTCTTCACCTTCACCGGCTTCATGATCTACCTCGGCATTGGCGACGTCCACGCCCAGCTGCCCCTCGCGTACTTTGCCACCTTCATGATGACCTGGGGTACCTCCGCCCCGTCCGTTCTGCTCAGTACGTGGTATAATAACAATATCGCCCACGAGGGCCGTCGCGTCCTGTTGACGAGTGTTGGCGTCCCGCTGGCGAATGTCATGGGTCTTGTCAGTAGCAATGTCTTCCGCGAGTCGGACCGTCCCAAGTACATGCCTGCCTTGATCACAGTGGGTGTATTTGGAGCCGTTGGAGCTACCATTGCTGCCTCATTGGGTCTGTTTATGTGGTGCGATAATGCCCGCCGGAATCGTCGCCAGGGGATCGTGGTGCGCGCACAGGACGTACCGACGGATAGGTTGCGGGATGGGCCTGCGAGTGAGGACTTTCGGTGGTTTATTTGATCTCTTTATTATGATTATTTGTTTCTTGGTTCATATTGTTATTCGAGGCGACGGTGGAATTCTGGTTTTGGGTTGGTTAGCTAAAGTACGGTTTGTGGTAGGTTGCCAGGAGCACTGCCATGAATGAATCGCAGTTCATTGAACGTAGTATTCATCATATTTATCTTCTTTCTCTACATAAAGATAGTTGACTATGTCCTATCCCAATGTGCATTATTGTCCTCTCTCCGGACACTGAACCTATAGGTTCTGTATCCCGCTGTTTTCCTCATACTGGGCGAGTTTTTGGTGAGCTGGTCACACCCCGTTGTCCTCTTCATGTCACAGCCCATTTTGGAGCCATCGTCGTCTACACGAGGCAGATCTCGTGTCATGACTAAGCCTGCGACGTTCTGCGGCGCTTCTATACTCCAGCATGACTGGGTCTCTACACAAAAAAGCCTCCAATGTGGGATTCGTGAGAACTACCGAACTGTGCTCGCTTTGTGCCGTCCTTTGCCAAGGTTACACTGCATCTGGGTCCCGCTTGACACATACGAGGATCAATGAATCTTAGGGCACACTGCTCCCGAGTCCCCCATTTCTCAATGTCAGCATTGGGTGATGTGTTTACTTGGTGGGGAAGACAGAAAAGCCCCCTGCTTGCAAATCCCGCCCTCCATAGCCTTTGATCCAACTAGAAGAAGCCATCCACGAGGCTATACAAGCCATCTGCAAGCAAGCCATAACCCCACCACAGAAGAGGCATTGATCATTCACAAGACAATCGCAGTTGACTTTGTCAATAAACTCTGCTGACACATGTGTTTCTTCTGTGGTCTGACCCAGCTGGAATTGAAATTCCACGGACCTCAAAAGCTGGACGACATGGGCCGTGTTGCGTCACACCATCTGACTATTACCACCTTGACTCCGCGCTTTCCACTGCTCACTCATTGAATGGTGGGTTATAAAAAGCTCCCGCTACTGGACTCTTGCAGCCATGGTCGACTTTTCAATTTATCGGTCCTTGGTTGAGTATTGGCATTTTATATGCCCCCCTCAACGAGATGATCTCCACAGCAGCTTTCCAGACTAATCCGTGGGCGCTGGTTATGACCACCGTAACAGCGTACATTGCCTACTGCGTCGTCGAAGCTATCTATCGAGTGTATTTCCACCCACTGGCACGGTTTTCAGGGCCCTGGAAGGCCAAGATCTCAGAGGGATGGTTCTCCGATATCGCCCCCAGCGGGTTCGCCGAGCGGACCCTGGCCGTTCAGCATGATCGATACAGTATGCTTTCTTCTTATCTACTACGATGTACAACTAACAGGATAGAAACGACTGCCCTCCGTGTCGCTCCCAACCAGCTCCACATCACTGACCCCGATGCCTACAAAGTCATCTATAACCAGACAGCGCCCTTCCCCAAAGATGCCGACTACTACAGCACGTACAACACGCCACACTCTCTTTTTACAGAATGCGACCCTGCCCTCCACCGCGAACTGCGCAAGCGCCTCAGTCCGATGTTCTCCCGCGTCGGAGTCACCAAGCTTGAGCCCATCATCCACGAGAAGCTGCGTCTGATGACCGAAAAAATTACTCGTCTGAGCAAGAATGGACCGATTGAAATGAACTACGCTCTTCGGTATCCCCCCTTTCTCTTCCCCTCATTGAAAAAGCATTCCTCAATCACACATAAATACTCATGGGGGGGGGAAAAAACAGAGGCCTCACAGTAGACATAATCAGCGAATTCGCCTTCGGCGAATCCCGCAACGTCATGCAATCCAGCGAAACCTCCTTCGCCGCACGCTTCCTCTCCGCCTTCGACGAGAGCATCGACCTGCCCATCAAAAACTACTACGGCGGCTTCCTGCGCCGGCGTCTCTCACGGATCATCCCACTCTCCGTCTTCGCAAAGATCGACCCCACCGCCGCCGTGCTGCACGAGATCTTCGTCTTCGCCGAGTCCTGCGCGCGCGCCTACAGCGCTCAGGCGGCGGACGCTGGGGGAGGCGCCCAGCACAGCAAGCCCCATCCGATTGTGTTCGATGCCTTGCGGGGTCTCCCTGAGTGGCGTACCCGATACGAGTCTATGGATATGATTGTTGCGGGGTCGGATACGACGGCTTGGACGCTGACGACGGTGTTATTTCATGTGCTGAGGCGAGAGAATGTTAAGAGGAGGATTGAGGAGGCTGCTAGAAGGGCGTTGCCGGATTTGGAGAGCATACCGAGTTATATTGAGTTGGAGAAGGATGAGTATTTGGTATTTATTTTATCCTCCTCCCTCGGGGAGGGCTCAAGATGGACAGTGTTAATGGATGATCTAGTTCGCCTGCGTTAAAGAAGCCCTCCGCCTAGGCACCCCCGTCCCGGGCGTCCTGCCCCGGATTGTACCAAGCGGTACCCCATTCCAAGTAGAAGGGAAGATTGTCCCTCCGGGTGTGAGTACACCTTCCTCTCCTTTCCTCTGCGCCTATCTTCACAGGTGTCACTGACACCTAGGATAGACAATCGTAGGCATGTCCGCACACACAATGCACCTCTCCACCGCAATCTGGGGCCCCGACGCCAGCGTCTTCAACCCAGATAGATGGCTACAACCCGGCGGCAAAGACATGGATCAGTACTTTGTGCCGTTTAGTAAGGGCACGCGGTCGTGCATTGGGATGAAGTATGTCCCGACCTCTTTCGTCTCTATCATTGGTGGATAAAGTTATCCGTTACATAAATTGTCATTGTTGATATTGTGAATGATGGCTAATGAACACAGTCTCGCCTACGCCGAAGTCATAATCGTCATGACATACCTCTTCCGCATGTTCGACATGAAGCTCGTGTCGAAAGAGCCGCGCGTGCGGGAGATGTTCATCCAGATGCCGGATTTGCCGTGCTGTTTGGTGGAGTTCACGCCGCGGGATGGTGATGCTTAGTATGGCTGATGGGCTGGGTGAGAGACGAACGGATGGGTTCAATTTGATCATGGCTGGTGATGGAGGATTGGGTATGGTATGAAGTGGTGATTATATATGCTTATTGGCTTCTATTTTCACGGTTTTCATACCAATCAGGCTGTCTAAATTCAATCAGATGGGATCCTATAGAGTGGAAGTGAAGAGTTATAGACCTGAGACACGTACAATATCTGTAGACACCTCAGGCTCCACCGGACATAACCCCACAACCCCCCACTTTAACTCCGAGCTTCCCACAGCTCAATCAACCGCAGCTCTTCTCCAACTACCTTACCATCAACAATTACTCTACTCTCTTCCCCTATACTCACCAAACGAAGCCCAACAACATAACACCAACCTTCAAAAGCAAAAAAAATAAATAAATAAATAACCTAGATAAATGCCTCCCCTCCCCATCCCCCCCTTCGCCGAAACCCAACAAACCCTCCTCCTCGCCGAACACCAAGCAGAAGTCTCTTCGTCCAAGCTCGCCACAACAGCCGCCTCCGCCTCCCCCTCCACCCGCCGCACCCTCCAAGCAACCGGCTATGCGCTCACAGGTCTAATCCTCTCGCAATGTCGCACAGGAATGGGCGGCCGCGTGGTGGGCGAGTTCGTCGCAGACCCGGCGACGGCTGCGTCTGGTGAGAAGGGAGAGGCGCTGTTGGGGACGCATGGGATGAGGGTTGGGGATGTGGTGCGGGCGAGTGAGGTTGGTTCTGGGTCTGGTTCTTCTGGTGGGGGGAGTGGGAAGAAGGGCGGGAAGGAGAAGGAGAAGGAGAATTCGAAAGAGAAGGCGCTGGAGGGGGTCATTACGCGCGTTGTTGGGGAGAAGAGTGTTTGGGTGGCTTTTGGGCAACGGGGGGGCGGGGGGAAGGCGAAGGAGGATGATGAGGTTGTTGAGGAGTTATGGGGGAAGAAGGTTTGGTTGTATGTCTTGTCTTTCTTCGGGTTTATTCTCTGGGCAGTGGCTAATGGGGGGGGTTGATTATAGGGTTAAACTTGCGAATGACGTTACGTATCGACGGTTGGTTTATCTCTAGAACCTTTTGAGGGAGAGGGACTGACGGGAACAGAATGAACCAGACTATGGAGAAGATGGCCAAAATGACCGACTCCGATCACACCCACTTTATGCGCGTCGCGTTCGGCCATACGACACCTCTACAACCTGACTACGAAGCTATCGGCGACATAGAGTTTCAAGACCCCTCGTTGAACGACTCCCAGAAAGAAGCGATCCGATTCGCGCTCGCGTCGAGGGACATCGCGCTCATCCACGGCCCGCCCGGGACAGGCAAAACGCACACTCTGATCGAGCTCATTCTACAGATGGTGCGGCGGGGACAGCGGGTGCTCGTGTGCGGCCCGTCGAACATCTCCGTGGATAACATTGTTGAAAGACTGGCGCCCAAGAAGGTCCCCGTCGTCCGCGTTGGCCACCCAGCGCGTCTGCTGCCGTCCGTGCTGGACCACTCGCTGGAGGTGTTGACGCATACGTCCGAGGCGGCTGCCATTGTGCGCGACGTCCGCACCGAGATCGACCAGAAGCAGGCGAGTATCCGGAAGACGAGGGCGGCGCGGGAGCGACGGGCTATCTACAGCGACTTGAAGGAGTTGCGGAAGGAGTACCGCGAGCGCGAGTCCAAGTGTGTGGACAACCTCGTCCGCGAAAGTAGCGTCGTGCTGGCGACGCTGCACGGGGCCGGCGGGCACCAGGTCAAAAACCAGAAATTTGACGTGGTTATCATCGACGAGGCTAGCCAAGCCCTGGAGGCGCAATGCTGGATCCCGCTGCTGGGTGCGTCGCGGGTGGTGCTCGCGGGCGACCACCTGCAACTGCCCCCGACGGTCAAGTCCGCCCCGAAACCCTCCGATACCAAAGGCGACAAGACCGACGGCGAGACCAAGACCAAGCTGCCTAACGTATCCCTTGAAACGACCCTGTTCGATCGCCTGCTGAAGATACACGGCGCGAGCATCAAGCGCATGCTTACGACGCAGTATCGCATGCACGAGCGGATCATGCGCTTCCCGTCCGACGAGCTGTACGAGGGGAAGCTCATGGCCGCGGAGTCTGTCCAGGCACGCCTCCTCAAAGACCTCCCGTATGACGTGGAGGAGACGGACGACACCAGAGAGTCCGTGGTGTTCTGGGACACGCAAGGCGGGGACTTCCCCGAAAAGCCCGAGGATGACGGGATCCAGAAGAAGGGAAATCTGCTCGGCGAGAGCAAGAGCAACGAGATGGAGGCGCTGATCGTCGCCAAGCACGTGGAGAACCTCATCCAGGCGGGTGTGCGGCCCGAGGACGTGGCCGTGATCACGCCATACAATGGCCAATTAGCGGTGCTGTCGAAGATGCTGCGGGACAAGTTTCCGGGGCTGGAACTGGGGAGTGTCGATGGGTTTCAGGGCCGCGAGAAAGAGGCGGTCGTCGTTAGTTTGGTGCGCAGCAATGGCGATAAGGAAGTGGGGTTTTTGGCGGAGAAACGTCGGCTGAATGGTATGTCTATCTCTGACCGGTCCCCGAACGATCGCTTACGAGGACAGTGGCCATGACGCGACCCAAACGACACCTCTGTTTATGTGGCGACTCTGAAACCATCAGCCAGTAAGTTCTCCTGTCCCCACATTCCATTCCTCCCCGAGCTGTGTCCGGGTAGGGCCCGTGTTGAAACATTATGTTATTCTTGCAGGGGCAGCAGCTTTCTCAAGCACTGGATGGCGTTTCTGGAAGAGCACTCGGATCTAAGGTATCCCGACGCGGGTGAATTACTGTGAGACGCCGCAGTTCAGCCGTCTCGCATGGCTCATAGTATCGAATCCACGCGGGGTCGGCGACCGATCTGAGACGATGGCGTCCGAGGTCAGCGCATGGCGCGGGACGGTTCTTCTTGAGATAAGACAGCCGTTTGGTCCGCACGGGACAACTCCTTGACCGTGTTCCATATTCCATGGTCCCCTGTCCGATCGATCGAATGGGTAGTCGTGATCAGAACCAGGAGGCAAGCGTAGATAGTGTATACTGAAGCTTCCCGACCGTGTCAATGCGGGGCAAGGAATCTACCACCGAAACCAAACTAGAAAAAAAAAAAAAAAAAAAAAAACATCAAGACACTCGTCGGGCATAGCGTTTGGCGCGCAACGTGGCACACTTCCAAACCATCCACACCTCTATCATTTTATCCTCGCGAATGACCATGATCAAAGTGGTCAGCGTCGCGAGCGGGAATGGAATGGCCTCTGTCTGGGCCTAGAGGCTAGAGCTAGACGATCCTTGCCTTGGGGAGCGGGACGCTGGACACAGGTGTGGTTTTTTTTCCACCGTGGCCGAGCAAATGGCGGTTGTTATTGGCGGGATGGAGCCTTGATCGATGACAATTACCTGCCTCGCACTATCAGAGCTCTCAGGGCCAGGGGCAGGTTTGGAAGTGGAGACGAAGAAGGGCTTGGCGTGGCTCGGGTTGGGGCGTGGATGGGGGCCCGGGGGAGTTACTGATTCGAGAAAGAGACAGCCATGGTCAGTTCCCTGATGGATGCGCTGGTCGAATAGGCGAGATGAGACTGAGAGGAATGCGCCTGTTTATGCAGGAGGGGAGACTGGCAGGATTGCTGTGCATAGGGAGAGTGGAAGTGGGTTTGGACAGGATGGTGCAGTAGTTGGTAGTTCGAGGGGAATTGTGCAGGATCAGTATCTATTTATTCCATTCTTCTAGAAGGCGATATCTATTTGCAGTAGAATCTACAGGGTATAATATAGTATAGTATATAGTATATATGTGTATATTATGAGAGAAATTTACATTGATCAATAGAGATGTGAATATCAAAATACTATAGAAATAGGGGAACCACTATTAATAGACGGGCCAACCATGGATCAGAAGAATGACATGACATTGTTTATACTCTATACTTTCTTCTATCCTCTTTCCCAGATCCATCATCCTGGATTCAGAGAAAGATAGAAAACCCCTGACACGCTGAAACGGGCACAGACGCTTTCTTCATCCCCCACCAGGCCCACCATCCACCATCACTAACGCTTAGTCCGTCTGCATCTTCTCTCTCTCTCTCTCCAATCCCTTTCTCTCTCTTCTTTCCGACCTCTTTTACTTCTCACTTCTTTCTCACCTCTTCCTTCTCATCCTTCCTTCGTTCTTTCGCTCTTTCGCTCTTTCTTCCTTCAGTCTAGCCCCAGTTGGCTCTCACTCTCGTTCATTCTTTCGATCTTCATTCTCTTCTTTGTTTTCTCTCGTTTCTCGTTTTTTTTAAAGCTGATCACACTTCAGCCACACTCCTATTTTTATCCTGGTGGATCCTTCGTTTCTCTTCAACTTCTTTCTCCTCTCCCTTCCTGGTGCCTTGCCATTGGAAGCCTTCTTCTTCTTCTTACCTATAATCGGTCCGATCTATCGTACGCTCTCATGATCTCGCGCGCGCTCACTCCGTTTGCCCTCGACTGCTGCACATCCTCAACCCAACGGTCATCTACATGCTGTCTTCTGCTCTATCCCGATCAGTGATGACCCTCGCTGCGGTCCGTATCCGTTGCCTGCATTGCCGTGAAATTTTCCAGTGCTAACCCCCACCAGCCAGATTTATGATCCGCCCGATATCTGATACTCGTCTCACCCAGCTTCTCCCCGGCCGCTCTATAAAGTCCGCCAAACCATGTCCTGTATCCCCTACCCCATGGATCACAACATGTCCGGGAGCGTTAGCACCGGGAGGAGTCCCTCCCTTCCCACCCCGCCGACGGAGCCCTCCGCGGATCCTCTCGATACCGCTTTACCGCCCATGAGCTCCAAACAGCTCGTCCCCATCCGCCCCTCCGAGTCCTCTATGATCCTGAACAACTTCCGCAACAGTCAGCGCGTCTCCGCCACCTTCTACTCTCAGGATGCCATGCCCATGGTGGCCCACGGGTCCTCCGCCCACCGCCGCACCGGCAGCACCATCAAGACCGTCATGCGCAAGATCTTCACCCGGAAACGACGCAGCAACACCGACGACTTCCAGTCCGCCGGTCCCGGTCCGCGTCCAGGCGGATTCCGGTACAGTAACCCGACGGAGCGGATGGGTCATTCCCTGCCCCGGTCGGTGAACGTCCGGCGGGGGAGCCCGCTGAAGGAGGAGAGCGAGACCCCGCAACCCGACAACTTCTACCACCTGCAGGCGCGCCCGCCCCGTCGTCGTCGCGCCACGCTGCCCAGTCTGGCCTTCTCGGACGAGGAAGCACGCGCCACCCTCGACGCGCTGGCCTCCGAGCCCAGCCACTACCGCCCCAACAGCTCACTCGCTCCGCCCGATGACCCCGCTCGGGACCGCCGGCGCGACCTCCTGCGCACCCGGCGCCGCTCGCGCAGCGCCGGCGCCCTGCGCGCCGTGGCCGCGGGCCACCGCATGGACCCCATCCAGTGGCGGCGCCGCAGCGTCGCCTCTGCCGAGTACGTCGGGACAACCGTCTCCGACAGCGAACTCTCCTACCGCCCGCCCACGGGGTCCACCCACGCCAGTGCCCCGGAGGAATCCACCGCGCCCTCCGTCTACGACACCGACGAGTCACAGCCGCCCGCGGACGCGGACGCGCACGACGAAGACGACGATGACCACGACAACCGGAGCAGCATCATAGTGCCGAACGCCGGCACGCTCATCAGCGCCATGCAACACGACCCCGACCTCTCCGTCGACCAACGGGTCGCCACCATCGAAGTCAAGCTCATCGACCTCGAGTTCGCCATCGCGCGCATGCAGACCTCCCCGACGCCGTCGTCCACAGAGAGGGCGCGCTCCACCCCGCGCAGTCGACACGCCCACTCGCGCAGGCCATCCGCCTCGAAGCACGTCGCCCCCGGCACCAGTAGCGGTCCACCCCAACCCGCAACAGTACCGCTCCCACCACTACCCCCCCAAGACCGCCCCCTCAGCACCGCAACCATCAAGCCCAGCACATCCGACGGCAGACACCCGCGCGCGCCGACCCACCGCGCCCCCTCCTCAACCACCACCTCCCCGCTCCCCAATCCCCAAGGCATCTCCATCGAGCAATACAGCGCCCTCGTGCTTCTCCTCCGTCGCGAACAAAACGCCCGCCGCGCCCTCGAATCAGAGCTCTCCACCCTCCGCCAAGACGTCCACCAGCTGCAGCTCAACCAGGGCATGCCCAGCGCCCGCGGCTCCGTGCCCAGCTCAACCACCAGCACCGCCACCCCAGGCACAATGTACCCCATTCACAGCGCCGAGTCGAGCGAGTTCCTGCGGCTGCGCGAGCGCGCCCTCCACGCACAGAGTACCTCGCCCGCGCGCACGGAACAGCGCTTCTCGTCTTCCCCGAGGGATTCTGGCGCCGACTGGGACAACCCGCCGTATAAGCGGTGGCATTCTGCGCGGAATATCGATACGGGGGGGTTGATCTGATTCTTCCTACTCTACTATCTGGTTGATCTCCAGATGAGATATGTTCCTACCTTGGTCGAGACCAACAAGGACACAAGGGAAGACAAAAACCAAGGATATGATGACATGATGATCTTTTATATTCTCGGCACTGGTTGCTCCGTTCTATTCTACCCTATGCACCATTCATCCTTCATTCATTCATTATATCCATTCGCCCATTTCTATTCTACTATATCCTACGTGATATTTGATATATACATAGTACGATTCCACATTCGGATTATCAATTACATACATATATACATACATATTCAAAGTTTATTCTACACGCCGCAAAACAAGAAAAGAGAAGAAGAAGTACAGTATAGATAGATACCGTCCCTCATCGCACAAACAAGGGTATCTAATATAATATAATATAAAGAAGTAAAATGGAACAAAACGACTAGACATACATATACACCTTGTAAAATAAGTGAAGTTAATAAATGGAATGGAAGGAATGCAGGGAACGAATGACCTATTCATTCATTTTTCTTCTCCGCATCAACATCCCCATCCGCGACACCCTCCGACTCCGACAAATCAAGCACGCTGCCAAACAGGCACGTCCGGCCGAGGATACACCCCACCGCGTAGCCGAGGTATGCGCCGACGAGGATGGTGATCGGGAAGGCTTGCCATGGGCGGTCCCTGCGTTCAAATCCGTATTAGCTTTTACTTATAGCATAGATGTACTACCAGTGGTATACAATGGAACATCATAAAATAGAGTATGCAAAGGAATAAGGAGGAAATACCAATCAAGCGGAATGGGCACCGCACCCAACCAAGCACCCACACAAGCGCCCAGCGCCCCGCCCCAGACGAGATCGCCCGGGCGAGCGAACCCCCACACGTCTTTCCAGACGGTGCTGTCGACGCCGTGGACGTAGACGAGTGGGATGGCGGTTAGAACGGCCATGTGGGCGGCGCAGAGGAGGGTTTGGGCGTTGTGGGTTGTCAGGGGGGCGCCGAAGAGGATGAGGAGGAGGGCGAGGGCGGGCGTGGCGAGGAAGGTTGTTAGGAAGAGGCTGATTAGGGTTGGCTTTGTATTATATTAGCTTTTTGTTTTTTTCCCCTCCCCTTTCTTCTTGATTTGTTTGGTTGAGTGTGGAGAGGAGGTCGGGCGGGGGTGGGTGAGAGAAGGGGGAACGAACGGTCAATCGGGTGGTTAAAGCTCTCCCAACGGCCAAGACAGGCGACGCAGACGACGAAGACGACGCAAAGGGCGCCTTGCGACGATAGGGACCCTTATTCGGCTTGATGATTTCCGAACGGGGCACAGCAGAGTCTTTCTCCTTTTCTTCCAGACGGTCCTCTTTACCGATTGTCGTTGTTGCCGGGGTCAAAGTGGCAGGCGCGGATCCGGCGGGAGGAAGCACCGTCATAACGAAGAAAGTCTGCAGTGCAGCGAGAAACGGCACGACACTCGTCATTTCAGCGACCGGGTCGGCGACCAGAGCCGGGAAACGCCATGCGAGCAGTCCGAGGAGAAGCAGCGGGTGGGCGGAGGCGTAGACCCGCGCGAATTGGGTGGGCTGGATGGGCGTCGGCGGTGCGGTCTTGGGCGGTGCTGGCCCTCCTAGAGGGCCCCCCCCTCCTGTGGATGACGAGGTTGTTGGGGTTGCGGGGGGGCTTGCGGCCACGGAGGAGGTGGCGGAGGCGGATTGAGGCATTGCTGCGGCTGCTGTTTCTGGTGGTGTCGGTCCCTGGATGGGCTGTGCCCGACTTTGTGGGATTGATCTGGTCGTGTGTTGTCTGTCCTGATGGGGAGAAGAAGAAGCTCCGTCGGATGCAGTGGATGCGCCGGATGTGTTTGTTTGGTTTGTTGGTTATGTTTCTGTTTGTGGTGTTTGTTGTGTTTGTGACATTGACAGCTGAGTGCCCGAGGTGTCATCGTGGACTATCATCTCATCTAGTGCCTTCGGCTTGTCCTACATCTGAAAGCCTCTATGTGTGTTACTCCTGATACTTGATTCCTTGCAAATGTGCACTGGTCTCGGTGTCGATTTCTGCCCCCATTGTATAAAGGGTTAGGCTGGAGGGAGCGTCTATGATCAAGCCGTATGAGCATAGCTGCAATTATTGACAGATGTATAGACAATTTGGAAACCAATGTAACATCACGCAGGTCTGTTGTACCTATGCATAGATATTATCATCCTACCGCTGCGTCCCAGGCAAGAGAAAAGCACAAGTAAAAAGTTCAAATGTAAAATAAATCGTGTCAAATAAATCAATATTTACCAACGTAAGTATCAAGTATGATACATGACCAAAATATACATCACTCATGGCACATGGAGTAGGGCTACATTATTCACATCCCAGCTTCTTAATTTCCCAAAAACTCATACGTCGTTTCGTCGCGCTTGTCTTTGTGCGATTCCGCCGTCGGCAGCGGAACGCTCGGTGTCCCGGTGGGCTTTGAGGTTGGGGACGCCGGACGGACCCCCTCGGTGGGCGGGACCTCTACCGGCCCTGTGGTGGCAGCGGCCGGCACGGGGGCTTGTGGAGGAGCTGGTGCGGCTGGCGCGGTTTCAACTGGGGGCGTCGTCTCCCGCACTGCGGGACCGGGGGCGTCAGATGCGGCGGTGAGCTTCTCCGGCGTTCGTGGCTCCTCTGGGATGGCGGGAGGCATCCCGGACGAGGAAACCGGGCTCACGCCCTCAGACGGGTTGTTCACGTCGATCGAGGCCGGTCGGATCCGGTCCTTCCCTACGGGTGACAGGGTCTGGCTCTTGCCGAGATCGGATTGTGGGCTGCGCGTGCGATCGCGGTCCGAATCCTTGCCGCCGTCTCGCACCTGCGCCACCTTGGCTTTGAATTTGCCGAACAGGCTCCGTCGCTCGGGCTCGGGCGCCTCCTTGCTGCTGCTGTGCACCTCGGCATCCAGGCTCAGTGGCTGATACGACGGGTCGTTGGCAAACTGTTGCATGTCTGTCGGGGAGCTGCGGCTCGAGTGGTGCCAGCTGCCGAACGAGCTCGTACTGTGCTCGGCCCCTGGATTCGACGCGATCAACGGCGGAGACCCGAGACCCAGTCCCACCTGCTCGCTGCTGCGTTTCGCCGACCGCGGGAAGCGCCAGCTGGGTCGATTCTCCTTGCGCTCCCGCGACGTGTCGTCCGTGGGGTCCATATCCGAATAGTCGGTGAACGAGGTGCGCGAGTTCATCGATGGCGTCCGAGACCCGTACGGCCGCAGCGACGCATCCGTCGTGGGCTGGCCTTCGCTCTGCGACGGCTTCTCAGACTTGTCCTCACCCCGTTCGTCGATCGTGGTGGGCTGTCTCGGAGTGGTCCCCCCGGCGTCCGGAGGGTCAGACACGCGGGAGGTTTGAGACGCCAGAGCTACATCGGATGTGGCTGCCTGCAGGGACTGCGACGAGCTCTGGGCGCTTTCGCTGGCGCTCCCGGGGATTCGCCGCTTTTTCAACCGATTCGGCTGCCGCGGTTCCCGATCACTCGGGGGTGACTTGGAGAAGAGGGCGGAGAGCTTGCGTTCTCGGGTGGGCGTGGCGGCGGCCGGGGGGGACGTGGGCGGGGACAGCATGTCCGGCGGTTTCTCATCACTGCTCTCCTGGATGTTCTCCTGCAGATTCCCCGGGCGTTCATGGGGCTTCTCCGGCGTCGGGTCCGGCGCCTTGCGCATGGGACCGTGGGTAGCGGAGTGGATGTACACGAGCCCTGTGCCTGATTCGGTCACGTCCTGCGGTTTGGGCGGCTCCGGGGTTTCTTGCACGGTTGCGGGTGGGGTTTGACTGGGCGATCGCGAGTGTTGTGCCGACGTGGGCTCGGGGGAGTCGGTGCCGGTGTTCTCGACGACACGGCCGATCCGTGACGGCGGAATGGCCGGCGCCATCTTGGAGGGCAACGTGTTGCTGCGGTGCACCGCGGCGGGGCCTAAAGACGTGGGAGTGGCCGGGCTCGGGCTCTGGTTGGAAGTTCGCGAGTTCCTGGATGACACCGACACGTTGCGGCGCAGACTCTCGTACTTCCGGAAGCTGCCGCCGCTGGCGTTGGAGACGGACCGTCGCACGCCCGAGTGGGTGGTCGGACCGCGGACGAGGCCGCCTTCGACCTCCTTCATCGTCTGCTCGTCGGCGGCCGTGCCATTCATGCCGAAGAGGAAGTGGTCCTGATTCTCGATGAGGAAGATCAACACGTCCTGGCTGAGCTTGTACTCGTCTGGGGACATATCGTGCTGGGGGTGCGACAGGAGGCCCGGTTGGAAGATGGCTGACAGATTTCCGGACGTCATGCGATTCTGCTCCGACTTGGAGGCAAAGACGGCGAGAAGGTCGAGGATGTAGAGCAGGAGTTGTTTGTTCAGCGGGGGCAGCTCGCGGATCAACTCCTGGTAGGCGGCGACCGCCTTGGCATGATCGACGTTATCTGACTCGGTCGCGGGGCCGTTTTCCTGGATGTGTTGCTGATATGCACGGAGCGGCTGGCGAAAGCGCTCGTAGAAGCCGAGCGGGACAATCGGCTCAGGCAGCTGGTTGAGGTATCGTCGCAAGACATTCGCCGCATCGTGTACCGTGTATCCAGTCCAATCTAGCCCTTTACCGTACCGTTCGGGAGAATCAAAGATCTCCTGGAGGTCTTTGATGCGCTTGGCCGATCCATTCAGCCGGAAGATGCCCTCGACGTCCGTTGCTACGATGGTCAGCGCCGTCTCTTCACCGGGGGGGGGGTCACGATGCGTACCTTTTTCCTTCAGGAAGACCCCACACTTCGCGATGACGATCGGCACGTAACCGTAGATAAAGCTCTCGCCGTTATCGTTGGTCAGGGAGATGGCGACATTGGCATATTTGATGCTGACGTTCAACGGGACGCCAAAGATCCCTTGTGGTTTTTCTGCGACAACACTTAGCACCGATTGACCCTGTCGCATCCAACTACCCATCCCATCGCCAGAGCACATACCTTTCGGCTCTTCCTTCCGAGTATTGCGCTTGAACTGCCTCCACCACGATGTCAGGTCCCGTTTGGACGGGGGAGAGGTCGCAAGCGCTTGGGGGGCAGCCGCGGTGGGGGGAAGCGAATGTAACGGGTCAACACCGGGCGGCGTCTTATTGGTGACCATGATGACCAGATGCGAAATGATAAAAAGACGGTCGGAGGGAATGCGCGGGTCGATAAGATATAAAGAACGACGCTTGAAGCGACGAGACCGCTAAATGTTCACCGCCCTCGTGTCGCAGCGAAATTCCGGGGCTGGGGGACCGTGATCCCAAAATAGCACGAGGGACCGATCAGTCAGACCGCGGCAGCCGTTACCGTCGGCCTTTCGGGGAGGCGATTTGGCAACAAACCAGAACGAAAACACGAGCGTGGTGGAAAGAAAGAAGGCAGGATGAAAGTGAGGGAAATGAAGAACGAGTGAATCCGGAGGAAATCGAGGAGCGATGGAAATGGGGGAAATGAAAGGAGGATCGAAAGGGAGATGAAAACCAAAGACAGGGTAGACAGGAGAAAGAAAGTGGGGAGTACGAGGGATGGAAACAGAGATGAAGAATGAAAGAGGGGAGAAGGAGGAGGCAGATGAAGTAGAGTAGAAGTAAAAGAAGAAGAAGAAGAAGAGAGAGAGAGAGGACGAGGAGGGGGAGAAAGGGTGATGGATGGTTGGATCCTCAGGCCGAATAGAACACAGGCTGACAGCCAGAGTTGACTTCCTGTCCCTCTCAAGGCACTTTGGACCCCCGAACAATAACCATGTCAAATTCACCAAATGGATACTTTCCCCGGTTGGTTTCTGATTGGATTGCCCTCCTGGTAAATTGCTAATTGGAGGGGAATACTACTACCCTTCCACATACCCCCCCCTGTGATAAATGAATGGATTAATTAATTCTACCTAGTCGTCATGAATGGATATGAATGGATACGTATCTCAATATCCTCGAAGCCTGCACTCCAGACAGCCCTAGGGAGACGATCATACTCGATCAAGAATCGACAGAATAACGACCCAGACCCAGGGTTCCAGGGTTTGTCTCCTGTCTGGACCAGTCTCGATATTAATCTAATTTCACCACTACGCTAGTTTGTGAGATGGTGTATCCCACTAGGCCTTTTTGATATCTGTGTGCCTTTTGACACTACTCCATAATCAATAATAGATTAAAAACCAGACACATGCGAATACAAGTCATCGACGCCTCCAAAAGAGACCGAGTAACTAAGAAAAAGAAAAAAACACAAACCAACATGACCCCGTCCCGATCCATACGGCGGAATATCACCAGAATGGACCCGGTGATCCCATCACTCTGAACCTTTTGGCAGAGGTCCTACCGTCCGCCCTCCAATCAGACGGATCGCTCTCAATGCCTGTCCATGTAAAGAGGCGTGGCCACCGTCGATCTGCAGTTTCACGTCTTCAACATTCAAACGATATTCAATGTCCATGGAGACATGGACACAGGGCGAGAGGGGTTTGACCGAGCCGGGGGTGTTGATTGGACCCTGAGGGTGAAATGCATCCATCGACCCAAACTGGATCATCCATGGTTCGTGTCTGGGGACGTAATACTTCGATGGTCCGGTGGCGGCTGTTCTTTTTTTATTCCGCCTGAATAATCCTAGTTGGAGAATGATCGGACGCTGACGTTGCCGGTTTGGGCGAGACGGGAGCATCCAGTGGCTGCGTCAGGTGATCCGCTGCTCCCAATTCATCACGTGATGTGTTGATCACGTGTTGGTGTTGAATCACATGTGGTCATGTGATGTGTATCAGGTGACCTCACGTGTGGTCAGAGCCTGCGGCCAAGCTCCGCGCTCCGTCCCAAACGAGGAATCCTATACTCGGTCATCATTACCACTGCTCTTCTTCTTTACTCTACCCCCTTCTTTTCTCCACCCTATCAAATCATCACAATGGACGGGTAAGCTCAGTGTGTCTATCAGATGTGCGATTGGAGACTAACTGTTGCAGTCTCTCTGGTTCCGAGCAGCGCGAGCTCGCGTCTCGCATGGAGCGCAAGCAGATGAAGGAATTCATGACGGTATGTCATCCATAACACCTCGATCGACCGGACCAACGTGTTTCCAATTGGGGATCGTCTACGAAACAGGGAGACTCAAAAAAGAAATCGAGAAACGATCAAGAATTAAAAGGGGCATCCCTAAACGACAAGTCTCCTTGTCCCGTCGTCCCCACGAACCCATCCACGAACCATCCCCGATCCACACCGCATTTTCTCCAACCTCCATCACTGACCATTTTATCGTGCAGATGTACTCCAAGCTCGTCCAGCGCTGCTTCGACGACTGCGTCAACGACTTCACAACCAAGTCCCTCATCAACCGCGAGGAGGGCTGCGTGATGCGCTGCGTCGACAAGTACCTGAAGAGCTCGCAGCGCCTGAACGAGCGCTTCCAGGAACAGAATGCGGCCATGATGCAAGGGGGTGGAAAATAAGTGGCTTCCTGCCACTGGTTTCCTGTTTGGGTTCTGTGCTATATTTTTCGGGTTGGGACCGGTTCTCATGTGTACACTATAGATTTGATTTGAATGAGACTCTCCTGTACTGTCTGACGCTGTCTATCTCGCGTCTGTCGCTGTTTTTCTTTCGGTGATGGTTTGAGGGTCTGTTGGATCGGGTTTGGAAAATATGTAATACGTGTGGATCATGAATGCGTGTGGGCGTTGGGTCACGTCTGGGGAGTGACGTGGTCTGTATAGTATCTATTGTAATAATGATCTATTGAGACATGTCTGTTGCTGTCTCCGTCTTCAAAGGCGCACTACTATTCTCTTTTCACATCCTCTAACTGATATCAAGCAGGTCATGACAGATGGCAGCAAGGGCAATGGCAGACCGCCCTGGGATATCACCTCGGATATGGACGATTATTTGATAAATCCACAATGACCAATTATTCATACTAAGTCTAAGATTTTAAGATCGATAATTTGACCGGAAGTGTCGACAATTAGCGGTAAGAGTCAACCTGCTAACCCACACCATACTGAGGCAACTCCATCCGGCAAAGGAAACCTCTCGTCGTCATGCTGCACGGGCCACCCGGAAAACTTTGCCTATTCGGGCGAGTGCAGAAGATGGAGATAAGCTGGTTTCTAGAAGGGTGAAGAATTGAACGAACATGTCTTTATAGAGTATTCAATAGATATGATCTGAGTTATTATGTTAATTATCGTCAGGATTGTAATTTGGTTGCCATTCTATACGGTTCTGCTACGGCATTATAACATTGAGCTATATGAGCTTCTACAATAGTGAAGTAGTAGTGGCAGCAGCGGCAATAGTAAGGTACTATGAAAAAGTAATGAACAGATGAGGAGAATCTCCGTGCGGAGAGAATATGACAATCATACTATACACCCATGCGTGACTAGAGATAGTATATGATAGAAGTAGTATACGAATGAGGGGAAAGTGGTCATCACCGGGAGCAGCATGAGGAGTTCCACTACTAAGTTCCAAGCAGCCCCTCACCCCACCCCCTCTCTCGTCACGTCAGTCCGTAATTCTGGATCCCCTCACCACGAAATCTCCACCACCCTCCCCCGATCTCGCCCGTTTAAAGCATTGATTTCCCCTCCATTCATCCGTGCCTTTTTTTCTCCTTCTCTTTTCTTTTTTTCTTCCTCCGTTTCTTCGTCTGTTCTTTTCTTCTCTCCCATACTCAACCTCGAATCATCACAATGGCCAGCACTGTCGGACAAGTATGCCCCTCTCCCCCCCCACCAATATCAATCTACGTGCAAATCACAAGCTAACAGATCAATCCTAGACCATCACCTGTAAAGTAAGCCTCACATGACATGACTACGAATCACATCCCGGCCAGCATATTAACCCCAATGTAGGCCGCCATCGCGTGGGGCGCCGGCGAACCCCTCTCCGTCGAGGACGTCGAGGTGGCGCCGCCCAAGGCCCACGAAGTGCGCATCCAGATTCACCACACCGGTGTCTGCCACACGGGTTTGTTTCCTCTTTCAGCATCAATGAATTCTAGAAACTGACCATCCAGACGCATACACCCTGTCCGGCAAGGACCCCGAGGGCGCGTTCCCCGTCGTCCTGGGCCACGAGGGCGCCGGTGTCGTCGAGTCCGTCGGCGAGGGCGTCACCTCCGTCAAGCCGGGTGACTATGTCGTCGCTCTCTAGTACGTTTTACACTCCCCCCCCCCTCCCACGAACACGTACCTGCAGACAGTGGGATTAACACCCTCAGCACCCCCGAATGCCGCGAATGCAAGTTCTGCAAGTCCGGCAAGACCAACCTGTGCGGCAAGATCCGCGCGACCCAAGGCAAGGGCGTGATGCCGGACGGCAGCTCGCGGTTCAAGGCCCGCGGCAAGGACCTGCTGCACTTCATGGGCACGTCGACCTTCTCGCAGTACACAGTCGTCGCAGACATCTCCGTCGTGGCGGTGACCCCCAAGATCTCGACGGACCGGTCGTGCCTGCTGGGCTGCGGCATCACGACGGGCTACGGCGCCGCGACGGTGACCGCCAAGGTGGAGGAGGGCGCCAACGTGGCGATCTTCGGCGCCGGCTGCGTCGGTCTCTCCGTCATCCAGGGAGCCGTGCGCAACCGCGCGGGCAAGATCATCGCCGTGGACGTCAACGACGGCAAGGAGGCGTGGGCGCGCAAGTTCGGCGCCACCGACTTCGTCAACCCTACCAAGCTGGACGGCAAGACCATCCAGGAGCAGCTGATTGATATGACCGACGGCGGTTGCGACTACACCTTTGACTGCACGGGTAACGTGGGCGTCATGCGCGCGGCCCTCGAAGCCTGCCACAAGGGTTGGGGCGAGAGCATCATTATCGGTGTTGCTGCTGCCGGCCAGGAGATCTCCACTCGTCGTATGTCCCCACAAAACTCCCCTCTCCCCAATTGGTTTCTCTCAGAGGCCGGAAGCTAATGGATGATGAATAGCATTCCAACTCGTCACCGGCCGCGTGTGGAAGGGCTGCGCCTTCGGCGGCATCAAGGGCCGCACCCAGCTGCCCGACCTGGTCGACGACTACCTGAAGGGCGAGCTCAAGGTGGACGAGTTCATCACGCACCGCGAGCCGCTGTCGGAGATCAACACTGCGTTTGAGCAGATGAAGGCTGGCGACTGTGTGCGGTGTGTTGTTGATATGTCGTAGTTGGACGGATGAAAAAGAAAAAGAAATGAAATGAAAAGGAAGGAAAAGTGATGTTGTCAATGAAATGAATAATTTATGTGGATTTGTTTAGTATAGGAATGATGTTGATACCAATTGATTGATGTAAGGCGGGTTCTTCGAGGCACTGCGTAGGGTATATATAAGTATGAGGGGGTGTATGCTCACAAGGTCCTTGACCACAAGGTAGTTAGTATAGTATTATTTATAAACTCTTGCATACTTATCTAACAGTAGAGTATAGTAGCTTGGTTAATTAATCTACAAATACTATATGTATTAACCAGAAATAAAGGAACGCAATGATATGACAGCTTCAGTAGTAAAATATACCTCTGTTATAAAATATATCATGAATCAACTCTTCCTTCCTTTTTACGTATAGTGAATCATATCTGCATAGCAATACTTGCTTACTTACATAAATAATCAAGTACCATCTTACACAGCTACCAAACACTCTTACGTGACTAACCACACATCAAACGCCCAAATATCTCGGCAAGAGCATGCTACGTACGCATGTAGCAACCTTGTAAGCAAACCTGCAAACACCCAGCCAACCCAAACCAACAGACCAACAAACAAGGCAGGGAGGAAACAAAGAACGGAACAAACAGGATGCCCCATCCCCACCTTCTGGCTTCCTTCCTCTGACCTCCCAGTCCGGTTTATATCACTTTTACTTTCAGCACTTTATATCACATGTTTTGCCCCTCTGTGCGTGGCTGCTCTGCATTTTATCTTATTTCCTCTTGGGAGTATGGTAAAAAGAGATCGGGAAAGGAGAAGGGAAGGGAAGGGAAGGGAATCAAGGTAGATGAGACTAAGTTTGGTCACTGGATAGGGTAGGGCCTTAGCTGGTAAGTTAGGACTGCGTGGGATGGGGTGGGGTGGTGGATGGGTTGGATTTGGTTGACGGGGGAGGATGTTGTTTATGGGGACGGGATGGGGTGGGGTGGGGTGGGTTTCATCGAGTTGGTTCAAGAGAGTATTGAGGGTGGTGGGTTGTTAGGAGCGTTATGGGAGATGGGTGTGCTGTAGACCCCGGGGCAACCTAAACCTTTTGGGTGGGTGTTTACTGTGTAGGTACTACGTTGGAGTCTATTCTATAGTAGAGATGGACAGTGGATTGCAAGTAAATCAACGCATTCAATTTATTAACGAACGACTTGGGTGAGACGAAAGGTCAAAGACCACAAACTACGCTAGGCGCAGTTACATCAACTTGTGCTCAAGGGTCATCTCCGACTCAGGCTGCAGGCCGACACAAGCACGGAAGATGTTGGTCAGAGCGCAGCGCTGCTTGTTGAGCGAGTTGACCACCGGAGTGCCGGGGGGAGTCAGAGGCGCCTTGAGCATGTAGCTCAGCACGCTGAGCACGCTGTGGAAGCCCTTGTAGTCGGCCCCGGCGTCCTCCTTCCAGGTGATGCGGGTCATGACCTCGGTGATGAGGACCAGGTCGATGATGAGCGGCGACGCCAGCAGCGAGTCCTCGCAGATGTTGAACAGGCTGATGGTCTGGTGACCGCCCATGAAGATCTCGGCGTAGTACTCGTCGAGCGCGCGCTTGTTGTCGCCCACGGCCGGCATGTACTTGATGACGACGGTGTGGTCCGGGTGCTCGTCCTTTTCGTAGAGGAGCTGGTTGGCGGCGACCATGTCGTCGACGACGTTGGACTTGGAGATCTCCTTGGAGCGGAACTGCTTCTGCGAGCTCAGGTTCTTGCCGTCGTTGTTGCCCAGGTGGTTGTAGCTGGCGATCGAGGTGAGCTTGATGCCCGCGTTGATCAGGAAGTCCACCAGCGCGGACTTCATCTTGGTCTGGCCCGACTTGAAGTCGTCGCCGCCGATGAAGGCCTTGCGCTGCTCGGCCAGCTGGAGGGCGCCGGGCACGAAGGTGTTCTGGGGCGAGCCGTTGATGAAGGGCACCTGGTCCAGGATACAGGCCACGGCGAAGACGGTCGAGGGAGCGACCTCCAGGTGGCCGGTCTTGATGGCGTTCAGCAGGTTGTCGGCGGTGTCATTGACGCCGGGGACAATGTCAGCGTAGCGCTCCGTGTTGGCAGTCCACATGACGATGACCTTGTCCAGGCCGTTCTGAGCTTTGAAGTCACTGCATTCATGAGCTATTGTCTCTCATCAACAGGAAGTGTGAACATACCGAATGTCCTTCTGGATCTTCTCCACGTGGGCCCAGCATGCCTTGGAACCCTCGAGGACGTTGTCGGCACGGTCCTCCTGGTTCGAGGCGATGAAGTCCGGGTAGTAGATGGAAGGCAGCGGCTTCATCTCGGCCATCTCCTTGCGGACCGACTGCTTGAGGGCGGGCTCCAGGACCTGAGCGCGGTCCATGGCAGCGGCCAGGTTCATGGAGCTGATGTCCCAGCCACCGACGGCCAGGTCATTGGGGTGAACCATGGGCAGCATGTCATGGAACGGGACGTTGATCTCCTCGCCCGTCTTGGCGTCAGTGCCCAGCTTGATAGTGGAGCCCATGACCATGGAGCCGTAGTAGTTGGCGGACTGCATCTTCTCGCGAGTCTCCCAGGACAACTGGCGGCGGTTGGCAATGAGACCGGCAGTGACGGTGGAACCGTTGTTCCCGCCCCAGCCGACCATCATGACACCGACCTTGCCAACCTTACGGTCGACCTTGAAGTGGTAGTCGGTGGCCTTGGGAGTGGCCACCAGCTTGTTGTCGGCGGTCCGGGTGATATCAGTGGTATGGTAGGCATACTGGCTTCTGATCTCCTTGTCGGTGTAGACCACATTGGGCGAGTTGACAGTGAACAGCGGAGAGGAGGACGAGGCAGACCCGTTCACGGCGCCATTGGCCGCAACATCCGCACTGGCGTGGGGTGCCATTGTAATTGATTGAGTGGTGGGATGTGAGATGGTTTACTGTACGTAGAGTGAGTTATCTGGCGCCCCTCCCCGGTTGGATGAGCGGCGGCCGTTGAACGGGTGGTGCCGGCTGTTCCAGTTAGCAGTGTACATTTGACTCGAGTGTGTGCGAAAGGAATTGAGGTCGAATGAAGGACTGGTGACCTCCATCTGATGGACTCGGACAGAGTAGGAAGGGACCGGAAGGGGACATGGGGAACTCACGAGTTGAGAAGTGTGGAGAAAATTTTGGCGGTTTTTGACAGACCACGCTCAAGGAGTGTGATCAAAGTGTCAGACGAAACTGGCCAAGCTTTGGAATTCGAACGATTGGGAAGAATTGGAATGGAGGTGGAGAGAAAGATGAAAACAGGAGAGGATGGAGGGGGGATTAAGTAGGAGAGACTCCGGCTTAGTCACGGGCGACATCCGAACCCGGCCGCCAGCACAGTCACTGACTAAGAAGGGGAACAAGTGGTCGAGACTAGCCTATTCCTTTCAAATCTAATCCATTCACCCATTCACTGCTGGGATTTCATGGCTAACTTGACACTAAAGTGGTCAAGCGAGAACTGGCGGTCTGTAGGGTAAATCCTGTTACCGGACGAGGTCCGAAAGCCCTACAATGGTTTGATAGTGTACCTGATCATACCCCTCTACCCCTCGATCATGAGATAGAACTGGATTATATAGATCGGTGATCAGTGATCAGATCCCACCTGATCATCAGAATGTTATGGAATCATTATAGAGGATGAATGATATATTTATCAGATCAGTCTGCTTTTCCATGAACATGCCATCACCAGGTCAATGGATCCCCAACAACGGTGGATCCCACACTGGATATCATGCAGGCCCAACTGTCACCACCTGGCCCAGTTAATTGGCCAAGAGTGGGCCATGAGTGATCCAGGCGAGGTCCATGGGGGTAAACGCGGGTAGTTTGAAAGTTTCAGTCCATGTTCTGGAAGAAACCATCTGTCCTTTTGATCCCAGTGTTCTTCGTTTTTTACCCCGCTAACAGAAAAACACCCCAAGGGAGATAATGCGAACTGCCCAGTGGACTCGGGGCAGTCGGTGGTCTGCGCGTATCGCTTAGCTGCTGGAGTGGGCCGCACATCCAGGTAACCATTGTTTGTCATTCTCGAATCCAACGGTTTGTGTTCAGACACGATGTCGGTGCTAAGTTCTATGTGTACAATATCTGTACATCTACACATCTCTGTGTAAATATGTCTGTGTATACCGAATCCAATTCAGATAAATCAATTGCCAGGAGAGACATTGCGGTGAGCGGAGGAAGAAAAGGTTCGAACCATGGATCCATGATGATTCTCCGCCTAATCGCTAGTGTAGTATTGAGTGGGTTTGTAGTGTTTGTTCGTCCACATTTGTTTGGCATGGATTTAGGCAACGGTGTGTTTCTGGAGCTACAAACCATAGCAATTATTCCGCCAATTCTCATGCTCAGAGGCGACATGGTAGTGAATAACGACTCGGTGGATATATTTCCTATATATCTTCCTAGTACGCACGGATCAACACCACGCCAGAATGTTAATCCATCCCGCTCGCCAGGGACGGGCCTGGGTTCGGATGAAACAACAAATAGATGGAGAACACATGGAGAACTCCGGCCTTTCCTTCCCAGTCAGTCCGTCCGAGGAACTCATCAGGGATAATGGGGTAGGAATGATAACGCAGCTTGCGTACCCCGACCGAACCACGATCTAACAGCCATACGATGATCCATCGGCCCCGTAACTGTCGTCCTCTGGAATGAGTGCTAGTTCCGCGGGGACAAACCACTCCAGTTTGACCGAGGGTAAGCTGACAGTCACGGCGGACAATCTCTAGTACTCATTATGTAGTGGAAGAGTCAAGGAACATGACTAGTGGATCGACGGGTGCCTTGCCTGTCCCATGTCCGATACAATAGAAAGCACGGACTGGGTTACAACCTACGAGGATAACCATGAAAATGGTGGACATGGAGACAGAATATCATGGGATGATGATCCTTCTCCCTCCGGGTTAGTTCCTTGTTTGATTTACACGGGATGAGTACAACATGGAGGGGATCATCGACGGTCAGATACGATTATCCCGCCCAAAAATAACAATACATCGGATCAGCATATTGTCCGGTTATTCTTATCGCCATCCATCCAGAAACTATAAGAGAAAAAGAAAAAAAAAAGAAAGAAAAAAAAAGACACTTTTCCATTGTATCATTCTTGGGGCAAGGCAGACTCCGCCCGTCAGAATCAAGAATGATATGCGGAGTGGTAGAGTGGTAGGGACAGTGGAAGCGAACGCAACAGGAAGAGTCAGCCCCTGAGGATGATCTGCAGAAGGAGTATGGTTCAGGGGTAGGATGATGGTTGTGGAGGGAGCGTCAGCAGTACGAAAGGATGGAGACATGGTAAGATCACTAAAATCATCCCAGTCGGTAAAAGGGGAAGGACCAAGATTATTCGTTCTATTTTTTTCCTTCTGTCTCTCGCTAGTCCAATGTGGCTTTCTCCGATGTTCGAATTTTCTACAGAGAGAAACATAAAATTGAAATCTCCCCTATCTATAGGATGGAATAGGGGAGACAACCCAGAAAAGAATCAATCAAAATATATTAAAAAGCAAGTAAAAAAAAAAAAAAAAAAAAAAAAAACGGACCCAGATAGTACCGAAGTGAAGTTCATTTGAGGACCGCGTGTTGCCCTTGACCATCACTGATTGGGGTCGGTCCCTAAGCAAGTCTATTCCTCCGGGGCACAACCCCACTAAGCTCAATCAGGACCAAGCCTAAGAATAGCGTGAGACGCCAAACCCAGAGGGGCACCTCAGCGCAGGATCGGTGGATGCACGAGGGGAGCTAGTTCGTTCCCTAGTGTGGGTTGGAGAGACTCAATTGGTTCCTTTTCTTCCCCACTTCTTTCACTTCTCTCTCTCCTGCATGGACCCTTTTGTTGCTGCTGCTGATGCTGATGCTGCTGCTGCTTGCTTCTTCTTCTTCTTCTTCCTCTTCTTCTGTTTTACCATTCTTCTTCTTCTGCGGGTAGTTGTCATTGTTTGGGTTTGTTGATTTGGTTTTCTTGATTGATTGATTGATTTATTGATTGATTTATTGGTTGTTATTTATTTATTCTATTTACATGTGCGAGTTTATTTGACTCCAATGTCGCATTTCATGACTATTATTTATCCTTAGCCTGCCTCATTTCCTATTGATTCCTTCTAGTCACCAATCATTCTCCTCGCCCAGCCAAATCCATCGGATATCGCCTCGGTCAGGGCCAAAATCTGGGGTGACTGCGCCGGGGACGCGAGGAGCCCTTCCCTTCATCACTCACTCGTTCTCCCCTTCTCTCGTCACCTTCTTCCATTCTTCCTCTCCGATTGACTTATGAGTAACTCCCCGTTGAGAACTTCGCGTCCGCATCATGGCCATGGCAATGGATGCGGGCCTGCTGCCCACCATCAAATGCTCCAATTGCGGCTTGAACGTTGAGATCATGTCCATGGGGGACCACATCTGTCCGCCTGCTGGTATGCTTTCTTTTCTTTTTTCTGTTTCTTCCTTTTTGAAATATTCTGGCATGCGCTGACTTCCTTGCAGGGTTCGAACCACCACCGCCGCCGCCAAAGGAGGATGCCTGGGCGGCGAAAGTCCCTAGAACGGGACCTCCCCCCCGCATTGACCCGGCTGCAGCCAGTATGATCAGACCTCTCCCGTCTGGATACAAATCCCCGGAACCCATGGCTAATGCTCCCTCTAGACCGGCCGTTTATGCAGGTGGACGGGGGCATGAATGATGATAGCCTGACCCCCGCGCCACTCTCAACTGCCGCGGCGCAGCGCTCGTTTACGCGCCGACCGCTGCCCGACTCCCCGGATTCCCCAGATTTTGGCTTGGGCGCCTCGTTGAATGACTTCCCCATGCCGCGGTCCATGTCCCTCCGGCGCCCGGGGACTAGCGATCTGAAAGATGCCAATTCCGCCCCTCCAGTTCCCTCGCTGCCCTATCTCAATGCAATGCCTACCCCGTCCGCGGCCCACGATCCGCCACGGAGTGCCAATCTGCCGCTCGAGGAGGATGACCTTCCGCCGCTTCCCGTGGCCAAGGACCATGGCCCTCCCATGGGCGTGTCTCACCGATCGGGACCCTCCATCGACAGCAAGAGTAGTTATCGCACGTCCTTCGCGAGCTCCCGCTACGGCGACATCAGTGACAAGCGGTTGACCACCTACTCCAGCCGAATCGCCTCGTTTAGCAGTGTTGCGCAGCCGTACCGCTACGAGGACGTCCCGCCCATCCCCACGGATGCCATCCGCAATGCCCTGCACGAGTCGGCCTTTTCGGACTCGAGCATGTCCGGAGGCTCCGTGAGGCATGACAGTCGTGGCGACAGCGTGGGCAGCTTCGACCTGGGCCATGGGCCGGACCACGGGGGCGAGCGCCTTGGTGACCGGTTGGAGCCCGACCGACATCGCCCCAGTCCATTGCGGGTCGCGTCGAATCCAGGCTCAGAACGGTCGAGCACCTCTCGTCGCTCCGACGAGCTGTTCTTCCGGAGCCCCTCGCACAGCATGCACGGTGCCCCGCATGATCTGCCCGACGAGTCGGATCATCGCTCCAAATCTCCGGCCGACACGCCGGCCGACTACCGAGCGTATAAAGCTGCCGAGTCGGGCCATCTCCAGCCCAACCACCCGGACAGCCCGAACGATCCCCACACGGCCCAGCGGAAGAATTCCGACGCCACTAGCGACAGCGGCCTGTCCATGTCCAACTTCGCGCGGGCGCTGGGCCTGGAAAGCAACCACACCGTGACCAGTTCCACGGCCTCGTCGGACGTGTCACCCTCCGAGAGCCGGAGCGGCACGTCTCTGTCTAGTCTCCCGTCCGAAGCCAGTCTGTCGCGGCGAAAGCCCTCCGACCAAGGCCGACTGGGACCGGTGCTGGAAGAGCTGCAGACGCAGGGCCCGCCGCTGGGGCAGATCCACGAAAGCCCAACCGACTTGGAACCGCCCAAGATCCCCGCCGGCGCCAAGATGGCCCCCGATTCACCGACGGACCCGGCCCTCGGCCAGGGCAGTCTAGCGCTACGCCGGGAGCAGTCGCGCGAGACGGACGGGAGCCTCTCACCGGGCCCCAATAGCGGCATCGCGCGGTCAGCCACGGAGCCGCTCCCGGGGGTCTCGCCGACCCCCCGTCCCAAGGGCCGATGCAAGGGCTGTGGCGAGACCATCATGGGGAAATCCATCTCCTCCAAAGACGGCCGCCTCACCGGCCGGTACCACCGCAACTGCTTCGTCTGCTTCGACTGCAAGGTGCCCTTCCAAACAATGGACTTTTACGTCCTCAACGACCTCCCCTTCTGCTCCCAGCACTACCACGAGCGCAACGGCTCCATGTGCCAAACCTGCCACCAGGGCATCGAGGGCCAGTTCCTCGAGACCATCGAACGCCGCGGCATGGGTCCCGTCGACCGCGTCCGCTTCCACCCCGACTGTCTCACCTGCCGCACCTGCAACGTCATCCTCAAGGGCGAATACTTCGAGTGGAACGGCCTGGCCTACTGCGAGCGCGACGCCCGTCGCGCAGCAGCCTCCGTCTCCCCGCACCGCTTCCGTCGCCCAACAATGCCGTCCTCCCCGTTGGCGCCCCCCGGGCCCCCCGGGCCCCCCGGTCGCGGCTACGGCCCGCCCCCGCCTGGCTACGGGCCTCCTCGCGGTGGGTTCCCCCCAGGCCGAGGAGGACCCCCCGGGCGCGGCCGCGGCCTGCGCCCTCCCCCGGGATCATTCGACGGACCGTACGGACGGCCGAACTCCCCTCTGATGCCACCACCGGGCGCGCGTCGCTTCCCCGAACGACGCACCACCCGACTGATGATGATATGATTACCACTCACTACCTAACCTGAACTAACCTTTTGACTGACTGACTGGCTTATGGGGGGGCATGCATGCAACGCTCGTTGAGCGGGCTGGGTGTAGAAAGTGTGGCAGGGACTCATTATTTAACCGCTTTCTTCTTTTATCCCTTGTTTTGTTGTTATGTTTGCATTGGACCGGCTGCCATATACCCAACCTTTCTTCTTCTTGTTTTATATTTTTGATTGATTGCACTTGATTGCACTTGTTTGTGTGGCTTTGTCATGTTGATCCATGTTGATCCATAACTATGTCTTGGTGCGTCTAGCGATTCAGACTTGTCGAGTTTTGTCTCGTTCTCCGTTTTTGTACTGTCCATGTTGACGTGGATGGATATTTTGCTATATTGGTGCGTGCACTGTACTGTACTAGTGGTATATCGTTGGCTCTGACCCTGTAGGGCTGTATATGTTCCGATATATGATTGCAATTGAAGTCGTTGTACGTGTATACTAGTTTTTCCTGTATATTCACACATGGTCCACAGATGCAGATTCAATGGCTAGTTAATGCGAGTGCCTTTAACTATCCAGTGTGTTCAGCGGCTGATTAGAAACCGTTTCAGCCATGATTGATGGTTATTTAAGTGTAGTTCCACGCACAATCCGCCCCATCGACGTGGTAAGGTAGATAGTGATAACGTAACTATCTAAAGCTCTTTACAATGATGATGGAATAAAGGTCCAAAAGCACACTTGCCACACTTGATATTTCCTACCCATTTCCCATAAGAACCCTACCTCTCTATCCACATACTATCAAAGATTCACTCTCTCACACATATTCTCGCATGAAGAAGCACGTATAGTAAGGGTCCGCCCCGCATCACACCCCCCCACACCACACTCACCCACATCATACCATCCATGCATCCATCTCCTTCCCAAATGGTGCTATTCCCCGAGTCGACACCCACCATCCAAATATCAAAACAGACAATTCAACGAGCAAGCAAGGGTAAAACCACCCACACCGCAACTCGCAAGCGTTGAGGATTAATCTAAATGCAAGCTAGCAAACTGGCTGCCTGCTCCGCTAATGAGCCACACGTGACTAAAATAGTCAAGCACGCAAGCAAGCACGCCAGCGGGCGGAGGGATGAGATGATGGTCAGTTGATGCTGAGTACACCGTACATGCTGCACCAATATGTAGGTACTAGGATGTAGTGTAGAGTGACGTTGATGATCTTCGGGTGATGGGCGGGAGGATTTGGGTCGTTAACTTTACTTTACTTCCTGGGGGGTACGAAGGAATGGTGGATTGTCATTAAGTGTCGGGGGACTTTTCATCTACCGTTATGCCGAGGTTACTACTCTGTACTTTATCTTCAGCTTATTTCCAGTTTACCCTCCGCTTAGTAGATACAAGCAAGCGAAAGGCTACGAAATATGTAAGCACCACAAATAAATAATCAACGTTGGATTGGCTCCTCGCACCTAATAATATCGTACTATCTACGGAGTCACAACGGCGTGCGGAAGGCTGAAGACCCCGCGCGGGGTTGGCGTAAGGCTGTACATACACTGCAGGGTTTATATACATGGTACTCGGTACATAGGTCAGCAATAGGTGTAGCGTAGTGTGGCTTTGATTAGGCTGTTTAGTAGCTGCAGGTATGATTCAGCCTCGGCGCCTGTATACTGCTTATGTACGAATATAGAGATGAAGTTATGGCTGCATGAAGCAGTGACTTCGGGGATATTTTTCATTTGTCGCACCCCGGCCTTATGCATTGTCTGTTTGGCATATGCGGGATGGTAGACACAGCCCTGCTGGTGATATTTTAGTTTGGTCTATTTATGTTATTTAATTGTTTTGTTGATTATTGTTGGTTGCCTTTTTAGCTTGCGTTTTAAATATCTATCTTTTACTCCTCAGTCTTTGTACTATTTAATTTGGCAGTAGTTGCGCGATTATATTGAATAGATGGGGCGGTATATATTACTGCTTTGTGGTAAGTGGAGGGTGCGTTCCATGGGTGATCTTTTTACTAGTCTTCAAAGTAAGTACTCTTCGATATGAATAGAGACTTTTATCATACTACATCAGAGATAGTATATCCTACATACTTTTTGAATACACACTCAAGTAACGTGAAATAGCAACTCTAGTATAGGACGAGCCTCATGATTAGTAATAAAGCTTATAAATCCATGTCCATATGTGACGCCAGTCTTGTACATCATTCAGACCGGGATTCTACATCCACAATCTATCAAACAACGGAAAAAAAAGAAAGAACAAAGTAGAAAAAGACGATAAAAATGTCAATCAAGCAGTGGAAGACCCCCCTCGAGGGCATCGACTCGCTCCAGCTGACCGAAACTCCCATGCCCACCCCAGGCACCGACGAAGTCCTCGTCGAGATCCACGCCGTCTCGCTCAACTACCGCGATGTAGAGGGTATGTCTCACCCTCTATCAGATGGCTCGAAGCTAAGATAATAGTCACCAACGGGGAATACACCCACCACAAGTCCGTCAGTCAGGCCGCCATCGTCCCCTGCTCGGACATGTGCGGGGTCATCACGGCGGTCGGCCCCGCCGTCTCCAGCTGGAAGGTCGGTGACCGCGTGCTGTCGACCTTCTGCCCCGACCACCAGACCGGTCAGATCACCGAGAAAGAGCTCAGTAGAAGCATGGGTCTGCCGCTGGACGGCGTCCTGGCTACCCACCGCGTCTTTCCTGCATCGGCGCTCGTCCGCACCCCGGCTTACCTGACTGACAATGAGGCTTGCACTCTGCCCATCGCGGCGGTCACCGCTTGGATGTCCATCAATGGTATGCGCCCTATGGGCCAGCCTGGTGGCAAGGGCGAGTATCTCTTGGTGCAGGGTACGGGCGGTGTTGCTATCTCGGGTTTGCAGATTGGAAAGGCTTCTGGCATGAAAGGTGAGTCTTCCCTCTGTTGAGCCGTCTTATCCAGCCGCTAGGGTGTGTGTCAAGGCATAAACTGATGAATGCAGTGATCGTAACCTCCTCCTCGGACGACAAACTCAAGCAAGCCCGTGCCCTTGGCGCAGACCACACCATCAACTACCGCAGCACCCCCGAGTGGGCCCCGGCCGTCATGGCCGCGACGGGCAACCACGGCGCGGACGTCATCCTCGAGACGGGCGGAGCGCAGACGCTCGGACAGAGCTTCGACTGCGTGGCATTCGGCGGCCTCATCGACTGCATTGGCTACGTCTCCGGCAAGATGGACACCGAGGGAACCCGTCTCAACACGAACCTGCTGGCGCTGCGCCGCAATGTCACCCTCAAGGGGATCATCAACGGCCCAAAGGACCGGTTCGAGGAGATGCTGCGATTTTACGAGGCGCGGGAGATTCGACCCGTCGTGAATCGCGTGTTTGGGTTTGGGGAGGCGAAGGAGGCGATGCGGTTTTTGGAGAGTGGAAGTCATTTTGGGAAGGTTGTCATTGCCGTGTAGATCTTATTCTTTTATTTTTATTTTATCCATTATCTTTCTTTGGTTTTTTTTTTTTTTTTTTAAATTGTTGTTTTCCTCAGCTTGTTTTTCGTTGGATCATTTACATATAACCGACCTGGGCCCATTCAGGGGTTATTGCTGGTTATTAAACCCCATTTAAACGCTGCCCTGGTTCAGCACAGCCCCATCTGACTCGAACAACCTGATTTGGTGAGAGTTTAGTGTTCCTGCCTCGGGTGACACCGCATCTCTCCGACTGCATCTTCTTGTTCTGTCGACAAAGGTTACCGAGCAATGATATCATGGACAAATGGGCAAAGATAACATACGTCAAGCTTCTCATCCATCCAGTCACATTGGACTTGAGTGACTGACCAGAGAGCTCCGCAAGCTCTGGAAAGCATGAGTCCAGAGTGGAGCGAGTTGTCGTGATGATCGACATTTAGACCTGAAGGATTAGTGTTAGGGCCCGAACATATGTTTTTTGGTTCGACCGTCATCAAGACCCTCCTCCCCAAAGAAGAAAATTCAAATACTGCCCCAATAATAATAATCAGGGACAGGCACATTGGCCAATCCTTGCAAGGGTATACGAGCCAGGTAATGCGGCCGGATGCGGTGCCACTTTTTTTTTTTCTTCTTTTATTTCTTCAACCGGGATGCCAGGAAAGTTGGAGACGGGACAGCGACCCACCATGATCGCGTATTTTCCATGCGTGCGTCTGGCATCATCCGCGGTTCGATTGTGCAATTCCACCCTGTTTTCTCTAGTTCGATGGGGTATCGTCAACGGGGGCAGTTTCTAGACACCTGTTGGATGGACGATCGGGGGCCTTCGCCGCGTAGATTAGCCCCCCCGCTAGCCACCTAGGCGCCGATGAGATCGACGGTGTGCAATGGGGTGGAGAAATGATACAAACCTGGGTCGGGTGGATTGGGGGGGCGAGGTCAATCTTTATTTATTGGGGATGTGACCCTGGCTGAGCACCGGGTTGACGGCTTGGAATTGAGTGCACTCCATCTGAGCGACGAGACACGATGAAGTTCACGGCCGCCCAGTTCGTTCTGAGCCTGCTCGGCCTCGGCGTCGCCGCGAAGCAGCCCAATATTCTGTTCATCTTGACCGATGACCAAGGCAAGGAAGCCATTGGTGGGTTGGAGCACATGCCCGAGCTCCAGGTACTTTCGTTCTCTCCTGCTCGCGCTTCTCACAACCCACTAATACGTCGTATAGGAGAAACTCGTCAAAAAGGGCAGCACCTACCCCAAACACTTCTGCTCGGTCGCACTATGCTGTCCCTCGCGCGCCAACCTCTGGACCGGCCGCATGCCGCACAACACAAACGTCACCAACGTCGAGCCCCCCTACGGCGGGTACCCGAGGGTGGTCAGCGCCGGCTGGAACGACAACTACCTGCCGCTGTGGATGCAAGACGCCGGCTACGACACGTACTACGTCGGCAAGCTGTGGAACTCCCACACGGAGAAGAACTACAACAAGCCGTACCCGCGCGGGTTCAACGGGTCCGACCTGATGCTGGACCCGTGGACGTACCGCTACCACGCGGCGCGCATGACGCGCAACGCGGAGCCCCCCGTCGACTACTCCGGCCAGTACTCGACCGACGTCATCCGCAAGAAGGCGCTGGGGTTCCTCGACGACGCGCTGAAGAGCGAGGACGGTCGCCCCTGGATGCTGACTGTGGCGCCGAACGCGCCGCACTCGAACGGCAGCTTCGATCCCTCGACCAAGGCCGCTTGGTTCGGCGAGCCGGAGTACCCTGATCGCCATGCGAACTTGTTCAAGGACTACCGCATCCCGCGCGATAAGAGCTTCAACCGTGCCATCGAGAACGGCCCGGCTTGGGTGGGCCAGCTGGAGCCCATCAAGCCGCACGTGCTGGACTACATCGACGAGTTCCAGCGGTGCCGGCTGCGCGCGCTGCAGTCTGTCGACGAGATGATCGGCGCGTTGATCGATCGGCTGGACAAGGCTGGCGAGCTGGATAACACTTATATCTTCTACTCGACGGATAATGGGTACCACGCTGGACAGCATGCGATGCAGCCTGGGAAGAACTGCGGATATGGTATGCTTTTTATTCTGTCTTCCTACATATCTTGAGAAGCATACTAATCATGTAGAAACCGACATCAATGTCCCCCTCATCGTCCGCGGACCCGGTATCCCCGAAGGCGAGACCCTCGACGTCATCACCAGCCACACGGACCTGGCACCGACATTCCTGAAACTCGCCGGCGCCAAGAAAGACGGACTGGATGGGAGTGCCATCCCGACGACGGTGAAGGCCAGCAAGGCCGCTGATAAGAATGAGCACGTTGCTGTTGAGTACTGGGGGTCGGTACGTATCCCCTATCTCTTTCCTCTTCACCACATACCTCCTCCATCACACCTCTATCACCTACATCCCTATCATGCAGTGACCAATACTAATTATGACAGGCCGTCCCCGAAGGAATCTACGGCTGGATGAGCAACGAATCCTCCCGAGCCGGAAACATCTACGGCGAAAACACCTACAAAGCAGTCCGCCTCCTCTCCGACGACTACAGCCTCTACTACTCCGTATGGTGCACGGGAGATGTAGAATTCTACGATCTAAAGGTATTCCCCCCTCTCCCTTTTTCTTCCTTTTCTTTTCCAAAAGAAAGCTAACAAAAGCTACCGAAGGCCGACCCCCTCCAAACCAAAAACCTCGGCGCAAAGCCCCAACAACATAAATTCCTCTCCCGCCCCCTCGAACAAGCCATGCACCGCCTCAACACCCTCACCATGGTGCTGAAATCCTGCAACGGCGACTCCTGCCGCCACCCGTGGCAGCAGTTGCACCCAGGCGGCGCAGTGAAGAGCCTCTCCGCGGCGCTCGACGCTAGCTTCGACAAGTTCTACGCCTCGCAGCCGAAGGTGGCGTTCGCGGACTGCGCGCATGGGTATCTCTGGGAGAAGGAGGGCCCGCACGACTTCAATATCTTTGGCGGGGGGAAGTCGAGTGTGAGCCCGCCTGCTGATGAGCGGGTTAGGAGGGGGAAGGATGAGGGGGGGGCGAAGAAGAAGGATGGGAGGGGAGAGAAGGGCGGAGATAAGGACGATGATAAGGAGAGTGGAGCGGCTGTTGTCGCTGTTGAGGGAGGGGGTGTCTGGTCGACTGTTGTTGCTCTTGGGATGATGGTTGCTGGTTTGGTTTGATGTGCACTGTGTGGGTGTGCGTGGAAGACTATTATGGTCTTGGGATCTGTTTTTCTGGTTTTTCTGTTGAACATATTCGTGGCATGCTGCATCTGGTTATATGATGGCTAATGATACCTAATGATACCTGCCTCTATGAGGGTTTTCCATATCATCTTTCTTGATATCTCTTATACTTCTTATATTCTATATTATACAGTATTTGACAGCTGGTAAGATATTCATTTACGGAGATTTGTATTGGCTAACTACAGAAGAGTGATTGTAAAAACAGCGCCATCCCAGTACTAAGCAACAGAATAAAACATGGAACCATCCTGTGACCAAGCCAAGCAGACACTCTCCAAGAGCAAGGTCAAACACGGTATGGATGGAAGAAGATAAAAACAAATGACAGGAAGACTTGTAAGATTCGATGAGATATCACCAACCGTTGATGGATGTGCAAAGAGATATTGGGGCAGGGGGTTAAAAAAAAGCGAGATGAATAAAAAGGAAAGAAAAGTCAAACCACGAAAGGTAAATCGTGTCGGGATCTGCTCCTACGACCGAGGACGGCTCCCTCCGCGATATGCTCGTACATGCGGTCGTCGGCGAGGTAAACGCGAAAGTCGCGCAGTCCTCGCAATTCTACGAACGACTTGAGCAGCTTGCGCATGAACTTGATGCGGTATTCGGTTGTGTTGCCTGCAAAGGCGTTCTTCGTGCCCAGGTCGACAATAGTGAGCGACAGACGTGGCAGGTCAAAGTGTTCGCGGATGAAACGGAGCAGAATCAGCCAGGGTAGCAGAGTAGAATGGTCCACGAGCTTGCCCGGTCGGTATGGCATGCGGTAGCTGAGAGGGAATTTGAACGATAGCTGCCGAATTCGCATGAAGGACTGCGTGGGGATGTAGTGCCAGAAGCGCATCATGAACTCGGGGTCCTCCTCTAGAAAGGCGAAGTGATTCTTGCTGAAGAAGATCCGGCGAGCGTCCTCGTAGAAGCCCCGACTGACCAGAAAATACGGCAGCGGCGAGGAGAAACATGTGCAGCTTGTGGAGAAAGACGTCTGACGCGAGTGACAAAAGCACATGGCCCCCACGGGGGAGCAGTTCTCGCAGCAGGTTAACGGGAAGACAATACGGCGATCGTTGCGACGGTCCTGGAAGGTAACGATGCCGTCCTCGCTGTCGGCGACCGCCAGATACGGATCCGAGCGATCGGTGAGCAAGTTCTCTAGGACCATCAGCTGGATTTCCTTAGGGAGACGCAAATACGGGAAGGTAGGCATGTTGTCGGGCAGATTGCCAGTCACTCTCCAGGCGGCTCGCTTGATAACACGGCGAATATCGTCATCGACCGAAGTCATCATGTGGATCGCGCAATTGGACAGGAGCGGAAACGGATCCATCGCGACCATCATCTTGCAGGCGACCTCAAACTCTCGGACCCTGCACTTGAGGCTGAAGTGCCGAAGGCTAGGCATGTTCTCCGCGGCCGCGTGGCAGAATTTCGTCCAGGTCTTCATCACCCGACTATGTATTCCAATCCCCAGCCCCAGATACCGGTTGTAGGCCGGGCCCATGTCGACATGCAGACTGCGGATGTGATGGACGCCCCATTCGGTTGCAGAACGGAAGAGACGGAACTGGGCGACAGTGTCGAGTTTAATGTTGAACCGGTTTCTTCTAAAAAAGATGGCGCCGGCTTGCTCTCGCATGGCACGGGACACCGCGAATAGCTGGGTAGGTAGTCTGGGGTGGCGGCAATCAATGTGCCTCACTATCAGCCAGGGCATCCGGCCGGGGGGCAGAAATCCATGGAATCGATTGCACTGGATGTTGCCAGTCTGACAGACAGTTCGATGCTTTTCATACCTCAGGTCGAGGGGACAGGGCCGGAGCAGCCAGGCGTGTCGGAAGATACGGATCTGGACGTGCTCGGGTAGGTCTAAAAAGGTTACGCGGCGAGTCTCCGGACGGACTACGTTGCCGGCCGCGTTCGTCGCCAACACGGGCGCCTCTGCTGCTGGACCCAGGGGGACAGGGCGAGGTTTGGGGTGTGCGCGAGCCGGCATACTTCCCCAGTTAGGGTCTTCTTTCTCTCGTCGAAGGTCTTCGAGATGGAGGAAGACGGCAAGGTCAGCCTCTTCCTCGCTATCAGTGTCCATACGAAGTGCCAGTAGGGGAGCTGGGTTTGTTGACACGTAGACGTGTCAGTTGGTTACATTTGTGGTCGAGGAGGACGCCTCAAGTGAATCCAGATGACTGACTTACCAGAGGTGTGCCCTGCGGGTCGAGGACGCGTCTGGATGATAGTATAGTTGAGGGAAACCCTACACACAGGCTGGTGATGATGGCAGACACCAGATTTAAGGGGAGGTGCAGAAAGCGAATGTAGGATGGATGGAAGATGGATGAAGGTGAAGTCATTTTGAAGGAGTGTGGAGGAGTGTGCACGGGGATAACAAACTTCCTGTTTGGGCGTGCGAGTGCCTGGGGTGTCCGATCACGTCTCCCCCTCAATTTTGACAGTGATGTTGGCTTCATCATCCGTCTTCACTCTTGTCTTCTTCCCCTTTGTCACCGGCCCTTTGACTTCACTCTTGCACAGCTTAGTCCCTGCTAGATCACACTCGCCACAACGGCGGCCAATAGGTAAGCAAACCGTTTGCCCCAAACCCACCAGCAATTTATTGATTTCGTGCCATTTATCATGGGGGAGCCACGACTCCAGCGCCATACGTGTTTCTTCGGGGTTCTTAGTCTTGTGCCATCCCCAGAGGTTCGTGATGCGGTGGACATGGACATCGACGCCGATACCCAGGTGCTTGCCCCAGGCGGCACTCATGCAGAGATAGGCCATTTTCGGGCCGACGCCGGGCAGCTTCATCAGACCTTCTGGGGTGGACGGGATGTCGGAATTGTGCTGATCGCGGAGGATGAGGGCGGTGGCTTTGATATACTTGGTCTTGTTGTTGTGGAAGCCGACGGTCCCGATTAGCTGGTTGAGTCGTTCGGGAGCGACAGCGAGGATGTTCTTCAGGTTGAGAGTGCTGTCTTTGCTGTCTTCGGGCTTGACTGCTAGTTCGTCTGTGTCTTCGGACTTGACAGCCACATCATCTGTGTCTTCAGATTTGACTGCTACTTCATCTGTTTCTTCAGACTTGACTGCCACTTCCACAGGGTCTTGGCCAAGCTCGGTATGTAACCGATGCATGGCAACAGCCGTGACGGTGTCTTTAGTCTGGGAGGAAAGCATCAAAGCAGTCAAAATGTGATATCGACGGTCTCGAGGGGACGACGCCCGCCAGTACAGCTCCGCGCAGCCCATGGTGTCGACAGGGGCAGTGGGATTCTCCTCCCTCATCTTCTTAACGGTGGAATAGATGGTCTCCCAGTTGGAGGGGGGTTCCATATGATAGGAGCCGTCGGGCGACTGGAGTTTGCGGGCTGGGGTGCGACGGGCTTTCTGGGCCTTTGTTTCCGGTTCATCCTTGATGGGAGTCTGACGAGCCTTCTGGTCCTTCGTCTCTGGTTCACTCTTGACGACAGTCCGAGTACTTCGACGACTCAGACGACCCTGCCTGTCACCCGCAGTCGCCACCTTGGAAGCCTTCGCCGGCGCGTCCACCGCGGCCTTTCGCTTCTTAGCCGGCGGTTCCACGATATCTTCAATATCAACAGTATTGACCGACGAAAGCGATGACTCGTCATCACTCAAAGCGTGGTCAAATCGTCCTGCAGGAACAGGCGCACCGAGTGCAAAGCTGCGCAAGGCGCTGCGAGTCCGGGCAGGGGGCGACAGAGCCTGCACCAGTTTGGCGGTGTCTTGGGAAGTACGAGATGTGCGCATCTTGCCACAGTAGATTTAAAAATCAACAAGCAATATAGTACTGAATGAAAGCAGCAATGGTTGGCTTTCACATGAACAACAAACAGTATCGTAGCGCGGATCGACGAATTTGCGGACGGAAGTCGGAGTCGGAGTCGAGTCGGATACCCCAGACCGACACAGAGACGGGACCCACAACATTGAGCCTCGGTCGGATTTCGCGACACTTCCATCTTCAACTTCCAGCCTCTCATTTATCTACACCTCCATCTCATCTCTCTCATCTCCTCTCATCTCCCTCCCGATCCAACCTCACCACCCACCCCCACAAAACAGCGAATCCAAGAAAATAAAAGAAAGAGGCAGAAAGAAATGGCCATCCCCCACTCCACAACCCAACGCCTCCTCCGCGAGCTAAAAGACTACACCAACAATCCCAACTCCGCACTCCTCCACCTGGGCCCAACCAACGACGACGACCTTCTACACTGGGAGGCTGTCCTAAAGGGTGTCACAGGGACGCCTTATGAAGGTATCCTTTCTCCCCTCCCTTCCCCTCCCTCCCCCCTCTCCCCTCTTCCCCCCCCTTCAACCCCTCATCCTTCCCCCCCCCAACCAATCCACCCACCCACTAACAAGAAATAAACACACAGGCGGCCTCTGGCAACTCCGCATCGCCCTCCCCCCCAACTACCCCCTCAGCCCACCAAAGATAACATTCGTCACGCGCATCTCCCACCCGAACATCTCCTTCACGACCGGCGAGATCTGCCTCACGCTGCTCACAACCGAGCACTGGAGTCCAGTCTACACATTATCCACGACGCTCTCGGCAATCCAGCACCTGCTGACGGACCCGCGGCCGGATTCGCCGCTCAACGTGGATGTTGCGGCGCTGCTGAGGGACGGGGACGTGGCCGGGTGGGAGAGTATTGTGAGATATTGGACTGGGGAGGAGAGGTGGGTTTCGTGATGCATCTTGACGTCTTGTTTGAAATCTATCTTACTGGATTATATTCTTTGTTGTTTTGGGGGGAGGGAGTGGGGTGGTTGGATTGGTGGGGGTGATGTTGGTTGTTTATATTATGACTGTTTATATCTTTATTTTTATACATACCCTGCAGTAACAACTGCAATGTCTATACATGCAATATTTTAAATATGCGATGCTTTTAACGTGCAATGCTCTTGTATATGACATGTCTTTTATATGCAATGCGCATTCAGCCTAATATTATACATTACTTTACTAGATCTGCTAATCAATATGTATTCAGATTATAATACCCACGCTTTTAAAAGCCGATAAAGACAGAAAACAATCGCCGATCAGAGAGTGACACCGCAGATGCTATGCGTAAGGACCGTGAGAACATAAAACCACCTTATGCGAATGAACCAGAGGCCAGAGAACTCCATCAAGTCAAAGAAGTAAAGAGAAAGGAAAAACATTCAATTATAACACCATAGCCACCGCAGCAGCACCCATCAAATACAGCTCAGGACGGAAATCCACCCGCCCAGCCGCCGAATCGCCCGTCTGCAGACCAGGCGCCGGGCCAGTGGTGGCCGCGGCGCGGTTCTGGGTGGGATGGACGACGGTGACGGCGGTGACGGTGCTCTGCTCGCCGTTGGGCAGGGTGGTGGTGCTCTTGAAGGTGGAGGTGTAGGGGGTTTCCTCGGAGGAGGAGGTAGAATCCGAGGTAGACTCCGAGGTAGACTCCGAGGTGGTGGTGGGAGCTGCGGTGGAGGGACCGTTGGAGTGGGTGGTCTTGGTGGTCTTGGTGGGGTCGGCAGCGGTGGAGTGGTGAGCCGTGGTGGAGGCCGGCGCGTTCTCGGAGCTGGAGCTGCTGCTCGAAGTCGTGGAGTCGTGGGCGGTGGTGGAATCCTGAGCCGTGGTGGAATCCTGGGCGGTGGTGGAATCCTGGGCCGTGGTCGAGTCCTGGGTGGTGGTTGAGTCGTGGGTTGGGGCTGGCTCCTTGGACGACTCCTGGGTGGAGGAGGGCGGGGGCGGGGGCGGAGCGTCAGAGGTGGTGGGTTCACTCTCGACGGTCGAGCTGGCCGTCGGTTCGGCACCGGTGCCCTGGGAGGCGGAACTGGGCTCTGTGGCCGGGGCCGCGGAGCTGTTGGCCCCGTCGCGCTTGATGTTCATGTGGGCTTCCAGCGAGGTGTCCTCCCGCGGGGACTTGGTCTTGTCATCGCTCACGCGGCGGGCGGCATCGCGGAATCTTTCAGAGAGACGGGCGGCCTTTTCGGCATTTTTCTCGTCGACCGAGTGGGCAGCGACCTGGTCGGTGAGGTCGTTGGATGACTGGGCGGGGGCGGCCACGGTCGAGGTCGCGACCAGCGAGAGAACCAGAAGGTTGAGAAGAGACTTCATGATGACAGTCTGAGTATGATGCAGGATGTTGGAGATGAGGATGGGGAGAAGATGAGGTGAGATTGGAGGTGAGATTGGAGGTGAGTTTGAGAGTTGAGTTTGAGAGTTGAGTTTGACCGTTGAGCCACAAAGCTAAAGAACCAAAGAGGCGCAGGGAAAGAGAAGAAGGAAGTACAGAAACGTAGGAAAGAGGAAAGAGGAAAGAGGAAAGAAGAAAGAAGAAATAAGCAAGAAGAAAGAAGGAGTATTTGTTGCCTGAGCAGAAGCTACTGGACGATCGGAGCGATCGTAGTAGTTCAACCGATCCACCGAGAAAATACTGGTCACACCCAAATCAGATCCAATGGAAGGAAGAAGAAGCCGATCAACCGGGATAAAATTAGACAACACACCAGGAAGAGGGAAGAGGCTAAAAAAGAAATGGAAAAAGCCAAGTGACAGAATCCTGGTCCTGGGAAGAACGATGATGATGGAATACCTGACTAGAATCCTGACTAGGATCCTGACTAGTGAGCCGACGATCCACCACTAGTTTCCCTGTTTGTTTCTTCGGCCTTGTTGGATCCAATTGGGGTGGCAACTGGAGACCCGTTCAGCCATGGCTCGCCTGAAACTGCTGTCACCATTGCAGGCTACTGTTCCATATGGTGATATACCAGTTGATAGGTTAGAATGATGAGATATAATTGATTATTGTTTCAACATTCCATACCCATCAATAATACCAATGATAAATCCCCCATCTCCCTATATTGATTGCTCCTTGTTGACCCTTCCAGGGAGGACATTCCAGGAACACAACCATTCAGGGGAACAAGAAAATCAAACCAGAAATCAAAACAAGGAACCAAAATACAACCCGATCATCCGAAGTCTCCGCATCCGGCCACTCGACGGTTCCTTTCGGTCGCTTCACTGGATCGAGCTGGATCGACCTCGGCTGTCTTTCTGATAGGTTGGATGGCGTTCCGTGGATCGACCGGACTAGTTCTGTCCTAGTTCTACTACACTAGTCTACCACTACTGCCAGCTTCCCAGATTACTACCCAACAGCTGTGATTCCGTAGCCGTTAGTATAGGAAGGGTTGTCATTCTTTCTTTTTGATACATTCCTCGCGTCTGTGTTGATAAACTCTCGGGTCTGCAGTGCCCTCAATACTCATACTCAGACGGCATACTCACCACTTTCTCTTGAGTGAGACATTCTATTTATGGCGTAGCAGAATACGACCAGTGGATATCCACAGCCACTCATTCGCCGTTGATTCAAGACACATAGCGGATACACCACCAAACTAACAGAATAGTCCTAAACCTAGACAATAACATATACACCCGGAATAACACCAGGGTAACCAACAACACTCGTAGTACTCCGTACAGAGTCACACCTCCCCCCCCAAACCACATACACATAGTAAAAAAAAAAAGAGAGAAAAGAATGTCACTCCCTCTCCATAACCCCTACCCACTCCCCCCAACCAACAACCTTCCCCTCTACCTCCCTCAAAATCTCCTCCCTCGTCGCCAAATCGCTCAAAAATCGCTGATCCACCTTCCCACTAAGCGCCACCAGCTGAAAGAAGTACCGATGCCGCCCATGGCCCGGCAGCGGCGCCGGCGCCAGATACACCCCCTCCCCCCGATTCTCGCCGTACTTGAACCCGCCCGTTAGCCGGAACGCGTCGTGCTTCGACTCGTCCACCATAAAATCGGCGTGGTTGACGCCCGTGAAGACCGGCGGGATGCCGAAGTAGATGCCGTGCACGACGGGCTCGGCGAGTGGTGCGTCCGGGTCTTCGCTGATGAGGACGTATTCTTCGATTGCTGCCGGTGGGGTGCGCCAGCTTAGGGAGGGGAAGAGGCCGGCGCCGTCGGCGGAGTAGTCGATGGGAATAGGGGAGCCGGATTTGCCCAGGTCCGGACTGGTGATGTTAAAGGTGGGGTTAGGGTAGCTGGTGAAGGCGGGGCCTCGGGTGAAGAGCTTGGTTTGGTTGCCGTGGGCGAGGTGGAGGAGGGAAAGGAGGAGGAGGATGGTGAGGTTGATGGAATGCATCTGTGAGGGTTAGTAGAGGGTATGATGGGGGAGGAGGGGGACTTACTTTGGTAATTACTGAAAAAGGGAACCCGCTAATGGTGTTGTGGTGATTATGAGATAGACTATGCTTTGGTGCTATGGTGCTAGGGTGCTATGGTGCTATGGTGTTGATGTAGACAGACAGTGTCCTGGGGATTGCCCGTCCATATAAACACATTTTGTCCGACTGAAAGCGACGAGGAAGGTGCCAGTAATGTCAATTGCAATGGCAAGACCATGCCTTTAACGCTCCTTCCCTCCATCACTCACGAGCTAGGCATTAGCATAAATGTATATCGCATAGAATTTATCCTCAGCATCAGTACCGTACTTGGTTACTTGCTCACTACATAGATATCACCAACGCCAACCACTTCCAAACAACCCTACTAGCATCAAGTAAGAACGGCCCAGAGCAGCTACACATATAGAAACCTTTGCGGAAAGTAGAAATTTATAGTGACTTGGTACTATCCTACCCGAACATGTATACAACGACACCTCCTTCAGTACAAACTTGCTGAAAGGGTTCATTCTATCCGTAGTGGTGGTGAGGACACAACTGTGGGCTATGTGTCTTAGTTGCTTCCCAAGGCTGGTTTCTAGTCACGAAGGACAGACATTGAACACACACCGGTACGCCAGACTCATCTGGCGCTGTCTGAAGAAGTTCTAGATACAACCATGGACAATTGGGTTATGTTCACACAGTAAGTGGTGTCTAGACTAGAATATAATCAACACAAGCAATAGATTAACGCAATTGGTCTTTATAAATAATGTTAGTATATACTGAAATCTCTATATATACACCTATCACCCCATCACACTATAAAAAAAAGAGGCAAAAAAGAAAAAGAATGCGTGATCACCCATCAAAGACATCCACCCCCGTTCTCCCCCCTCCGTCTTCAATTCACGAATCTAAGAACTCTGGCACTCCGCCCCAGCAACATAAGGGTTCGAAACCCCCTCAAGGCCCTCGCTCTCAGAACAGCACTGGGCGTTGCCCTTGTATTTAATCTGCTGTGACTCGCTGTCATATAGACAGTTGTCTTCACCATAGTAGATGTCGCCGTACGACTTGGGCCAGGAGGCGCTCAGTTTGCACTTGGGCGAGACGGTGGGTTCGGCGGTGTTGCTGCCGTCGAAGCCGGCGTAGATGGTGGCGCTGAGGGTGTCACCGTTGCCGGGGTCGGAGATGGCTAAGGATTGTATTGTTAGGTGGGTTGGTTTGAACTTGTGAGAGAGGGGAAAGGTGGGCTTACTGAAGGAGTCGCAGACGGGCTTCTCGTTGATGTTGATGTAGCCGTGGTTCACGTGCTATACCGGTGATTAGCTTTTACACCATGTTAGTGAAAAAAAGGGTGGGGGTAGAATACAATGGTCGTGCCCTTGCTGTTGTAGTTCGGGGGTTCAGCGCAAGGCCAGTAAGGCGAGTTTGCTTTGTGGTTGGACCTAATCCCAGACTTGGCCTGTTCCACGCTCTCGCACACGGGGATGTTGAAGAACCCGGGATAGCGGACGGTCTTCCCGTATTGGGACTTCCCGAAGTTTTTCAGAATCTCGTTCATAGCCGGCGTGTCGTAGCCGTTCTTACCGCCACCGCGTCCCTCGTAGCCCGTGATGGCACTGGACACAATGTCTTCAAGCGTGATGCCGCCCCAGTTCTGGGAGAGCGTGGAGTTGTCCGCGCCGGGAAGCGGCGTAAAGTGGACCTGTCTGTAGAAGTCCCACTCGTTGGCGTTCACCAGGAAAGCCCAGTTGTCTCTCCAGCACACACGTGTCTGGGCGGAATCTTCATCGGTCATCAGACCTTCATAGCCATCATTCAACGAAGACTGATTGGGTTGCTTGAAATCAGCCGAGTGATCATCACAGCTAATGTCTGTCTTCCTGTGGGAGAACAGCATATGAGTATCACGTTCTTTCACGAATGGTGGGCTTGGATTTCTTACAGGACGAACGGATGGGCTCCTGCGCCGTTGGAGGCAGCCTTCCATGCAGTAGGCATAAGCTGGCCGTAGAGCACTGACACGACCTCTTTTGCCATTGCGTTTTGGTTGAGAGTGCTGGGCATGTAGTTCATCTTGCCATCTCCAATGAGGTCTTGAAGGTTTTGCAGGGACGACTCCTCGCCAGAGAAGATGTTTTCGAGATATCCGGCCTCCATGTCCGTCCAAGATTTGAACAGATCACCAAGAGCAGAGCTCAGAGAGTTCTGCGCCTCGAGCTTGTCATGAACCCTGAAATCGATTAGCAAGGACAAATCCTGGGAAAGGAAGCCAAGGGGCAGGGGATGCCCGTTGGGCGCTTACTGAGGGACATTGTCTTTGACCCAAGCTCCCGTGAGACCGACAAGCTGGAACGCCATGTCGTGTGCAAACCCTTCCGCGTTGAATCCAGTACCCCTCTTCCATCGAGGGGCGGGCGCTGATCTCTTGGTTGCGGGACCAAGTTCCTGAATCTCGTCAGGGTCTCGCTCTTCATCGTCACGATTAGTGGATGCATCGGAGCTCTCCCCAGTGGTTCCATCAGGGGTTCTGTCAGAGGGTTCGGCTTCAGATTTTCCACTCTTAGAACTTTGGCTACTTTTACGGCTGGATCCGAGACCTGTGGCCGCCTTGGCGACGTCCTTCTCAACTAGCATCCCGTTAGAAGAGAACCCAGAAGCATGAATGGGAAAGACAATCGACCCTAGTACATACCCGTTGCAAAAATTCCAGAGATTCCAAACCCAAAGATTGTGCTCAAACCGTCAATAATCGCCTGGATTGTCTTGGAGTCATCGGACTGAGGAGCGAAGGTGGCGGTAAAGTCACCAATTTTGCTCTGAATTTCCGCCATGGCCGTCTGAAGTGCACCAGAGGTTTCAGCGTGCAGCTGTCATTATCATCTGGGTCAGCATCTGCTGGTTCGGACTTGAGTCGAGCCATGGGGACGAGTGTACCTGATGAATACCAGAGAAAGCGTTTAGGAGAAGGAAGCTATATTCTGCCGTCAGCACCAATGGAATAGAGACAGACGGCGCTCGAGTACCGGAAACCTACCCTGCTGGACGATTCGTATCCTGGCACTGGACTGTGGTTGAGCAATCAACGTTGCCGATATTCGCGCAGTTCCACTGCTCCGGGCCGTCAAAATAGTTGCTGGCGAACTGCGTAAAACTGAGTTTACTGTTCTTTCCACTGCGCCTCCACTCGGTAATCATGGAATTCCAAGCTCCTGGAACGCCGGCCGCGTTCCATCGATCTACAAAGAGATCATTGACATTTGCGATGCTACTCTGTTCGCATGTTGCGGTTGTCCAACCAGAACCTTGGGTACTAGATGAGACATCCTGGGAAGGCTGTCTGATTGCTAACCCGCTGGTTGAAACCAGGAGCAATGAGAGCGTAACGCTAAGTTGGGCGAGATGCATCAGGGCGAGTCACCTGCCGCGGGAGCGAGTGTCAGATCAACGCTGCAATCGGCTAGTCAAACAAAGGAGCGGAAGGAAGTAAATGAGAGAAAGGTTGGAGCTGAGAGTGTGTTTCGAAGTCAGCTTGGGAAGAGGTGCAAGAGCCATACTTATAGCTCCTGGCACTAGGTAGCCTAGACTTGTATGCCCGTTTGATTGCAGTATGACAAACGAGCACCTCCAATTAGCTGTTCCTTTCGGGATGCTCTACCAGAGCCTTCGGGGTATGGTGTCTGCGGGCCTCGGAGCCACCTTTCAGCTGCAACGATCCCCAAGATACACACGACATGGGCCTACGTGCACTAAAGCTGAATGTGGGGTCTAAAAACTGTGGGGCTAGGATCGGAGTTCTCCAGAAAATGTCTCGAAAAGTTAGGCATGCTATGTCCGATGACCGCTCAAACATCTAAGCACGCTAGCGGCATAAGTGGGGCTTGCGACTTGGTAGGAATCAAAGACGAGGTCGAACAAACCCTGTGGAGGAATTGAATACATGTGTTGAACTGATCATGAAAAGGCTCGAGCAACGAAGAATGTTCCTTTACCTCCCTGTATGTCGACGACAAGCTCAACCCCAACATTATCCTTGGGTCCAGGACTAGTATCATGTTGTTCCTCGTAAACAGTTACCAGGCCAGGCTCGAAGACATACAATGACCCAAAGGATCCTTGCCTCATTTACCGATAAGGTAGTACATAATCTTTAATGTGCTGCACGGGGGAGAGTGCTATACCCCGGCTAGACATGGCATCCATAGTGTATCGTTTGTCACACGGCACTGCGAGCGAATATGCATTCAACATGTGGTCACCATCCAGCGGGGATCGAAACAGCCCTGTTCTACACTTCGACCGATATTTTTTAGACCATAATGATGTCTTGTCCAAGAAGACAGTCGTCACTTTGCTCGTTTAATCGGGATCATACAACTACCCTGACATATTGATCTCTAGTGACTGATTTCCAAGCCACAATGCCGGCAGTTGAATCCGATTGGATGCCTGGGGAACGGGCGTCGGAGCTTGACTGTTGTCCGTCCTGCAAAGGATAGCTGAGGATCATCAGAGACCGTTGCTGGCCCCAATCCTTCGTTCAACGCTCGTCGGAACAATGCGGCATGTGGTTTGGCTTGGCACGGGGTCTATGTGGGGATCTCGCAAAGACATAACGACGCTTTACCTGGTCGAGGGTAGTCAGGGCCTGTGCTAGTCTCATTCATGCTTCAAGGCCGCAGATCGACATACAAGCCACAAGACTGGAAGATGCCAGCTGAGTGTAGGGGAGATGGTCTCTTATTAGACATTGTCTCCACCTCTACTAAATTAACCATTGGCTCTGTTTGAACTTCGACTTGGCCAAATTTCGCGCAGCTTGGTATAGGTATCATATGATACTGGTGTTTATGTAGTGATCACTATGAACATTGAATGTGGCGTCCGTTTTCTTGGTCTTCTACACACCTGGCGACTCAGCATTCTATGGAACTATAACCACTATAGTTTAATTTAGCATTGAAACGGGTCTAGAACCTATTGGACTCATTATTGCGGCCTCGAGGATGGTATCGGCATTATAATACAAGTATCGCACTCATCATCGTTGAGAGTTGGACGAGCAACTAAGATATGGATGACAAGGAGCTCGGATGAATTGAGAAGAATGAAGCTATTTAGATTGAATAGTATTCCGACGAATGATCAGACGAATGATCAGCATCATGTGACTAGTGACACCAACATTACGCGCTCTCGGACCTCAAAGCTACCTACCTACCTACCTCAAAGAAAACCCCCGATTACTTCCAATCACTGGATGCAGTTTTTCCTTCATCACTCCCCGGGATTCAATGGTCGCTTGTTTTGACGCCGAGTGGCCAGTAAATATTGCTTTGAATACTTAACACATTCAGACGTGTCATCTCCATCTAAGCAATCATCACAGTGGGAAGGTACACCTTCTCACGATGGACTTCCCAATCATGGAAACCTCACCCCGCCCCTGCGGAAATGATGGTAACTTCATCTCGAGAGTCTCTTCGAACGAAACGAACATGCCTAGACTTGTCACTCCCTGCAAGGCCAACGCCAATCTTCTGAAATATGATGGATATGGAAGTTTCGTTACCTCCCTCCGAGAGAACCTAAACACTGGCCGTGAAGTTCTGCAATTTGCGTGTGTCAGTGCACAAGACTTCGAGGCCATTTCGTCCGATAATCATAGACCCCTGATGTCTGCCAAACTCTCCTATGATTTTCTCACTGGGGTCTTAACTGTTAAGATGCCGGGTTTTGCCCACGAAACTCTAACGGGCTTATTCAAGGCAATGGTCGACAAGAAACTGATCATGATGGATGTATTCGATGAGACCACTCCACGAGCCTCGCCTCTGACCGTCATGGGCAACTTAGCTAAGGAGCCGGACGCCTGCTGGGCGCCTTATTCCACCGATGATTTGACCGTGGTTCTGGAAGTTAGGGCATCCGAGTCAACGGCGCGACTGGCGGTGGACGCCAGGGGGTGGTTGGAAACCCCCGGGTCGACCGTCACAACCTGCATAACAATAAACCTCAGCCGGGAGAATAATATCATCATCGAGGTGTGGCGGCTCGGCACAAGGGTATATGCAGTTTCATCCAGAAGCTCCCCCTCCCCTGCCGTACGAGTGCAACACGTCGAGATTCTGAATGGAGAAGCAGGGTCCACTATACGCGGTTGGAAGACCGACCGATCCACCAATACCATCCCGACAGACAAGATCCAGCTAGATTTCAACACCTTTGTTGGACGGCCCGCTGCGACCGATCTCGAATGCGACATCGTCATAGACAATAATCTTCTAACGGCATTCGCCTGCAGATTCTGGGATCTGCAAAGCCGGCGTCTGCAAGGATAATATACCCATCCATCAGTCCCTTCCCATCAAAAATCTCAGAACAGACCGTCTCCTTTGAGCTGCCACAAAGCACTCAAGACCTAAACTAACACAAACTATAATCCACTTCCCTCTTCACCCCACTCCATCCCACAATGAAGATCAACTTCCTCATCGTCCTCCTTACCGCTGCCGTCAGCGTGCTCGCCAGCCCCGAAGCAAACCTCGACGGCAACCTCGCCGCGCGATCTGGCACTTGCCACAAACCTAGCTCGCGCAGCAAGTTCTGGGCTGGCAAATGCGAGCAGTACTGCGATCCTAACAAGTCCTCTCATATGACGGGCAACGGCTGCAATAGGTTCGCCCAGAAGTGCTGCTGTGATACGACCAAGGCTCAAACTTGGGTATTTGAGTCGGGTTTCAGGGTAATGGTGGGTGGAACGTAGGAGGATTAAGGGGTGTTTTATTAAAATGATTCGTTAATGGGAGGCACCTGGGTTGATCAACTTTGTCTATGTATATAATTTATGTGTCAAGATAAGCGATACCCTAATCAATTAATAGATCAGCTGTCCTATCTTTCAATGGTGGATTTTCTGGAGTCACAGCGATCAAGCCTTCATCTCAAGTTATCGAATTCTTTTGTAAATGACAATGGTGACAATATTTTAGATCATCTCACGAGACACGAAAGCTAGGTAGTTGGCAGCTGTGATAATCAGTCAGCTAGAGGCTTGCACATGGTTAGTCTTGTCCTCTGACTACAGAATAACATTTAATTAATGTGATGAGTTGCCCACAGACTTGAATCTTATCATATCCTACTACTTCAGATGGAAAGAATGCGGTCTGGAATCGTCTCAACGGCCAAGGATTGTGCACCAAGCGACCACACAACTACCTTGAGGAAGATTACTCACTTGATGAAGTCTGGTGCTTTCTGTCTTTACTAGCCAGGAATTACGGCCACCCCAGAAAGGGAAATGTGACGCTGGCGAATCAGCGAGTAATTTTTTTTAGTTCTAAGTCTATTGAAGAAAGAATAATCTCATATCGGATCCCTAGATAGATAACTAAGAATAGCTAGTTTTTCAAAGCTGGAGATTATTAGGGGATTTTACTAGTCTCCTGAAAATATTACAAGTATTCTAGTAGTATTACCAGTCCTATGATAATATTTGAATTGAAGATATAAGTATCTTCTCCAGAAATACCGGCCACCCTTGTTTTAACGAGTTTAAAAGAAGGAGACGCGTGGAGACGGGCGTCTACGTGATTGAGGGAGAAGGCAAAGCGGACGTTTAGAGACGGGGGAGTGCTAGGATATTTCGGATGTTATAATTTAAGCACTTCCGCACGATGATAACAACCATGTTGAGTAGAAGACTCAGCTCCATAAATCTCAATACTATATTTTTTGGAGGCAGCTTTCCGTGTGTAGCATGGCTATAAGCTGCGCATTTTTTTGCTTGTGTATACGCGTGTGGCTCGATATGGCTTGACTATGCCACCTTGACTCACAAAACCCTACAATGGGGTATGAAAGTTAGCTACAGTGATATAATTGACACTGCGCCTCTGTCTGGTAGAAGAGGGCGGGAAATTGAAAGAGAATGTGCCGTGGAGCTATTGAACAGGAACTCGTATCTTCTGGGTTCCCGGCAAGATGCTGGGAGAGACATGTTACCAGTCCCTGTTTTCTCTAGGCTAGCATGTCGACAATCCTTGGTTGAGGTAATGAAGGGAAGATACAAGATGTCGAGTCAAGACAGCGGCACCCTACGTGCTACATTAGACTTCGTCAAAAGGCTACCGCCCTGAAGCTTGCCAGTCCTATGCAGGGCCGATCGTATATCACATTGTATCATCTGATCTGGAATCCAACGGGCAGCGAGGGCTAAAAGTATGAATCCTGCTACAACAACGGCTGTATCATATCAGCATATCTTGAAATCCACATCGCCTGGCAATCATCTTTGAGGGAGACTGTATTCTCCTTTCCCGCATTAGCTTCCCATTCGTCTTGTTCGACAGAATTCCACAGAGGGTCATTGATCGGCAAAGGAAATTGGAGTTCATCTGCATGCAACAGAGGCATGTTCTCCGATGTAGAGCTGCACAATTTCTGAGAAAGCTTATAAAGAGCTATGTTAAATCGTTTCACTTCCTCAATGCCCACCCAAACAAACGAGGGCAGGTCAGCTTCCGTATACCTGGCGAGCATGTTCGGGTAATAGAACATTCCTAGTCTTCGGCAGCTTGCAACGAGTGATTTGAGTAATGTTAGATCGGAAGCGGAGATAGGTGTCTTTAAGTCTAGGGGAATAACTCCGCCAGCCTTCATGATAACAGAGAAGATAATATGAAGTAAGATGGCCTGGTATGTGGCTATCGGCCAGAAGCAGGCGCTACACGCGGATTCTACCTCGGCCGCATCCCATTTGTCCTAAAGTTTCCACGTTAGTGAATGAATACATCCTACGAGGGTGGCCTGACATACTCTTTGATCTCGAATAGCAACGTCAAGTTTCTCATGGAGCTCCACTGCTGCAGACCGTGCAGACTGCCCCCTTGATGTCCACATGCCAATGACTGTCATTGATTGTAGAAGTAACGGGGTTTCGTGGCGCATATTGAATGAGCCTCTGTGGATTAGAGACCAACACGGATGGAATGTCTCAAAGTAACGATCAATCCACTGCTTTCTCCTATCCCGGTGATATGACTGTGACTGTACATGACCAAGAGATGGTGAAGGTGGGGTTGATGATCGGGTTTGTTGCTCCTCTTCAATACTAGCATGGCGCTGGGAAGAACATTGAATCTTGCGACGAACGCACTCCTCACATGGCACGCCCCCTTCACATCGAGTCTTGCCTGCATGGCAGCCCGCACAGGCTCGGCGAGTGGGAATCAGAAGCTCTGTTGTTTTGTGCTGCTTTCGTATGTGACGGCGAAGAGTATCACTAATTTTCATGTTCTATCGTTAGGGTTGATCGGTGCTGTAAAAAATCATCAACATGTGGATACCTTCGTTGGAATTCGCGACCACATTCCGAGCAAACAAAAGCCTGCTGCGCGACGTGTTTCGACCTCTCGTGGCGGCTCAGATGCTCCTTGTGCCGGTATCTAGCGTTGCAACCAGGCAATTGACACCGAAACGCGTCGGAGGTGGATGTACCAGTAGGTCCCTGGACGGACTCGACCTCGCTGGCAAAACTTTCCATTGGCATACCGCCTAGCAGCTATACAAGAGTGGCCTAGAAATGCAATTGTATAGTGGTTGTAAGAGTGGGCTTCGCTGAACCTACGGGAGTGTTCGGGCTGTCAAGAGGCTTCTTTACCCTCCCACCGGTATCCCATTGACATCCCACCGGTATCCCACCAACATCCCACCGGGATCCCACCAACATCCCACCGGCATCCCACCAACATCCCACCGGTCCCTTGACATCCCACCGGCATCCCACCACTTGCAAGCTAACAGAAAACCCTGGGCACGATTTCATGCGCTTCAAATCAAGAAAATTGCGCAAGGGTATTTGGAGAGCAGACTCAATGTTAGAATATGGTAGAGTCTTCGTAGCATATAATGACCAGCAAAGAATATTGAAAACGATCTAACCATGTGTAAACGTCATTGGTATCTTTAGTGGGAGGCCGGCCGTTTTTGCCATAGAATTTCACGAGCCATGACCTCCTTATTAATCCATTTTTTTGGTAACTAGTTAACCAACTAACTAATTATTATCCATGGCGAATAAAGGTAGTAGCCGGGTATAAGTATCTAACAGATGCCCCTATAGCTAAACCATCCGCCACTTGAACTACATATCTCAAAAATCAGAACCATGACCTCTTCCATCCTGATCGTCGGTGCCACCGGTAACACCGGCCGAGCGGTTACTCAAACGCTTCCAAAGTTGCTTCAATCAAGCAGCACTCTGTCGGGATACCGCATCATTGCTCTCACTCGCTCCTCGACTAGTCCGGTGGCACAAGAGCTTGCCAAACTACCCGGAGTTGAAGTGATCGAGCAAAATTGGGTGGAGATTACCGTCGACTGGCTCCGCGAGCACCAAGTTGCCAGAGCGTTCATTGCATCCCATAATGAGCCTAACCAATTCGCCGAGGAGTCGACTTTCCACCTCAATGCTCTCAACGCTGGCGTCAAGTATGTCGTGCGGATCTCGACGACGGCTGCGAATGTGCGCCCGGATTGCCCTGCCTACTACCCACGGCAGCACTGGGCCATTGAAGCTCTCCTCGACTCGCCCGAATTCAACAACTTGCAATGGACGTCTCTTCAGCCAAACATCTTCTCGCCGCTTATCATGGCGTCTGCTGCGGAATTGATCAAGAAGTACCGCAAGACTGGAGAGCAGGATCGCCTTCGTCTGATGCTGTCGGAGGATGCACCCGTCGGGCTCATCGACCCTGACGAGGTTGGTATCTTTGCAGCTCATCTCTTGGCTCAAGATGATACTTCCGTGCACAACAAGGCCAAATACGTTCTAAATGGACCCGAAGATATCACTGGAAAGCAGATCGTCGACATGATTGAGCAACACATTGGTGTTCCCGTTACAGACGTTAGTTACAAAGATGTCTCTTTCATCGACATGCTGTATGAGTACCAATATGCGGCAACCAAGCAATCCAAGAACGTCATATACTCGATCAAGTGGGCCCCCGAAACAGCATGGGAAGGGAAGTGCTCGGCTTCTACAAGCAGCAAGGAGTTCCTGGAGCTTTCTGCTCCAAAGAGGACGCCTGCTGATGTCTTGAAGTCGCTCCTAGCAAAGTAAGGAAGTCTTAAGTTGGTAAACACCACTTTCTGGGGGTGGGGGGTAAACTACCATCTCGCACTGGAGTTTAAATGAAATAATCATTGTTGACGCTATCTTATCTATAGCTAAATTAGTTCATAGCCACAGCATAATTTTTAGAAAATAATAAACCGTCTGGTATAATAGTAGGACCAAAAGTAGTAGGATTCATATACAATGCCGTTCGCAAATATGATTACCTAGCTAGCCTGATATACACATTCGGTCTCGGTCTGGTGGGCTGTGAGTTATATTCCAACTTGCAGAGCGCTACGCCAGCTACTGCAACTCGGAAACTCATTTTACAGATAACTTGCATCTCGGGACATATATAACGCTCCATGCATAACCGTTGAGAATCAATTTCCGTTTGTGCTAAAACTAAAATGAAGTAAACGATGGGGTCGAATGTGTTGTTCATCGAAGCTCGACATGGTCAGTGATCCAGCTTCGGATCATAATTTATTTTGTGTTCAACTAGATTGATTAGAGAACAATTTGAGATTCATCGTGTATATATATTTCCTCTTGCTTTCAAGTACAAACTACAATCCTACACCCTCTTACTCCCAACAGTTGTGCACCGGGACTCGTCACGGTAGACAACAGGGCTTCACATACTGAATCTATCCCGTATAGAATCAGTTTGATTTCCAATCTATCTGACGTTAATCTTATGACCCTCCTATTCTCGGTCATATTCCGTCGCGCTAAGACACACAACATGAGGTGTTTTTCTTCCTTGCCTAAACCGTGCAAGGTTCAAGCTCAGGAATCTCTTGGCTGGTCAGCTTGCATATCAGGAGCTGTTTCCCCCAGACCCCAAAGGAATTCTGGCCCCACCACTCCTTTCTTCTGTGCATAAGTCGATGTCAAAGTTCTAAAAAGTTTTTGCGAGATTTATGCGCATCTCACTATGTGCCAGATAAAGGAGACCTCGTCAGGCCCGAAACGAACAGCAGCCCCGTACAGAGTATGCCAGCGCCGACACGATTGCTTCAAGCTTGTCTATACCAAAATCTGATGGATTCTGGTTCTCTCAGCGAGACTGTCGATTGTAACATGTCAACTGTGGTGTAAATAGTTTGCTAGTTGTAATTAGCATGACGGAACATATTGAATATCATAGTCGACAGACCCCGAGGTTCCTACCTAAACTAAGGCTCATCATGCTCAATCCAATTTGGCAATAGTTCGACAGTCACTGGACTTTTGACATTATTGTAGTATTCAAGAGGTAATCTGACTGCGAGATTGTGCTCTCTCGCTTCTTATTGGACTGCTTCGTCTGTCGATCACTGCCTTGCTGTTTCACGGTACTTGACATGTCACATTATCAAGGCCAGCTTCGTATGGATGAGATGTATTTTGATTGGATTGTAAAGGAAAAAGCAAAAAAAAAAAAAAAAAAAACAGGATTTTGACATTCAAAAGTACAAACATGAATGCGAGAAGATTACTCGAGGCCTGAGACATGGGCATCGTTGTGGTGTCAGCTTCGTTTTTTCCGGATTTGTGATATATATTTTCTGCTAAAGTGCAGATAGAATGATTGGGCGCCGTTACTGTCAATAATCTTGAAATAGAAATTTTGATGGCACATCATACTCATTAGCAACAATTAGTTCAGGGAGAACATATTTCGAGGTTGTCAAAATGCGCGAAAGGATGAGAATGCCACCTGGCAATCAATTGCCTGGGGACAGACGGTTTGCTTCGTTTATCATGCAACTTCAACACAACCACTACAGGTCTATCATCTTTTTTAAGTTCGCTTGTTCGTTGAGCCCCCTTGAGACATGTTAATCGGTCAGCTGCGTTGTCTGTAGTAAGGCGAGTCAGAATTGTCGCTAGTGGAGTGTGCTCAGTCACCCCGATATACATTTCGGGAATTGGATGGCCCACATAATACAAGGACATATTGGCACGAAAATTATAGAAGTTTGAATATTTAAAACCCACGTAATAGCTCAGACACTAAACGATAGCCCACCATTTGCAGAAATGATACTTCCTGTACACCAGCCAAACTCGGGGTTACAAATCGTGGCCACCAGACCCGCAATTTCCTCTGCATAAGCGGCCCTGCCGCCAAACTTCTCCCCAAGCGCCCTCACTTCCGGGCTGTCTGTTTCGCGAACCGGGACAAGTGGGGTCAGGGGGTTCCACAAGGCCAAGCTCTGCTTGATTTCGTCCGACGCGTTGAGATACATAGCCGTCATGACGGGGCCTGGGTTGATGGAATTGACGGTGGCTCGCTCAGCCAGCTCGCGGCACCAGACGCGCGTCATGGCTTCCACGGCCCCCTTGGTTCCAGCATAGAGCGTCGTGTACGCCGTGCCAACCTTCGAGTTGATACTGGACAGCATTACAATACGCCCGGAGCGATCCGTCGGCAGGTAGGGCTTGCACGCGCCCGTGAGCAAGATGGGGCCGAGAACGTTCACTTCATAGATGCGTTGGAACTCTTTCTCGTCGACGGTCTCAACGGGACCGACGTAAACGATTGCCGCATTGTGGATGATGATGTCGATTTGAAAAGCGTCGGTATGGGGCTTGCGGAAGTGCTCCTTGGTTGTGGAAACAAGACGCTCGCATTCGCTGCGCGATGTGATGTCTGCCCGCAGGGGAAGGGCACGGATCGAATGTGCCTGCTCTAGCTCTGCCGCTAGGGCCGCTGCAGGGGCGTCCGAGGCTTCAGTGGCGTAGTTGATCACCACATTGCTTCCCTTGCTGGCGAGATTACGGGCGATGGCGGACCCAATGCCTGGGGCAGGAAAGGTCAGCGTGAGGGGAACGACTTGCGAACAGGGGATGGTGAACAAACCTCGGGCTGAGCCGGTTACAATGGCAAGTTTGCCCTCGTAGATGCGGGGTGCGATGCTGCCCATGGTGATGCAGAAATCGAGTCGTTACAGGTGGAGATGGTGTGACAAGGAGAATGCTGCCCTCGCTGCTGAGCTCGCTGGGGTCCTCAACTACCTTTAATTAGGTCACGCGTGGCTCCTACATCAACGTGTCGCAAACTTCACGCCAAGGTGTTATTGGTTTAACTTTTGATGGGAGTGGAACCCGAGGCCATGGTGCCATGCGAGCGGTTGAAGCCAGGTTAACTACGACCCACAAGGGGCCCAGTGTCGAATAGCTAACATGCTGCTAACCGTGAAGCTAATTCTATTCCAAAACATCCGCGTGAGCCGATTGACTCAATCTACCATTTAGACAGAAACCCGCCGTCAATAGGCAGACTGACACCCGTTACGTATGAAGAACCGGGGGAAGCCAGCCACAACGACCCATGTGCTACCTCGTGGGCCTGTCCGAACCGGTTCAGACTGCTCACTTTGGGCGCAAACTCATCATGTGTTGTTCCCATAATCTCCAGCGCCTTGGCAGACATCTCGCTCTGCGAACCGTTAGTCACAGCCCAAGCCCATTTTGGCACAGCAACACTTACAAAAATAGCCCCAGGGGCAATGGCGTTGACTCGGATTCCAGAGGGGCCACCCTCCGTCGCTGCGTGCTTGGTCAACCCCAGCAGCGCATGCTTAGCTGCCGTATACGCAGGCATATTAGGCTGCGGGGAGTAGGCATTGATAGAAGCAATGTTAACGATGGAACCTCCATGGCCTTGCTTCTTCATCTGCTGCATCTGGTACTTGCAGCAGAGGGCGGTCCCAGTGAGATTCACGTCCATCAGTCGACCCCAGTAATCCTCATCAAATTCGAGGAGAGCTGTCTTGTCAGGGGTCATGGCGGCGTTGTTGATCGCCACATCGAGCTTCCCGAACGCGCTGACGGTTTCAGCTACCAACTTCTGCACATCCTCAGACTTGGAGATGTCCGTCTGCACGAAGCGAACCTCTCCGAGCTCAGAAAGCTCTTTTGCGACCTGCGCGCCCTCTTCCGCCTTGACGTCCGCAATGACTACCTTCGCCCCGGCTCGCACGAATACCGAGGCGGTGGCCTTACCCATCCCTTGGGCGGCGCCAGTCACGATGGCGACCTTACCCTCCAGGACGGGGAAGATCGGTGCCTCCTGTACGTTCATGATTGGCGGAAATTGTAGGGTAGATGATCTTGATGTGTCAAGACTGGAGCTAAAGCGGCCGGAGAGTGACAAGGGTCAATGGACTGGTTGATTGATGCAAGTCTTTTTTGATCCCACTGCAGCGGGCACGAATTTATGTGCGGCACCCCTTTGCATTTCGGTACGGGCATTGATCAGCACGAAGGGATTGGGGGCCATGTTGGTTTCCACAATTTTGACAGCGGGGTCACATACTACGTAGTAGTATCTCCAGGGAGATTCACACGCCAACGACGACCACCCGCCGACGAGAACCCACAATACCCAGTGGTCCACTCGGACACGGTTCCCTAGTTTCTGGCTCCATCCCCCGACTCTCCGGCCGAGGTGGGGCCAGCACTAGCGTTACCCACATTTGATCCTTGCGCCGACTATGAAGCCCCCCATTGGGCTGTGATTGCCCATCACACGCGACGGTGGCTTATTGACCGACCACAATACGATTGTTCCAGCATTTGCAGGGGAGACGAGTAATGAGGAAGATTGTCGCCGGGATTTGGACCATCGATTTACACCCGGCCTGTTACTTTCCTTCCCCTGTCGGCCATTGAAATCGCCGATCCCATGCTTGGTCAATTAGGGCAGGATTATCAGATGACGATATCCATTGGCTAACCCGTTGGAGCGAGCTACCTGCTTGACCAACTAATAGATGCATTCAATGTTCGTTTGTCGGTGCTTGGGAAAGAGGGGCCCCAGACTAGGGCCAACAGCGACTTTGCTCGCTCATGCACAAACCCTGTAAGTGATGAACTCGAGCATCCACCAGACTACGCAGAAGGATTTGCTTATTGATTTTCACCCCTTAGCTCGAATAGGGGTGGCGGTTAGAGGATGAAAGGTCTTAGGGTCCCTCATCTCATGTTCAAACTTATGCATGCTTTTCCATCCTTTCTCTTGCCCCGTTTTGTACCTGTCAATCCCAGTATACTAGGATCAAAATGGGCAAATCTCAAGAGAAGAGCCGCTCTATCGTCGAGACTCGCAGCCTGCGAGGCGCAGACGCGCCGCAGACCAGTTTGATTAATATTCTGGTAGGTTTCTACTGCGGTGCTTCTGAGCTGGCTTGATCTAATTGTCTACAGGTCGTGGCCACTGCTTGTCTGGGTGGTTTTGTCTACGGCTTTGCGGCCAATGCTCTTTCGGGCTCGCTATCTCAGCCGACCTTTATTGCCAAGTTTCTGACCACACCTGACGTTACATCTCGCCAGGATGGTATGCTTGCAGGGTAGATAACTCCATTCCAAACGCTTTCCGTGGATCGCGTACTGACTGGAATGTTTAGATTTCTCGGAGGTGCCTTTGTGGGATCCATCATCCAGGCTCCCCTGGCCAACAAATTTGGACGTCGGATTGCCAACGCAGTCTCCGCGGTTATTGTCATCATTTCGGGTGCCCTGCAGGCGGGTGCCGTCAATGTCGAAATGTTCATCGTTTTCCGTGTTGTCTGCGGTATCGGCTCGGGCATGATCTTCGCCAACACCCCCGTGTACATGAGTGAGGTCTCCCCGCCGCACACGCGCGGGATGCTCGTCGGTCTGCATGGAGTGGGCGTCGTCACCGCATACATCATGGCAGCTATTTGCGCTCTTGCATTCAGCTTTGTTACGGCCGAGGTGCAGTGGAGACTGGTCTTTATTGTCCTTACCGCCGTCGGAGTGATCTATTTGGTGTCCCTGTACTTCATCCCCGAGTCCCCGCGCTGGCTCATGGAGCAGGGTCGCGATGAGGAAGCCATCCGTATCCTTGAATACCTGCACCAGACCAAGGATGACCAACGGGCAACCTTTGCCCACGCCGAGGCTCGCCAGATCAAGGCGCAGGTTGAGGTTGAGAAGAACAGCCCCAGTGGCTATATGCACATTATCCGCACGGCCTCCCACCGGAAGCGAGCCCTCTGCTCCATCCTGCTGTGGACCATGGGCCAGGCGACTGGTATCACCGCTATCGCGAACCTCGTCCCCACCTTGATGGGTGGCCTTGGATTTGACACCACCATGCAGCTGGGTCTTGGTGTCGTTTGGACGCTGTGTGCCATCATCGGGTGTGGTATCAACGTTCTCCTTCTGGACCGCGTGGGACGTGTTAAGCTCTTGGGTATGTGCCCTTTCAACTCTTCCCCGTCCCCTCCCATCAAGATCCAGTGCTAACGACTTCGATCACAGTGGCTGGCGGTCTCGGCAGTGCCACCATCCTCAGCATCATGGCTGCCTTGCAGAAATACTACCTCGGCGGCACCGATAAGCCGGGCATCAACGCGTCCGTCGCGCTGTACTTCATCTTCGGCGCCTACTTCACCTCCACCATCGAGTGCACGGCGTACGTCTACAGCTCCGAGATCTGGCCGACCCATCTGCGTAGCGAAGGCTCCACCATCGCCTTTGCCAGTTTCTTCGCCAACGCCGTCGCCTACAGTGCGCCCATCACGCTGGCCTTGAAAAACATCGGTTGGAAGTACTTCATGGTCTTTGTGGCTGTGACTGTTGTGACCAGCATCATGATCCACTTCTACTTCCCTGAGGTATGCCTTCCCCTTCCGCCCTGCATATATTGGAAGAAGAGACTTGTCTGACTGACCTGCGTAACACAGACCATGGGACTTAGTCTGGAGGAGATCAACGTCAAATTCGGCGACTCCGTCGAAATGGATCTGCAGGACGCTCTGTCGACCGAGGGCTCGACTCCCGAGCCTACGAACCAGGCTTAACGCATTCGTTCAGAGCTGGGACCAGCTCGACCTAAATACAAGGTGGCAAGGGGAAAAGGGGGCCAGCGGAGGCCAGAGAGGCTTACATTTTCTTTGTTTTCTTCAACCTCTATTAGACTTGTATCAACACATATTATTATAGCTTTTAATATATCATCGCACATTTGATTGGCATGTAATTATTTTCCATCCTTAATTTATGTGATATAGATATATATATATATATACATATATTTTCTGGGAAATTCCAAATCCAGCCCGGTCTCCTTGTTCAACCCTACAAAAACCAACACAGGCAGAGATTTCATTTGGGACTTTTGACAGCCCCCACTATTCCATGGACCCCGGGGTTATTGACAGGTCTAATTCGGAGACTAGCGCAGGTGTGGGTAGGTGCCCATTAGCTCCTGGGGCAGATCCCGCCTTAAGAGTCGTAAGTCTTTTTTTAAACGGACCGCCTGTCGCGGTGAAATTTGATCCTTCCGGCTTACTCCAAAAGCTGCCAAGACGACGGGTCCTGCCGATCCGTTCGGGACGTTGGTCGTGCCAGCCAACCTTGACGCCGGACAACCTTCCCCTTTCTGTCTCTCTTTTTCTCTCCCTTGTTCGGTCTGACATATATAATCAGACGTCTGACGTCTTGGCACATGTGGTGACCAGGGCGCGATGTTGTAGTTCCCTCTCTTGGAGTACTCACTGCCTCAGATCATGTCTGGGAAAATGGATACATTCCATTTGTAGATTGTGATAGCTTATACTGTGAGTATGGGTGTCTTGGGCTTATACGTTCTGATACTACTCCGTGGGAAATTACTGAATCCAACAATTTGTATTTGTGGGTCCCGCCAATATGTCTGAGCGGCAGGGGCGGACCCAAGGCGTTTCGGAGGAGATAATGTAAAACACTGGGGTGCATCCTGTTGCGGCCACTGTTCACCTTTGCAAAGAGTGTCACGGCGGGACAGAGGGGTTGGTCAATGGTGTTGTTGGACAGGAAGAGGAGTGGTGGTTGCAGACGAGGACTAATTCTGCTTGCTATCCGTCAGCCGAATCCGTTTGACAGCGGTAAGGCCGTTGACTATAGGGGTTGAGAAGATCGGTGGTGCTAGACTCTGGCTAAGCTTGTTTGACAGCAGTAATGTCCTCCTGAGTTGGGAATGTCCGGCCTGTCAAGGCATTTTAGGGGCCGAGTCTAGAGATCCTGTCGCTCCATGGAGCATAGTGTCTGGGTCTTCGCAACCGTTATAGCGACTCCCGACCCGCGTTGGTACTAATGTCTCCTGCTTTTTATTGATTCTTTCTTTTCGTTTGGGCCCGGAGCATGCTCCCCGAGCATAAAATAGTGACCAGAACTCGACTGGTCTCCCGAACTTCTGCACTAGCTGTCAGATGTGTCCCCATTTTTGTAAACTACCCTGATAGATCCTTGCCATCTTGCCCTAAGCGCTTACTCCCCAGCAACAGCAGACCTTGTTCTCGGGTATAGGGCAGCGTTGGTGCGATTTTTGTGAGGGATCGAAGATATTCGTCCCCGTTGGAGAAGTTGATCTATGGAAATATGCCAGAAGTACCGCGATCACTGCTGTCAAAATAAGCATTCCCGGAAACTAAGACCTCTGCCTGGCCCCTTCCGCTGCCCCCCCTGCTTCTCGCTTACCCCTGCCACCCGTCACATGGGGTCAAAGTGCGTTGACTATAGAATACCTCGATCCCTCCGCCGGGAAGAGTCGTGGAGGGTTTTGTTGGGTTCTATCAGCCATCTTTAACTCAGGAGTCACTGACCCTGCCCGTTTCCAACAATGCCTCTCCGTGACAAGGGTCCCACGCTGGTCGGCGTCCTCTGGTTGGAAGTGGGCATGTGTCTTCTTGTGCTCGGGCTGCGAATATATACGCGGACTGTAATCCGACGCAGCCTCGGGGTTGATGACCTCCTTCTGGTCATTTCATGGGTAAATCTCTCATTCTTATCCTTGTGCTACCATGAGCATCCTGTTAGCCAAATGGAAAAAATACTAACTGCCAATGGGGTAGTTACTGATGGTCGCGTTTGCAGCGCTGTGCACCGCCGCGGCGATGACGGGAATGGGAACGCACTACGACAAGCTGTCACCGGATGAATTTTCGCGCGGCATGCTGTTTCTGCTGGCCGGGCAGAGTGTTGTCTCGCTAGCGATGGGTCTCAGTAAATGTGCCGTTGCTGCGTTCTTGATGCGCATTCTTGTTAAAACATGGTACGCACGGCGCCCTTAGCAGATATTCACACCAGGGTTTCAAGAGTACCAAGACAATTAGTCTGTTCGAGACTGGCTGACCTTCTTTAGGCACAAGGCTTTTCTGTGGTTCTGGAACATCTCCATCATGATCCTGAGTATCTTTCTTTCTATCACTGTCTTTGTGCAGTGCACGCCTGTTGAGTCAATCTGGGACCCGCGTGTCCCTAAAAAGGGATGCTCACTCAACTTGACGGTCATCGCGACTGTCATGTGCGGTATGTTTACTTTTGCAATTCCTCTCAATAATTGATCTAACGGGGAGATAGCCTGGTCCGCGGTGTTGGATTTCGTGCTGGCGCTGTTCCCATGGGTAGCCCTGTGGGACCTGAACATGAAGAAGAAGGAGAAGATCACTATTTGTCTGTCTTTGAGTCTGGGTATATTGTAAGCTCCCTGAAATCCCAGTTGTGATCCCTTCTCTACGTTCCATGTACTGACATCGTCCCCAGCGCCGGCGTCTGTGGCATCATTCGAACGACAGGGCTCTACGCCCTCGCCGACTCAACTGACTACCTCTGTATGTAACGTTTCCAACCACACCACCAGTCGATGCAAAACGAAACAACAACTAACGGGTGGTTATAGATGCGACGACCGACTCCGTCATCTGGACGAACTCCGAAATGACCACGACCATGATCTGCGTCAGCATCCCCGCCCTCCGTCCGCTCTACCGTTACCTCCACGGCAACAACTCCTTCCAGGACGACTCCGGCTACAGCGACCTACCTGCATCCGGGAAGTCAAGCGTCGGCCGCAGTAAGCTCACCGGACGCAAACGCCCGACATACACTCTCGACAGCCTGGTCACGACGACCGTGCAGGGCAAGTCCTTGAACGATACCAGGACAGAACTAGAGGCGGACGAGCGGTCGGATGATGCGGATACAAGGCAAATGTTGAATTACCCGAATGGCTATAACGACAACAACATTCATCAGGTGAACGAGGTGACAGTCTCATATGATGAACGGAGGCCTGGGGAAAGTCAGATGCCGCCTCTTCCTGTGAAGGCGCGACAACACGTTTAGGTTTTCCTTTCTAGAGGCTCATCGTACGTAATATTTCCTTTGTCCAATTTGCTTCTCTTCTTCCAGGGATGGGGAAAACCCCATCGGTTTGGCTTGAATATACTTCTCTTTTCCTTTGTTGGTAGGTTTGTGTCGTTGGTCTAGACGAGGCATACTTTTAGCTTCTAGCAGAGTCATGTTTGGGAAGGCTGTTCACAGATCCTGAATATTCAACATGAACCATTGACGTCTGGTGTCTGCTTGGCCGTGTATAATCATATTTAATCATTACATATTATGGGTAACTCTTCAAGGGTGTTGCCTTTTGATCAAGTACTGTAGCTTTTTGCTTCATGAATAAAAAGCTCTGTTGTCAGATAGTTTGATATGGTGAGTGAGGTATTTGATGGTAGTGATCGAAGTATATAGAGTGAAATATAAACAGTCAAAGTATGGTCTGTCACTTGACTTTGAATATTTGTTATTATTTTGCCGGAACTTGGAGCCATCTTCAATATATATCTGTACAGTCTTCAATTCGCCTACTCTCGTTGATCTCTTCTATTCTCAAGAACTGATCAACACAGAAGAGTTTTCATCAAATCGCGACGATTTCTATACTGAAATTTCATAGTCAGTTTATCACTACTCTACTAAATATCGGAAAGCTAACTTATTTGAAAAACATAGCAGCCGTACCCGAACTTTACAGAGCACACTATTGAATAAGATCAAATCAAGTCATGTCTATCTCTCAATAGTCAAATGGCTTCTCTGCACTATAAATGTGGCGTATTTAGCGTCAGCCCTATCACGGCACCATCTACCCTCCAGTCTTGGCAGAACAGGCTTACCTAAAATCCTACATGATTTCTACAACTCGATTGTGGATGAAATAGTACTCATGGTATAACTAGCTGAGCGGACAGAAGAGCCCACGTGAAGACTATAATGTACCAGTGTTCTTGGAGTCCACTCTTCGACCAAGTCACTCGTCATTTAGACCGTGAACAGATACGCAGGTGTGGCCATGGTGGTGCTTATTGGATGGCTAATCTCCTGAGGTGACTGTAGTTCAGCTGGAAATCACAGCTTTTGGGTATTAGGGATTTATTTGTGCTAAAATGTCTCGCTTGCGTGTTACCAGTATGCCGCTTTGAATGTGTCGAAGAAGCCGGTCCTAGATTCTGGGAGCCTGAGTCTGCAGGCATGCATGTGTGCATTAATCTATGCCGCCACCTCGTGTCAAAAAATCATTTCTTAACAGTGTCAAGCAACTAGAAGTATCTGTCACGGCCTGGAATGAAATGGTCAATTATTTTGCCCAGGTCACGCAGCATTTTTGTTTCACTCAGATATTTCATCACACCGGTCACCTTGATATTGTGCAAAAGAGGCCGACTCCTAGACGTCTCTTTTGGTGGCTCTTCAGCTGAGAACTAACAACCCCCTTGAGGGGTACGATCTTCTGGTTGGGTTTCTGCGTTGTGAGTGACGTCCATCACGAACTTGCAGCTGCCGCTTTGCTTATTAAAAGAGTAATTCGCAGGGTTTGCGAAACCTCAACCCATCGCAGCGAGGGTATATACTTAGAGGAATACCCATATGCCTTTTCATCTCTAACAAGAACTATCTTTTCCATTTAGAACATCAACCGACGGCTGATTCACTACTCGATCAGCAACGACCACAATGAAGCTCACCCCGCAGTCTCTCCACTTCTTCATCCCTCTCCTCCTAGCCGCCCTCCCACTCCAAACCCATGCAATCTGTGCCGACGGCGAGGTGGGCATAGGCACCAACACCATCTGCCAAATCCGGAACCCCGGAGAGCGGCTCACAGTGCAGCGGCGCCGAGGGCGTCATATACGCCAACAACTGCCACTACATTGCGACGGGGTCGCTGCAAGGATATTGCCATGGCGGCTGGCTGTCCGGGTACAATATCGTACATTATCGAGTGTAGCGGGGATGCTCCGTCGCGGGTGACTACCACTGGGGGAAACTTTGGCAACTGCTATAAGATTTCGGCGGGAAATTGTTCCAAGGGGCTGTTGCAGTATAACTGTGTGGAGTATTGCTGTAAGAGGGTTTAGTGGTCCAGCTTGGGGGAACTAGGGCAGACGGGCTTGGTGTTATGGTGGTATGAGATGGGTTGGTTATGTGAGAGTGTTCAAGTCTTTTCTGTCGCCGTTACTGTGTTGAGTGTTTCAACCATACAATTAGCAGTGAACTCTTTGCAAGTTGGCTGATCTGTCATAATTGTCCGAATTCAACCCTCGTCAGCAACTGGGCTGATTGAGTTGACTCTATTTCGGCACTAGTTGTATCTGTACCTCAGTGGGAAACAAACCGCATGAACCCTAGGGCTGCGAGACGTCTCCGTTCCCAACGCTCCAATCTTACACCAAGTGTTGGTGCGAGAATCCCTGAAACCCTCGATCAATCTGAATACTAGTTAACGCAGAAAGCGTCACACAAAAAACTGCGATTACTAATATACATATATTTTGTCAGTTCGCTGGGTAAGGGCTGAGTTCAAATCTGGTTAATCAATAATGCTTAATAATTGCACCGTCATGACCTAACTAAATCCAGGACATGCTAATTATTTATATTAGATCGATTCAGGAAATCCCTAATTTGTGACCAAGTCTTTCTAAATAATATTTGCTATATTACTTGGTCGGCCTTTGGTTTCGTTTCTTCCAGTTAAAACTTAAGCAGAGAACAACGAAGTTAATAATCCCAATAGTCCCGCTACCATGCCGATCCCCGAATCCTACAAAGCTTTCCGCCGCACTGCCGATGGCTCATCGGTTGAGATGACGGAAGAGAAGCTGCCATCCAATCTTAAACCCAATCATGTTGTGATCCGGATCCATGCCGTTTCCCTCAATTACAGAGATGTTGCTATGATGAATGGGAAGTATCCGGTCCAGGTGATTGACCGTGGTATCCCCGCCTCCGACTGTGCTGCAGAAGTTATCACTGTTGGTTCCGAGGTCAAACATTTCAACCCAGGGGATCGCGTTGCACCTCTTTTTGATCTGAAGAGCATCACGGGGACTGAGGATGAAGTCGAGGCTCTTGGAGGGGATGCCGATGGTGTACTACGACAATACGCAGTGTTTGACCAAACGGTGTTGGTCCATTTGCCGAAGCTCCTTTCTTGGGAGGAGGTGGGTTTACTATCCGAAGAAAGCCAGGATGTGATATGTGCTGACTTTATGCTATCTCGTAGGCAGCCTGCATTAACTGTGCGGGAACGACTGCGTGGAAAGCACTTGATATGCCACGATCTAGTGGCTCTGCATTGCTCCAAGGTAAGTCTTGTATCGTTCCGTAGGGGAATACAAAGCAGGCTAATCCTCAAACAAAAGGAACTGGAGGTGTTAGCATGTTTGCGCTCTTGATCTGTTTGGCAGCTGGCATCCGGCCTATCATTACATCCTCGTCTGATGAAAAGCTGGAAACAGCGCGGGCTCTGGGCAAGCCAGGACAAGTGCAGACCATCAATTACAAAACTCACCCTAACTGGGAGGAGGAAGCGCGCCGCCTGACGAATGGACGAGGTGTTGACGTTGTCGTTGATAATGTCGGCCCTACTGCTATCACGCAGAGCCTTTCTTCTCTCGCCCGGAGAGGTGTTATTTCCTTCGTCGGCTTCCTGGGTGGGTTTAACCTAGATAATCAACCCGACATACTTGGACCTGTGCTACTCAAGAGCGCGACATTGAGGTTTGTTTCTCTTTCCTAATTGAGACGCTTGTTAGATACACTAATCTTGTAACTCAAGGGGAATTACACCGGGCTCAAAGCCCGAGTTTCAGGCTTTATGCAATTTTCTGGAAGAAAAGGCAGTTCAGCTGAAGCCTGTTATGGATAAAACTATCTTTGAATTCGAAGACTCAAAGTCTGCTTTTGACTATCTCTATGCTGCCAAGCATATGGGCAAGGTGGTCATCAGTGTTTAAAGCTGGCCGTGACCACGCGAGCCATATATGCGAAAGCTTCAGATGAGGATTTTGACTTGACTCATGTTTTGCTCTTTAGTTTATATACTTCCTCTACTGAATACTTAATCTTGAATAACTGTAGATTCACGGCTTTTCAGTCTGTATAGGATTGGATGGCAGATGGATATTCCGAGGTGAGCTAGGGTTGGAGTTCCAATCGTGCCGAGGATAGAAATCGAATGTAGAATGGACAACAGTTATAGTCAATAAAACTAGACGAGGGTAAAGGACATAAGTGAGTATTCGGTTTGGACATACGAATAAGATATAATTTCCATACTAATCTATGAGCATAAAGTATATTATATAAGATGTGGTTGAGATATTGGAGGTCAAAAATGATGGTTTAATATGGGATACAGAGGTGGCCGACTCGATCGCGTGGATAATGTCTCAACAAGAGTGCCATGTCTTTGGCGAGGCAAATACCAGATAGCACTTCTATCACATCCTATACTGGGGTCCCCATCCTTATTCAACCATTCTCAGCATTGAAAGGTCATTACAATATCTTCTAGACAAGGGGCGGAAAGAACGTCTGTATCCAAAAGAGTGATATATATATTTACACCTCCAACGCCTGCTGTACACTATGGTATTCATCCAGCTTCTAAAATGCTAGCTGAACGGCCAACCATCTTGTCAACAAAATCCCTGTTCTTACCCTTCAAATGACTATGATGACAATTTGGATCCTCCCAAGCAATCTTCATTTTCTAAACTTCCGACCCCAGCCCATCAATGACCACTGGTTTCTCCGATACGGTGGGAGCCTTGTCGAAATAATCCCGCGGCGGAGATGTGCGGCCCGAGTCGATTTCAGAGGTCGATGGAGTGGTGACCTGAGCAGGCGTGAAGATCGGGCTCCCCGACGAAAGAGGCGTGGAGGTGGTCGGTGCCCTCTCCGAACGAGGTCGAAGCAGGACTTCTTCCCGCTGAGCTGGGAACGGGGAAGACCTCTCCTTTCCGACTGGCCCGACAGGGCTTTCCACACTGTTACCTTCTGAGGACCGAGGCATGTTCTCAACAGCAAATTTGACTAAGTCCGCAATAGATGCACCACCCATGATCTTCAGTGTGGGAACATCCACATCGAGTTCCTTGAGGAACCATGCACGAATATCAACCGCGACGAGAGAGTCGACACCTTGGTCGACTAGGCCCACCGACTCATCTAGCTTCTGATCCTCAGTCATCCGCAACAAGCGTCCGAAATACATAGCCAATGCGTCGCGAATGATGGTGTACACTTCATCAGGACCACTGGCGCTCTGTAGCTGTACCCGAACCCGCTCGCCGGCCTTCACCGTTTGTGCTTCGGAGCCGGATTCTTCCCGCAGAATAAAATGGTTGAACTTGACATCGCGACGGTGTGCCTCTTTCACATAGAGCCCAGCGGGGATATAGTTCACGCCCATGGAAACCTGTGCCTTGCCATCGGATAATGGCCCCGGATGACCAGAGAGGATCGCCTCCGCAAAAAGGATATAGAGGTCTTCCTCCCCAATGTTGATATATCCGAGGGACTGGAAGTAATCGAAGCTGAAGGTGTCTGAGTGCGCCGCATAGCCCACGCCCACAACAGCTGGGATGTTCACCACAGATGCTGCGACGCCACGCTTGCGTCTCTTATTGACCAGGGAGGTCATGAACTCGTTTGCGGCGGAGTAATTGCTCTGTCCACTCCAGCCGATTACAGAGGCAATACTAGAAGCAACGACGAAGAAATCAAGCGAGGTGTCGTCATAGAATAGTTCGTCGAGCAGAAGTGTACCGACGACCTTGGGCTTTGTAACTCGAGTGAACTGCTCGTGGGACATGTTGGCGAAGAGCTCATCATCAAGGATCATGGCACCGTTGATCACACCGGCGATGGGAGGCAACGAGGCGTTCATAGCAGCGTGGACTGAGCGCAGAGACTCTGGAGAAGTGATGTCCAGCGGGACGGCTTTTACCACGGCTCCATATCGGATCCTCATTTCGTCCACGAATTTGGGATGCACCTTTGGCGTGCGACTGGTCAGTACAATGTACTGCGCGCCATGTGCGATCATCCACCCGGCCAAAGATTGACCGAGTTCACCGGCCATGCCGACAAAGAGATACGTCTTGTCACCGCGGAAAAGAGTACCCGAGTCAATGGGTTGTACCCTTGCCGACACACAGTCCTTAGCTGTCCAGTCAACGACAGCAAGTGGACCACCAACTACTTTGTGGCTAGACACAGCATCGAGGGGAATGCACTGCACGGATGGAGTCGATTTAATATCACCATAGGCTTGTTGAAATTGCCGCCCCACCTGGCTTATAAACTCTGGGGCGACGGTGCCGTTAACCTCGTTGCTCAACAGTGCTTCCCCGTCGATGCGAAGACAACCAGCCGGCAGGCACGGGAGGATTGCATCTCGAACTGTGTCCGAAGAGCTACGGGAGAAGTTGACGAACACAGCCGTGGATCGTGGAATAATAGACTGTATGGCGTGCCGCGGAAAGCTTGGATGGAGGAACATGGAGGAGGAACCTTGCTGACTTAGATCGCAAGTCGTAAAGACGGCGTTCACATTCTTGAGCTGTGCCTTGCTCCGAAGGGCCATTTGAAGATGACGGTCGGGATCATTAATAAGAAGCGTGCCTCCCTCTTGAGTAAAGTTGAGGATCTGCGTGGCAATGAGGCTCGCGGCGAGGGAAACAAGAGTCGATGGTATCGAGGGTCCCCTGAAGGGAATGCAGCATTGATTCGGAACCTTGACCACGGAGTCATTGGAGTTCGATAGAGCCAACACAGTCTCATTGCTATCAATATCAACAGCAGCACACAGGCGGAAAAAGCCGGCAGCTTTAATAGCTACACTCTGCAGCAGCGAGTGCGTGATGCGTATTGTGCAATAATCAGTTGTCGGGACCGGGTTTTGCACCAGTGGTGATACAAGACATAATTCTAGGGCGTCATGATTCACTCCTGCCAGCCGTAGGGGCTCTTTGGCCGGACGTGCGCTTGTGAAAATAGCTCGCCGCTGGGAGTTATATCGATTGTTCTTCTCGCTATCTGGAAGCAATCGAGGAATGAGCTGTCTTCCGTTGCGAACAATCACCTCCGGCTCCAATGTCCACAGCAAAAAATCTGTTCCCCAGCTGGACAGTGCCACTTGACCAAGTAGAGTTTCAGCTAACTCAGGTGCCGTGTTGGCATAGATACCTCTCTGCACAGCAGGATCCAGATCAAACATCTGGATATTCAAACTCGGATTTTCAGTTTTTATTGTGCGAGCAATGCCTGTCATCATTGCGCTGTAAGGGCTATCCTCCTGTGCACCACTTGTTACCCAGACCAGAGTACCTGCACAGGCTGCGCATGCTTTGACCGCCTCAAACTTGTCGGCTGTCAAGATTTCCAGGTATGGGTGGTCCAAATCCGCAAGAGAGAGAATACTAACACCCCCGCTTGTGGCAGCGACGTGGGCCATGTCGGATTGTGCAAACTCCTCGACTGTGGTGAAATGCCGCTTCTCGTGAAACCGCTTGGCTATAATATCTGATACCTGTTGAGCCAGCGCATACACTGGCCACGTTATTCCTCCAATGATGGCCAGGGCATCGGTTCGGACACCAGGGGGGTGTGACTCCACGGATAGAGGGTTCCGAAGCAGAGTGACTCGGTCATCGACTGCTTGCGAAACAAAGACACTCATTGGCAGTGAGGCACTGATATCCGGGGAGACGGTGTCAATTCCCGCGAATCCGGAGCCCTTTAGCGCAGTATCCCATTGTGTGAGGGTCAGTAACGGTCCCCATGGACGTCCCGTCTCCGCGCCGATCCACCACCCAGGAAGCGTGCCTACTGTCATGCCACTGAATAACAGGTCAGTTGAAGTGAGCTCCGCAACGACAAGGAAACCACCAGGCTTCAGCAGCCGACGGACATTGGATAGCGATGCTTCCATATCTGCGGAGACATGGAGGACATTGACCGCTACGACAACGTCATAAGTGCCTTCATCAAAACCCTGGCCATCTGGCTGTTGTTCCATGTTGAAAGTCTTGAAGAGCATACGACCGGCATGCTCCGAGAATCGCTCTTCGGCTGCAATAAAGAAGCCACTGGAAATGTCGGTGAAAGTATACGAGGCGTAGCGTCTTTCGAGTGTGTCTAACACAGCGGAGGTCGTGGCCCCAGTACCGGCACCGACTTCGAAGATGTTTAACCCGGGGTAACGGTGCGAGATTTGACGGAGGATGCGAGCGAGCCAGCGGCCAGTCGGACCAGAGCAAATGGCGCCCTCTTCGTAAAACGCACGAAGAAGACCGTCTTGATTCATATGCTCCAGCATGGAAGATCCTGCCTTGATAACAGAAAGCAAGTTGTCGCCAACGACCTGCACGAAGCGGACATCCTTGCGGTTCTCGTAGCGCTCCAGAATATGGCCGATGTCTTCCCTCGAGTCAGTATTGCATGACGCAGGGACTTTGGTAACCCCACCATGGGTGACCATATCGACCATTCGGTCACACCAGGCAAGGTACTTTTGGAAGTGGGGCAGGAGATCCCCCCGCTCCGCGGGCGGGATTGAGAGCGAGGCATTTCGTGCAAACCAGTACGCAACACGGTCGACATCTTTGTATAGTTGCACTTCATAGTTTGACAGTGTCTCCCCATTCCCCGCCAGCTGGCCGTCAGGGAAGGCCGATGCGTACTCAAAGCGTGAGAACATGGGTATGTCGGTCTTGGGATTTGCAGGGGAGAAAGGCACGAGAGTGGCCCCTTCAAACTGCACGAACGTGTTCAAACCATCGGCGGTTTGCAGGTAAATATCAGATACAACCTTGGAATCTTGCTTAGAACGGATGAACGTTTCAAAGCGCATCATATTCTGCTTGTCTCCTGCGCTTAGAGTGGTGAAGTACGGGTTAACCGTAATGGCGGCGATTGACACAGGCACATGCAGCGACCACAGTTGCGTATCGCCCGGGTACGACCAGGCCGCAAAAACCGTTTGTAAGGCCGAGTCAAGCATACCGGGGTGAAGAATGAGACGATCTTCCCATGCCAATTCGGACTGATCGTATAGATTACCAGTGCTGTACCCTGGCTTGCGACGGATGTTATGGACTCCCTGAAACGGTGGCGAGTAGTTGTAGCCCACGCGGGATAGATTCGAGTAGAAGTGATCCACCCCAACAGGAACCAGATTGAATGAATCTTCATTCACGAGAGGGAGGGTGCTAGGCTCAGGCTTGGCCAACTGTGCGCTGACGAGGCCTCTCGCATTGAGAACCACGCTCCCAGATCCCTCCACAGAGTAGCACGTCCACTCGGCAGCCACCTGAGTATCGGATGAATTGACTGAGGACATACTGAAAATCATCTCAACTGTTGATGAATCGTCATTGAAGACAATCGCGCGAGGAATATCCAGGTCTCTTAGTTTCAACACCCGTATTGTTGAATCCGGCTTAGAGTCCAAGATAACAGCGTTGATGGCTTCTACGGCCATGCTAGCATATCCCATAGCTGGGAACACAGTCTGGCCTTGGAGGCCGTGACCATTGAGCCAGGGCACCTCACCGGGTTGAAGCATGTTGCGCCACTGGTACTCTCCCGGGGTAGTCGCTTCAAAGCAGGGTGTGCCGAGCACTGCGTTGGGAAGCTGATGAGCTTTTCGGCTCTTGAATTGATTTCCTAGCCGGCTGTTATGCCAGTAATCCCGCTGGTGCTCGAAAGGATAAGGGGGTAGGTCTTTCAGGACAGTGTTGGCCTCCGTTTTCCCCGATAGCAACTGTTCCACAGCAGTAAATTGCACGCTGTCAGAGCCCATATGAGCCCATATAAAGCCCAGTGCATCACTGAGGTGATAAACATCATCTTGACCTCGAGAAAGCAAGCCGGTATAAGGCAAGTTGCTCTCTGCGTCGACTGTGGCAATGGCTGGGCCTTTCAGAGCTGGATGCGGTCCCACCTCAATGGCGAGATCGAAAGGGCCACTGTCTCCCACAGCACGTTCGAGCCCACCAGAAAACAATACTGCATTGCACATATTGTCCACCCAGTACTGATTCGTCAGTCGATCTGATGTCATAGGCTGGCCCTCGAACACACTCGAATACCATGTCGTCGTGACGTTCGCTGGTGGCTGAATGGCCCGAATCTCACAGCCATCCAGGGAGGTGAGGTATGGTTCTGCACAGGTCGCCATGTGCATACTGTGGTATGCTGTATCGACCTTGAGCTTTCGCGCAAATACACCCATGGGCTTGTAGAGTTGTTCTGCCTCGTCAACAGCGTCTTCATCGCCACTCAGTGTCACACTGGAGCTGGAGTTCACTGCTGCAACTTGCAGCCGGCCCAGATAATGCTCGGTGCAGAATGCCTCTGCCTCGTCTGGTGAGGTACCAACGGCTATCATAGCACCACGTGGACTGTGGGGACTGGGGCTCGCCGCTAGCTTCGCATGGACCCCACGGAAGTAGGCAATTCGAATAGCATCGCGTTCTGAGATAAGCCCTGCAGCATAGGCGGCACCAATCTCACCCGAGGAATGGCCAACAACCGCCGTGAAAGTGATGCCTGCGGCTCGTAAGATGTCCACTAGGACGATCTGCACCGCCGAACATAGTGGCTGAGATAAGGCGGCCTCGGTTATGCGCGAGGTATCCTTTCCCGCGAGTAGCTGATCATGAATGTTCCAAGTCGGACGATCTGCTAGATTTGGAAGGGTTTGGAGGGCTTCGTCCAGCTCAGCAATACGGCATTTGGCAAACGTGGATGTCTCGATAAGGCGTGCCCCCATTCGTGGCCATTGGGCGCCCTGGCCGGTAAATATCCCAAGTATCTTGGCTGGTCGAGATAGGTGGGCATATCGAGTGTTGAGGCCATCATCGTCGATGTTTTCAAGCGCTTCGATCGCTTGCTGGACGGTGGCCGCGGGAACAAACTTGCGATAGGCGAGAGTTGACCGACGGTGCTGTAGCGTGTACGCTAGGTCCCGCAGATCGATCTCTGGGTTAGCACGAATAAGAGAGAGGTGTTGCGAGATCAGTTCCTTAAGCGATGACTCGGATGCCGCGGAAAACAACAGTGGGGTGAAAAGGACGTCGGTCTGTAAGAAGGCAGACTTCTTTGTGGAGGGGATATACTCCTCTAGGATACAATGGGCGTTGGTACCCCCGAAACCAAAACTGCAATAGTGAGTAGTCAGCATTCAGCCATAAAGCCTCAGTTTAAAGAGAATGTGTACATAAGAAAGCACTAGAGCTCATACCTATTTACACTGGCCCTGCGGACCTGACCATCAGCCACTTCCCATGGAATGGCAGTAGTCGGAATGTCCAGATGGTCGAAGAATGGCATCACCTTGGAGCTTGGGTTCTGGAAATGCAGATTTGGCGGCATAACCCTACGCTGCAGCGCCATTGACGTACCAATAAGACTGGCCAATCCTGCGGTTCCTTCTGTGTGGCCGATCACCGTCTTGATAGAGCCGACACGCAATTTCGGTGCCTTTTGCGCGGCAAGAGACCCTGTGGGGAACAGAGAACTTGATATAGCTTCAGCCTCTTGTGGATCACCTGCTTGTGTTCCTGTACCGTGGGCGTGGAAGAATTGGGGACGGTCTTGCAATTTGCGCACAGGGTCCAGCCCAGCTCGAGCATAGCATTCGCGAATCAAGGCGGCTTGGGCAAGGTTGCTGGGCATTGTCAGGCCGGGGGTGCGACCATCCTGATTGACCGCAGTCTCGCGTATGATACACTCAATTGGGTCATTATCCGCGAGTGCCTGCGAGAGCGTTTTGACCATCACAGCGGCAACACCTTCACCACGGGCATACCCATCTGCAGCAGAGTCCCACATGGCACAACGGCCATTGGGTGAGAGCATGCCAAGATTGCTCTCAGAGATGTACATCGCTAGCAAGTATTAGTAGGGCTCACTTGGAACTTGTCAACAGAGATAATGGCCTACCGGGGCTCAGGATCAAATTCGTCCCTGCGGCTACAGCCACCTTTGACTTTCCACTTCGGAGCATCTGCACCGCCAGGTCCAATGCTACCAGGCTGCTAGAGCAAGCTGTGTCGATCGTCATACTTGGGCCATGCCAACCGAAGAAGTATGAGAGACGGTTGGCCATGATACCGCGCTCCAGTCCCGTAGCAGTGTATCTGGGCAAGGTCTCCCAGTCTCGGGTGAGCATTGTGCTCCAATCATCAGACATCATGCCCACATATACCGCCGTATCGGATCCCCGCAGCTTTTCCATGGGCTGTCCAGCAGCACACAGACTATCGTACACAACCTCCATCAGTAGGCGTTGCTGGGGGTCCATGGCGTCTACTTCGCTTGGCTGAATATTGAAGAATCCAGCATCAAATTTGCTGACATCTGTTCGATCAGAGTCCTCAAGCCAATAGGACTTCGTCGCGTTTGTGGTCCCGTGGTGTGTGCCAACAGGGTGATAGAAAGTGTCGATATCGAACCGGGAAAGGGGTGGTTTCTTCGACAGGTCGTGAGGGTCTCGGATAAGTGACCACAGCTTGGAAGGCGTGTCAGACTCTCCAGGGAAGCGACACCCAGATCCAATAACTGCAATGGGCTCGACCATCATTGTGGATCTGAACCAAAAGGTCTTGGTGAAATAATTATTCAGGGTCAGGTTGGTTCAGAGGAGTTGTGACTAGGCTTGGTCGCACGAAAGAATTGACGGATTCCTAACCCCAAAGTCTGAAGAAGGCGCGTAAATAAACTGTGATTTTGCTTGTGCGATTAAGTATTCGGATGACTATCCCGGGGGTAATGTTGTCTGGTATATAGCATCAGGTTGCGAAGCGAGCCTGGCAGCGATAGTACTGCATAGTCAATGGACATTCGGAGAGGCATATCAGCTACAACAGAACAATTCCGAATGCGCCGACTAGGCTAGAGCACCAGTCCGAGCTAGGGGCTGTGGCTAATTCTCAGCAAATGATTTCCACCGGACAAAACAGCGTTGCCTATGCCTAGCCAGGGTTATTCGGCGGAACTATGCTTGCCGGCGGAACTATGCTTGCCGAATGAAGAAAAAGCTCTGACAAGAATTCGGACTATCGGACCGTGAGGCAAGTTCGGAGCAATCTTGTATTCGTCTAATAGGCTTAAGAAATTCACAGTAGCCACCGAAGCCAACGCTCATGATCATCTCCGTACCCTGGATGCGAATGGAAGAAAAATGTATTCATTGACCAGATTGACCATTATGCTACCAAAATTTGCCAAGGCACATAGTGTGGGCACGGGGTAGTCTCAAAATATCCTCCAAGGTTGGCAGTATACCACTATTGCGAGCTACTTCACGATCCCAAGCTGCCGAAGCATCTTAGTAGAGTTAATATTGTGAGTAAGCCGGGAAGAATTCCATATATATTCAATGACCAGGTTTGGTACACATAGTGCACTGCACGTGTATCATTCATTGAGTCAAAATTATCAATAGGCATGCACCTTCGCCCCTAAAACATCTGTTAAGCTGGCTGACCGACATCCATACAGCGTAGCGTCAACTGCGGTATATCCCTTCAGGATTTTCCCAGTGATCGAACATCCAGTCATTGGTAGGGCCAGTACTATAGCCACTGTAATTAATATGCTGATCCTCTAGAACCGGTGGAATAATATCTCCTAAAATTCCTGGCATAATAAACTGGCAAGCTACTAATCGTCAGCTAGGTATGCCAATATAGGTGTAAGACCCACGGTCATGGAAACCCATATTTCCCGGTATAGGATTATCTGGCACCCAACTGAAGTCGCCGCTCGCGTCAGGTACAGTCAGGCTATCGCCCGCATCTGCATCAATGTTGGGATCGCTTCTCCCACCACCCCCAACCCTAGAAAGGACAATACCAACAGTGTCTGCAGCTCGCTTCGCTTCTTTCGAAGTGGAGCTTCTACGCATCCAGATCCCTCTGGCGCGTTGAAGCGCACGTCGAATTTCATCGTTCCTCTCCATAGTTCGTCCATTATGCAGCAAGGAGCATAGGATCATTGCTGCCGTAAGAAATTGATGATTCATCACCGAGGTGACTCGCCATCGCATCTCGTGCAGTTGACCTCCGGCGCAAGTTTCCTCGTCAAGCACATTCTGAAGCTCAAGAGTGCCCATCGATGCATCAATGCATGCTTGCCGCGAGTAATCAAAGCCGTCCTGCTTGCCGGATGAAGACTGCACGCTCAAGAATCGCCGGTGTAGCATGATCTGGCCTTTGTAGAGCATGTGCCTGATGAATAAACGAGCGATAATGACCTGTGGCCAGTCAGTCACACTGGCCGCCATCGACTTCCACTTGAGAGGTGCCGGGATGCTAGCAGCGGCATCATGCAGGATTCGATCCACCTGCATAACCTCTTCGTATGAGCAAGGCTTGACCCTGCTTGTGAGATCTGCAATGATACCGAGGGCCTTCAACATCCGTCTGCGAGCGATAATCCCCAGAGCGGTTGTAAGCTCGGTCTCTGGTCGTGGAGGTGGCAGTTCCTTGGTGTCTTCATCAAAATCGGCATCATTCAAATTCCTTGGCTCAGCAGTATCACACTTCCAATCCGAGATCATCCGCGGCATCCCCATTTGGTTCGAAATCATGATATCGCTCATGAGCACAGTTGCCCAGACTCGCCGCCGCATTTCACCCTGGAAAGGTGAGATTCCGGGAAAGTGGCTAGGATCACGGTGATAACCCGTGCGCATCGCAAGATTGACTTCCATAGCGAGGAGGTACCACATGTCTCTCTTCGCATCGATACAAACACCGAATTCCGCATAGATATAATTGATGACGGTTTCCAGTACATATGGACCCGATTTCGTATATTCGCCCATGATCAAACATTGAACGGTCTTTTCGCGGTAGAGATCAATCTGCAAGGATAGTATCTCAGTGTCGGCGTTATCAGGCTGATTTGATGCCAGACATGCCAGACATATCATGCTGAAAAGCAACCCGACCCATGTGATCGGGACGGCTGAGGGGTCGGCCCAGAAGGCCTCGTACTACGGCCTATCAGTACTGGATCCTCAAAGCGTAGGATGATAGGATCAAGCTCTGGTACTTGCCTCTCGCAAGAAAACGGGTCCATGGACAGCGGCTGAATGTGACCGAAGTATATGAGCCATCAATTAACACCAGGTAAAAACCGTGGACGGGACTTACCGGCTGAGACGAGATCCAGGTAGTTAAAGTAGCGGGAGATATAGCGATCGACTGCGTATCTCGGAGGGAGCGCAGACAGAATATCCTCTCGAGTTGTCGGGCGGCAACGTCCATACAAGAGGAACGCGCCATCTCGATCCGGAGAACTTGAGTCACCATTATTATCCTCGGGATCATCCGCGATCTGACCAGGATGCTCTGCCAGCCGTAATTGTTCTTCTCGATCCACATGATCTTTGAGATCGGCTATGTCTTCTAAAATGGCAACCCAGTGGTCCCCGCCAATGTAGCGAGATTCCGATGCACTGAGTTTCATGCTGCCACACTCTGAACGCTCATCTATGGGGGTATCCTCCGGCATTGTATCTGTCGGAGTTGGCGCCAAGTGTCGTACATCCGTGTTGGCTTGCATGTTAGCAACCGCAGCCGAATTAGACATGACGAACATGACGAGACGTTCTAATTGGACTAAACGATCATGAGTGTTTGATGGCGCTGTCGGAGCTGTCCTTGATGGACCGGCGACAGTTGAACTGTTCTCTGAGAATGTACATGTTTGACCGCGTATAGAACATAAAGTGCATGGCCTCTTGCGGTCACATCGTGACCTGGAAGGGGTTTAGTGCCACATGCTATACGAAGGATGTGGTAGAGGGCTTACTTTCGACGCCTGCACGGATTACACGACAGCTGGGGCTTTTCCCTTCGCCGATTAGGGTTGGAAAGCGGCTGCGATGGAGTTGTAGTGTCACTTATCTGTGCGGACTGGGAGGAATCCATGTCGCGGCACATTTTAATGGTAGAGTGGAGAGGGAATGACTTTACGTCTGGATGATTGAACCATTTGAGGAGAAACGGAGATGGTGTGCCTGATATCCGAGTGTGCTGCCTGAGGCATTCAGCCCGCCTATTCCGTCGTAGCGCATCTCTCTCGTGATGTTTCTCTCTTAGGCAAATGCAAAAACTTCATGATGATGCTTACCACTTTGGGGAAGGTCTTCTTTTCTCGCGTTCCCTGTGAAATTTCCCTAGACTCAGTCTGAACACACGGCCCTCGTTCGTATTGTGGCCCACTCGGCAGATCCATGGATCTCCTGCGATCGTCCGATCCGACCCTCCGACCCTCCGCTCCTATACTTTGGGGGTTGGCAAAGCATACCGCGGAGGAGAGGATGTCTCTTCCGCGACATGTCCGACCCTCCTATCTTGCAGAAAGATCCAATCGCCTATTGTCCTATCTCCGGACACATTTATCTATATTAAAAGCATCGAAGGCCATTATTAGCGGGAGAAGGATTTACACCTTGTTTGGCTTCGTTCCTATTCATTCTCTCGGCCATCCACACCTACGACAGCACCAGCATGACACCAAGACAACTAGAGAAAGGCAGCATGGAAGACAGTGTTCTTCCAGAGACCGAATTTGTTGACTGGGACGGGGATGACGACCCCACCAACCCTCGCAACTGGTCAAAGTCTAAGAGGTGGGCGCATGTGGTCATCATCTCTATTCTGGCTCTAATCACGTAGGCTTTGGTCGATGCAACTCTGTGGCTGCGCTTTAGCTAAGTACTCTGTAGGAACATGGCGCCCACAATGTGTGCCCCAGGGATCAAGGAAATCGAAGCCGACTTGAACATCGCTTCCAATGTTGCCAGTACCCTCGCTGTCACACTGTATGTGCTGGGTATTGCTATTGGACCCATGTTCATATCACCCCTTAGCGAAATTTACGGGCGTGTGCCCATTTACCACGGAGCCAATGTCATGTTTGTGGCCTTCATCCTTGGCAATGCGCTAAGCCGGAGCCTAGCGCAGTTTCTCGTCTTTCGTTTCCTCTCCGGCTGCGCTGGCGGTACCCCGATGTCTCTTGGCGGAGGGACGATTGCGGACATTACGACCTTCCAGAAACGAGCCGTGGCCATGGCGCTATTTAGTATGGGGCCGCTGGCGGGACCAGTAAGTCACTAATCGCCCCAGGCTTTCAATCCCTCACAAGCATTGGCTAAGATGTCGCCTAGGTTCTCGGCCCAGTAATTGGGGGCTTTGTCGCGGCAGGGCCAGGCTGGCGTTGGACGTTCTGGCTGCTAGCTATCCTGGGAGGAGTGGCCGGAGTCATGGCACTAATCGTCATGCGCGAAACACACCCCAAGGTCATTTTGGAGCGCAAAGCTGCCCACCTGCGTGCTACTACTGGCCAACTGAATTTACGTTCCAAGCATGCGAATACTTCACTCTTACCAAGTCAGGTCCTCGTTCAGGTCCTGATCCGACCGACTATGCTCCTTTTTCAATCGCCCATTCTATTCGTCATATCCCTCTACGTGGCATTGGTGTTTGGAGTGATGTTCCTTCTCTTTACGACCTTTCCTAGCGTGTTCGAGGGTCAATACGGCTTCAGTACGTCCATATCCGGACTCGTCTACCTAGGCCTAGGTATTGCATTGGTCGCTAGCATGCTCCTCTTCAACGTTCTGAATGGGCGGGTCCAAGCGGCACGCATGAAAACTGATGGGGTGCAACAGGCTCGACCAGAATACCGACTGCTCCTAATGATTTGGTTCAGTCCTTTTGTCGGGCTTGGCTTGATCATCTACGGCTGGACGGCATACTACAAGGTTCATTGGATCGTGCCTATCATTGGCACAGTCTTCATGGGGTTTGGGGCTTTTTTCGTGATTGTAGGTTTTGACAGGGCCCCACCAATCGCGTTAATGCTGATAAGCCGATTGTCTAGATGCCCGCGCAACTATACCTAGTCGATGTTTTTGGGTCCCAGGCGGCTGCCTCCGCTCTCGGCGCCAATAATCTTCTACGTTACATTTCGAGTACCTTCTTGCCACTCGCGGGCCCCCCCATGTATCATAGCCTGGATTACGGGTGGGGGAATACATTGCTAGGGCTACTTGCACTTGCATTCGTTCCAGGGCCCCTTCTGTTCTATCGGTATGGCGAGCGCCTACGCGCCAAGTCTTCTGTGAAGCTGGGGGAGCAAAGTTGAAAGGATTTTGGATGCCCTATCTACTGAACAACGTGTTCATCTTGGTTCCATGGTACACGTTCGCGCTTGGGTGGTCGCAATATACCAAGAGCCTTACGTACCCTGGACTGGATAACGCTGGATCATTTAGAAGCCACTTAAACTAGGATCTCGGTGAGGGGTACTTAGAGCTGTAGCTACATTAGGTATCTAGGTGCGAGATACGGCACATGTCTCCTATATATCTGCTCCGCTAGCCTTGTCGGGGCACTTTTAACTGTTTCATTGTAGTATGTTTTCTTTCTGTAATATTATATATAAGATATAAATTTGATATATCTTATAAGGGTTATGTTAACGAACTTCAACTCTTTGTAGAAAATAATTATATATGGTCTAATCTTACATGTGAAAGAAAACAGTGTTTCTCATCCACCCAGCTGCACTCAAGCCGCAAATGGTACCCATAGAGCTTAGAAGTTTCTAGATATCTTTTGTGGCCGAGTGGTATTCTTTACGACAGTATGTAGTATGGTGGGTGACCACATGCGAATCCCTGCCGTTGTATGTTTTTCTCTTTTTTTATTAATTAAACAAGTAAAGAAATCAATGCAATAAGTTTATTGGTTGAAGGCTAGATATTTTTCTTATCTAGATATTATTTTCAGCTTCATACAAGTTACAGACGGTTTTCTTTGATAGCACTAATACATAGTTGAATATCGAGTAAGGCTATAGCAAATAGATAGTCTATTGATAACCTCGAAGTATCAGAGATTTAAGTTAATTATAAGTAAGTTTTTTCTTTCTTCTCAACTGTAGTGCGAGAGATAATTACACTAATTTCACACTTCCCTCTTCAAAGAGTCTAGTTTTGAATTATTCGACTGGGTATGACTGAAAGAGCTAGTAATTGACCGTGGTTCATGAAGACCAGCGCCTCGCCGTGGTTCCGAACAGAGCTAAAAAAGCACTTGATCTGATTCATGGAGAAACTCGCCTTAATTAAGAGAATGGCTTAATTTCTAGATTATGATCAACTATATTTCATTCTTTCAAAAGTACCCGCGTAGATTTTCAAGACCTCCTTATATAGAGCCTCTAAAAGCACCCAAGGAACCCTACCAGAACCCTACTAGACCCTACTGGACACAGAGCTTCTATATAGCTGCTTTACAGGGCTATACACATACTCTTTTAAAAACTCTTGGTACAGGGACTTTTGAAGGGCCTAAATTCCTAAACTGTGCTCAGCATATGTGGGGTGGTAGCTCGGCATGGTTGACTACGCTCAGCTGTAACAAGTGCCTGATAGTCGCGTATACGAGGACCTTTCCCTCACGTGACCGAAGACAACAGGGATAAGCATCCTGGCCGCTAACGCCTCAGAAACGACACGGTCAGCTTTGGCATGGACGAGATCATGCACGTGTAGGTGCGATTGATTATCCATGAAACAACCGCGTGGCTTTTCAAATGAGGGTTTCCAGGATCGTGCTCCAGATTACGAGCGGTCTTCGCCACTGCACTCGACCGGTTAAAGGAATACTATTAATAGATATCGGCCCTGCGGGTGTATTATCGGAGACTGACGCTATATATGCTGTGCGGGACCTTGGAGAGACACGACAACCAACCCGATCCACATCAGAAGATCAGGAGTCGATGTCAATATCGAATCCACTGCTTGTCCGTGAAGCACCATGGACACCACCCTCGGCACCAATGACAACCTCATGGGGCTACGTACATCGTGCGATCGCTGCCGATCTCAGAAGCTGCGATGTGTCCCGCTGTCAAAAACCGACCCCACTGGGCCCTGTCAACGATGCTCCAAGTCAAAGGAGCCCAGGCCATGCGTCTTCAGTCAACGGCTTCGTACAGGCCGCCAGAAGAAGACAGCGGACAACCAGCAAGTCATGCCTCGGAAGAGCAAGACAAAATTCGCGCAGTCCTTACCGGGAATGAGTGCATTTTCATTGTCCACCTCGGTGTCCCGTGAGAGCTCTGTTGCTGGGGATACACCAGTGTCTTCTGGCACCCCGAGGCTGAGGTGGCAGTTAGAAGAAAAGACAGCTTCTGTCGACAGTACACAAGACGAATCGACCATGACCGGTGTATGGGATCACGACGGCTTCCTCGACTCGGCACTGGTGTTTGCATCTCCACCCTCCTCCAGTTACCCTGACGACTTCTGCGCTGATATGGAGGCCTTCCTCGGCGTCGGGAACCTGCTCCGAACGCCACAAGACACAATAAACACTGATTTGGGAGGAGACTTGGCCGTTATGGAACCGGCCCAGAGACCAGGTGGGCCATTGATCGGTTTAGCCAGCCTGCTGCCGATTATGTCCCGTTACGAGAGCCAGCTACACGAATATGGAGGTGAATTGGACAACTATCCCATCGGAGATGCGCTCTTCCTCTGCCAGCGCTTTCATGCGGTCCTTTCCAGCCAATGTCACCTCCCATCCACAAGCGCACGGGTCCAAATGGATATGCCGACGAAGCTCCTCACACTCTCGTGCTACATGATTCTGACGCGTATATACTCGCTCATATTTAAATACATGCAACAATCTCTGGGCAATTTGCCCAACACACATTCTCTGCACGACGATGGCGGAGCCGCGGGGCTCTTCATGGAGGACATCCATGCATACCAAGGGCTCCGGCTAGGTCAACTGCAACAGACTTGTTTTTGTGGTGGCTGTGAAGCGGCAACGCGGACAAAGAAAGCTGTGTCGATGTTGCTTGACGCACTAGGAAGCATCGAGGGGGCCCTTGGTTTGCCGTCCGATGGGAGAGTGACAATTGAGACATCTACCGATGAAAACATCACCCCCAATAGGAATAGAAGAGACAGGACGCAGTTGCTGGACGAAGGACTGATGGCAGGCCTGATTAATGGACGGCTACACAAGACAGTGAGGGGCCAAGTGAGAGAGCTGCGAGCGACGATCGAGGAAGTTGAGGACTTGCTAAATAGTCTTTTATGATGTAACCGATAAACTATGATGAACCTAGATATGTTTGACACGAAAGAGGAGTGGATACTGGGTGCTTTGCATGCGTCTGCATGGGGAGGATGTATGAATGAGAGCTCTTGAGCACACAACATATCGGGACTATGCAATACCAAAGCTACAAGGTATCACAGTTTTAAAGGCCCATGTAGTTGGCATTTGCGCACGTAGCTATTGACTATCTCAAGCATAGCCTCGGCATCAGTGCTTACATCTGAGTCGGTGGAATTCCTCTTTTCACTTCGGCAGTCACAGTTTATTTAGGCTTTATTCCGATTGGTCCTTGACGGTACGGGGGAAAGGGTCAAGGTTATTACGCCGAATTCGAATATTGCGAATGGGGATGCCTTGTCGGATCTAAAATGATGGCTAGCCAGGTCAAAGGAGAACTCAACTATAGCTACAGCGCCCTTGGCAGTTCAACAATGCGAAGCCAGACTCTTCTTTCATCACACTAACAACCGATACTATCGACTAAGACGTTTGATATATAGATTCCGATGCCCACCGCTGGCATACGCATATTACTATCTAACCTTCTCTTCCCAATATCATAGACACTATCCCTCAGCCAGCGAACCATGGCGCCCCCCAGATCGGCGATAATTGTACGTATTCCTGTCCGCCCGATGCTAGACTCGCCGTATAACAGATATCCCTCCAGGTCGGCGGCTCCGTGTCAGGCCTCCTGCAAGGCCTGCAACTCAAGCGTAAAGGCTGCGATGTGATTGTGATGGAGCAGGATCCCTCCAAGGACAGACACAGCCATGAGTCTGGAGTCTCGATCGGGCCCAGCGTTGTGGCCCTCCTCAAAAAATACGATGCCACGGGCCGGCCAGCTGCCATTCCAACCCGATTCCTCAGTGCTGCGTGGCGCAAGCGGCTCCGGGTGATCAACACCGTATGGGACCACAACATGAGTAATTGGGGATGTCTCTACCTCATCCTGCGGGCGAACTTTGACGGAATGAAGTCGGATGCGGTTCCCGAGCCACCGGCTCCGAAACCGGCGGATGGAAAAGTGCAGTATATGCCCGGAAAGCGAGCGACGGGGCTGCACTACGACCGGGAAAAAGGGGTCGTGCAAGTGCATTATCTGGACGTGGTCAGCGGGGAGGAAGGCAGTGTCAGTGCGGAAATGGTCCTTGCCGCAGACGGAGTACACTCGACTGTGCGCAAGATCTTGCAGGTGCCGACAAGGGAGGACTATGCTGGGTATATTGCCTGGCGGGGGACGGTCCCTGAGCGTCTATTGTCGCAGGAAACGGTGGATTATTTCACAAACAGACTGAACTTCACGCTGCTGAAGGGGACGTACTTTATCAGGTAAGTCATTCCTCCTGCTTTAGACTCCCATTCCCCGACTCCGTTGCTAACAAGCCCAGCTATATCATCCCAACGGAAGGCGGCAACGTAGAACCCGGAAAGCGCCTCATTAACTGGGTCTGGTACTACGTTGTACCGACTGGGTCTCCCGAGATGACAGCCATCTTCACAGACATCAATGGCAAGCATCATAAAAACACAGTCCCACAGGGTCTTGTCAGCCCAGCCGTCTGGGCGAAGCAGGTTGAGCGGTATCTGCCGCAGATGACATCGCCGCTGGCCGAGGTCGTCAGCCTTACACCTCAGCCATTCGTCACGAAGGTAGGCGAGATTGAAGCCACGGCTTCCACCTTTTATGATGGCCGTCTTGTCCTTGTTGGCGATGCCTTTGCAGGGTTCCGGTCCCACCTGGGAAAGGCTTCCGAACAAGCAGCCAGACATTGCCTGCAAATGGACAGAGTCTGGAGCGGCGAAATCACCCAGGAGCAGAGGGATCGTGAAGCTGTTCTGTATGCCAAGAGACTTTTGTTGCTGAATCGGATGATTGGGCTGACCGGGCTTGGGGTTATGTGGGCGGTTTGCAAGACAGGGCTGGCTTATGTCTGGTTGATGTTGAAGTCCAAACTAGGTGGATTGTGACTCTAGATGGCCGTGTTGGCGTCTGAGTAGTGGTGGATGATTTAAAGCTGCTTGAATAAGATTCCAAGAATTTTGAAGTGCATAGCATCGCCATCATGAATGAACGAGTATCATTAGAGACAACTTTTATCCTTTGGTGGGTATGATAGCCCAGACTGGACCATATAGAATCCCGGCTTTCTAGACCAATGTATTTGCACCGGGTATGGATGTTCTACAGTCAATAGTGAAAGATGTTTGAATTCTGTATGTTTCGTAGGGCACCCTTTCGTCTACAGAATAACTCAATCCACATTCTACCATCGCATATACTCTACACCCAGTGCTTCCCGAAAAATCGAAGCACACTCTTATATCCCCGGATGTATTCCTCCCGCACACGAGAATCCGATAGATCAGCCCGTGCAGCCATCCAGCCATGGACCTGGTCTTCGAAGGTCTCGACATGGTGGGGGACAGTAAGCTTGCTTTCAAAGTCTTGGACCGCCTCCTTCGGGTCCTCCCCTGCCGCAAGCATGATGTACGGAACCGAGATCCTCTCCGCGCCGGAGGGGTCAACCATCGCGGGATGGACGGCCGCAGCAATCTTGAACGGATTCGAACTGCTAGACGTCACCAGCTCGGCAACCTTTCCTCCCCAGCAGTACTGTCGATACCAAGTCAGTGCATCCAGATTAGACTTTAATTACTCGGAGAGAACTGGACTCACCCCGATAAGCCCCCACGAGGTAATCGACGGGTATGCAGCTTCCAACGCACCGACGTAATCCGGCAGCTTCGCCGCAGCGTCTTGCGGCATGTTCTTGCCAAACCACTCGCCTAGATCCTTTTGCTTCTGCTCGGTATCCGGGGGGTACCTATCCTCTTCCGTTAGTAATTATTGCGTGGCCCGCAAGTCGTGATGCACATACCATTCAGGCGGGCACGGTCGGCCATTAAACCAATCAGGAACAAAGACCTTGTACTTCTGGTTATTGTCGCTGGTGGCAAGAATATCGGCTCCTTGCAGGGTCTGAGGAAAGTATCCGAAAATGTCGAACACAGCGATGATGCCTTTGGTCGCATCCTCTGGGCCAGCGATGTCTGGACGAGCAAAAGTCCCACTAAATCAGGTCTATCCATGACACATGACGCACTTTCACTTACAATTCTTCATTCCGCCGAGCGCCTCATACGATCCCTTTGGCACGTATCCCGTGGATACCACAGGCGGGATATTACAGCAGGCCTCGCTGTGGCCATAACTTGCCGGCATAGTGGACATGGCGGCGGTTTGACAGAATGATGGCTGATGAGGTGGAGGAGGATTGAGCAAGGCTCTGGGGGAGAATGTGTCACTATGAAGTGAAAGGATGTGGGGTGTCGAAATTTTTATAGAAGTAGAGAGTCTTGTCGGCTGGAATGTGGCGGGGACCACGGCTAGCCGCGCTCTTGGGGGCATTTTGGGTAGAAACTGAGATCCTAGTTGCTAAGACTTGCGTTTTGGGACCAGGACCTCCATATGGAAATAGAAAAAAAGAGGCCTACGAAGAAGGCGATTGTTCGGCGACTTTTGCTTCCAAATGGGGTAATCGGAAGTATAAGAGAACAAGTTCGGGGTCGGATCTTGTCCATACATACTTGTAAGAAAACCAGGATAAGCCCCACGTATAGAAATATTCAATGCATATCATCCACTCGAGCCGGCCTTTTCTCTGCCTCTATCGGTTGATTCGCTTTGTCCAACCTCCCACTCCTTTCACGCATCCTCCGACGATACTAAAGCCTCTCACGCAATCACGATGTCTGGTACAACCTCTCCTCCGCAAGTCGGGCCTCTTGTCTCTACATACCTCTTCAGCGCCACAGTCAATCTAGGCGGGGCTCTCGCTCCCATCCCTTTGCTCGGGGGTGGCGCCCGCGTGGTCGAACCCATCACCGGTGGCACGATTTACGGCCCAGGATTCAATGCCACAATTGAGGGTGGCCTTGCCGCTCCAATTCTAATTAACGATAACGGCACAACCTCGCAGCTGCCGTGGGTATATGCGTACGGGCATGCCAGCGACGGGTCGCCGTTCTACATTGAGGAAGACGGCATTGGGTCTTCTGCAACCCAGAATACACGGCTTATCATTCAGGTTGGGGGCAAGTACGCGGATCTCCAGAAAATGTATGTGCTTGGACAACCGAGCGTCAATGAAGAAAGGACAGTAGCTACGGTGGAATGCTGGAGTGTACCTTTACCGCAGTAGTGGAGAGGAGAGAATGGGGCAGTGAAATGAATCTTGATGCAACACAGAGATATGTTAGATCTATTTTTTTTTTTTTTTTTGGACATAACATGTGTATGCAATCGTCTTTGACTTTCTTTTGTACTGCGTTTGCTGGAAGAATCAGAATCCCCCGGTGGAAGAAGGACTGGTATCATGGGAACGAACTTTTTGAGCGCAATTGACTTGAAGCTTTCTATTTTTCTATGGAACCAAGATATTGGTGGAATTGTTTGCCTCCGGACAGATGATACAGGTACAATAAAACTTCCCTGCATGGCTGAATCTACAAATCTTCTCATCCAGAATACACAAAGGTATCTGGCGCTGGGCCAGACGCATATCAAATTCCAGAGTCATCCTGCGGGTATGGCGCGCCTTCGGACCACTGCGACCAGTTCTTGCATGTTTTATCGAAAGCCTTCCGGTGAATCTTTTTGATGGAGATTGAATCCTGGCTTTCAACAAACTCAAGGGCCAGGCCCATGCTAGCGTGCCAGGCGATGTGACAGTGGACGAGCCAAGCCCCGGGGTTATCGAGCTGGAACGCGAGGGCCAGGTAGCCGTGTGGAGGGAGCATAGCAGTGTCTCTACGCGGCGGGTTGATAGTCTGGAACGACGCCGTTGTTCCGTCCCATGGTGTCTTTTCCTGAGCCACGATCCAAAAGTCATGTCCGTGGAAATGAATAGGGTGCGCAATACTAGGACGACATTAGAAGATCGAAGCGCCTGCAACAAAAATGAGGTACATACCCGCCAAAGAACGCGGCCGCCTTGTTCTCGATAACGAGGACCGCCCATTCGTCTTCGTGGGGATTTTTCTTCTAGGATGGGATTAGGCGATAGACGTAGTACCAAGAGGATGGAGTGCTTACATCAACCTCGACCACGTTGTAGGGTGTGGGAAATATTGATGCGTTGTCAAAGACACGCTTCAGGGTGGGCTCATTCCAGTCGAGAACAAGACTGCTGGAGTTGATGGTCCACTGAAACACCGCCGCGTTGGTCAGTCGCACATTGATATCCTCGACCGTTGTGTCGGCGATGGTTCCCACGTCCAGTTTCAAGTGAGGAACGAGGTTGGTCTGGGGCTCGTCATCACAAGACTTTGGCGCCTCAATCGTGGTCGTGCTAGTTGGATCGCTGCTGCTGGAGGGGTCGTATCGAATAATGCCCGTGGCGGAATCAGGGTGCTCGTTGGCCACGCCCTGACATGACTTCACCCATCCACCACGCAGCCAGTAGTCTCCAGGCGTAGCGTTGGCTTCCACGATCACGTCGTACCGCTGGCCCACGTTTATGAGGACACTGTCGGTCTCGTAGGGATCAATCGGGACGAAATCATTTGCGATCACTTGGAGCTTATGGCCATCGATACTGAACCGCCACTGGCTATCCATCGCGGCGTTGATCAGACGCAGGCGGTATTTCTTGCCAGGCTTGAAGACAGCCTCAAACTTCTTCCCACCGCCCACGCAATTGGGGTCCGATGATGCGGAGCAGTCGAATGTATTGATTCCGTTGATCAGTGTGGTCGTTTGCGAGTGCGTGATCCCCCACTTCTGCTTCGCCTCCCAGGCCGTAAAAGTCGCGATGTGCGACCAGTCTAGCAGGAAGATGGGACCGAGGTCTTCATCATAGTTGGCAGTGGCCGGGCCGTGGAAGATCAGTGGGCCAAACAGACCTTCTGTGCTCTGCAGCGAGAAGTGACTATGGTACCAGGATGAGCCGTACTGAGTCACCCGATATTCGTACGTGAGCGACTCCCCTGGTGCAATGGGGCACTGAGTGACTCCTGGGACTCCATCCCACTCATTGCTATGGTGTAGTCGGGCACCGTGCCAGTGGACGGCGGTGCCATTTGATTTCAGGTTGTTGGTAACATGAACGACAAGCTTGTCGCCCCAGTTGGCGACAATTGGAGGGCCTGGCATCGTTCCGTTGAACGTCATGCACGGACGAACGTATCCATCCTGATTGCAGGTACCCTCCTCAACTGACAACCAGTATTCGACGGTCCGGCCTGAGTCGGGCGTCGTGGTGTAGTAGTTTGTGTCGATGTTATACTTTCCCCAGCAATGGCGCGAAGTAGGGGTGTTTTTGCAGGGCTTTGTCGAACCCACATGCTGTGTCGAAATATCTCTGATATTACCTCGGGCAGCGGGAGTCGCGGCTGAACTGGCCACGAGGGCCAGGAGAGAAAGGAACGAGGTCTTCATATCCGGCTCAGCCGTTCTGCATAGCAAAAAAGCCACCGAGCCCTAGCAGATCCAAAACAATAAACATGAATTGACAGTGTTCAAGTTTCGGTGCGCCAGGGTGAGTTATGTACGTCCTGGATGGACAGATTCTACGATCTCAAAAGAAATTCCAGGAACTCGGAGTGAATCATCTGTCGACTTGCAAGTTGGGCAATAATTGATTGACAGGGTTCAGTGACATTCGGAGAATTGTATAATTCGGCGCATCCCGAATGGGACATTCGGAGAATACGGCCGTCCATATTCGGAGAAACCGTGAAGCTAGGGTTTCTGGAGATAAGTTATCCAGGCGTCAATTTCTCTTCAATTTGCGTAGTTTCACTTTGTTGGCTGTATGTCAGTTACAAGACCTGTTTTCTTGCTATGAAGACAATTAGACACGCTGGGCTCTCCAGCCTAGCGACAATCGCCATTACACTACTTGCAACGACTGTACGAGCTGTATCGCTTCCACTCCCACTCCGGACAGTGTACCAATTCTCCCTTCCGACATATCTCAACAGCATCTTTGTCCGACCCAATGGTGACATTTACGTGACCACCGTCTGGCCCAATGCCTCGATCTACTCCATTTCCGCTCCCAACACAGACCACCCCGTCATGACGCTGATCCACACCTTTGACGAGATCAACGCGACCACCTCCATCGTCGAAACCCGCCCGAACGTCCTAGCATTCCTAGGAGGCAACCAGAGCAGCCTCGGGGTCGGCATCAACGGCACCTTTGGCGTGTGGGAGCTCGATCTCCGCCCAACCCTTGACGGCAAGGGCGGCAAACCTGCCATCCAAGAGCTGGTGCGCATCCCCGACGGCGGCCTTCTGGCCGGAATCAGGCCCCTCCCAGACGCCCTCGGCACGGTTCTCGTGAGCGATTCCACGGCCGGCGTAGTCTGGAGGGTCGATACCGTCACCCGGGAGTACGAGCTCGGTCTGCAAGACAGTGACATGGTAGGCCCCGTGTGGGGGGCGACGCAGTTCGGCATCAACGGGGTCCAGATCCGCAAAGGCTACCTCTACTGGTCAAACAGCTACCTTGCGTCTATTTATCGCATGGCGATCACGCCAGAGGGTTATGCCGCGCCCGGGGCCAAAAGCGAGCTTGTCGCCGCGATGCGTGGAATTTACCTCGATACCTTTTGCTTCAGTGCCGATGAGGACGATGACACCATCTGGGCCGCGACAAATGCGGATGATCGGCTTGCGGCTATCTCACCCGATGGGACGGTCACGTATGTGGCCGGTGAGCCCGACCAGATGACGCTGGCAGGGTCCGTTGCACCTGCTTTCGGGACTTTGCCGGGGGACACTAAGACTATCTATATCGCGACTTCCGGGGGCATGGTGTTTCCTATCAACGGGACTGTAATCGAGGGGGGCAAGATAGCAGCGGCTGATACGACTGGCTGGAAATGAGCTTTGTGTATGCTGCTACAATATCTTCCAACTCGTGCACGAGTCAGGGCTGCTATATACCCATATCAAGAGTACTACTGTATACGGCAAAAAAATTGAGTACAATATTCTTCTCGGTTTTTGTTAATCGGAGCTCAAAGAAACTTTTCATATTATTGCACACCGGACGCCATAGAGAGACCATGACATTGTACCCCCTATCAAACACATGTACATACGCTCACAGTATCAACCTCATGATAATATGGCAGACAATGGAGATAGACTAAGCCATCTACAGTTATAAGATATCTGGCTAGAACCCTGATTCTTGGTCTCCACAGTTAGCCATTGAAGAATCCAATGATTAGGCGATCAAATCCACCGTTGAAAACTACTGACACTGGTTAAGCCTGTTTTTATGGGTGTTTCTCCAGCTACACGCATTAGTCATGTCCCTTGCCTGAGCATCTTTGGTTCAGCCAGTTTGGTTTGGACATCGACAGACGCATCTTCTAGACTATACCTCTACTTCTCTTCATCTCTATATAATCCTCCTAACTATGAAAACAAGTACATACGACCATAGGGTGTGGAGAACAGGGCTTCCCGTCCGCTCAGCCGTACTTAAGCCACACGCCGGCCGGTTAGTAGTATGCTGGGTGACCACATGCGAATCCCGGCTGTTGTATGTTTTTCTCTTTTTATTTTTGTTTTTTTGCTTTAATATTTGACATGCATGGGGCCGTTGAAAGTATTGGATAGAACACCTCGTCCCGACGTGGCAGCCCAGCGAGGGCACGATATGCGTGCTTCACGGTAGATGCCTGGACAGCTGAATATATCTTCGTTTTGAGTGAAACTTCGTACTTGGGATTCTTTGTCTTCCAAGTGCCTGGCAAGACATCTGTCCAATCAACTGTCTGGGGGCCAAGAAAAAACCGCGACCGAGTAAGCACTGGTGGCTGCTGAAATTGGGCTTGGGTACCCGTCGCAAAATCATCGGCATCCCATGTTTCCACCATCTGGAACCCTCGGAATTGGCGCTCGGTGGTGTCATGATAACCGTTGTGGTAGGCATACCGTGTAGTGTGGACAGTTTGCGCGATTTGTCTTCCGTTACTGTCCTGGAAACACAATGAACGGGGAATGGTAGTCGGGTAGTCCACGGTCTGCTATTACGTTCATCATCACGGTAGAAGGGCAGAGGATGTACGGTAGATAAAGCTTGTTTCGCCTCCGGTCCCGTTTGAACATTTGCTCAGTAAAGCGGGTCTCTGCTTGCCTGTCAAGTGAACGAATCGAACAGTAGTCAAAGCCCCTTTAGTGCTTCCGGTCATATTAGAGGACCAACATAGAGACGGTGTTCCTCGACCACTAATATCGAATAGATCAACAGCCGAGAAATGGTGAAGAGGTGGCAATGACGCAAGCAAATGACCTGCACTCCATCCGTTCCAGAATGGTTATAGAAGAACATTGCACCATCTTCCGGAAGCAAGTAAAGCAGATCAGTGGAACCAGATCCAGTAACATCCCCCCTTGCTCAGTATGCCTAGGTACGCGATATATACTACTGTTAAATACCGCACACCTAACAAATAGTGGTGGGATACCAAAATTGCTGTGGAAGGCCGGAGTATAGTTCGAGAATTCTCTGGTATGTTGTACCGCCGTGTCGGATTGTGTAAGAGTCATGTGAGCGCAAAGAATGTCAACCCGCGATATTAATGCTAATCTACATTGTCATTTGTAAAGTACAGCAGTGATATTCATATAGTCCTTATTTTCTCCGATCCCACTTGAATTTGTTGGATTCATCAGAGTCTGGCTATAAAGAGCAGGGATAGCTAGTTAGGGAAAACAATACTCTGGCTTGGTTTGGGACAAATTAGGTTGATCAACACCAAGAAGCCTTGTTCCTCATGAGTTCCTTGAAGTAGGTCGGCAAAGATGTCCAAGGGATACGTTGTAGCGAAGGGAGGCCATGAAAGCTCGCGTACGGCAACAGCCCATAACTCTGTTGTGCATGCCACTTGGGTTATCATGCCCCTCATTCCATATTGAGACATGCCATTATCCTGAATACATCTCACTCGAGCCTTCAGAATGTATCAGGGACAAGAATTTCCCATAGTCTGTACAGTACATCTCCATAGAAACCAGTAGAAAAGCTCATAAAGCGGGTATGCCCTGACCTAACATTCCTGGGGTTGGGGAATGTGGCTGGAGAATAGATATCCAGTGGCTCCGCGAAAGACCCTGTCCTCTCATAACTTAAATAGAGGCAAGCCCAGGTTACGTCCAAGAAAATATTTGCGCTGGAGAAATCTAAATTCTAGCAACATGTGGACCTTAAGCCTTTTGCCGATGACCCTGATGCTTGGGACTCTGTCACGCGCAGAATCCCAGGTATTCAATATCCCGGAACTTCCGTCTAGGGATGCGTTTTATACACCTGACGCTTCGGATTGGGCCGATAACAAGCTTGGCACAATTCTCGATTATCGCCAAGTGAACATCGATCTCTCCACCACAAGCAGTGATATTATTGATTATGATGCCTTCCAGCTACTATATGTTACCTCCGATCTCAACTTACAAAAGACTACATCGGTCACTACTATTATTATTCCACAAGGCGCCAATACAAGTCGCATTCTATCTCACCAGCTTGCCTATGATGCGCCAGATGTCAACTGCTCTCCTTCTTATGGAATACAACCAGGCGCCAATGCGGGTGCGCTGCCGTTTACACGCGACCTAATGGGTTTGATATCCGAGATTTTGGAAGACGATCACCCGCCGGTTCTGAATATTCCTGACTACGAAGGATCCAATGCCGCGTTCACCGTGGGGCCTCAGAGCGGATATCAGACTCTCGACTCGCTCCGCGCCGCGACAGCATCCGGATGGATTACAAGTATCGAGGCAGATGCAGAAATCGCCGTATTTGGCTATTCTGGTGGTGGTTACGCCTCCGAATGGGCTGTTGAATTGCATCGTGACTACGCCGAAGATGTCAATATTATTGGCGCTGCGCTGGGCGGGCTCCCGACAAACATCCTGACAACGTACCAAAATATGATCGGATTATTTTCACCATTGAATGTCTGGGCTATGCTGGGCATGATGAACGCGTTCCCCCACATGAACCAATGGATGGAGGAAGATCTTAAGCCTGAGCGCCTGGAACAATTCAATGGCCCCCGCCAGCGCTGTAGCGAGCCCGAGGTTCCCCCCGCGCCAATCCAACCCAACGATGACGTTAACAGTTGGTTCGAACACGGAGACTATTTCTTGACCAAGTTTGAGCCAGAGATTACCGAAATTGGTATCATGGGAAGGCATATCTCGACAGCAACAGCTCCAAAATACCCTCTCTACATCTTCCGGGGCGGATTGGATGTTCTCACCAGTCCACATGAAGATACTGTTGCGCTGAAGGAGAAGTTTTGCCGGGAGGGAACATCAGTAACCTTTGTGTTATGGCCGTTTCACACACACGTCCCTGCCTCGGAAGCTGGTTCTCCTTATGCTATGAAGTGGGTCAGAAAGGTTTTCAATCGCGAGGAGATCCGCAATGACTGCGGCCTGCTGGATGCTGTAGTTGAGACGGGGGATGTTTAGGGTGATCGTCCGCGATTGACTTTTAGGCTAGCGAGGGTGAGCTCGGTGGTGGACGGGGATGAGAAGGCGATTGGACTGGGGAACTAGATATACTATCAGCTAGCTAGATCCACAGACTGCAGAGAGCGGTAATTCATTCGAAAGCTTGTGATTGTTGTCCTGTCGTTATTATGAACTCCCAATGTTAATAAAAACTGTGACATATTTCCATCTTGGGAAAGAATGCAACTCCCCAAGTCACGCCCTGACCTTACACATATCCTTTCTAGCAATAACAAATTTATATCTTATAAAACAATTTTGGAGTGACTGTAATAAGTTAGATATCTGTCAAATAAGAGAGCCTAAGACAAAACTCCTTCACTATCTGTCTTTCACCCTCTTGCAATCTCTTCCATGGCTTGAAGATCATTAATATTATCATTCTTCTGACTGATTTTCACCCAACCTCACTAAAAGAAAAACAACTCCTAGTAAGCTCTTTAGCAATCATATTATACTGAATTATCTCTTGTGATCTTTTTCTTCTTCTCTAGCTCTTCTAGCTAACTTGACTCCTGCATATTAAACCCAGGGAGAATCCACACCAATCCGCACAGAATGACACTCTACTCTATATAAAAGGGTGAAATCAAGCTAATTCTAGTTTAGTAGTAAGTGGATTCCAGAACAAGTTTATAGATTTTATCATGAGAATCTGAACTTGTTAGACTCTTCTTTCTCTTACTAAACCCGCGCCGCTGCGGATTCAGTGCGGATCTTTCGGTTTGGTGATGACACTCTAGTCAGTAGTATAGTGGGTGACCACATGCGAATCCTGGCTGCTGTATGTTTTTTCTTTTTTTTTCTGATATTTTATATACCTAAGTCTTTTCGATTGTTCTAAGCGAAGTGTTGTTGAAGAATTCAGTGGGGTGGTTCAAGATTTATTGAAAGTCTTCATTGCTCTAGGGAAATGACATTTGTATAGTTTAGCTATGCGACTTCGCTGTATATCTATCCCAAGAAAGCATCAATTGGAAGTGTCTGACAGTAGATATCACATCCATCCAATAGCGACTCGTCAAGCAAAGTGATAGTCTCATATTGTGATATCTCAGCGCAGCTGGGTGGTAGGGACCAAAGTTATTAGTGGTATGCTATCAAGAGTTTCTATCTAATACATGAACTTCACTGGACTGGGTCGTATTCATAACTAGTAGCCCTATATAAGATTCCTTTCAAATATATTCGAGCTCTGTGTTTGCTCAGTTGAGAGTGATTTCCATGATATACAGGTTATTCTAATTCTGGGGCTACTATCAAATATGACAAATAATACTACCTTCATCTATCCGCATATAGATTGCTGGCGTCAAATAAACCATACTACACTTTGTTGACTTCCAGTCGTGCATATCAACCGAAAATCAAGGCAGAAACTACTAAATTTCTCCTGAAGCTCTTCTACCCTTAGAGCTACAAACAATCTCTCAAAACCGCATCAGCCCTTTCCTCGAATACCTTCATCGCATGCCGATACAACTCCGGCCCAAGACTCATCCTCGCCATGCCCATCTTTCTCAATTCACCCACTGTCAAAAACCCCTCTCTCAAATTCACCTTCACATTTAATCTTCCCTCGAACGCCTCTACCAATCTCTCAACTTCGCCTCTGGATACACCCCTACCCCCCGCACCACCCCAAACAAACACCGTGCAAGCCCCAGCATTTAAGTACGCCTTGCCCCTCTCAATAGCCTCCTGAACAGTCCCGTTTTCTAGAGACCCAAGGACATCCGTCCTCGCATTAACTACAAAAGCAGGGACACCTGATTCTTCCGCCGCCCGCAGCGCCACTCTGATCCGGTGCACTGCGTCAGGAAGAGAGCGAAGCTGGCCTGTCTTAGTGTCAAGGTCTTCGAGGTTGCAGCCTACGACCCCAAGCTTGATTATCTCTTTGATGGCGAGAGCGACATCATCATAGCCGTCTTGGATATCGACTGTTAGAGGAATTCTGAGAGATGTATCTGTTGGGTCTTCGTGGAAGGGTAACTCATTGCACTTGAGTACTGAGGCGATGGAGCGGATAGTCGCTAGATTCTGTGCAAGAGATAGGTCATCATCGGGGATGCCTTGAGATGCGGCGACTGCGTAGCTTCCTGTTGCGATGGCTTTGGTGGAGGGGTGATTGGCGATGAGGGAGGCTGTTGCTGCGTCGTGGATGTTGGTTAGGACAAGCGGGTTGTTAGGGTCATGGAGACTGCGGAAGTAGATGGCTTGGTCGTTCTGTTGGGTTTTGGTGGACATGGTTGTGGACGTAGATGATGGATGGTTTAGGTTTCTGTGATATGGATACTTGTTAGATAAGATGAGGAAATTATTTCAGGATGATACAAATCTAAGGAGTGGCAATGCTATATAAGTTGACTCATTTGTCTTCCCTCGGTAGGTGGTCCAGTAGCTAGCTTCTTTTGATACGAGATGTTGCTCCCAAATTGACCACTCAGAATCGGGGATTTCGATTCCGACTCCCGAGCGACATGGATAGGCGCTTTATTCTTGACATTTGTACGATGGCGACCAACGAGGTCTTTGAAATGCCTAGAATCAAATGATCTTATCTTACAAATATTAATTGTCGTAAAACCGTCTCATTTCGTTTTCATACCTGGATTATCCAGCGGGCGACTACGTCTTCAGGTCCGGGTTCTGTTCCTTGAAGTATTGAAATAGTTCGGGTTTCACAAACCTGTTGTTATGGTGCCTTGTGCTGACACGTCGACTCATGTCCTTCTAGGGTGGGAACCACAATGGTACCTAGATACTTTTCAGTCGTAGTGGTAGTAATTTATATTCCCAGAGTGTTAGGCATGCGTGAACACCGTTATATCCGTATGAATGGCGCATTGAATTATCTAATATAGCGAGCCGACTGACTTAGAATTCTTCCAGTCTAACCCAGCGTCATATGACAGAAGACTTCATACACGCTCGTCATCGCTGTCGGCCTCCACTGGCACATCCCCCGCCGGCTCAAACTGGATGGATACATCCAACATGAGTGCTCTTCGGTCACTACCAATGACTGGCATCCAGTTATACTCCTCCATCGATTCATCGTGTGGAACCCACGTCATTGAAGAGATCGTGCCCGTTTGGATGTTTTCGAAGTCGAAGGACGCTAGACGCTCTTCGTGATATTTTCGTAGCCTCACAAAAGGCCCTCCCACAATCCTCATCCGATCATCAAGCCTGTACTTGCGCAGACACCAGGAACGAAAGACTGTTGATACTAGTAAGCAAGTCTTCCATGTATCATAGTCGACAAAATCCAGAATCCGGTCATATAGTTCCGGTGGAAGAATGCCTCCTGGTTTTGATGCTGCACGGCGGTTCGCGGCGACTTCGAAGAAGTTGACGAGTGCTGCGAGCCCGGGGAACTGGCTCTGGAGTCTTTGTCTGGACCCTCTGCTGTTCGATTGCATGATGCGCTCACCGCATTGATGCTGGATCTTCATCCCTGGCTTCAGCTCTGGACGCATGCGTGGATGTGTGCTCACACAATAATCTGCACGCAGAGGCGAGAGATCGACCGCGCCACTGACTTTAACGATAGGCTTTTTGTCATCATCATAGGAGACCTCCGCAAAGGCCGCTTTAAAGAGCGATAGAACGACGATCTGGAAGTTAGCACGTTCCTGCTCAATTCCCCAAGTAACGGCCTTCGTGATGGCCTCGCCATCAACAACCAGTACAAGGCTGACAAGTACATCCTCAAGCCAGTATATCCGTGGGCGACGCCCCTGGAGGCTCGCCCGGTCGATGGGACGGGGAGCCAAATTCCAACAACGGAGCGCTATCGCCGACCCATTTCTCGTCAAGCCATCCGGGGGACACGTATAAATGGTCCAATTCACAGCCCCATAAATGGCAATTTCGAGGGTTACACAGCCGAGCAGGAAAAGAATGAAACCTGGCTTGACCAGACGCAATTGAGACAAGAGCAAATGCCAACTCGCGAAACGGAAATGAGTCTGGGCTCCACTCCATCCCATAATTGATGATCGCGTCTTTGTATTGAGTAAGCATATGCGCCGAAAGGTGTGCGAGAAAAGTTTTCCGTGCCTCATCAAGGCCTGTCCTCGGGGTTACAAGGCGATAGTGGTATTCAATCGCCCTGTTCTGCTCAGGAATTGCCAAAGCCGGCGAGGCCATGTGCATTTCAGGGCAGAGGTCGAGGGAGATGGTGGGCTTGTACGGATAGATGCTGTCTGCAATGGCGAAAAGCCACAGTTTCTCCTCGCGCGGGATATCCCCCAACTTCCAGTGTATGCTGTGGTTCATGGTAAGGACTTCCTGGTCGAGGTTTATGATGTATATGTACTCAGCAAAAGCACCCAGTCGAGGGATCTCGGAAGGTAGCATCTCAAACTCGCGAAATTGTGAATAGTCGGGTTCAAGGCCATCGCGAATCTCATAGACATGACTTTCAAGGGCCTTTTCCCTGGCCGCATACTCGGCTCGCATCGACTCGAGCCATTCTGTAGATTGTTAGTATAACGTAAGACACGGGCCGTTTCTCACGGCATACTATGATATTCCTCGGGGCTGGCGGGGATTCTCGCGACAATATTGGCGCCGAGACCCTCGTAGTAGCTGTCAAACCGGTTAAAGCGAATGTAGTAACGCCTGCGAAAGCGCACTATCTCAAGGCCTCGAGTTCCCATTGTGATTTTGCTGGACGGTTTGAGTTACCTTGACGGATCTCTTTGTAAGAGAAATAGAGTATACCAGGAGGATCGGTCGGCAGTGGCAGACGCTTGACGCAAGACACGTCAGGTGTGACCGTGCGTGGAAGAGCAGTGGCTGGCAATCAGATAAACGGTCAGCTGACCTGCAGCACTTGCTGTTCATTTCCCCACGGTTTTTTCTTGTAACCTTCTGGTAAGCTTTTCGCTACATCATTCTCACTTGAACCGTTTCCATCGCTTATATCTACAGGGTCAACGTGGGCCTGACCTGCCCTCACACGCTCCCTTCTTAACTAAACGACCATCTAACACATACGAAGCTGCTACTATATACTGTTGAGTATTGGATATATGTATTTGTTTTATATCATAGTTTGTTATTGCTTCTATACATTAAATCGATTTTAACGTATAGTGGCAGGGCTCCCTCTGGATCCCCGGCCCCAAACCGCCCAAATCCACCCCGGATCAGGCGAGGACGGGGACCCAGAATCCGATCGGGGCCGGGCCGTAACGGGCCGGGAACTAGCTAGGGTCAAAGTCTGGCGGGGTCTGCCACGATTTGGAGACCCTGAATTAGTTTGCTTCAGTCGGTATGTATCACCATATTACCTACTCATACTGGATTATATAAGCTCAATATAACTTATCATGCGTAGAAGCTTCATACAATAGGCTTGTATTGTTTTGCTTATAGACAAAATCTATATATTCTATGACATAGACCAAATTCATAAGATTATATACTAGGTAAGCACGGAGTAGTCACGACATATATATCTCGATATAGTAAGAATCGCCAACTTTCATCCACGGCAAGGTACTCCCACAACGCCATTATCTTTGTTATGCTAGCATTAGTACAAACATTCTTGTGATGCATAGGCACAGGGCTGGGGCGATTTCGTTCAGGATTACCAGTTTTGTCCGGAAATAGTCGGGTTATCTCGGCGGCTTGTCATCCACCGAAGTGCGGTAGTGATTTGTTCAAGATCAGCTCAAATGAGGAGTGTGCTATAATGGGTACAGTCGACAGGATGGGTCAGATGACGGTGGTCGTTAGATTGGCCATCGTTCCATCACCAATCGCCCAGTGACGAGTCCTTTGCATGGGATGAGGTATAGATAACACAGCGTTTGGAGTTGTTGCTATAGAAGTAGCTCACCATAGAGGTGCTACTACTGTAATAAGTTCTACTGCAAAGAAAGCGTATGTATAATTCCCTTGCTTCGGTACAAACTTGTGGGGGATAGTGTCAAGCCAAAATGCTGAAAGCATATAAATAAAAGCAAGTAAAGGAAACAACTCAGAGCGAAAAAAGTAGAAGAAAAACATGAAAGTCAAATCAACATGGAAACACATAGGAGTGATTCTTCATTCAAAACCATTAAATCTCCGCCACAATAGTCGTGTCAACAAGATGCATGGCTTCAGAAAACTTGCAGCTGGGGTTGGAGCAGAGGTCTCGCGGACAACGGTGTCCAGAGATACAGTCCACATCCCTACAATACAGATCTTCGTAGCAGGGGGACAGCCGGGCCAGATATGCCAGATCAGTTTGTTCTTGTGCTTTCAGAGCTGGGCCGTGTTTGTGCGCGCACTTATCACCGAAGGGGCATGATCCTAGGAGGTGATACTTATTACACATTTTCTTTCGCTTCAGGGAATCGACATTCGCCTTCGAGGAATACTGGGCTGGTCTATCGATCCGGTGGCCTCTTACATTCACGCATATTGGCGGACTGACTCGACGAGGCCTTGGTGCTTGGGGTTTTGTGCTACTGGTCGAGGGTGATGGCGTAGGCGCCAATTTTGCCGCCGACGCATAGTTGGGGGTGGGTGTCTGTGGCGGCGTGATGACAGTGTGTTGGACCTGAGAGCCAAACGACACCCTCCTAGTGGGTTTTAGCTTGCTTGATAAGAAGATCTCATCGAACGAGGTTGTTTCAAAGTCGGCGGCTAAATCCTTTATCTCGTGTGCAAATGGTGGTCCCCTGACCAGCGAAATGTGTTTCGACCCGCGGTGGGGGCCAAGGATGCGCGCGTAGCCGTTGTCTGCGGAGGCACAGAACACAATCCGCCGACAGTGGACGTCGATTATGTTTTGCTCGAAATGGGCTGTAAATATTGGAGGTTTCTATGAGCTTTGGTCTTTCGGGTCCACTGTGGCTGATTTGAAGCACGCACCTCGTAGTTTAACATCAGAGCATTCCTTTCCATTCCCAGCGTCCACGAAGTTACACAGCTCATCTGCTTTATTGAATCCATGGATAAATGGGGTGAGGCTATCATTCGCAGGAATTATACCAGCGTCACGATAGGCGTTGGTCAGGCCTTCCATATTCGCATACACATAAACTCTGTATCGGATGTTGGAGGGGGCTTCGGCGTCAACGTCTTGAAGGTGTGCTTCAACAGCCTGGATCAATCTCCGGGCAGCTTCATGGCCTCCTGTCTGCCCACCCTGAACGTATTGTTCACGAAACTGAGATAAAAGTATAATTAGCAAGTGATAAAGTAATTTGGTCTGTGGGCCAACCTACATTCATTCCATCCCCATCGACCAGCACAGAAACATAACTCAATCTAGCCTATATATCAATGTCAACGTTTCCTCCAATCTAATGCACTAGAAAAGGCCGAGGAGAGAACACGTACCTGCTCTCGACGCATATAGTTAAGCTCAGTTTCAATCCTTCTGTTTTCATTATTGAGTAAGGCAATATGCCTCTTGTCATTGTCAACACCATCTTTTTCCTTTTGTAGCTCGTCATGGAGAGATTCAACACGAGAGAAGAGACACTAGCCGACTCATTTAATTAATATTAAGATTGTCAGCCCGAGTCTCCCATTCAAGAGCCACATACCTGAATAATATCATCCTTACTCTTCTCCACCGAGCATATCTCCTCATACTTCTGCTTCACATCATTAATGTCTTCTAACATAGTGGCAACTAAAAATAACCCAATGAGAGTTCAGTCACGTAGAATGAACACACAACAAAAAGTTGAGAGGCATGGACATCGAGAGAAGCCATCAATTTATCAATATGGAGGGTGACAGTCACTCTAAATAGCGATGCAGCGTGCCACGTCAGGCTAGCGGCACGTACATACCTCCCCCCAGTGGGCGGCTCGCTCACTGCGGCACAGTCCGCGCGGGCTCTTCATATCCAATAGATATTTCTAGTACACCCCTTTGCAGATCGCCAACTTCCCAAAGAAGGCTGATTGGTAAAGATACTGAGCCAGTATGTACTGCTAGGTGGCTCAGCCGTCGTGTTGAATCTGAGGTTTTGTGAATGTGAAGATGATATCTTTTAGGCAGCAACTCACGGGGCGCTCACGGATACGGCCACGAAGTCTGCAGAGAGAACAACAGAGTACTGTATCACTCGGTGCATACTTCCTGAACGGCATGCAACACAGTGCAATAGGTAGTAGTAGTATTGGCTTGGATGAGTTGGCGCTTGCTTTTCTTAGCTTTGACGCGGACTAATATATCAGCACCTACACGTAGAAAATACGACATCGCTTGCGTTGGTGTGAGCATGCTTTGTATTATATAGGACATTTGCATAGCTTGAAAGTGCTGTGCTCTCTGAGATTCCATGAGTCCATTTCAATTTTATTTAAATATGAACTAAGTCTACCCTCACGGTTAGGGTGTTAGGAAAAGTCTATGAAAAGCTACAGCTCAGCCATATGTAAGAGAGCCACACCGTGCTCCTCAGTACGTTATATTCTCTCAAGACCGCTACAAGACCAATGTTTGGTAAAGGGCTTGGTCTGACTGATATACCCAAAATAATCTTTGTTTGTCTTATTAGTGCAATTTTATAGAAGATATCGTTGTAGTGTAAGCCTAGAAATCTGGCGTTGCAGACTCGCTGTGGGTTGGAGACATTCCCGGAATCTGTAAAGTGATAGAACGAAGGAAAAGGAGAGAAATTGTTTACCTTTAGTATCTCATATGAGGCGGAAATCATTGTCCCGTCAATTTCCCCTTAATTCAAACTTCTTATATACTAGGAAGAAACCGCGGCTTCGGGGGCTTTAAAGAGTACAACCCTTTTTCTAAGACGGCTAGGATCATCGTTAAGGCCTCGCTTACTGGAGGTTCCCATAACCCTATAATCATCTGATGACCTACCAAATAGTGGTAGTATCTGGAAAGAATACTGACAGGTTAAGTATCTACAGCTTTGACTATCTAGCTATTTTGCAATATTACATTTTTATTAGGGCAGTTCAAAAGGCACAGCGATTATATCACTTTGGCCTTTTACCCGACTCTCCATTCTACCTAGCTCGCCTGATCGGATTAATCTTCCATGTTAGAAATCATATAGAGAAACGAGAAAGGCTATCAATTCAGTAGACTGCCAACCTAGATCAAGTGATATCGCTAGAAGAGTACATGTTTGACTCCTGTCGATAAAATCTTGTGAGATTAATTGTTTAATCACCTAGTCAAGCTACTACAGACCTGGACTTATTACAGTTGAGCACTGTTTGACCAATGAGAATGAGGGTGTAAATGCCTTTTAGTCATATTTTCGGTGAATTTGAGAGTTCCTCTGGACATAAATCCAACTCTATTCCATTATCACATGTGAGGAAAGTCAGAAGTTTTGATATTTACTGGTTTTGTCTCGGCCACTCGCTGTCTGGAGAAATACTGACGAAATTACAGTATGATCATAGCGCCAAGTTCAGGGTGAACCCGTGGACGGAACTGAGGCCGAGCGTGTAATACCAACTCTTCCATGCAAGATACCGATCTTTAAACAACCCCTCCCCCCCAAAGATCATTGCATGTCTTTGACGCTAGGATCCTGCAATGAGATTCATGGCCAAGATCGTATCTAGGTACAGCATCTAGCGCGGGGCATTAGCTGATCGACACAATTACCGAGGTTGATTATCCCCACACATATGAATCCTGACTCCGCACAACCAAGATCGCATATAACAAGCGCACGATCTCCCCAACCCATCCAATCCTCTCAATTTTGGTACCCAGATCCACACCACCCCCCAACATCAACACCGCAACAATGGAAAAAGCATGGGCACAAGTGGTGGAGACCTACTCACCCGCAACCATCGAATTCGGCGGCACGCTCTTCATCCAAGCGATGTTTTTCTGGCTCACAGCGTTCCTCTACCTCGCCGTCGATATTCTACTCCCCAGCTTCGCCGCGCGCCACAAGCTCCAACCACCCCCCAAGCAACCAACGACCGCAGACATCATCCACTGCGTCAAAGTCGTTGCCGGCAACCAGGCCATCTCCACCGGCTTCCACCTCGCGCTCCTCCACCTCGTCAAGCGCGGGGAATCCTCTTTCCGCATCCCAACATCGCTCCCCACGCTCCCCGAAATGGCAAGAGACATCGTCCTCTGCCTGCTTATGCGCGAGGTCATGTTCTACTACAGCCATCGCCTCCTACACACGCCTAGGTTCTACGCGCCCATCCACAAGCAACACCACCGCTTCGTGGCGCCCATCGCGCTCGCCGCACAATTCGCCCACCCAATCGAGCACATTGTCGCAAATGTGCTGCCCGTCTCGCTGCCGGGGCAGATCCTGCACTCGCATATTCTGACGTTCTGGGCGTTTGTGGCGCTGGAGCTGGTCGAGACGGCGACTGTGCATAGCGGGTTTGATTTCTTCGGTGGACGCGCTAAAATGCATGATTCGCATCATGAGAAGTTCAATTTGAACTATGGAGTGTTGGGGCTTTTGGACTGGGCGCATGGGACTGATAAGTTGAAGTCGCGGGATGGGAAAATTAGACAGGAGTGATTTATATTCTTGTGCTTTAGGGGATGACGTTGACAGTGGGGGTGTATGTTTGTTGGTGATACCATGTATATATTGTGCTGGGACTAGGACTATGCCAGTTGAGTCCCACGTTACACGAGTTATAAGAAAGGAAGCAAAATTCCTGTGCTCTTTATCTTGCACAATCCCAATGTTGGAGCAAGAATCATGATGAGAGATTAGGTTACTACAAGTGTCTCATGTCCTTGTATTCTCTTAGATTCTGCTACAGCCCGTAGTGGAAAAAACTTCATCTACCCTAGGTAGAAGAGGCATGTCGCTAATAAAGCATGCAGTATGTAAATGCCTCAGGCAGCAAGTAGGGAGTACTGTATGTCACACTAAGTATAAGGTTACTTATGAAGCACAGTGTCATAAGTAGTAATTATTTCAACACTTCTCACAATCCACCTTTTGCTCCCTCTCCGCCATAGTGCTGCATCACAGACATAACAGAATTCGCAGCATTATTGCCATCTTGACCCCTAGCTTGTGAAAGACAGTATCTACATACCCACACAATGTGTGACATACCCCCATGTCCAAAGTTTCCCAAATCCCTCAAAGAAAATGACACGGGAGAGACGTCGAGACAGCGTCAACCAGCGCCTGACTATTCTCCTGAGGAACGCTGGCCTCGAGCACCCTTCCAAAGAGGGTATTGCTTTGTGTACGGAACATTGATGGATCCACATACGCTTTCTCGGGTCTTGAAATTGTCAAGACCAGGCCCGGTTATGCGTCGTGCTAAAATTAAAGGCTATGAGACTAGGCTTTGGGGGCCATACCCTGCTCTTCTTGATGGAGAGCAGCCTCGTTCGGTTGATGGTATGGCGTGTGAGATCTTATCACGTACTCAGCTTGATCGACTTGCGGAGTATGAAACTGACATGAATCGTCTAAGAACATGTCTGATACAGCTTTTGGATTATGATGATGAGACTGGGATACTGTTGAAGGGGTTACTTTCGTGTGGGATGGACGGCTTGAGGAGCTACGAGAGGGTACATTTGATCTGAAAGAATGGAAAAAAGAAAACCAGTTGCGAGATCTACATTGAATTAGATTGAATAATGGGGGAGGGATTGGAGATGGAAGTCCTCAACCGTGCCCAGGTCTTGATGAAGCGTTTGTTGCGTTGATTGAAATCATGTTCTGGAGCGCCATTTAGATCACATATGTTGTAGCTTTCTCAGAATTAGGTCCTATGCCTTTCCGTCAAGCTCATACGCCCTGCACATCACCTTCTCCCCTGTTCTCGGTGCCTAAGCAGGGCTCCGGTAAATGTATCCCGATTTTCCTCGGAGTAGCCCCTCGAGGACTCACGAGCAAAGGTGCAAGCAGTTTTAGACGCGGAGGGTTGATATACCAAGTACTAGCTTGGAAAATAGCTTCATTGAATTTTCTTTTGCCCTCTATTACCTTAGTACATAATTTATTATATAATTCTATTTGTAGTTGGGGTGGCTGTTGGAAGAAATTGGATTATTATACATATTTTCATGGTCAGGCCGCTTGTACGGATATCTCAAATAAGGTGGTGTAGTGGGCGAAAGCCTCAGTAACCCGCCAGTGTGGGAATAGTAGAAAGCTGTTGAGTTGAACATCGCATGTATTATGATCCATATCGGTGTACTTGTAGTGATCTCAATGGTGACGCGCTGACTTCATAGTACATCACTGCGCTTGTCCAGCGCCGACAATGACATGATATTGTAATGACATAACCGATGTCTTATAATACTGAACCAGTGGTGTTATCACGAGATTGTGAACTCATTCAGGTCTGGGATAGGGCTTGGTCAGTCACTGTTGTAGTCACTGCTTATTTCGGCATGATACACCTAAACTTCCTATTTCGGCATGATACACCTAAACTTCCTATTTCGACTGGAAGTAACAGGGGTTTCTTTTAACTTTTATCCTTATGTTTGTCCTATCCTTCAATTTTTAACTTCAATGATATTCCAGTACACTATAAATAACACCACTGGTATTAGATCATCGAATAAAGTCGGCCATCCTGTCTAATGAACCTTGCAACATCTGCTGCCTGCGAGCTAGTTCAATCGCCTTGGGACTGGCTTGGTGCAAATCCCACGCCATCCCTAGACGATACCATAGCCAGATCAGGTGCTTTGTCAGATCCACCACGCCACTCCATTCCGATAGTCCTTGGGGAAGGTATGGTGAGAATTATGGTTCCCTTCCCCCAGAGTAGCAACCCCGAGAACATATACGTTTCGCGCGCTGTGAGCCTTGGAGTATGGCTGGTCTCCGGCCCACGGGCTATGCGCGAGAGAATTAACCAAATACGTCAAGTGCGTATTCGTCGTTCTTCGTACGAAGAATCCATAGACGAGTCCTCCCTTCCAGCCATTCCAGCCGCAATGGGCAACCAACGCCGGCAGAGCCACGTTGACGCAGAAGTACAGAATGAAATAGGTTCGCGGCTGCCACATAAATAGTAGAAGCCTCGTTGGGCATTGTATGGATCACGGTCTGTATCTGTTTATCGGTGGTGAGCGCGGTGGTGACGCGCCCACCATATGATAGACCACTGAGCCTGCCCAGCACCGACAATAGCGAAAAGATATTTCAGCGGTGCGCATGCGCTGTATGTTCTATGCGACCAAAGCCGATGGTAGCCTTGCGTGGCTCTTAGCTCGCTAGGATGAGCATCGCCTTTTGCGGTATGGTACTTACCAGCGGCGATACTGAAGCCCGCTGCCACGGCCAGAACGAATGCCAGTAGCATATCCGCTTTATGCAGAATTGAAGCTTAAAGCAGGCTTTGATGGCCGAGTCAACGGGGATTCTGACCCCACTTTCTTGCCCTTGCTTCACCCCTTGCGTCTTCCAACGAATCTTCTTCTGGGGCACAAGGCATGTCTTATTGTATAGCTATCTTCGCTGGCTATTACAGATTTACATGACTTTTTTGGTGGTGCTTCGTATATCCGAGTACTCCGTACGGTGCAGTTGCATGCTTCGTGCAATAACACTTCTGAAAGAGTTGCATCTGAAAGTGGTTGGTCTAGCCTTGAGTTTAATTTTCTCTAGACTTTTCGTTTAGCATGGCTCATATGACGAACTAGAATTAGGTAGAACTGTCTTTGATTAGCTCTCCTGGGAGATTATATCCCGAGGCCAAACACTATATTTGCCGTGAACACACGATGCCATGTAAATGGTGCCAATCGCAAAGCACTCGTTTGTTGATTAATTGTCTTATCTTATCGCTGACGTCATGTGACTAGACAGGGGAATCGCGACCCACATCGACTCTATAGTTTGTGTTCCAGCATTGTCTCCAACTACGCAATCCCCATCACACTATCATGACACTCCATAGGGCCGTATTTTAGCCAAAAAGAAAGAAAGAAAGATACCATACTCCAAAATGGGCCACCCCACCGACCCCCCTCCGTCCTACGACCAAGCAACCGCCAGCTCTTCCAGTCCGAACCACGAACCTATCCCGCCGCCCACCCATCCTAAAGGCTCACCACCGTCACCACCACCGTCACTATCATCACCAATCGCCGACTCTCCTATCCCAGATGCAATATCCTATCATAGTCTCCAAGCATCCACGCGCAAAGCCATATCGGCAACCCTCTCCCCAACCCTAAGCCAAGACGCCTGCACCCTGCACGACCTGGTGGCGACACAGGCGCGCCAGCCACCACGCCCGCATCTGACCGTGCGCGGGACGCACAACGAGATCCGCTCGCGGCCAGACCGCAAAGAAAATGAGAATCACGCAGTCCTCGACTTTGACTTTAGCGTCGACTTGACGCCCTATTTCCTCGCTGGTGCCACCGAGCCGGACGACTGGTGGCAGGAGCTGCGCGTTGTGCGCGACGGCGATGGGACGCTCGCTTTTCGCGGGGGGCGGATTAGGTCGCGGACGGGCTGTGCGCAGAAGCGGGATAAGAAGCGGAGGAGGGGCGTCTCTGTTGAGGAGGGAAGGGGGCAAGAGGACACTGTTCGGTTGGTGGCTGGGGATGATGATGATGATGATGATGATGATGTTGACATATCTGGGGGGCCAGGTCTGATGGGCTGGTGTGAGAGGTTCTGTTGGGACGCGGCGGGGGTCAAATCGTAGGTTCTCTCCTTCTGCACTACCCCTCCCTGACATTGGGCGTGAAGACCCCGCCTATTGATTGATTGAATCTATGCTAAGGAGTTAGGTTCACATTCAAACGGCGCATTGACGGCTTCGACGCCTCCGCGGTACGCTCCGCACTTACGTCCCATCTGCGCACGCTCAACTACCAAGGCAACATCCACATCTCAATAGAACTAACAAACCGCTCCTTCGTCGTCTACTCCCCGCACTGGATCAACCAGCTGCGCAACACCGCTTTCATCTACTACCTCTGCGTGATCCTGCCGCTGTGGATCCTCGCATGGCCGATCATCTGGCTGCTGGAGCGACGCTACGAGGTCGCCGAGGCGCGGTGGCTTTTTGCGCGCCAGGACGGTCCTCAGCGGCTGTGCGTCGGCGGCCGCGACGAGGCACACATCGCGCAGGATCTGGCGCCCGTCGTGACGCAGGCGGCTTGGGAGCGGCGGACGGATGGGCGGGTTCTGACACCGCAGGAGATTGACCTGCTGAGGCGGCTGGAGCGGGAGGGACGAGAGCGTGGTGGGCGCTTGCTGGTCGTGAATTGGGATCAGATCAGTGGGTGGGGGAGGGATTGCACGATTGGCGGGTAGACTGTGTTCTTATATGTAGGCTATCATTGCTCTGGTTGGAGGCTTTGGCCTAAGGCTGACCAGCGTATAGACACGGCGTTATTTAACTTGGTAGATTCAACCCATGGAGCAGACAGATGTATAAACTTAGATGACCATGTATATATATAGACATATAATACCAACAGAGCATAGCTAAACGCAGGCCGCTACGAAGGGTAAAATGGAATGGAAATAGTTACAGTTACTAGTCGACAAGGCGGTCAACGTAGACACGAGATGGATGGATGGAT